ATTTTTTATTACATAAAAAATGGCAATCGTTAGATTGTAGTGGAAAATTTGATTGGACGACCCAGGTGCTGCCATGTGTCTTGTAGCAGGGGAAAACAAATTTGAAAAGCGCACTACCAGCCTAACATCAACACGACATAAGCAAACCCAAACAACAACACGGGCTGGATCTGCCTTTGAACTTGCTCGGGTTAGTGGCCCCCACGTCTTGCCCGGGCTCCTTTCTACGCATTGGAGTCTTCTCGTGGGCAAAGGGCCTCTCCTGTCTGGGGCAAACTGCTACGGTGGACTTGCTCTAACAAATGTAGATATAACATATATTGTATATGTAGGTTAGGTGAGTCGGCTAAGGTACTATGAGCAGTATACTTGAACTTGATTTCCCTCCTCGTTATCTGAAAAAACTAAAATTGTATGATTGTATTAGTCAAAGATATGAAAATGACGTAACCCTGGTTTAATTACTCTCTCTCTCTCTTTCGGCGGGAAAGTTCAAAACTCGCGCAATAAATTGAAGCATAGTCTCTCTGTGGACCTTTGAAAGAAAAATCAACGGCTGGAAAAGTGGGATCACAAGACAACATCAAGAATATGTTATTTATACACAAATAAATAAATCAAATTTAAAAAGCCAGGGACGTCTTTATCCAGTAGCTCTTGTGTTGTCTAAGCAGTAAGCAGTCCCTTCAATTATTTATTATTTATTAATTGAATTAGTTTAATTAATTTGTGAGTTCGATTATATTTGCTATTAAATGGAGTTGATGCTTGATGTTGATGATGAGTTCCTGCGTCGGCCAACGCCGGCTGTTTGCCAAGTGGAGAAAGGAAAACGACACGCCGGAATTATCTTCGCAGAAAACGACGGTCGTCGAAACAAACACAAGGGAAATCGGTTCGAGTTTGACCATGTTAATATAATATGAGACGGTTTCTGACCAAAATTAAAATTTTGATATCACAAGGTTGCTAATCATTAACGCCACGTCATCAAAATGCAGATTCTTTTAGATTCTATTTTCTATTTTTTCCTCTCTTTTTTGAGTGATGAATGACATAATTAACCTTTATTTTTTCTTAATTATGAGATTTTAGAACATGATAGAATAAATGGAAAATTTGAGTTTTAGATGAAAATGACTATTGCATAATGAGTAAAAACTAATGACATGTTTATTTATTTGGAATTATTTCAACTCATGATTTATTCTTTGTATAACACAGGAGTGGAGTCATTCAAATTCATGATTTTTCATATAATGGAGAAAAAAATTTGTGGGTAACTCATTAAAATATGTAATTCGATGCTTGAGAAACCACGAGTTATATTGATTATGAGATAGTATCTTATCTCAAATAAGTAAACACGAGTTCCAATCAAGTTGTAAAAATAAAATAAAAATATCCCAAATTATGAGTTAAAAGAGGTGAGTATCGAAATTACAAAGACTATAAAGTCAACCACTAAGATAAGAATATGTTTGCATTTTTCTTTTAATAAAAGTAGTAATGTTGCTAATTAAAGCCAAAGATTCATCAAAGTAGTTAATCATATCTAAGATACAAAACTTAGATGGATAATTTATTGATACAAAGATAAGAATATAATTTATGCACATGTGGGTTGACGGATTTATGCGTTTACTGTTAAATTGTTGTTGTTGATAGATTGATTCCAAAAACCAAATTGTTGCTGCTTTGCCTCCTCCATCTCCATGGCCTGCGTTCCTTTTCAGGATATTCGTCTGTGTGTGTTTTTTTTGGTTCATTTTGTATTCAAATTCCACTTGTCACTTTGTGATATGAAACCTCTTTTTTGACCCGGCAGGTGTTACTTGCAGCCTACATAATACAATAATTAGCATTAACTATAAATTAGGGGATAAGTGTGGAGATTTGGAAAGGTACGTTTCCAACAAATGGGAACATTTGACTCAAACTAGAGAGAGAGAGAGAGAGAGAGAGAGAGAGAGAGAGAGGATTTCTGTCCACCGTCCCTCACAAAATCATCGTTGTCTTTCGGATGAAGATCTCCTTGAATTTTTAAAGGCGGTGATGCGATACACATGGGAATATCTGCAATTGGATTCAACTTTTGTATGGCTAGAAATTTAAATTAATTATTTCAATATTTATGCGATAAGCGAGGCATGTAAGAGCATCAATGACATGTAATGGTATGTGTTATTACATTGTTTACATTATGAACTTTTTATCATTTTATGGAAAAATAAAAATAAAATTGTATGATATTGGAATACGAACACATGTTAATCTTTATATTAATAATAAAGAAGAAGCTATATCGCATGACTGTACTCCAATATCACACAATAATTACTTGTTTACAACGTGAATCATAAAAAAGAATTGTCAAACAAACTTGTCAACAATAATGACATATCCGCCCCTAACCACCCACGTTCCCATCTCTTACTTTACCATTTCAGATAAAAGATAAAATTACAACTCAACTTGAGTTATTATTGCTTGTATATATGAATGTAACTAGTAAGGAATTGTACCACATTCTCTAAAAACCCAAGACTAGTAAGGAATTGTGGCACAAGATGATCGGTTGGCTGGTGGATGCGACAAATCACAACTGACTTGGTGTGAGTTTAACTTAACTTCCCCTTGATCATAATTACAAAATGTAAAGGATAATTCACATAAGCCAAAACAAATTGTCGTTTTCATCATTATCACTTGAATACACAGAAGCATTGTTTTCGATTGGCTCATCTCCTTTGCGCCAAGATTGTTTATGATAGCTGCTGATCTTGCCGCAGGCTTTAGCTGAAAACGAATTGGTACAAAATCCTTTTTCAGCTCATCGTATTTTCACTTCACTCACCAAATGCCCAAAACAAAAACCAATGGCAAGAAAGTAAAAACAAAGAAGAAAGCAACGTTTTTACCTTTTTTATAGTAAAAAAGTAAGAGATAAAAGAAAAGGAAAGCAAGTTTTGTTGCATAAAAATGGATGGCTTGCATGGTGGGGAGTGAGGGGAGGTGGTGAAGTGCCAACTGCCAAGTGGAAACATACAAGGACAAATGGTTGTTACCCTGCTATGCAAAACCATGCAAGTCCTTATTCTTTGTGAAAAGAAAAAAAGGTTTGTTTTTATCTTATGGGTTGGCGTATGAGAGAGAGAGAGAGAGGGCTCTGGCTTTCTGGCTCTGCTGCAACGCTATAATGTCTATATGCTTCAATCGCTAAGCGAACGAGGGATGAGTGAGAGGGGAGGGAGGCTGGCATGGCATTGGCCCACTACTCTCTTTCACGTTTCACGTTTAGCAGCACAGTTGGTTAAATAAAAATCACTCACACTCACACTCACACCACGCACCCACACTCCCAAAATAAAAAACCAATAAAAAAACAAACAAGGAAATTCAAGTGTACCTAAGGCAGGGGAATTCAAACGCATGACTTTAGAATTGCCCCCAATCATGACCTATGAGCTCTAATATTTATTTTAAACATATTAAAGCCTTTTAGCAAATTTATAATTTGCAAACTCTCGAAGTGATTTTGAGTGATTGCATTTCTAAACTCCCGAAGAAAATAGATGAAAATGTATAATTTGCAAACTTTGAACTAAAAAAATGAATATTTAGAATTTTATCATTTGGTGAGATGACCGTCTTACTAGTTGAGTCGTATTAGATTAGGTTGTGATACAATTCATTTCAATTAGGTCAAAAGCTTCAATTGATGAATATATCAAATAAGCTTATTTAAGTGGTATGCTCCATATCGTATTTCAATGATATGATTCATTTAATTTTTAATTTTTCTTCATAGATTATCTATTAAAAAAACACTTGGATTTGAAAATAAACTACCACTCAATTAAGTGTTGTCATTTTAGTGTTCAAAGATCATATATGAAAAAAACACTTGAATATGAAATCAACTCACCGTGGTGTCATTTTAGTGTTCTCTTGAAGCATAAAGTTTGTCTAATTTGATAGTCACAACTCGACGTGTTAATGGTTTTCAAATTTAAATTCATATTTGAATGAATAATTGAAAAATAGACAGCTCAGATCGTTGAAAAAAAGAAGGAAATTGCCGAATAGGTATGTTATTATAATTATATAACCATGTACACTGAACGTAAAAATACATGCACCTATAATAATGTATCAATGTACATAGATTTTGAATAATATATTTCGAGGATTGTTACTGACACTCCGAAAGAGTTGATACGAACTTCTATATATGCAAATTTTTATTTATAATTTTTAAAATAAAGAGCATGTGATAATTTTTTTAGAATGCCGATAACAACTTTTGTATATTCATATAAATGTTCCAAAGGAAAGACCATAATCACATCCAAATATAACTTTGGTGTTTATTAAAAAAAAATATATAACTGATTTAAAATTTTCTAAAAACAAAAACAAAAACAAATTGTCAAATTTTCCTTAAAAAGAGAGGGACCCACATTGGTGACAACTCTGGCGGAACCCACCTTCCTTCTCTGGGGGAGTTCCCGCGTGTTTGCCACGCCCTATCTTCCGCGTTAACTTACGCCTCTGTGCGTTTCGTTTTACTATTTCTGCGTTTTGCTATTCCTATTCGGCGTATTGCTTTTCGGTCCTTTCCCCTCTCTCTCTAAATTAAAATAATAATTAATTATCCAAGTCACTGTAAGGAGGGGGGAGAGAGAGAGAGTGTGTGTGTTAAAAAGGCCTTTGGGGCTTCATTTCAACTTTCAATAAAGCCTCATCTTCTCCTTCTCCATCAAACCGACTCCTTCCTCCTCTGTGTTTTCTCAGTCCACACTAAGCACTGCTTTGCCTTTTTCTTCTTCTTGGATACTTGCCTGGGACCCTGCGAGTCTCTGCATATCTAGCAAACCCAACTGGGGTTTGCTATATTATTATAACTTCACCAAGCAGCAAACTCTCCACCTCACTTTCTTCCTCTACTTTTTCCTCCCATCATTCTCTTTTGCTCTGCTATTTCAAAGGCTGCCCAAATGTCTGACTTGATAGACGACCCCGCGTTTTGGCTCCCTACCCAGATTCTCGACGACGACGACCTACCCGCCATGGACCTCGGTTTCAAAACCAACTCCAAGACCCACCACAAGAGCTTCGGGCTCGGCTTTGACGTTGATGCTTCGAAAGCTCTGTTTCCGTTCGACTTTCCTTATGGCGGGTACGGGGCTTTCGGAGTTTCGTCGGATCTCAGCTCGCCGGTCGAGTCTGTGGTGGGCTCCAGCGAGACGGAGAGCGACGAGGAAGACTACCTCGCCGAGTTGACTCGCCAAATGGCTCGCTCGACGTTCGAGAAGGAGTTGAAGCACTCTGACTCTGCTTTCGGCTCTGACAACTCAAAGGTATGAGGACGAAGTAATTTTTGGTTTTTTTTCCCCTCTTTTAGCTTCTAAACGAATTGTTTTGATGATGGTTCTGATTTGGGGTTCTGTTTCTGCAGAGCTGGGTCGTTTCCGGTTCGCCCCAATCAACGCTGTGCCCAGCTGGGAGCGGCTGTGGCTGTGGGCTAGGCTCGAGCCGTGGAAGCCCAAACGCCCACTCGCCGCCGGCCACTTGGGATCTGCTGCATGCGGCTGCAGGGGAAGTAGCGAAGATGCGCATCGACCAGAGCAGAGGCCTCTTGGGACCTCCAAGAAAGCCCTCCCCACCAGTTCCCGCCGCCCCTCTGAGCAGCAACCCCAACAACCCAGATGTTGGTTTTTACTTCCACCAGCCGTCGCTTTCCCACAAGCACTTGCAAGCCACACAGGTAATAAAAAGCTCAAACACTCCAAATCAAATTTCTCCGGGTGTACTTTCGTCGAACACTTTTCAGTATCTAAATTTCTGCTCGATTTTGTTTACAGTTTCAGCGGTTGAGGCAGCAGCAAATGTTGAAGGAACAGAACTCGGGGGTTTGGGCAGCGCAGCCTCGATACCCACAGCAGCAGGCTCAGTCTCAGTCTCAGTCTCAGGCTCAGGCCCGCCCAATGGTCCAGAGCAGAGTAAGAAGCAACGTTCTCAACACTCGGCCTCTGGGTTTGTCGCCATCTGCATGGCCTCCTCTGCAACAAGCCCAGCAGCAACAACAGTACCAGAAAAATGGGTCTGGCATGAGAGCTGTTTTCCTTGGAACCCAAAACGCTGGTGCCAAAAGGGAGTGCGCTGGAACTGGCGTCTTCTTACCTCGCCAAATCGGCGCCCAATCTGAAACGCGCAAGAAGACAGGTCTATCTCTTCCCCAACTAATAAGTCCTCAGTTTTTCACTCGAAACAAATATTTTTTTCAGTTTTCAAACAAAACCCAACAAGCAAAATTCGTGTTCTTCTTCATTGAAGTTAGTTGGTCACATCATTAATATTTCTGGGTCTGGGTTGCTGTGATGTTGAAGTCTTTTAAATTGGTTTATCTGTTTTTTCTTTTCAGATCTGGGTGTCGTAAGTTTTCGAAGTCATTTATTTGGTCTCAGTTGTGAATTTATTTTGGTGGCTCATTTATAATTTTCTGTCTTTGTGTTTTACAGGTTGCTCGACAGTTCTCGTTCCAGCTAGAGTTGTGCAGGCACTGAAGCTGAACATTGATGATATGTGCGCACCTCAACCGCCCCACCTTCAGCGTCGTTTCAATGCAAGCTACAACCCTGAATATGGTAATAAATCCTAAATCCCCTTCTTTACACTGTTTCAAGCAATTCTTACTTTTACCAAGTTGATTTTTATACCGATTTGTTTGATTTTGGTGGCTGGTTTTGAATTGCAGATGTTGCTCTGAGGCTTCGAAGTAACAACAGCGCCATTTCTCAGCAGAGACGCAATGGTATTAGGCCACAGCCGCCACAAGTGAGCAATGAGATTAGGCTCCCCCAGGAGTGGACTTATTAGCAGCGTTCTAGTTCTGGGGTGGTTTGGTGTTTTTGGGGGAATTTTAGGGCAAGGGGAAAGGAGATTGAAGGGTTTTAGGAAGAAAGGAAAGGAAGTACGCAAGTTTTATTAGTTTTTGATATAGGGTTTTTAATGGTTTTTACTACAGGTGGTAGGGTAAGTACAAAGGAAATAGTTTTTGAGAAAAGACAGGACAGGAGAAAAATGGCTGAACAAGAAGAAGAAATGTTTTTTTGGGTTTTAGGGTTTTTAGGTGAGAAATAAATGGTCTACTTTCATTAAAGTGATGGCACCAGCTGCATGCTATATTTACAGCAGAAGCAGAAGCAGCTTTTGTTCCAAGTGATTTTGTGCTCGAAGAACGAGGCAATGGTGGATGCTTGTCCCTCTTTTGTTTTAGTCTTTTGGGATAAGAAGAGTTTGGGATCTTTTAGAAAGAAGAAAAATATATTTATCAGAGAGAATTGAGAAAGTTCAAAGTGTAAAAAGGATTCCAATCTGTCCTCCCATCTTGCCATGCAACAAGTTAGTAGTATTAATAATAATAAATAAAAAAATGCATGTATTCGCCTATTTCTTCTCTCTGTTTTGGTTCTTTAATGATTTTATTGTCCAGCAGTGTAATGTTTTTGGGCAGTGCGCTTGGGGTTTGGTGTGTTTCCAACTTGTGTATTTTTGAATTTTTCTTCTTGGATTAGATTAATATGTGACAGTTCTAAAAGCTCCAGAAGCTGCAACAAAACGACTTTTGCTTTTCCCAAAGTCCGGCAAGCTGGATTGTTTAATTGTGTTTGCTTGCGCCTTAATTAGATTAATTTAGCATAGTTAAATCATAAACATTCCTAAGAAAACGAAGTTGGAAGAGAAAGGTGACGATTGCGACAGACGGGGGGTTTGCTTAAGAGGGAAGGCAGCTGCAACTGCACCACTGATATGGGCCGTCGCGAGGTTCTCATTAGTGGGCCAACGCGTGGCTTTCCTTTTACACGTGGCAAACACCGATGTGCCGGATTTTGCTTTGCTTTTGAGTTTTTTATTTTGAGATCGTTCTGCCTCATATCTTACTTTAAATTTATGAACGGGGCCCAGATTTGTTTCTGAATCTATCTCTCTCCGCCTGGGGATGTGGGAACTCGGGGGGTGTGGGGCCTGCATGACAATGCCAGTGATGCGCTGTTTGCCGGCATGTGGTGGTGGAGGAGTGGTGGTCAAACACGTCCACAGGGGGTTCACATGGCGCCCACTACGGGTGGTCTGTGGTGTTTCACGCGCGAGAAAGGCGGGTGGGGGGATGGCGGTGGATGGGGCCCACGTCGGGTGATGTGTGGTTAGTGGTGGTGGTGGTGGTAGGAGGTGGGTGGGTACTTGGGAACCGACTACCGAGTGAGTTACTGGGTATGCGTGCGTTGCATCCTCCACCTCGCTGGATGTGAATCAGTTTTGACTCGGTCATACATACTTTGTTTTTATTTTGTACTTCCGAAATCACTCTTAAATAAAAGCTCATACACTTCTTGTATGTGAGAGGATAGAGGAGTGTGGGAAGCGGTATTTGGAGTATTATAAAAATAACAACTTAGGATGAGGAGGAGAGAATGTAGTTCAAGTAATTGTAAATCTTTCAAGGATTCTATGTCACATCTCTTGATTACTTTCCTAATCTGAGCGATATCAAAAGATCATCCATTTGGTCAAAAAAAAAGAAGAAAAAAATGATGATATTTTTGATATATATAGGCCCCTCAAAATAAGGCATATTTATTTAGCCACCCTAATTTTTCAGGGTACAATCATGTAGATGGCTAAAGCTCTTGGCAACATCAGGTGCGAAGGTGGCATGTACACAATGGATGGATGTGATGGGTGTGACATAATATACAATGTATCCAAAGTGCCAAAACTCAAACATGTTCGCTAATGGGACTTCAATGTTGACCTTTCCTAATAGCCGACTTGGTTGTGAAAAGCCCTTTGACCCCACGGACTTCGTGGGTATTATTCACTTGGTGGGCCAAATTGCAACACAGCCCGCAGCAGCCTCCTCCCATGATTTTTGGCTTTTGTTTTCGAGTGGAAAAGAATCGAGTAAACATCCAAAGCTTCTTCTATTTGTCAGGAGGTGTGTGTTTTTGGCTCCTTGTTTTGTTTGTTTTTGGGTTTCGGTTTGGTGAGAGCCTTGTGAACTTAACGGTTGCTCAACCAACAAAACCGGCCGATTTTTTTGAAGATGTTAACGCCAATCGAAACAAGACCGACTTAGCAATTTCTGACGAATAACGTAGTAGGGTGATGCATGCTGTTGTGGAAATATAAGTTGTTTTGTAATTATTGCGCGTAGAAGATTGGGTTTGATTTGAAATAGCAAAAAAGGTTGTAAGTGATTTGACAGATTTTCTACCCACACTAGTACTATTGACATCCCTTGGAAGTATGGATTATGTGTTTGCCTATTTGTGGAGAGAAACTCACATGATCTAGAGAAATGGGTTGTGTTTCTCTCTTTTGGGCTAAGGTGATCGATGGAATGACTTAAATGGAAAAAGTTGGATTGTTGTGTTGGCGCTTTTGACTTCTAACCAGCCAATTGATGGCTTAAGCAAGGAACCTCATCTTGGCCAAAGTTCTTTTACTTCCTCGGGGTCGAGGATGGTTAGGTTTCATGTGGATGTTTTTACGACTTTTAGGTTTTTTAATGAGAGCGGTGCAATTAACTTAAAACGAATTTAAACTAATAGCAATAATTAAAGGGCAAGAAAATAGATCAAAGCGATAAATAACGTAAAATAAAGCAAAAACGAAATAAGAACGATAAACTAAATTAAACTTACACTAATAAAAGCGAAGAACATATCTAGTCTACTTGTTTGGAAAATAAAAACCTAATCTATGGATAGAAAAGTGAAAGACAAAAAGTAAGTTTTTGTGTCTAATGTCAAGGGCCTTTTGCTCTTCATATGATGGGGTTTATATAGGGTGATCATCCACCCATGAGTTGGCCACTAGATGGCCCGAAGGTTAACTTCGCTCAAAATATTGCCTTGTGTGGCTTTCTAAATCCATGGAATTGATGAGATCATCTGATTGAAAATCTGATTCCTTGGTTCTCTCTTTCTTAGGAATGTTCCGAATTTACATCGATTTCTTTGATTGCTTTCCTGAAGTAGATCTCGTCACGTGCAGGAAAACATCCAGAAGTTTTAAGTCTACTTTCGTGGTTGTGCTTGAAACTCTGAGGACTTGGCTTGGCATTTGGAGTTCTAATCTTGAAAAAAATGATCAATGATGTTAGGTGACTTGGAAACCCAATGAATCCACATACATCCTCAAGGTGTCTTAATTACATAATATACATGAATTATCACCTTAAATATAATATATTTATCAAATACTCCATTTAATGGCCATTGATAATGCACATGCCATAAGGCCATGGCCTGCATGTATGTATAAGGAAAATTCAAGGCACAAAGGCCTAAGGTAAATGCTACACATGCTAAAACTCACGTCAAGAGTTTGTCTTCACTTTGCCCAAGTCAAACCGTAAGGCCAAGGCTTGGCCTTTGTAATCATATATATATATATATATATATATATATATATATATATATATATACATGAAGGCCATTGAGTTGGCCAAATCAACATGTGAACGCCATATATATATATATATATATACATGAAGGCCATTGAGTTGGCCAAATCAACATGTGAACGCCAAGTTGGCCTTTATGCAATTTTAACTAAGCAAACCGTAAGGCCATTTTATTTATATATAAGCTAGAGAGTGAACAAATTTCAGCCACAAAATCACGCCAGCACACCCAATATTTCTTTGCAACTTGAAGACCCAACCAACCATCCTCAAAACAGCAAACCTAACCACACCTCCATCTTGAAAACTCGCTAAGTCTGCTTGCTTGGCCAGCTCTCACACACCTCCAGCCAAAATCACATCCCGGCCAACTTGACCTTTGCAAAAAGGCATTCGGGTAGTGAGACCATTCCGAATTTTTCTTGTCTTGACCTCTTAGAGTTGGGTTCCACTTTGACTTCAAATTGGATTTTAGACCACACCCAAACATGGTGACATCTGTTCTTACAACGTTTGCATTATCGATCAGTGGTGAATTTACAATGGGCTAAGAGTGATAAACTGGCCCTTGCAAGTCGAAAATCATTGTTTGGGTGAGAAAATTTGACCCCAAAAGTTAAACGTAGTTGCCCACCACATATTAGATCCTTTGCCCCCAATGAAGCAACAAGCAACACCTTTCCAAAACAACCTTGTTTTGGCTAAGTCATTTAAGATTTTATATTTAAAAATTTGGACAAAGAGGCGTTGATTGGAATTATTTTAGACCCAAATCACTACATAATCTAATCCAAGTTGAGTGAAAGTGCTTCAGATGAAAACATAATAATAAAAATGATTAATCAGAACTGATTATAATTAGAAAAATAGATCCTAAAATGAATACAAAATTATAAATGTTTAAATTAGGTTAAATATTTGGTGGATGATATTCAAGTGGGTGCCCTAATTAGGTGAACAACACCTTACCAAAAGAAATAAAATAAAAGGTAGGTAGCAACGATTTATTACCGGCAATATAATGGTGCCACATGTCTGCTGACAAGCCGGCCTAGGCAGCTAGCTTGGTCATATGGCGCCAAATAGCAGATCAAATCCCCTGGGCGAGTCACCACTGTATCATCTCTAGGATCAATCACCCATTCTCCAGTAAATGGTAAATGCGGGTACCAATTACCGCGCGGTAAAAATATAGCCGTCTGGTCACCATTTTAGCTTGTTTGTTGAAAAGTGGAGAGCAAATACTCAACTGAGAATTTGACGCTGGAGCTTTGAAAATCAATGGACTCTTGAGTCAGTCAGTCTGGGCTCGTCCTCAACAATCCGAATTTCAATTTTCAGGTAAACTGCGTGATTTTGAAGATAATTGACTGTACGGAATCTCCAACTCCAACTGCTTCAGCTGAGCGGAAGTTTGTTTCTTTATGTAGCGTTAGGGTTTTTGTCACTGTGGAGCTTCACGGCGTTGATCGGCGATGGATGTAGGAGAAGGTGCCGTGCAGGAAATTGAGCCACAGAAGAAGGAGAAAGAACCTACAGAAGATGAGAAGAGGTAGGTAGTTTCAATTGGTTTTTGTTTTTGAATTTTTTTTTATTGAGTTATTATTTCCTGAATTGCAAGATAATCAGTTTGTGAAATGCTATTTGAATTTCATTGAATTGATTTTATTTTGTGATTATAGGAGGCAGAAAATAGCGCCTGGAACTTTGATGAAGGCAGTGGTGAGGCCTGGTGGAGGTGATGCAACACCTTCAGATAATTACCAGGTTGAGCTTACATTGCCTATTCATTTCATTATCTACTATTGCAATTGAACTGTGTCACGTTAATGAGTTTTGGTGGTTATGTTATGGAAGCAAATGGTGAAAGCTAAATTGTGCTGTACATTTTGCAGGTCGTATATCATTATACTGTTAGAACATTGGATGGAGTTGTTGTTGAATCTTCCAGATCTGAATATGGAGGCAAGTCGAATTACGTGCTATTGAGCACATTTTGACATGTCTATATAGATTCATTTTGCTCGAGCTTTGAGTAAAATGATGTTAAAGTGCTCTATTGTATTTATTGGATTGAATAAACACTTTTTAACAGGCAAGGGTATCCCAATAAGACATGTTTTGGGCAAGAGCAAGATGATAGTGGGATTGCTAGAAGGAATTCCAACAATGTTGAAGGGTGAAATTGCAATGGTAATATCTTCCTCATTTCATGAGCCTGATGTCTGCCTTTGAATGTGTGTATTTTAGCTCCTTGTTATACATGCTTGTGTATCTGGCTCATTGTTTACTGATTTTAATATTTCTTTTTTCAGTTCAAAATGAAACCTCAAGTGCACTATGGTGAGGATGACTGCCCAGTTGTAGCTCCCAGTAGCTTTCCAAAGGATGATGAACTTCATTTTGAAATTGAGATGATAGATTTCTTTAAAGCCAAGGCAAGACTTTCAAAACAGAAATCCTCATTTTTAAATCATAATATCTTTGGCACGGTGGAAATTCCCCTAGTACAGTTGCTTGGATGGTGATCATGCACTGGGCTTCTGATACTTCATCCTCCTCCTGACCTCACATGTGTTCTGTCTTATTTATTACTTTTGGTTCTTTTTCAGGTCATTAGTGATGACTGGGAGTTGTAAAGAAGGTACAGGAAATACTAAATTGTTGCATTTCTGTTTGACTTAGTTAGGAGCGTGTTTATAAACTCAGAAATTCTTTCAGGATATGTATATATATATTTTTTGTGATTAAGTTCAATCACCGTAATCTGCGCAGGTGATGGTTTAGTACAAATGGTAATTCTCTGTACTTTTCCCCCAAATTTGAAATAATAGGTTCCCCATTTAAACGGCAGGTAATAACTGAAGGTCAGGGTTGGGAATGTCCAAGGGAACCTTATGAAGTCAAAGCCTGGTAAAGACAGTTTTTCCCGTTCCCAATAAGTTTTCTGTTGCTGTATTGAACTGTAAATTGGAATATGCTGGAATATTCTAAGGGAGGTATATGGCTGTTTTCAGGATATGTGCAAAGACAGGTGACGGAAAAGTGATTGTTACCCGTACTCAAGGAGAGCCATTTTTCTTTAATTTTGGAAAGTCGGAGGTTGGTAACCCATTGCTAATCACTTATTTGGGTTGCTTAGTTCGTTTGCTTTGTTTCATGTAATATTGCTCTTAGCTGGAGTTATCTGATGTGCTCAAATTGCTATGTTGGTGGTGCTAATTTCATTCTTTGAAACACTATATAATACATAGATGCTAAAACAAATCAAGCCATACGACCTTTAAGGTTGAGTGGATAAAAAGTCAATTTCAATATTACGCCTAAACGATACTACTATGTTTTATTCACTATTAGTCTTTGAATATAAACTAGGTACCTAAAGGTCTTGAGATGGGAATTGGTACAATGACACGTGAAGAGAAGGCAGTAATATATGTCACCAGTCAGTACATAACTACATCTCCTTTTCTGCCTGCGGTAGAAGGTCTTGAAGAAGTTCATTTTGAAGTGGAGCTTGTCCACTTTATTCAGGTGTGCAAAGTTCTTTTCTATCATAAGTCCAGTTGCTTCTTCACGTATCTTATCTTTTTCTTGAGGTAATCTCATGTATAGCTATTTTGGAAAGGATATGCTTTGGCGGGGTATTTATGAGGCTCTGATCTAGCTTTATGGTTATGTATTATCAGGTGCGTGACATGCTTGGGGATGGGCGTCTGATTAAACGGCGTATTCGTGATGGAAAAGGTGGGGTTTAAGAGTTTTAAAGAAATCTGCGTTCCTTAGAAACATAGATTGAGAAATGCTATTCCTTTTTCTTTTCATGTCAGATTTTCCTAATTGACTCTGTTTCTTTTCAAGTGGTAGTTTTTTTGTTTTGGTGTCTATTTCACGATCGACTATCTGCATATGTTGAATTCATGCATCAAGCGTAATTTATCTTTTATACATTTGGAACAATTAGGTGAGTTTCCTATGGATTGCCCTCTTCAAGACAGCCTACTACGCGTCCATTACAAGGGCATGCTTCAAAATGAAGAAAAGACAATCTTCTTTGATACAAGAGTTGATAACCATGGTCAGCCTTTGGAGTTCTGTTCTGGAGAAGGCCTTGTAAGTTGTTCATAATCTTTGAGATGAAATATTTATGTGTAGTTTGAAATTTTCACTTTTCTGTTTGTGCAATATATACACATATAGGTATATACATATTCTGTGTATATATATTCAAATGTTAGACTAACATGTGGTTATCACATGTACCTCCTTATTCAGATGGCTGATTTGCATAATGGAATTGAAGCTAGTTGTTAACCTTGTTTGTATATGAATGGTGATTAGTTGGGCTATTCAATTCAATGTGGGGAAACTTTTCTTTTGTATTGTAGGTGCCTGAGGGATTTGAAATGTGTGTTCGTTTGATGGTGCCTGAAGAGATAGCTCTCGTCACATGTCCTCCTGATTATGCATACGACAAGTTCCCTAGGTTACTTTTAGAATACTAGCTTACAATCAGTAATTTTTATAATGATTTGTAAAAAACAGTATCCCAAAATAATACACACAGAAACACAATTGGAAGTCTCCTCTCCTGTCATTATTTCTCTTGTTCTTCCAGTTCAAGTGTGTCACTGGTTTTTCCCCCATATTATCAGGCCAGCTAATGTTCCTGAAGGTGCTCATGTTCAATGGGAAATCGAGCTTCTTGGTTTTGAGATGCCAAAGGTAATCCAAAGTTTTCCTTTCTCCGAAGCGTTTCTAATAAACTAATTAACTGAAAATTGACCAATATCATTTTGATAATGTTGGTATGGTGTTATGGTTATAATTTCTGAATATTCTGGGTAATTATTTTAAAATTTTTATGTTGACCTTCTGTCAAGTAGTTACTTCAATATGAGATGAAAGTTTCGCCTTTGAGAATGGTCATTCAATATTTTGTATAATTTTAGAAGTGAATTTTGAGTCATCATATTTATACTATATTGTAATCTATCTTATCAACCTCGCTCCAGTATTAGCTTTTGGCTCAGAGTAACTTTGAAAGTGGTTGTGTATTGGTAGACTTAATCATAGGTGTTCTGAATGCTTTAGATATTGATGTGACTAAACTTTGCATACTTGGACATGCTTTATGCTTTTCTGGTTACCTGGAAATTTATCTGAACTATGTATTGAATTTTTTTCTTGCATGGGTCCCTACTTTCAAGCTCTACACTACATCATTCCTATTTCACTAGGCCATGTGGTTAATGCCTTATTCTCAAACTTATTGCAGGATTGGACTGGTTTGAACTTTCAAACAATAATGGAAGAAGCAGAGAAATTAGAAACACGGTATGTATTATTAACATTTAATTCTTGCTGCATCAAACCATCTACCTGCTACTGATATGTTAACACAGAAACTCATTGCATCAAAGTTCTGTTTGTGTGTGTACGTGCACAATTTCGTGGTTGCTCATATGTACCAAGTTTTTCTAGTGGTACGAAGTTTGGTTTATATTATTATACTGCATTCAAAGAGTAGGATATTGAACTGTTTTTTTTGGTCAAGTAGGATAGTTGGACTTTAAAATAATGTGAAATTGGAACTTTGATGCATTTTTCATTTCAGGGAAACAGGCTATTCAAAGAAAGAAAGTTTGAACTTGCTAAGGCAAAGTATGACAAGGTACTATGCCTTTACTTGCATGCTTCACCTTTAGAATTGTGAGTATCCTGTGGGTGTAGACCCATTCTATCTTCATGTAGAAGCAGTTTTCTTATTGCAGTCATTTGTTAACTAAATCCCATTGCAAGTTGGTTGCTACTTGTTACAACTGATTTGAATTCTGGAATATAAGTGCCACTACCCCAGTTCCTTGTTTCAATATGAGCGAGTTAAATTTTATCATTTTATAAACGGATGATAATACTACATTCCGATGTTGTATGTCATTTTTTATTAAATCATAATTGCTACTGTCTCCATGAAGTCATTAAAAATGTGTCGATTGTGCTTTTATTGTCGAATCTGTTGGATGATTGTTATGCAGGTGCTACGGGAATTTAATCATGTTAATCCACAAGATGATGAAGAAGGGAAAATATTTTCAAATACAAGGGTAATCAGTTTCCTTTGCTTCTTGTATTTCTCCTTTGGGTGTCTTATTGTACATTTAATTCTTTTACTAGAGAGGATAAGTATTCTCAAATTGTTTAATTCTTGATTCTTGTAAGAGTGAAACATGTTCGTTTCATCTTCTCTAACTCGAGTAACACAACCTGTATGTTTGATAGCTTTACGCCAATGATTTTGATAATGGATTTTACTTTTGAATGTTTGTAGAATTTGTTACATCTGAATGTGGCTGCATGCTACCTGAAGATGGGAGAGTGCAGAAAATCCATAGAGACATGCAACAAGGTATGTCCTTGGACTTTGGTATTGTAGTCTGAAGTCAATTCTTTGGACTTTGGTTTTTAACTTGTTCCCTAGGTTTTAGAAGCAAACCCTGGACATGTCAAGGCTCTCTACCGGCGAGGAATGGCCTACATGACAGTTGGAGATTTCGAGGAAGCAAAGAGTGACTTCAACACGGTAATGTTTATAAATAATTCAGTAATATTGTATTAATTTATCTTTAAACACTTGTATCCCTTTCTGATTTCTCTTGTGGATGCTATTAGATGATTAAACTTGACAAGTCAACTGAACCTGATGCAACAGCTGCTCTGATAAAAGTAAAGCAGAAGGAACAGGTGAGTTGAGTTGAGCAGCAACAAGTTTGTTTTTGATGGTTTGAGATGGAGTGCAAATTGTTTATGCCATTATCTATGTCTTGCAACTAATAATCAGGAAGTGGAGAAGAAGGTGCGGAAACAATTTAAAGGACTATTTGACAAGAAGCCAGGGGAAATTGCAGAGGCTGGAACTGAAGATGTAGACGAGACTGCAGGTGAAATCCACAAGAATGATGATAAGGAAGATTCTGACGGTGATCATTCAGACGAATCTCATGAAACCGCAGATGACGCACCTAGAACTTCTTGGCTTTCTCGCCTCTGGCCTAGACGACTACTCGCAGCCCTCGGGCGGCCAGGATGCACCATTTTGTAGTCACACGTCTCTTCTTAATGTTTTTAAGTCGGGCATTGTTAGTTTTTGAAGTTGCAGTTCAATGGTGTTCCGGCCATTGGCCTCACCAGTGGTTTAATTATAGATGGGTTTATAGTGAAAGGTTCAAGTGTTTGTAACCAATTGTAGACTATAGAGCGAATAGAAAAGTCCAAATACAAACGTTAAATCATGCTTCTTACTATACTCCACAAACGGTGGAAATAAAATTAGTTTAATTTCTTGCATGAGCTTGAAGAGCTCCAAAATCATTGACTTTCAAGTTTCAAGGGTCCCTGTGAACCATTGATCTTCTTCACTGCTTGCATAATCATCAGGTCAATTGTTAAGGTTACAGACTGAGGTGGAGAAGCGAACGTCACCAATCACTTTCGAGGTCTCAAGGACGGTTTCTGTTTCTGTAAGGGCCATTTGACCTAATTCATCCCGACCTTGAGTTATGGAAGAAGACGCCATGCCCCCAATTACAGAGTCGTTTGGGGCCTGCCTTTCTACCAGGTATTTGATTTTGTCATTTTGTATTTAACTGGGTCATTTGTTGATTCTATTTGTTTTATCTCGTTAATCCTCTCTCTCTCTCTCTCTCTCTCTCTCTCTCTCTCTCTCTCTCTCTCTCTCTCATTGTAATAATAACCAATAATCGTATTAGCAATAATGATACCCTTTTTAAGACAATGATGGATGGTAATTATCATATTAGAGCTGCATTAAGACATTGAACAGAAACATGCAGAATATCATACAATAGCAAGTCAAATTTCAAACCACAACCAAACTAGCTAAACACTGAACAACCACCACACATAAACTTAAAAGAAAAAATAATACCTATTTCTATTATCTCAACTAACCATTTAATCTACCATCTCTCTAATAAAAATGGGATCACCTTTTGTACGGATTTAAACTCTATTAGAGAGATAGTACGCTAGATGATCAGTTGAGATAATACAAATAGCAATACCCCTTGATAAGACACTGCAACACAAAACGACAAGCACACAGAAAACAAACACAAAAAGGTGACAAAAACAAACTATAAACTCAAGCACCGATCAGGAAGATGAAGATCGACAAATCAAACTTTGGGGTCGGCTACGTTGGGTTGGAGGCCATGAGAACGAACCTTGATGATGAAGAAGCCGAGGGCATGGCCGGCCACGGCGGCTATCAGGATACCAGTATTGAACGACATGACAGCGAGCATGACCAAGTAAGCCAAAGCTGTGCGAAAAGTGTAGACGCCTGTCTGAGTGAGGGTGCATATGAAAGTCTTGGTGCCTGGTTTGTGTTTGGGCGAAACAGACAGGACTTCAACGGCAACAGCGAGAAGGAAGACGAAGAAGAGGGCCAAGACGTACATGGGAACGCTGTCATCAGGCCAACCACGGAAGAGGACGGTGACGTCTGCGGTCCATGTGAGGCTAGAGCTCATGGCACCATCAGTTGTGTTCTTCAGGTCGCCCTTGGGCGCAGGGGGAGTCATAGACATGCCAGGCATGCCAGCCATGTCATCTTGGTTAGACATCTCTCTCTGCTTCTCTGTGTGTGAGAGAGAGAGAGGAGAGAGGAGATAGAGAGAGAGAGTTTGGAGATTGCAAGGTTAATTACTTTGGATGATCTGGTTTTTGGGAAAAGGGATTTTTCTTGTTGGTTTTAATTAATGAATGGAGGAGCTGGAAAGCAACGCTGTTGGAGGTGATGACGAGGGTTGAGAGGTAAGTGGCCTTCTGATAGCTCGATTCTCTTTTATTTTACATGGGTTTTGTTTGTTTCTTCGTATGCTTTCTTTTAAAAGTAAATTTCCCACTATATATTAAACTTGAGAAATGCTGTCGACTTTTATGTTTCTAGACTCAACAGAGACCATTAATCGAGCTTAACTTGTATACAAAAAAATTAGCAAAGTTAATGGTGCTTGAGAAAGTGGACTTAAGGAATGGGCAGGTTTATAATTTTATACATAGGAAATGGCCGAATAGACCCCATCATACGATAGGATGGTTGTGCTAGCTAGTGCTGTGTTCGAGCAACTTACTGAACAAATAAAATTATTCGGGTTTTAATGGTTCATTTTCTTGGTAAAAAAAAAAAAAAAAAAGGGAATCCATGGGTTGATTCACTGCTTTCATATAACTGAGTCACATCAGAGCAAGATATTCTTCACGACAGAATTCATTTCATTTCATTTCCTTGTGCTAAAAGTAAAGCCAAGTCATTTACAAAAATGGTAGAATAATAAAACTAATCAACATATGGGCGCATACTCAGACCATCAGGCTGGGAAGGTTTGGCCAGAGCTAGAGAACTGGCCTTGACTATGAAGTCCCCAAAGGTGTGGCCTGCCACCGCGGCTATGAAGATCCCGACGTTGAAAGACATGACAGCGAGCATGACCAAGTAGCCCATGCCGACTCGAACAGAGTAAACAGAGGCCGGAGCAATCCCGGCAACCATCGGATTGGTGGTTTTTTAATAATGGGCCACACAGACAAAGCTTCCTTAGCAAAGCCAGCACAAACACAAAGAAGAGTGCCAATATATACATGCCAGTGGTTTGGTTAGGCCACCCAGTGAATAGAATTGTGGCCTCATTGCCCCAGTGGAAGCTCATCTGCATGTTCATCTGGGCCATGCCCTCCATTCTGCCCTTGCTTTTGCTTGAGTGAGAGATTTTACATTCTCTCAGAGAGGGAGAGATGGGATGTGGTTTTGAGGGCTGGCTTTGCAAGGTCTCTTGTAGATTAGGTTACAATAAAGACAGATTAGTGTTGAAACCATGTTTTTGGCTAATTTGGGGTGATTACAAAGGGATTAGGGACCAAGTGGCCTTTTTAGAGTTATTCTAAAGATGGTATAGTACACATAAATGAGAGGTGATCAATTCCCAACATGTTTATCATTTTATTTATTAAACACACTACTAATTCCAATATTACAAATGAGTGAGTCTGCCCATGCATGAAATGCAAAAACACAAGTAAGTTAGGTCGGTTGCTCAGGATGAAACAGTAAGTTCGAATCCCTCCCCTAGATTAGATTAATTTAAAGCTTGAAGTTTGAACTATAGCTTGTAAATTAAAATGCAGAACACAGAGAAAGTTAAAATAAAAAAGGTCACCCTTTCATAAATTTACAACAAAAAGAAAAAGAAAAAAAGAAAAATAAAACCCACCCAAGAATCGTTATTATCCGCACGTCATGGGAGGAAGACTCGCCTGTCTATCAATACCCGACCCGTACGACTTCTTAAAAAGCCCGGCTCCCGAAAAGCAAAAACCCGACCGCATGCCCCGCCAACACGGCGAGGAAAACGCCGCCATTAAACGACATGACGGCGAGCATCACCAATACGACAGCCCGGAGCGCAGCGTGTTAGAGACCAGTCTGCAGAACCCCACACGCGAAGCCGTTCGCGCAGGGCTTGAAGAAGCTGCAGTGGGAAAAGCAGCTCGACGAGGACGGCGAAGACGAAGACGCAGAGCAGCGAGAGGGCGTACATGACCGGGTTGTCGCGGCCGGGCCAACTGAGAAGAGAACCTCGGCGCTGTGGCCCCAGAAAAGAAGGGTCATGGCATCTCATCTGCGGCGGCGCGTGGGCAACCCGTACTGGCATTAAACGCCGGAGGCGGCGGAGATGGGATGTTGTGATGTGAAGCAGCCATCTGGTTAGTTTATCGCAGAGTTTTGATTGGGCAATTGTAATGGCTAGCCTAATATTTTCGACAATGTCTATATATCTATATGTATTGTAATGCGGATTGATGAACATGAAGAATGGTTTAGGCATATATGTAATAGCTTAAAAATGTGGGCATTGGCAGTCGCGAACGAAACGGACGCAAGCAGGGGTATGGACCACGAAAGGGGAAAACCAGAATGAGATTCTTCGTTTTGAACGCGTGGTAGCTCACGCTCTATTTTTTGATGCAGAATCGTATCATATCAATTGTGGTTCACACAAAAGCACCGTTTATTAGGCAAGTAATTTAATTCCAAGTTTAAGGAAAATTGCATCACGATAATCTGGCAAGAGATGATTTCTCTTAATAATCTAATATACCCACACAATTATGATTTTAACTGAATATAAGTAAATGGGAAATAAGATACATCTACAAATGACATTCATTGCTAAATAATTCTAATCTACGAGGAAAACAGTTTGATATCATTCGTAAATTAATATAAAGGTACGAGGAAAAAAGTTTAATTTAAACCTATATAAGTGTGAGTGGAAATGGGAAGGTAAGGACGGTGCGCGTAGGAGTGCATTAGGATTAGTTCAACAAAAAAAAAAAAAAAAAAAAAAAAAAAAAAAAAAAAAAAAAAAAAAAAAAAAAAAAAAAAAAAAAAAAAAAAAAAAAAAAAAAAAAAAAAAAAAAAAAAAAAAAAAAAAAAAAAAAAAAAAAAAAAAAAAAAAAAAAAAAAAAAAAAAAAAAAAAAAAAAAAAAAAAAAAAAAAAAAAAAAAAAAAAAAAAAAAAAAAAAAAAAAAAAAAAAAAAAAAAAAAAAAAAAAAAAAAAAAAAAAAAAAAAAAAAAAAAAAAAAAAAAAAAAAAAAAAAAAAAAAAAAAAAAAAAAAAAAAAAAAAAAAAAAAAAAAAAAAAAAAAAAAAAAAAAAAAAAAAAAAAAAAAAAAAAAAAAAAAAAAAAAAAAAAAAAAAAAAAAAAAAAAAAAAAAGGAAAGGAAAAAGGACCAGCACTATGCGAGTCGATTAGCGCGTGACAAGGAGCGGGGGGGGTGGGAGAACAGCAGCGTGTCTAACGAAAAAGAAGCGGACCTAGCCCAGAGGGGAGGTGCCGCTGCGCGAAAGTCGTGGGGAACTGGGATGTCATTAACAGTCGTTGGTTCTATGAGGGTGATGGATTGTTTGAACTGACGGTGCTGGCGGGCGGGCGGCACGCTAGTGGAGGGAAGGGAATGGGGTACAATTAAGTCCAGGCAACGTAGAAAAGGTTGTGGTAGGCAGGATGGTAGTTTGGTAACAGCGTTTGTTTGTTTTGGTGCTCGTTTTGTAATTTTCATGTTTGCCCGTAGGGGATTTAGGGGAGCGGGTATAGGTCAGTTTCAGCGCATTGTGCAGTACTGACATGGTCTCCTGCGCGATTATTCATTTTACCTCGGCCCGCGGGGCCAACACTGCCAGGGAGGTCTGGGTCTTTTCTTCCTTCCGGGTCGTAGCATCACGTTTGGGTTTCTCGTGTAGTGGTGAAAGTGATCATGGAAGTTGCTTTCCTATATTCAAGTCCTGTGTAGGTGCTATAATGGATTGGTGGGTGCTTGTAGACTCGGCAAGACAGAGCTTTATCAGGTGGAGACCCTGTTCACTTCATCTTTGTTATCCTGTGTGTTGTAAGGTTCTTGTGTTTGTCTTTTGTATATTTCTTTCATCTCTATAACAGATAATGTGCCTCGTTCTGGTAATGTAATTTCATGGGGATGTAGTAAGTGTATATATTGGAATTGGTGAATGATCTGCTGTCGTTGTCTTTAATTGCTATTCTTTCATCAAAGCAGTTTCCTGGTTATTTGCCTCCTTATTTGGAATGGCTTGTCATGTCCTTCTATGACCTAAAACGATGTGCCTTCGCACGCTTACATTCATGATTAATTCTGTCAAATTGTTTAAACTGACTGACTTCAGCTGCAATCATTAATAATTGAAAATGTGTTGTGAAAACGTTTTTTTTTTCTTTCCGCGTTTTATAGTTTTCTTTATTTAATAGCTTTTTGTTTCCGTTTAGTGTGTCAAAAAGTTTGAGGTGGTTCTGCACTACATCGTTTTAAAGTAAATCACTTAACTTAACCTGTTTCCTGCTGTCCTGTTTGGGGGTTCATTGGTTATAGTTTATTCGCTTTGTGACCTTTCTAGCCTCTCTTTCATTGATTGGTTATGTACATTTCACTGAGTTGCCCACGGCTGTATTCTGGTTTATTCTCTGTACGTTCCAGTTGTGCATTGGTTCTGCTTTGCAGACAAGTTTTACATTTCTATAGTATTTCACTTCATATGTGGTGCAGTGTTCTGTTGCAGTGTACTTTTCATCCTTCATTGTTCAAGTCAGCAAAAGCATATACGTGCGTTCTAGCTATGGTGGCAGGGTGTCTAGCATTGCTTATGTAATTAGTGATAATTGTCCTTGATTTGGTTTGTGATTTTTGATTTTTTACTTAACTGATTTGTACTGTCTGAATCCATGCCGGCGTGATTTCTGAGAAGGATGAAATGGAAAGTTACCGGGTCCAGTAACAGACTTGAGAAGTGTGGTTCTTGAGCAGCGTGGGAAAGATTGGTTCTTTTGTTTTGTTATTTTGTTGTAATTTCTTACACATTGTACCTGATTTGACAAACTCATGAGAGCTAATTTTTAGGTTCTAATGTTTCATTGATATGTTGGAATTCTATTAGATTTCTTTCTTGTTTTTTCGGCTTTTAAGTCATGTCTTGAGTTTCTGCTTCTTTTCAATGTGATGCCTGATAAAGATACGTGTTGAATGAACCTTTTGTAGCAACAGAGAAAAAAACTGTCGCCATTTAACTTTTCTGTGAACCGATGGTGACCAACTACCCCGCTAGCGAAGCAGGGCATAATTTTTGTTTTTCTGACACAGTTTTCTACTCTTTAGTGCGGGCTCTCACTTTCTCCATTACCATTCATTCGCCCCCTTCCTGGTCCAAATTACCATTGTCGGAGGTAGGCTGATTGGTTTAATTTCGTGATTTGTGGTGTTCCCTTGTGTGGTGGAGTTTAAATTTTTATGTCTTTTGAATTTTCATTATGGTGCTGTGCAAACTCTCTCTGATGTTGAGAAAGCTAAGGAGCTCCTCTATTCTAATTGGGCAGGGTTTTTCTAAACTTGCAGGCTGTCCTCCGCCGATGCGTATCGAAGTCCCTCTTGACCATTGTAAGATATCTTGTTATTAACTCAGATACTTTGGCATAGTTCTTTCTAGTTAGTACCGGGCGTTGTGCTGCGTTTTGCTTGCTAAAAAAGTATGCGCAGGTCCGAGGTGTGTCTTTTTGTTGGGTGAGTTGGTGTGTCTCCCTCGCACCTGTATTTGTCTTGTGTTTGTGTGCGCACTTATGCAGCATACGGTACACAACGGTAAAACTTCGCCTCTGATTTAACAACTTGTGACTGGAACATGGTTTAAGTGCTTGTGGTGGCGTACCCTTTCTAAGTAAATTGGGCTTCTCTGGGTTCTGCGTGTATAATTTTGTATTAATCTTCTACCAATGTCCTTTTTCTAGATGTACAAGTCTGAATGATGTAGAGTTGTCACTGCAGAGTGTTATAAAGCGGTTGGCGTTGGTTCTCGTCGTGATCCCGAGTTTCTTGATTTGGCAGTCGTGCGCAGGCATTGGACACGGTTGATGTTGTTGGTAGCAGTGGCTTGAAATTTTTGCATCCTTTCCATTTTTTTTACATTTGTTGTTTAGTCGATTGAAAGATGTCTTCTAAGTGTATGTATTGGTTGGATAATATATTCCTGGCGTATACTGTTGCTATTTGGTTGGTATTCTGTTATTGTGACATGGCGGTTGTTTCGCATTTTTTGCTTCTCTAATTTCTTCCTATTTTTGGGTTTGGTCACCAAACCCAGCTGGAGTGTGCTGACTCTCGTTTTTATTGTGTCAGAATTAGCCGGACGTTCGGGAGCCAATGGAGCTGCATCTCTCTTGTGTACCCCTAAGGTAGCGAAGACAAAAGAGTAGTAAGAAAAAAAAACAAGAGAGATAAACCAGCATCAGGCGCTTAAGGCTATACGATAGCTCTGACGATAGGGAATCTCGCGAGATACCATGCCTGACAAAAAAGAGGTACCAAGGCAAAAGTACGAGAGCAAAGAGACGTATAGCGAATCTTCACTTCTACATTTTAATTTATCAGTAACTACATAAATCACAGAGCAGTTTGTGATGATGGACTAAGAATTAACAGTTTTGCTGTTATTTATGAGAGGCAAAGAACTCAAGTTAACGCAAGACTCTGGACGATGTAAACACAGTACATGTCGATGCTACAATGAACGGGCATAGAACAGAAGGGACGGTGCTGCAACAAGCAACTTTTGTTAAATGGCTTATTGTCTATTAGACCCTGAGTTGAAATGAAGGTTCTGTAACATGTGTGGATGGGTTCTGTGCTGGAGACATATGACATGATTGTATTCTAATGGAAATGGAATTTGGGTTACGTAGTTTTCACATTTTGCAGTCCTTGCGTTGTTCTACTTACAAGTTATAAGGACTTCATATGATCATCATCTAATACCCAGCATCAGCATGCACCATCGGACTTAGAAGTTACACGAAATTCTGTTTTTACCATGCAAGTGTTCCCTTTTAACCTGTTGACCATTGGATGGTTTTGGAAAAAAAACCTTTAAATTCAGTAGATCTAGACAAGTCATAGCTTGATGAGAGAGGGAAGGGAGCACATGATTTGTGCTGTTGGTCCAAGTTAGTGCTTCCTTCCTGTCAATTTTCTATATGCAGCTATTGCCCCACATTGTCTTGTAGACAGCAGTTTCCTTGTATGTACAGAACAGCACAAGATTTCTCATCCGGAAAGACGTCTCCTACAAAATTGAAACCTCACCTCACATGCCTCTTCTCTCTTGTCACGTGGAGGGATAACGTGCCTCCCTGCCTTCTTTCTATCACAATCACATTACAAACTTGGTTTTTTTTTGGTTTGGGTTGGGGGGGAAGAACTTACTTGTAACGGGAATAACATTATTTTGCTGTCGGAACTTACTTGTAACGGGGATAACATTATTTTGCTATCTCCGATCAATAACATAATGACACGTGAAAAAGTAATGCAATCCCCATTGCGTGAGAGTTTCTTTCCAGAGGGGTTTCTTTTATCACATATATAATATTAATGCAGTCCAAGAATTGGGTTTTCATAAGGGAACCAATTTTAATTTCTGAAATTGTATTTCACAACTTGATTGCAGCCGTGCTGTCCTTGCTTTGTGATCACTACACAAATGCTGAAGGAGATTAGCTTATGCTGGTATCGTCTTAGATTGCCAATGCCTTTTGTTGAAAATGGGGTAAAAAAGGTTATGGTATAAAGTTGGCATGCTTGTGTACTTACACTACAATGCTTCATGAGTAAAAACTAATATCGCGATTACTAAACAATTTTCTTCCATTATGGTGTCAAACAAAAAACCAGCTTTTGGGCATACCAGGGTCATATTATGGCATGCATCCGATGAATTGCACCGGATACTCGCAGAAAAAAAAACCCTATAGTACAAATCGACTCTACTTCATGATATACAGACCCAAACATATAGAGGGATGATTTGAATTTAACCCATCTAAATCAAGCTTTGAAACCGATGCATCATTGCAAAACCAGATCTTTATCTTTGTCCTTTAATTATTATATTCTGTTGTTGCTTATATTTTAGTTTCAAATATATGCCCTTGGGATGGGCTGTATGCTGTATCTGTATTATCACAGTAAATTTTGCTTGCCCATGTGAGCTTTCTGTTGATACTTGACAGCATAGAGAGAGGCCCCATATGTATAGCTGGGCCATCTTATGAGTTATATATGAGATGAGATGAGAGGCAGGATAAAGATGAGCAGCATATTGCCCCCACTCTCCTCCATCACCAGAAAGCACGCTGGCGCAATTTCAGCTGCAAAAGCTGGTCAATAAAGAGAGCAATTTTTTTGCCAAGTCTATTTGTGTGATCTATTTTATCATATGAGCCTTGTCAATGTCATGATTGAGGCATGTCTAAACTAAACTCTCTAAAAAAACCAACCACTTTTCTCCTTTGATATGTTTTTTCTTTTTCATGTAGAAGAGGGTCCTCTAGACCCCCATATGGGTGCATGTAACACTGTTTCTACTCATAGCAACACTTGTCACACTGTCTGATCAAGCATGTTCTGTTTTTTCTTCTTCTACTAGCATATATGCATGATATTCGTGGTTAATTTTTACCCAGGATTGGACTTGTATTTGCTAAATTATGTGAAACAAGGGTAAAAAGTAAGAAATGATTCTCTCTCTATAAGTTGGAACTGTCACTCCTTCAAAACAGAGGCACACAATTTGTTTTTTTGCTTTTGTTTGTGTCTTGTACAGTATTTGATCTGTGTTGATGTTGAAGTTTCGTGCAAGAACAAGTTGGGATTGCAAACACATGGCTTCAGTGTATAGTGGGCAATGGCATGATCATAGGTTATTAGTATTTTCATTAACAACTTCATTAATAATTCATCATTATGCATAGCTTTTCCATAACAGCAATCAACATCAAACTGTATATGTTATATATAGAGGCCTTCTCTAGTAATCGTTCAGGTTTTAGGTTGTCTTTTAAGAATTACTCATGTAAAAAGATCAGCTAAATAATAAATTGTTTAGTCATTGAGTTATCTGCATTTTCTGTGTTTTTTTCAGACACATTTTAAGTAACCAAACAACTTCCGATCTAGATAATATTTGCACGAATGATGATGACTTGAAATATAACGATTCCTATCATTGACCTGTGTTGTAGGGTTTCGCACCCAAAAAAAAACTATGTTGTAGGGTAAATAACTACTTTCTGCTCGTCTTCCATTTCCCACATCTGAATTCCCTTGTCACCTTTCAAAACTAATACGATTAAATAGACTTCAACATTCATTAAAGCTACTTAATTACCCTGAACCTCTGATACAGAACAGAAGTCACTATTTGACACCAAAAAAAGAAAAAGAAATCTATATGCATATAGTTTTATTTTAGTGCTCGAAATGATCAGGCTTTAATGGCCCTTGGGCAGCTGCTAAGTACTGCCATGCCTGTCTATTCAGTAAGAGGCCAGTTTAGGCATAAAACACAGAGAGACCAATCAATTAGTCCAAATGTTGTCACCACCAACTGCCATCAATTGTTGTCAACATTCTTTGTATTAGAATAATGAAGCCAGTTTTGTTTTTTTTCCCCTGGGACCCCTTTCTGTCAAATTTGTGAAACTATCATAAGCTGATGGGGACTAAACAGAAAAACACAATTAAATCCTAAGATCGATGTTAATGACGAGTGATTAATTTTTTATTTATTTTTAAAACAAGAATTTAACACATCAATTCATCCAATTTGTTTTGTTTGACTTTGTTGACCTAATTCAAGAACAAAACGGCCACTTGATTTGACCACTAATCCACTCTTGAAGAAAAAGGAGAGAGAAAATGATGACTTTGCAGACCATCAAGAAAGTAGACAGAAAAAGGCCGTTTCCTTTTCATTCTGCAATTTTTTTCTTTCTTGGTGGGTTGCATTTTTTTTGCATTTTGCAACACACACACACAGTCTGCCTCTGACACTCACACACCAAACGTGAAAGCACACATTCACACACACACACACACTGTGATTATAATGGCAATGGCCTTGAAATCAAAACAATAATAAACAAATAATAATACTCCCTTATTAATAATCTAAAGCACAAATTAAGAATATAATTTCAGTTTTATATTTTACTTTGTTACACTGAAGTTGATTTGAACTTACTGGTAGCTTAGCTATTACACAGAGAGCAGAGAGAGAGCTGAAAGTCTGAAATGAATCAACTTTGGATCCACAAAACTTCACTCTCTGCAAATTAAACTGAAGCTCCTCTGTGTCTGATTGATGTCCACCGACTGATCATTTGACTTTCCCACTCCCTCTCCACCGCTCGATCCCTCTCTTTCTCTCCTTCAATGGGAGGCCGCTGCTCCAGATTCTCCCTCTGCTGGTTCACCTCCCACCTTAAACCCTCCGTCCTCGAATCCTCCGAACTCGGTAACCATTCTTCTCATCACAAGTTCAAAACTTTCTGTTTTCGCTGTTTTCTTTTTTTGTTAGTTTGTTTGTTTTGTTTCTTTTGAGCTCTGAGTGATGCCGTCGTTGTTTTGTTGCAGAGAATGGGGGCAAAAGTGACAAAAACTTGTGGCCGAGCTTCACTGAATTCAACCTGGATCAACTGAAAACCGCCACGTGTGGCTTCTCCTCCGACAACATAGTCTCGGAGCACGGGGAAAAAGCTCCAAATGTTGTCTACAAGGGAAAGCTCGATAACGGCCGTTTGGTCGCCGTCAAGCGATTCAACAAGCTGGCCTGGCCCGACTCTCGCCAGTTCCTGGTCCGTCGTTAAACTTACCATTACTATAAATTTGTGATTTTTTCTTTCTGGGTTGTACAATATTTTTATAAAAATGGAAGCTTTTGAAATTGAAGTGAATTAATGATGGTTTTGATAGGAGGAAGCGAGATCGGTGGGGACGCTGAGGAGCGAGAGATTGGCGAATCTGATCGGATGCTGCTGCGAAGGAGATGAGAGGCTGCTTGTAGCGGAGTTCATGGCTCATGAGACTCTGGCCAAGCATCTGTTTCACTGGGAGAGCCAGCCCATGAGATGGGCTATGAGGTTGAGGGTGGCTCTGTATTTGGCTCAAGCTCTAGACTATTGCAGTGGCAAAGGTCGTGCTCTGTATCATGATCTCAATGCCTACCGGGTCTTGTTTGATCAGGTAAAATTAATAAGGCCTGCCTTTTGAAATCTCTTCATTTTATTGAATGAAGATGTTTTTTTTTCTTTAATGTATATTTACCATCTGGGTTTTTAACTTGGCACCCACAGGACGGTAATCCCAGGCTGTCATGCTTTGGCCTCATGAAGAACAGCAGGGATGGCAAGAGTTACAGCACTAACCTGGCTTTCACTCCTCCTGAGTACCTCAGGACAGGTATGGCCACCTAATTGAATACCATTGTACTTTAGAAAATCAGGCTAAGAAAATGTTGAAAACTATTTATTGTGTGCCTTTACCTACTAGCAAAATTCTGCTTTAGAATTTAATGTAGTCACACACACCACATTTGAAGACCCATTTGCTTTTCTAACTTCGGGGAATCGCCTTCACTGATTTGGGGATTTGAATATTGACGATGATGAAAGTTAAAATAAGCTTTTTGTGCCACCTTTATTCGTTTGGCTTTCATCTCATCAGTCTCTTTCTCTCAGTAAAATTCAATGGAACATGGATTACAGTTTGTATATAGTTGGTGCCATTGACAAGCATGGAAACCAGCATTACCTAGTTGATCTTTCCTTCCCCTTTCCTCTAAATTATGAATTCCATTGGTTGCCATATGATAGTGAATATACGTGCGTCTTTGGTTGGCAGGTAGGGTGACACAAGAAAGTGTAGTTTACAGCTTTGGAACCTTATTGCTGGATCTTCTAAGTGGCAAACATATTCCCCCCAGCCATGTGAGTTCTATGCCTATTTCTCTTTACAATAATCCACTAGAATGAAGGTTAATACATTAAGTTCTTTAGATACTTAATAGCAAGTCGGTGGTCACTGAACTTCCCCTTAAATAGGCATCTTTTCCAAAAGACAATAAAGATGTCTAAACATCTGATCCCAACTAAACAACAACATATTCATTTATTTAAGTAGTCGCTCGTAAATTCCTCCGAACTGTGTTTTTATTTCTTTCATTTGGTCTCTAAGAGTTAGTAGCCTGGTGTTTGGTTAATAATACTAGTACGCAGTTTCATGCTCCTATTGCTAAACTTTTTTACTTCAAAAATTGATCCTAAGTGATTGCAGAAGTGGTAGGCGTAAAACATGATAGAAAATTACCGTACCCTTGTCTTTTATTACTCCAAATATTGGTTTGAGTATCAAATTAGGGGTTACCATGTTTGCATGTCTTGTTTGAAGGCACTAGATCTAATTCGTGGCAAGAATTTCCTGATGCTGATGGACTCTGCTCTGGAGGGTAATTTCTCAAATGATGATGGAACTGAGTTAGTACGCTTAGCTTCACGCTGTCTGCAATATGAAGCTCGTGAGAGGCCAAATGCAAAGTCCATCGTCACTGCTCTCATGTCACTTCAGAAAGAAACAGAGGTAGGGCTGGCATCCTTATTTTTAATGTATATCACACATATTTCACATGATCCTAGACAAATGTTAGGCCTAGATTCTTACTTTTTCTTGTATCGTAGTACACCCCTTAGGCATATAAATAGGCTTTGCCTTGTACATTATTACTCTCTCACAACAACATAATTTCCTTTTTCTGTCTTTTGTGTTGTTATTTTAACGTGATACTAGAGTCACCAATTAGTGGCATGAATTAATTTCGATAGTGAGTACAAGTGCTTGTCCGTCTCTACACACCTTCTCTGTTCCTTTTCTCTTTGATCAGAATCTGTATTTGTCAAATCAGTTTGACAGTATCCCCATTTGATTCATATACCATCAATATATCAGGGATGAAGTAGGGTAAGATTTGGATCCTACCTCTGTCTAGATGAATTATATATGTGAAATGTGAGAAATACATTAACAATGTCTCAGACTCAAGGTGATATACAAGAAACCGTCTTAAGCTAACATGTATGTATACAGCTTAGATACACGAACTCAACATATAATATTACCAACTTCAACATACAGAGTTCTATTCTTTCTTTTATGTTATTCTTACAATTGCTTACCTTTTTGAGTTTGTCTATTCTCAAAGCATTATAACCTTTTCTTGATACTAACCTCATTTCTTTTGCAACTTAAAAACAAGTGGGGATGGAAACGAATTTCTGCTGAGAATGAAATTTAGTTTTCCCTGTATCAATTGTGGACATCGCAATGGTTGTCCATGCTAGCCTGCCTTTTAACAGCTAAAAGTTCGCTTGGAAAGAGTATAATTTCTCATTCCATAGTTTTCGAGCAGGTTGCATCACATGTTTTGATGGGTATCCCACATGAAACCACATCCTCGACGCAGCCATTGGCATTAACACCTTTTGGAGAAGCTTGTTCGAGAATGGATCTCACTGCCATACATGAAATATTGGAGAAGAATGGATACAAGGATGATGAGGGGATTGCTAATGAGGTCTGCCACTGCCTGTCCTGTACTTTATTCTTTTAACTTTGACATATGATATAGGGACTTTGCATTTATGAACAGTAACAAGTGCTTTTTAATATGATTCTTCCCCATATATTTCTTTCTTTATTGTTTGGTAATCACTTTAGTGCTAATTCTGCTTGAGATATTTGGGCACTGCAGCTTTCTTTCCAGCTGTGGACTAATCAAATGCAGGAGACCTTGAATTCTAAGAAGAGTGGAGATTCCGCTTTTCGAGCTAAAGAGTTTGCCACTGCAATTGATTCCTATACACAAGTGAGTCTCTGTTTGTGAATAATTTTAAACTGTTATATAGAATTATGCTTTCTTCTAACCAGTTACCGAACTCAACACATTGCAACCTTCAAAAAGTGGCACAGTATCTGGATATTTTCTTTTCTTTTTCAGAGCACATATAATATAAAAAAGTTTAGTAAGGGTCAGAAATCTGATACCTGTTTCAGATTTAGTTGATTTTTGATCTGTTTGCTATACACTGTATCGATAATTTGATATAAGTCATCAGACAGTTTGTATATTATATAATGCTGTTGAGAAAGATAAGGATACTATCATTGAGGTGTTTGTTGGGAATGTAGAATTTGTCAAGTCCAGGCTGATTTTGTTTCTACACTTTCTGGTGTCTTTTGTAGTTCATTGATGGCGGGACAATGGTATCACCCACGGTGTATGCTCGGCGTTGCCTATCTTACCTGATGAGTGACATGGCACAAGAAGCTCTGGGGGATGCTATGCAAGCCCAGGTGGTTTCTCCTGAGTGGCCTACTGCTTTATATCTTCAAGCAGCTTGCCTCTTCAGCCTTGGCATGGATAATGATGCACAAGAAACACTCAAAGATGGCACAAATTTGGAAGCCAAAAAGAACAAAACTTGATATGTATAGACTAATAAATTTTTATTTTTATTTTCCCTTAACACCCGGTGACGTTTTTATTAGTAGTCAGTCTTTGTATCTATTCTTTATTATGATTTGCATATTTTAAGCTTTGCTTGCTTCAAGGATTCTTGGAAAATTATTTTTGTTGGTTTTGATAATGTCTTTTGAGTCCCTTATGTTAGCATGTGGTGATTGATGCATGAGTATATTACTTTTCTTTTCTCCATGCATGGAGATTTGAAGTTAGGATCTTTACTCTCACTTCACCTATGGCATGCCATTTGAGCCAAGGCTCATCATGGGGGATGCTACCTGATCACATCAGAAGTATAGCTCTTAAGGATTTTTCTTTGGGGGAAACACAAAACTTGACCTAAGCTTACATATTAAAATGGAAATAAGAATAATGCTGAGGGCCTCAAATAAATTTCAATATAATTTGATATTTGATATGATATGTTTTGTTTGCTTTAGACTTGTCAAAACATTGTATTATTGAAGGGAAAAAAAGGTTTTCACCAAACAAAGAAGGGAAAAAAAAGGTCATAGTTGACGTATGATGTGATTGGATAAAGTTAAAAAAAAAGTCACAGGCGGCGCTGAGGCTGTGTTTTGCTTGAAAGAAGAATGCAGCAGTGCAATAATACAATTCAATTCAGCAATTCCCCTACCGTTCAGAGAACACCAAATACACTGGCTAAAAATTTAAGGGAGAAGAAATATTTTATATATTAGAATTTATATAAACCCTTATAAAGGCCTTCAATAAAAGACCTGAAAAAGCTGTGACTTATGCACAAGGAAGGGGGCGATATTGATACATACAACAAACACTCTTAGAGGCAACAGATGATGTATTGCTATATATATGAATGCTGCAGAGCTTGAACTATGTGTTACTCAAATTTTGCAGCTTCTTTTACACTTGTTATTTTTTTCGCTTTCAATTTTCCTCAACTCTTTGCTGAGGATTTCATGACGGAACGTTGAAGTGAAAGAGCCATGATATGACAAAAGCAAATACCATACAAGCAAGAAGGAAGTTGAGGAACCGATGGCCATGCCAGAAGCTTTGAGTATCCGTGGAGGGCCCTGGTGCTGAGACTGCAGCTGTTGTTGATGCACTATTGGCTTCACTCAACTGCTCAGTAAACTCAATGTCATTTGGACCAACAACATTGCGTGCAACTGACTGGCATATCTCACAGGTCCTGGAAACCATGTAGACTGAAATTAATATAGTAACCAAGTGATATTCGTTTTAAAGACTAATCACCATTAGCAAGTAAAATTTAAGTTAATCAACCTACGGGACACGGTAAGTAAATAAACCAAGATTAATCTCCATGGCTTGATGAGAAAACAAATTAAACCCAGAAACCTACAATACAAGAATCAGAAGGCAAGACTTTTAACAAGACAACTCCTAGTGGGCTAGCATTCCAGGATAAGGAATCAGGAAAACAGGAGGAAAGAAAATATACGGATATAATTTACGCAAGCAGGCCACATAAGTCAAGCTCATACTCAACAGGCTTGAATTTTCTGTGACAGATAGTTTAAAACTAAAAAGGCAGAGGTATAAAAAGATGCACAGCATATATGACATCATACTGCACCAGGTATTACAAATTTACAAGAAGATTTCATAAAGACCCTTGAGATTCAAACATTGAAATTGCACGATTTCATATGAAATATCTGCCACCGTGTATTTGGTAGGGATTTTGATTAACAATATCTAGCTTTAAGGAATTGCTGATCATCACCAGGGCATGTGCAATCAATGAGATATAGCATAATTGCACAGTGGATGGCAATTGGTGTTAGATGGTGGTACTGCCACCACAAATCTGACTGTCAGCGTCTATGGTGGTGGCATTGTTAATCTGTAAGTGACACCCATATAAACCCACATGAGTAATGACACATGGCAATCCGCCAAAGGCTCAATTATTTTGAATCAGAAAACTTTGGGGTCAATAATTCTCCATCTATATCATACTCAAAAAACTAGCGTATATAAAAAGTCATTTGTCACTAAGCATGTTGGATGAGTAGGAGCTGTGGATATGCACACGGGAAATCATAAGTTTATTTAGTGCGTCGGCAGACAAGAAAGCTTTTGGCAAGATAAATGTATTGGAAATATCAACAAGAGGTCAAATCCCCACTTTCATAAAGAGCCAGAATCACAAAGGAGCAGTAGAGAGATTCCTATACTTGGAGAAAAGACAGACAGCAAGGAATTCTAGTTTGTACTTGGACATATTCAATGTGCTTTACCTTTCCTTTACTTTGTCCATCTCTTTACTTTCCCAGTTGTTTAAGCAAAAGTTATGTGCCTGCATCTCCTATCTAACCCTTTTATATCATTCAACTACAACTAGACTTCCTTCAACATTAAGAATTGGATAAATCCAAATCAATTAAGAACTAATAAGATGAGATAGGGTTATCAAATTATAAAATATATGAACTGCATAATGCTAAGAACAACCTAAGCAGGGAAAGGGTTTGTAATTCAAGTGGTTAAGAGCATTTACTCATGCATCCGAGTTACTGGTTCGATTCCCTCCTCCCTGGTATTGCTTGTATAAAAAAGAAAATGCATACGATGTACTGGGTTCGATTCCCTCCTCCCCACTATCGCTTGTATCAAAAAGAAAAAAGAACAACCTAAGCAGAAGTGGGAAGCTAACAATTCCCAGAAAGACTGAAAATTTAAAAGAAACCATGAAAAAAAAGAAGAGAAATTTACTCACTTGTTACCCTTAATTTTGAACCAAGTATCAGCGCAGTGCTTGTGGGCAGCAGCCAAATCATCCTTGCAAGAACAACCCAATTCAATAGGAACCCCAGATTCATGGCTATTGCTCTCCAAACCCAGCTGACAAATCCTACAATCTCTCTCTACTTTATCCAAATGCACCTTAATTTCAGGCACCCCAATCTCAATTTCGAGCTGGACCGAACCGTCCGAAACCGAAGAGGCTCTCCTGGAATCTGAGACCACCTCTGCCTCAGGATCAGAGACGAAGGCAAAATTGTACTCGTCGTATGACCCGCCATTTGTTGAGTAGAACTGAGAGTAACACGACCCGTCGTCTGCGTCGGAGAAGCAGACGCTGCCGTCGGCGCTTACGTCACGGCGGTGAGATCCTTGCTCTAAATCAACGTGGGACATCTTCTAGAGGCTAAAATTTCAAAGAGCCAGAAACAGAAACTTTGCTGAACGGCCAAGAACAGAGCATTCAGACATTAAAATTTGAAGCTTTGGGGTTTCTAACACTTAATTGATGGAAAAACGAGGATTTAAGGAAATCGGTATTGGATTAGGTGCACTTCAACTCCATTAATATTGTTTACGATAGTGATTTGATACCAACAAATTTAATACACCAAAAAAGGTTGAAGCTTGAAGAATGCTCAGAGAGAGAGAGAGAAAGAGAGAGAGAGAGAGGTCAATGGTCTCAGAGACCAAGACTCATGCTTGCTCTAGAGACTTGGACTGAGGACCCCCTTCAAGGAGGAACAGATACAGAAACGTGCAGTGGGTGCACTAATTATATCTCAGAAGAGATTTCATTGATAAAAAGACAACTCCAAATTTGAAAAAGCAATGATAAGTAAAATTAAAAAAAAGGAAAAAAGAAAAAGTTGGTGGAATATTTGGTGCCAATGCAATGCCATGCCATACTAAAATGCTCAATGTGGTCTTATGCAGATTCTCTTCTCTATACGGTTCTAGTATTGAGCTTGTGTTACAAACATGTCCATGAAAAACGATTGTGGTGTAGATTAAAGGGATATACGTACACCATAGAAATATCAATCAAATTCCATATGAACTCATAAATTTTTGGCTCAAATTACTAATGATATGATATTGGGTGTCTAAATCAGATTTTTAGTCTGGTAAATATGAATAGAGACCCATCCATACAAGTAGATAGATGGGGATATTTCGTTGCTGGTTGGTCCCAAAAAGACTGTTTTGCCGCCACAATTGGACAACATTGGAGGCAAAGAACATTGGGATTTTTAGAAGACGAGGGGCAATGGTGTCAGAGAAGACATGAATAGCCAATATGACTTGTCTTCACTAACTTGCTACTTTCAGTTAACCCACACATACTTTAATCATGTAGCAGTAGCTGCAGCAGGATGTTTCTCTATGCACGGCAGTCTTACCTGCTCTGTGTTGTTGTGCATGAATCCTGGCTGTTGATTCAGTTCATTATATGCAAAAAATTAGATGGATGGAATGGTGTCCGTTGATCGTGGGTGCATCAGCATTTTCTTCTACATTCGCAGCACATAATCACTCTGTTTTTTCTTCTTTTTCTTTTTTTACTCTTTTTGGAGTTTTGCAATTTCTCAGTCATGATCAGTTGACTGGAGGTGGACCACCTCAGGGTCAGTGTCGCTTATGTAATCTATGCCTTTGCGTGAAGAACACAAAAGAAAAAGATTAAAGATTTTCACCATTATAAAACTACAACTTAAGGGAAAAAAGAAAATGGGGTAGGAAAATGGAAAGAGCAACATTCCAATTCTGGTGGTTGCCAATATGAGATCCATCTAACGAACTGAGTGAGAGAGTTACATCACTAAACTAAGCCACAAACAATAGCATTTTAAAAGGGTCCTTCTCATTGCAAAATATTGTAATAGTTTTAGATAGATATATTTTGTTATGGCTTTGGAATCTTTTATTCTTTCTTCTACTTTTTCTTTTTTGCTTTAATGTTTTCCTCTCTTTGTGTTGCTGGTTATTCTTGATTCCCATCTCATAGTTTATATAGCTTTTCTTCCAACTTCGTTTTTATACAAGCGATATCAAAAAAGGGAAGAATCAAACTTAGGAATTTGAAAATAAATATTTTTAATTATTTCAGCTACAAATACTTCTTTACTTTCTTCCTCTGCTCTTTTTACATGAGAAAATAGATTTGCAGGCCCAACAAGACCAATTAGCTAAAAAAACCGTTTTGAATCGCTTTCTTCACATGTGTTGGTGGAACCGACCCACTTCCTCTATGCACAATTGAGAGAGAGGAGCAAGTAATCCATAAGCATGCCGCATCGTGGTGGGGCTAACTCTGTATCTTCCATTCCATATGACATTTTGGTTTTCCTTTTCTTTTCTTTTTTCTCTTTATCTTCTTTATATAAATAATTCAGTAGAGGAGTTCGTCGACAGCTACATTACACTAAAAAGCAGGAGGCTTGGGGAACACAATCCATCTCCTTGGGTCTACATGTCTTGTCTTGCATGTTTCTTTCTTTCTTTCTCGTGCCACACTTTGGCTCGGGGTTCTTGTTGCTCCTCAATAGTTCAGTTGGATTCGAACTAAAGTCCTTCTGCCTAGACAGCCTTTAATTTTTGGGCAGGACCAGAGTTCTGGATTCGTTGTATTAAGAAAGAAGAGAGATCATATGAAACATCATCACATGTGACATGTCATGGTTCACCCACTTCACATATGAGATTTTGTGTTTTTGTAGGAATACATAATATTTTTGTTTTTGGATACAAACAATATTATACTTTAATCTAATCTGAAGTACATGGAAGGAGATTCGAACTCGGGTGCAGAGTAGGGAGCACATTTGCTCTAGCCAATTTGACTAAGCCCATGTCAACTGTAGGTATCCATAAGTTCGACAGAAATACTTCAATTCCTTTTTATGTTAATATACGCAAGCTAGTTTGTGATATGTTAGAAAGCTGGAAAATGCAGGGCACATGATTCTCCATAGGGAAGAGAGGGTAGAAAGAAAAATGATGTTGAGTAATACAGTTACTTTCAGCATATAGATTGATAGGAATTACAGGTACACTTACACAACAGACAGACACAGTGAAGCAGATTTCTCAAGCTGACAGCAGCTACGAGGAAAAAACTTTGTAGAGTTGAAAACAGTTGCTTCAAGCAATGTTTAGCCAAATGAGTACAAGCATACACTATGATTGCAGAGAAGAAGCATCACGCCTTCCAACCGTTGACATACGGACTGAATTCCCACCACTGCATCAACTAGAAAAACAAATTTCTGCCTGCCTCATGCTCTTACATCAGAACTTTGCCTCCAAGCGCAGGCTATCATTTATGCATCAGCTATTATGAGTACAACATTCAGGAACCAGGCCAAAGGTTGGTAAATAGTTTCTTCATAAAAATATGAATCTTTCCCTTCTCAATGACTCTTTTAGTAATGAGTAATGACAAGTCTCGGGCAGGGAAACAAATTTCATACTTGGAAAATATTGATCCTACTTGGTTAAGCAGTCACCTCAGCCTGAGTCCCGAGCTTTGGCTTGTAGGTAGAAAATTTTATATACCAGTCTTAGGTTGATAGCACATTGGTCTTCATTCCCATTAGCCTATCATTTCTCTCTTCAAAACGGAAAAGATTATTCATTCTGCTCTCCTCAAAATGCCCCATTTGCCCTTGAGACTCATGGGGTACTGTTCTATCAGCTGCATCACCCATTGCTCTTACACTGCTGTTCTCCAAACCACTTTTAATCCAAGCAAGGTTACTTATATCTGTGGCGATTGCAGCCAATTCAAAACTTGGAAACGAGGGAGGCTCGGAGAAGTCTACAAATTCTGGCCCCAACAAAGAGTTTTGAGCATTCTTACCATTGGCACAACAGCAACCGTGTCCACACTGATCAGGTATTGACCGCTCACCATAAACTCCATCAAGCAATTTACTGATGTTGACATCTAGGTTTGATACTTGAACCAGAGGTCCTTGCACTGGAATTATCCTTGGGAATGATACTCCAGTCTCCTGGCTATCTGAATGGTTATACACACTAAAAGCACTGATGCATGCCGCTGGTCTACAAAGAGTTGGCTGTTCCTTGACTTCATGACTAAACTGACCCTCCGTTGACCCCTTGTCTTCGTATTGACAATCCATATGCTCTAAAGAACTGACTTCTCTTCCTTCCATAGATTTAGATGAATTGACATCCCCATATGAGAAGGTCTCTTCAGACGATGCTTTTGTTTTGTCTAAGCTCACATCTTCAACCGTATTACCAGATTCTAACTTTATTTTGTCAGGGTCCATGCACCGGCGCCTTAGTGTGGAATTCCAATGGTTTTTTATGGCGTTATCTGTCCTCCCTGGTAGAAGCCTCGCAATTGCAGCCCATTTGTTTCCGTGGAATGCATGAGCTGCAATTATCATCTGATCCTCCTCATCTGGAAGAATTCACAATTATCAGCCTTGTTCTCCAGGAGAAAAACGGCATAGACATAAATTCATAACAAATGGCCAGAACAGCAGGAAGTAATATAATTGAGAATTTATATACCATCAGATTTCATATAGTGAACACATCCACTAACCGAATATGCAAATAACAACTCACAGTCTCAAATGTGCCTTTTCTTCATGTAGTAAGAAAAAGACTAACAATAACAACATGTGAACTACACCTTCCCATAGCAAAACTCAGTCAGTACAAGAGTTTTTACTTCCCACTTTATTCTCTCTACCTCCTGTTACATTATCCAATTCCAGTAATGATTGCATCATATTCACTACCAAATAAAAGATTACATCAATTCTCAAAACATATGTATCAAGGACACTAGACACTGTCCAAATTTCGGACACTAAAAACATGGTTGCCACAATAAAACATGACCTAAATTGCCAAATCGTGGTCAAATGCATAACATTGAAGTAGCTTGTTAAAAATGTGCTACAACATAGATTACTACATTGTAAAAAGCAAGAATTGGGTTAAATTATGCATCAGAAAATGGGAAGATAGATTGCTTGAAAGTTTGAAACTTCGAACTACCAAATTGTTCAGAAACCCCAAAAGAGAACACTTCAAACAAAACCATATATTTTTTTCAAAATTGGAAGGAAAGAAAACCCTCAATTTTAAAATTTTAAAAACAGACATACATTGACTAAAGAATTGAAGGGTTTGGTTCAGATCAAAGTATATATACCAGTAAAGGGCTTGCGCTTAACGGAGGGGTCGAGCTGATTACACCATCGGAGGCGGCAAGACTTGCCGGATCGTCCGTCGATTCCTCGGGCTATCAAGCTCCAATTCCTCGCGCCGAACTTACTCACTAGCCGACTAAGTATCGCGTCTTCTTCCGGAGACCAAGGCCCCTTAACTCTGTCTCGACCCGATTTTCTATGACTTTCGACTCCGCCTCCCGCCACCGCTTGTGTACCCTCTTCACCGCTATCTCCGCCGTCTTCGGCGTCGACTTCCACGGCGGCGTCGGCGGCGGCGGCGGCTGCCTCCATTTCCCTCTCCATCCTCTCTCTTGGTTTGTTGGTGTTTGGAATTGCACACTGCGAGTGCTTGACTACCTACCAAACTTAACTGAAAGAGCAAGAGCAAGAGCAAGAGTGCTGTTCTTGACGCGACAGAAGACAGCTCCCAACATTTTCTGTTTTTTTTTCTTCCGATTTTGTCAATGTGTCCTGTGCTAAATTTACTTTTGCACCCTCCGCAGAATTTCATTTTAATTTTTGGGAATTCAAATGATAAAATATATTTTGGATTGTGAATAAATATTATGCTAGTGGTCTTAGTTTTCTTTATATATTTGGCACAACTCTCCAAGATGTGTAACTTCTAAATCTTCGACATTCCTATTTTGCATCTATTATGTTGTCTCGTCACGGGATGGAGAAAACTTGATGAGTTGAATAAGTAGTTTATAATAATAGGGTAACATATTTATGTCCTTGCCAATGGCCATATTTGGTCTTTGGTCTTATGCTAAATAGATGAAATTGTATTCCTATCTTCCAAATTAGTAAACTATATTGTGTTTAAAAACTAAAGGTCCCTAACTTTTAATAGGTAAATGCTTGGAATGTGGTTTCAGCGAATCAGATGGGGTAGGTGGGATTTCGAAGCAACAAATGGGGAATGAACATAAGATATTTGTTAGCTTATGGAAAGTCCTCGACCTCTTCCTTTCCAGAAACATATATTAGTTGTCAGGAAATATTATAATTGTCTGCATATGTATTTGCGTATCTGTAAATGCCACATGCAGAAATGATTTTGAATATATATATATATATGTCGGCTGTTAATTAACTAGAACTTGATCAGCACAACACAACAACATCCTTTTGAGTATCAATGCAACGCATCATTGCAAGAAAGCAATATTGAACTTACTCGGAGTCTTTTTTTTTCCGATCAAGTTCCTCCATCACCACAAACTCTAGTTAGATTCAAACATGATACACTTTCTAGTAATTGGAAGAACTCAAGTACTCGCTTTCGGATTCAGGAATTTCGTTTTGGTTACTGTAACCTAATGTATAATATCACTCAAAATAATAGGACCAATTAATAAATATACACATGTACATTTTTATAATGTTTCATTTCCATTAAATCATATCAAGTTGGAACAGAAGGTTCTTCTGAAAGTTACCTTTTCATAATATATATATAGGTCTTTTTATTCCAGCAGCCTAACGAATGAGCTTGGGTTGCTGAAAAGAGAAACAGGTGAAATTACCCCCTGAGTCTAAGTTCAGAAATCAAGCCTCAAGGATGCTTCCAAAGGATAGTAGGGCCTTAGGAAACACCTTGGTTGCCTTCACCAACAAAAATAATGGCTGCTTACAGATAGATTCTTAGTGCTTACAAATGAATTCTTAGCTTGGCATGAGAAGCTTGTGGCATGAGAGCAAAACCATCATGAGTTCAGCATAAACAGAGAGAGAGCTGTGAGTTCTTATGAAAAACAGGGGTTTTAAGACAAAGGGGAATGGATTCTAAGAGGGTTTGTTGAAGAGGGAAAGAGATGAGGGTATAATGGGTGTGTTGAGTAGTTTCCGGCAGCTTGACGAAAAATCTGTCAAGCTTTGGAACTTTTTAACATAAGAGAAAAGGGGAGGAGATGGAGGAATAGAGCACGAAATTGCAGAGTTTTGGAAGTAAGAGAGGAAGCTTGCTCTCTAGATGTGGTTTGAGTGAATTTCCAGTTGCTTGACAAAGCTTGGTCGCACTTTGGATGATTATTTTGTTGGGCAGAGGAAGCTCCATTTTATAGGCACTTAGAAGCTCATTCTTCCCAAGAAACCCTAATGGTTTCTATCCAATTTGACCAAGTCTTTCCTCTCCTTTCTCTTCTCTTCCTTTGACTCATCCTATTTGGTGAAATTCTCTCTACCTAATCGCACAAAAACAGGGTTTTGGGAGCTCTAGGCTTTAGCTGTTTCAGTGGCGATTTCTTATTTTTGGCTATCATCTCTCCTCATTTCCTCCTATATTTCATGGCAAGGTCTGGTAAAGGAAGGAGATAGATAACTTTGGCTGGTCTGAAGGCTGCCTTTTCTCCTGCGCAAGTCAATATCCTCTAGTTTCTTGAAGGATTTGCCTTGAGGTTTGTTTTTGCCCATATGCTGGAGCCTCCTAGCAGCTTACAGACATAGACATTTTGGTTTTTCATCTCGGTTCATGTTTCCAGCTAAGCATTAGAGACTAGATATTTTTCTTGGCTTGCTTGGGCCTTGTTAAAGTGATGAGTTAGCCCATTAAGGACATGGGCTAATTTGCTTAAGTGATGGGCTAATTTTCTAGGGTATTTGGGCTAATTTTCTAGAGTATTTGGCTAATTCTTCTCTCTTTTATGCTTACCCACATATTTGGGCTTGAGTTTTAGGGCTCCCAAGCAGTCCAAAACTTCCATTTCTCGGCTCATCAATGGGCCTCATGAAAGCTCGTTACCTTCCATACCACAACCCACTCAAGCAAGCCCCGGGAATTTGCGTGGCTTGGTCCCACTTAAGCTTGTAGCATGACTAGGTGTAATAATAATGATTTTCCGCTTGGCATTGCATGTCGCTTGGCGTGCTTGAATTTTGTTGCTTTGAAGAAGGATATGACGCATGACGGGATAATTAGCTTGAGCTCATAAAGCCAGTCCTTATTTCAACTCTTAGCATGACAGATCGCATATTTATTTGGCATGGCACGTGGGTCATGACTCGTGCGAGCGTGAATGACGAACTTTCGCGTGCTCTAAATCGGGTGTTTTCTTAATAAGGCATTGCGTTGTGCCGAGAATTTATTTGGGTTTAACCCTGGATTTTTGGGCCTCAACAAGGTTGTGTGTAGTTTAGTTGACCATTTAGTATGTTCAAATTTTAATTAAAATAAAGTTTGGACCAACATTTGCATTTGATGTCAACAATGCCTTTTTGCATTGCATGGTGACTTACATGAAGACGTCTATATGCAGCCTCCACCTGGTTATGTCAGTAAGAGGGAGAATCTTGTTTGCAAGTTACATAAATCGCTCTACGGACTTAAGCAGGCTTCTAGGCAATGGTTTGCCAAATTTTCACAAGCCATTCTTGACGCTGGTTACATTCAATCCAAAGCCGACTACTCTTTGTTTTATAAACATAAAGGTATCTCCTAAGTGTTTATACTAGTGTATGTCAATGATGTAATTATCATAGGTTCATATGCAAATGAGATTTCCACGCTTAAGAACTTCCTACATCAGCGATTCAAGCTAAAAGATTTGGGCAATCTCAAATATTTCCTTGGAATTGAGGTGTCAAGATCATGACGAGGCATTTGTTTGAACCAACGACAATATGCTTTGGATATTATCAAAGACGCAGGTTTATTGGGAGCTAAACCTAAGCCTTTTCCCATGGAAGAAAATCTAAAGCTCAACAATACTGATGGCAATCTACTCAATAATCCAGCCTCATACCATCGCTTGATTGAAAGACTTATTTATCTAACTGTTACAAGACCAGATATTCATTTTGCAGTTAATATCCTCAGCCAATTCATGCACCAACCACATATGAAAGCTGCCACATTTAGTTCATTACTTAAAGGGATCACCTAGTCAATGTATTCTATTATCCTCTCATAATGAATTAAAATTGCAAGCTTTCTGTGACTCAGATTGGGCAAGTTGCCCCATGACAAGAAGATCAACTATGGGTTATTGTGTGTTTCTTGGAACAAGTTCAATTTCATGGAAAACTAAAAAAACACCCCACTGTATCTAGGTACTCATCAGAAGCCGAGTATAGGGCAATGGTAGTAGCTACATGTTAACTACAATGGCTACGGTATCTTTTACAAGATCTTGGTGTATCACTGTTGGTCCGTCGCAAATCTCGCGGCCTGGTGCTCTGGGCCGAGGGGATGTGCGTCAACAGGTGACGTCCTTCTTTTGGATGCAGTGCGGTTGTGCACGGGCGTGCCAGCACGGTCTACCGTGCGTTGAGATGGTGATGGGGTTTGGGTAGAAGATGTTCAAATGATGTGCATGTTTGGAGTTGGACTTCTAGTCAAACGATTGTGGCTGAGAGAGGAACTTATCTCGGCCGTCAGGTTCACGGCCTAAGCTACAAGGCCGTTTAGTGGTGGTGTTGGTGGTTTTTGGGCGGTGCTCCGGCCCGTTGCTCAGAGAGCGACGGTCGTATGATATATGGGGTGAATGAGGCGGTAGCAAGGATGATGCTCCGGCGCCTTGAAAAATCAAGGGTCGTATGATATATTGATGAATGGATTTTCCTTACAATCTACCACTACTCATAGGAAAACATGTAAAGGTTTTGAAAGTGCATTACAGAAAATATAAGTTGCTCCGTTGGAGGCTTTTGGTTTGGTGTTTGAACCCCTTGAACGTGGTCTTGAGCTTAGTATTTATAGGAGGAGTCCTGGAGGGCCATTCGAGGCTGAAAAAAGATCTGCCTGATGGCTTAAAAATATCTGTATGGTGGAGTCTGATCGGGGCAAGTGAGTAGTCAAATCGGCATTTGGGATTGTGAAGCATGGTGGTCTGGGTTGAGAAGCATGGTGGTGTGACCCCCATAAATCTTGGCAAATCTCGGCCACCGCCCTGATTGTGGGCTCTGCCCCCTTGGCCGTGGGAACGCATTTAATGCTCTGGTCCAGTGGTTGGTGACCTGACCTCAAGCTGTGAGAATGCTTTGTGAGAATGTTTGCGCCTAACCACTCTGATTCCTGTTACCAAATCCTGACTTCAATCACTTCCCTTATGCCCTTGTGCATTAAATGCTTCTTGCACCCAGTGGTTTTGCTGTGGCGGTCAGAGGCACTACTTCATTAAATGGGGTGTGGGACCCTGAGGCCACGTGGCGATTTGACCATAGTATCTTTGGCCGTGTCTCTCATGGACCTCGGCCTCGGCCCATAATGCCGTGGTTGTGAGGCCGAGAAGATCATGTCTTCGCATTTCCTTATGCTTTCGAAAAGGCTAAATGTTTGACGAAACGTGGCCATTTCAGTCTATGAATAGGTACCACGGCTGAGAAGAAGTCCCTTCTGACGACTGTGATTTATTGGGCACAAACAATCACATTCCTTTCCTAGTACACTTTATTGCGACAACAAGGCTGCCATATATATAGCAGCAAATCAGGTCTATCATGAGCGAACCAAACACATTGAAATTGATTTCCATGTTGTTCGTGAAAGAATTCAAGATGGAACATTACATACTACATTCCTTCCTTCTAGAGATCAAATCAGAGATATCTTTACAAAAGCATTGGGCAAGGAAACTTTCCTACGATTGAAAAGAAAGTTGAATCTTTTAGACATACACACTCCAACTTGAGGGGGAGTGTTAGAAATCAAGGCTTAATAGAAGGAAGACTTTAGATTGAAGTTAACGTTGTATAGTTGTCTTACTTGGACAGCAATTCTTTTCCTTTTCTGTAATTACCTTAGACATAGGATCTGGAGATTTATTTCCTTTTGTATTCCTTAAGCTTTGTTATATAATTGTAATCTTTGTACAGTGATTATATACAGAAAACATTCACCATATTTTTTTATAATTTAGTATGTTCAAATTTTAATTAAAATAAAGTTTGGACCAACATTTGCATTTGTTGGAATTGTAGATTTGAAATAACATAAGCATTTCAAAACCTCATCAAGAACTTAGAAGACGTCTGACCATGTGTACATTGATAATTCAAGCCCAAATCTGTTTTTCTAATTCATTTTTCTATTTGTCAGCGTCATTGTAAAGTGTATTTGGGCGCAGGATCAAAAGGAATTGTTTGCTTATAGAACCAAGTTTCTGACTTAAAAAAAAACAAACTGTTAGCTGGATGACGAGAAGGCCATTTTCTATGCTAAACTAAAGCGCTACAATGCCTGCATTTCCAAAGGCTCTAAACCAATGAATTTGTATTAGCTAAGTTGTCACGCAATTGTGGAAATTATATGACTTAGCCGCTCCCTCTAACTACCTCCAAAATGCCTATATATACAGCACCATATGTCTCTATTGATATTGCAAGAGCAATAGAAAATTATAGTTTCCTTATAGTTTCTCATTTCCTCTTGAGCCCTTGGTAACGTAGCTTTTCTTCCCGACATGGCACGCTTTGCCTTCGTGCTAGCATGTGCTTTAGCTCTATTGGCTTCCTCAGTAGCCTCTGGTGCAATTGTTGAGCATTCTTTTAATGTAAGCCTTGGCTTCCTCACAAGCACATCAACTCTACACAATTTCTCACCAATTATACTGTTTTATGTTCTGTGACCATTTATATGTTTGGAATATAGTTCATCACATTCTTTTTGTTTGTTTTTTGTTGTTTCAGGTGAACAATCTGACTGTAACTCGACTGTGCAAGGAGCAATCGATAACTGTAGTAAATGGGTGCTATCCCGGCCCAACAATCAGAGTACGCGAAGGCGACACACTTGTCGTCCATGTTTTTAACCAGTCACCCTATAACATTACTATTCACTGGTAGATATTCATATATATCCTTTCACAAATTAATTATATTGACTTTGATATAATATATATATATATGTGTGTGTGTGCAGGGGCGGAGCCACACTGGGACCAGTGTGGTCTCAGGCCCCCACTCAAGTTTTTTTATATTTTAAAAGTAATATACTGTTTTGTATTTATATATGTATATTATTTCAAATATTTTACTTTTTGATATGTACCCACATGTGTTGTGGCAAACTTATTAAGGCACAAGAAGGTAGTTCAAATTGAGCCCTTGCTCAACTGGTGGTTGTGCACTCCAGGTGTACAGATTACCTTATTTCCATTTTCAACATTTAAGTAAATGTCTTTGTCCTTTTACTTTAATTTATTTTTATATTACTCCATTTACTTAAGGAATAAAAGCCGCCAAAAATTATTTTGAGAAAATGATTATTCCAAAAAATCATTTTTCATACTTAGTCAATATTTTTTTCATATATGATATGAATGCATGAAGGGGCCTAAGGTTGTTTTTAATTTGGGAAATTTTGATTTTTCTTTTCTTTCTATTAGGTTTAATGGGGGAAAAAGCTCTAAAGATATTTGCTAAATCGCTACTCTTTGCTATCTCTTGCAATTTTTCTTGCTTAGAATGTATTTGTTTATCCCCTTGTTGAGAACAATTATGATTGCAACCAATAAGCAATATAATACTTGACATATGTGATATATATATATATATATACACTATTTTTTGTATGTATTGTGAGTTCGAATTTTTGATTCTTTATAATTTGTAAGAGGCCCCCACACACATGAAATCCTAGCTTCGCCACTGTGTGTGTGTATAATTAGTCGATCATTTTTTGCTTTAAAAGGAGAGACTACCATTCTTCCAACGAATCAATATCAAGCTTAACAACTAATATTAAATAGTAAATTATTTTTGAGATATCGTCAAACCCACCTGCTTAAGCTAATATAAAGTATATATAATAAAATTTCTGAAGATGGGAATATACTGCCATATTGACCATGGTTTATATGTTTTATTTATAATGTATAATTTCTTTCTTTCTTGATGCAGGCATGGAATCTTTCAGCTTCTGAGCGCATGGGCTGATGGACCAGCATATGTAACCCAATGCCCTATACTTCCTAGACACAAGTATACTTACAGATTCAACATTACAGGACAAGAAGGAACCCTCTGGTGGCATGCTCATGTTTCTTGGCTCCGGGCAACCGTCCATGGTGCCCTCATTATCCACCCGAAAGCTGGTCGATCCTTCCCCTTCCCCAAGCCCTATAAGGAAATTCCCATCATCTTGGGTACGTAACAAACCGTATGCATATCATGACATACGCAATTTAGTTTTTCTTAATAAACTGTTTTGATATATGGAATTGCAGGAGAGTGGTGGAATGGCAATGTTGTTGACATTGAGAACGAAGGCCTAGCTACTGGAATTGCTCCTAACATTTCTAATGCTTACTCCATCAATGGCCTACCCGGCGATCTTTACGACTGCTCTCAAAATCGTACGTAACTTTGATATACACATTCTATTAAATAATAATCGCTCATGCATGAACAACTGTTACTATACGCATGAATTTATTTGTTTATCTGTTGAATAATGAATATTTACACTCGTATCAATTTATCAGAGACATACCAGGTGAAGGTGGTGAAAGGAAAGACCTACCTGCTACGCATCATCAACGCTGCGCTCAATAACCAGCTCTTCTACAAGATAGCCAATCACAACATGACAGTTGTCGCAACCGAGGCCGCCTACACAACTCCTTACATCACGGATGTCGTGGTCGTCGCGCCCGGTCAAACCACCGACGTTCTCATCACCGCAAATCAACAGACAGGATCTTACTACATGGCCGCCACTCCGTACATGAGCGCGAACATAAACTTTGATAACACCACCACAAGAGGCATCATCGTCTACGAGAACTCCACGTCATCATCACCGATCATGCCGGCCCTACCCAATCCCGGTGACACGCCAACGGCCCACAAGTTCAACACCAATATCACTGGACTCGCAGGCGGGCCCCAGTGGGTCCCGGTCCCCACCAACGTGGACGAGCACATGTTCGTGACTGTTGGAGTGAATCTGGAGCTGTGTCCCGTAAATGCCACGTGTCAAGGTCCACTCAATAACCGATTGTCTGCGAGCATGAACAACGAGTCGTTCCAGGTACCCACCAATCTGTCTATGATGCAAGCACAGTTTTACAATGTGAGCGGGATCTACACCACTGATTTCCCCGACCAGCCAGCGGTCAAGTTTGACTACACGGACTCGAACATCAGCTTCGACCTATCGCTGATCTACGCGCCAAAATCGACCAAAGTCAAAATGTTGAGGTTCAATTCGACCGTGGAGATTGTGCTTCAGAACACGGCGTTTTTGGCGATCGAGAACCATCCGATACATCTCCACGGTTTCAATTTCCACGTGTTGGCTCAAGGGTTTGGAAATTACGACCCAGTCAACGATCCCAAAAAGTTTAATCTCGTTAACCCACAAATACGTAACACAATTGGTGTGCCGATTGGAGGATGGGCCGTGATAAGATTTACAGCAAATAATCCAGGTTAATTTTCTAAAACATTTCCTTAATTAATTTCTTATATCTTCCTTCTTCTTTTTTTGAGAAAATGAGATCAATCTTGAGTGCAAATGGTGGACACACTGTCTTAACCAACAAGCATAACTCACACTTACTTTATATATTTTTATGATCAAAACTATTTCTGATTTTATTTTTCTTTTGAATTAATGTACAGGTATGTGGTTTATGCACTGTCATTTGGACGTGCATTTTCCATGGGGTCTGGGGATGGTTTTTGAGGTTGAAAATGGACCCGCCCCATGGGTTTTGCCTCCACCACCGGCGGATCTACCCCAATGTTAGAAGTCGTTTCCAAATATTCGTCAAGACGGTGTGGTTTTGGTTTTGTCAAAGTTATTATTTTTTGTTCGTCAAGACAGTTTGGTTGACAATTGTATTTCTTTGATTGCAAATAACTTGTAATAAAAGGTGTATTGGATCGCAATAATCTTGTTAACTATACTGTAAAAGGTGGTCAACATCCTCTCGATGAGTGAAATAAAAATAAATAAATGTTTTTCAATATTCAGGATTCCTCATATAGTTACAAATCTATTCCAAAATATTATGAAATGTACAATTTATTACAGAATTGTATGTACAATTGAAATGCTGCAACCACAACATTCCCCAACCCCAAAAAGAAAACAAACCCAAATTTCCTACTGTTCCATATATGTTTATATGGCTAATAATTTCTCACTAAAAATTACCTTTTCCCCCACAAATAATTTTCCTCGCTACCTAAACTCAAAAGGAAATTATTTGAAGAAACCACACAACACGGCACATATACATGGCTATGAGAGGGAGCAAGGGAAAGAGAAAGATGAAATTTTCTTGATGGTCCTTCCGGAAACGGGACCATGAGTGAAATCAGGGAAAAAAAATTAAGGATGAAGTTTTCTTGATTTCAAATTAGGGGGAAAAGCATCATGAAATTTACTTGATATTTTCTTTGTAACCGAACCAGGAGCAAAAGTGTCATGAAACTTTCCTGATATTTCTTTTGAAATCGAGCCAGGGGCGAAAGTGTCATGAAACTTTCCTGATATTTCTTTTGAAACCAGACCAGGGGCAAAAATGTCATGAAATTTTCATGATATTTCTTTTGAAACTGGATCAGGGGTGAAAGTGTTATGAAACTTTCTTTATATTTAATTTGAAACTGGATCAGGGGTGAAAGTGTTATGAAACTTTCTTTATATTTAATTTGAAACTGGACTAGGAGCAAAAGTGTCATGAAATTTTCCTGATATTTCTTTTGAAACTGGAGCAGGGGCGAAAGTGTCATGAAATTTTCCTGATATTTCTTTTGAAAGTGGACCTGGGGCAAAAGTGTCATGAAACTTTCCTGATATTTCATTTGAAACCGGACCAGGAGCAAAAATATCATGAACTTTTCTTAATATTTCTTTTGAAATTGGACCAGGGGCAAATGTGTCATAAAATTTTCCTGATATTTTTTTTGAAACCGGACTAGGGGTGAAAGTATCATGAAATTTTCCTGATATTTCATTTAAAATTGGACCATGGGCAAAAGTGTTGTGAAACTTTCTTGATATTTCATTTGAAACTAGACCAGGGACAAAAGTGTCATGAAATTTTCTTGACATTTCTTTAGAAACTGGACCGGGGGAGAAAGTAGGGGCAACAATGTCGTGAACTTTTCTTGATGTTTCTTTTAAAATGTAACTTTATTGACATTACCAGATTCTAACTTTATTTTGTCAGGGTCCATGAACCGGCGCCTTAGCGTGGAATTCCAATGTTTTTTTTTACGGCGTTATCTGTCCTCCCTGGTAGAAGCCTCGCAATTGCAGCCCATTTGTTTCCGTGGAATGCATGAGCTGCAATTATCATCTGATCCTCCTCATCTGGAAGAATTCACAATTATCACCCTTGTTCTCCAGGAGAAAAACGGCATAGACATAAATTCATAACAAATGGCCAGAAGAGCAGGAAGTAATATAATTGAGAATTTATATGCCATCAGATTTCATATAGTGAACACATCCACTAACCAAATATGCAAATAACAACTCACAGTCTCAAATGTGCCTTTTCTTCATGTAGTAAGAAAAAGACTAACAATAACAACATGTGAACTACACCTTCCCATAGCAAAACTCAGTCAGTACCAGAGTTTTTACTTCCCACTTTATTCTCTCTACCTCCTGTTACATTATCCAATTCCAGTAATGATTGCATCATATTCACTACCAAATAAAAGATTACATCAATTCTCAAAACATATGTATCAAGGACACCGGACACTAAAAACATGGTTGCCACAATAAAACATAACCTAAATTGCCAAATCATGGTCAAATGCATAACATTGAAGTAGCCTGTTAAAAATGTGCTACAACATAGATTACTACATTGTAAAAAGCAAGAATTGGGTTAAATGGGAAGATAGATTGCTTGAAAGTTTGAAACTTTGAACTACCAAATTGTTCAGAAACCCCAAAAGAGAACACTTCAAACAAAACCATATATATTTTTCAAAATTGGAAGGAAAGAAAACCCTCAATTTTAAAATTTTTAAAACAGACATACATTGACTAAAGAATTGCAGGGTTTGGTTCAGATCAAAGTATATATACCAGTAAAGGGCTTGCGCTTAACGGAGGGGTCGAGCTGATTACCCCATCGGAGGCGGCAAGACTTGCCGGATCGTCCATCGATTCCTCGGGCTATCAAGCTCCAATTCCTCGCGCCGAACTTACTCACTAGCCGACTAAGTATCGCGTCTTCTTCCGGAGACCAAGGCCCCTTCACTCTGTCTCGACCCGATTTTCTATGACTTTCGACTCCGCCAACCGCCACCGCTTGTGTCGCCTCTTCACCGCTATCTCCGCCGTCTTCGGCGTCCACTTCCACGGAGGCGGCGGCGGCTGCCTCCATTTCCCTCTCCATCCTCTCTCTTGGTTTGTTGGTGTTTGGAATTGCACACTGCGAGTGCTTGATTACCTACCAAACTTAACTGAAAGAGCAAGAGTGCTGTTCTTGACGCGACAGAAGACAGCTCCCAACATTTTCTGTTTTTTTTTCTTCCGATTTTGTCAATGTGTCCTGTGCTAAATTTACTTTTGCACCCTCCGCAGAATTTCATTTTAATTTTTGGGAATTCAAATGATAAAATATATTTTGGATTGTGAATAAATATTATACAAATTTATAAATAAACCCAATCTTAGACATGTATTTATAAAAAAAACTCAAACACTATTTAAACATAGAAATACCCCCAAAATCAACAATTATATATTTTTGGGTGTGTTTATGAATGGATTTTGAGTGTGTGTAATGATGGGTTTTGCGTGTGTTTATAAAGTGTTTTGGATGTTGGGTTTTTTTATAATTTCAACCCCCATTTTGGATGTTTTAGTGAAACTCCCTAAATATTATGCTAGTGGTCTTAGTTTTCTTTATATATTTGGTACAACTCTCCAAGATGTGTAACTTCTGAATCTTCGACATTCCTATTTTGCGTTTATCATGTTGTCTCGTCACGAGATAGAGAAAACTTGATGAGTTGAATAAGTAGTTTATAATAATAGGGTAACATATTTATGTCCTTGCCAATGGCCATGGTTAGTGCTCAAAGGATATTTCTACTTGGAGAAAAATGAAAGATTTGAAAAAGTAATTTCACAAACAATAGAAGAAAAAAAAACCAAAATTTGAGAGCCCGTTTGATAACATTTTCAATTTTAATTTTTAGTTTTTATCTTTTATGATAGAGTATAGATGAAAATGAAAGTAATTTCTCCTTTCATTCTCTCTCTCAATCTCATTCTCACTCTCATTCTCACTCTCATTTTCCTCTATACTCTAGCAAAAAAATAAAATAAAAATAGTTATCAAATTGGCTCTAACATTAAAATAATTATCAAACAGGCATGAGGAGTTAAATGAGAAATAAGTTCATGGTTTTATTTATCTTTGGAGGGAAAAAAACTTACTTTTTGGGCAGAATGACGGAACTATCCTCTTGCCGTTTCAAAAAGACACGGCCCGTGGTGATAACTGCATAACACGTGCGAACCGTGCATTCTGGAGTGGCGGGAATTTTGCTCGCTGTCACTCGCACATGGTTGGCTTTCATTTTGGGGGAGTGTTTTAATGTGATCATGTCTCGCCAAGCTGCGTGGGCCTAATCCAATCGATGCTCATATGGACTGTGGGCATCAGAGCATTGCTGGGCCATCCCAAGTACTAGGCTGAAATAATGGGATGATGTTGTAATACTCATGCCTATGTACTATATTAGCCCAATTGATAGCAAATCTTGCACACATTTGTGTCGACATAATGTGTGTGTGCAGTATATAATCAAACCATTTTGCATAGACCATTATAAAAAATTAAAATTAAAAAACCATTTTGTATAGACCAGTTTTTTTAGTGTTATTTTTTATTTTTTAGTACAAGTGATAGTATAAATTATAAGGAGAGGAATTTCTTATACACACACGACTCTGATGCCATATGGATTCGAACATGAGGATTCTGATATACAAATCAAAGTCATTTTTCACTTGGCTAGACCACGCTGACAGTCTTTATAGTGTTTTTGTTCAACAAGTAACACCTTAAAAAAACACATTTGGCTTACACCCTTTAAATTCAACTTACCTTACCTGTAACCCTTCACTTTTTGTTCCTATAAATAATACCCAATTTTTATAAGTAAAAACCCATGACTAGGATCCAACTCATTAAGTTATCTTATTAAACTCAATATCTGATTTATTATAATTTTTTGATTGCCAAAATACCCCTATTTATTTTTCAATGTGTAATGGGGTGATGTTTTAATTTTTGATTCCCCAATTTATTGTGGTGATTCCCTCTAAAATTTTGTCTGCAATTAATTATCCGTTTTATTATTAAAATTCATGAATATATATAGTCAACAATTTGTTGGCCAAAAAAGTTTGTTTTCCTTATTGCCTTTTTGAAATTTTGTTCCATCTTTCCCGAATAATAATTACCTATTTTTGAACTTGGATTTCATTTATTGTACCTACTTTTTTCATGGATAACAATCTACCTATTTTTTTATTATAAATTATTGTGTACCTATTTTTCTGTAATAATCTACCCTTTTTTAAAAATATATATATAAATTATAGTGCACCTATTTTTCTATAATTTAGTTTTTTCATGGATAATAATCTACCTATTATTTTTTTTATTACAAATTATTGTGTATCTATGTTTTCTATAAATTATTATGTACCTATTTTTCTGTAATAATCTACCTATTATTTCAATAAATTATTGTGTATCTATATTTTCTATAAATTATCATGTACTTATTTTTCTGTAAATTTTTTTTGGTAAATAATATACCTATATTTTTATATGTATATATTTATATTTATATTTTTCATAGGTACATTATTGGATATGTAATTTACATATATATATTTTTGGTTTGCACTGGGCGATATGTTAGAGAGAATAGTAACCAAAAGAAATGGGGTGATTGATATGCTATTAATAGGGAGTATTAATTACAATTATGGTAGTTAATAAAATGCTTGAAATAAATTATAAATAAAATATGAAGTTTAGTGGCAATGATGTAAAAACGTAGGAATACTATGACCTCTTATATCTTACTGGTCATTTAAATTTGAAATTGGGTTTTACATATAGATTTATGGAATGATGGGTATATGTCTAGGAAATAGAAAATGTAGGGACCTATATTGGACAAGCCCTTATAAAAAATTAAAATAAAAAAACCATTTTGTATAGACCAGTTTTTTTAGTGTTTTTATTTTTATTTTTTTAGTACAAGTGATGGTATAAACTACAAAGAGAGGAATTTCTTATACACACAAGACTCTGATGTCGTATGAATTCGAACATGAGTTCTCTGATATACAAATCAAAGTCATTTTTCACTCAGCTAGACCACGCTGACGGTCTTTATAGTGTTTTTGTTCAACAAGTAACACCTTAAAAAACACATTATATTGTTAATTAAGAAGTATGAATCCAAGAAAGACCACATTTTCATACTTGATTGTGTATATAATATGCACCGCCTACATCTAACGAGATAATATTATACAAATGGAAAATATTTACGTGTGATCGTCACCCCTACTATGCTGCCTTATTAACTTTAATTTTATATATGGATGGACAACGTGTTTGATCATCGATGGACCTAACCAGGGTGAAGTGATAACAAATAAATATGCATTTATTACATCCAAAGAATTTCCAAATGTTGTAATTAATGAATCATTTCTTGTAGTATACGCTTTTACTTTTCTCTTAAATTCTATAATCTAAATATTAACAAATTAGTGATCTAATTGACTGTTTGGTCAGCTGTTTAACATGATCGTGGTCGATACGCGCAAAACCTTCACAGAACCAAACCATGGCTGCTAGTTTTCCTCGAATATCAACTTATATCTTTAGTCATTGCGAAGAAAAAAGTGCCAAAATTTGGAAGAAGGATAATCATGTTGTTGACCATCCATGAGAATTTATTTATCTCAGAACTGAATGGTACAATAGGAGACGGCTTCTCCACCTATTAGACTAATTCAAGGTCTCTTGCGTGTGTGGATTTTTCACCAAATTATTATAAGATTGATTTTACTTCTGAAAATTATTGTAAGATTGATTTTACTTCTGAAAATGATTGTTTTTGCCATAAATTATTAGTACTTACCGTATTATTATAACACATATCACGAAAATGACATACGTATTAATTAGTTGGGTTTTGTAATTTCGATGCCTAAATATCACGAAAATGACATACGAAAATGACATACGTATTATAACACATGTTACTATATACTGCAAGATATAGGTTACAAGTCACAACGGATGAGATCAAGTTTCTTGAAGAGGAAAATTTTGATTTTTGTACTATATATATCAATATCAGTTATGTTGTTGAATGTCAAGACAAGTGACCAGCGCTCTCTATGGTCAACAGCTGCCCAATATACATGTTGGTCTATCGACCCACGAAACAACTAGTTTCGTAGACATTGAAATAAGGTTTGAAGACGTCACCAAATATGTGTACCTACCCCTACAGAAATTAGAGGTGTCCTGCAGAATGAATTAATATGTGGTTTTAGCGAATCAGATGGGGTAGGTGGGATTTCGAAGCAACAAACGGGGAATGAACATAAGATATTTGTCAGCTTATGGAAAAGTCCTCGATCTCTCCCTCTCCAGAAACAGATATTAGTTGTCAGGAAATATTATAATTGTTTGCGTTGCGTATGTATCTGCGTATCTGTAAATGGCACATGCAAAAATGATTTTGAATATATATATGTTGGCTATTAAATTAATTAACTAGAACTTGATCAGCACAAAACAACAACAGCCTTTGAGTATCAATACAACGCAGCACTGCAAGAAAGCAATATTGAACTTTCTCGGAGCCCTCTTTTTTCCGATCGAGTTCCTCCATCACTGCAAACTCCAGTTAGATTCAGACATGATACACTTTTTAGTAATTAGAAGAACTCAAGTACTCTCTTTCGGATTCAGGAGTTTCGTTTTGGTTTCTATAACCTAATGTATGAAATAATAGGACCAATTAATAAATATACACATGTACATTTTTATAATGTTTCGTTTCCATTAAATCATATCAAGTTGGAACAGAAGGTTCTTCCGAAAGTTACCTTTCATAAATAAAAAAATATAGGTTGTGTGTGTAGTTTAGTTGACCATTTAGTAGGTTGAAATTAAAATTAAAATAAAGTTTTGGACCAACATTTGCATTTGTTGGAATTGTAGATTTCATTTTTTTTCTGAAAATAAATTAAATTTGAATTTGTTTGCATAAAATGTTAAAAAAAACTTTACTAATAATGTTTTCATATTTTTACGTTTATGAATTGAGAAGAAAATTTCGGTTTCAAAAACGTAGACAATGGATTTGAAATAACACATGCATTTCAAAACCTCATCAAGAACTAAGAAGACTTCTGCCCATGTTTACATTGATATTTCAAAACCTCATCAAGAACTAAGAAGACTTCTGACCATGTTTACATTGATAATTCAAACCCAAATATATTCTCCTAATTCATTTTTCTATTTGTCAGCGTCTCTGTAAAGCGTATTTGGGCGCAGGGTCAAAGGGATTTTTTGCTTATCGAACCAAGTTTCTGACTTATAAAAAACTGTTAGCTGGATAACTAGAAGGTCATTTTCTATGCTAAACTAAAGCGCTGCAATGCCTGCATTTTCAAAGACTTCTAAACCAATGAATTTCTATTAGCTAAGTTGTCACGCAATTGTGGAAATCTTATGACTTAGCCGTTCCCGCTAGCTACCCCCAAACTGTCTATATATACAGCACGGTATGTCTCTATTGAGATATTACAAGAGCAATAGAAAATTATAGTTTCCTTATAGTTTCTCATTTCCTCTTGAGCTCTTGGTATACGTAGCATTTCTTCCCGACATGGCACGCTTTGCCTTCGTGCTAGCATGTGCTTTAGCTCTATTGGCTTCCTCAGTAGCCTCTGGTGCAATTGTTGAGCATTCTTTTAATGTAAGCCTTGGCTTCCTCACAAGCACATCAACTCTACACAATTTCTCACCAATTATACTGTTTTATGTTATGTGACCATTTATATGTTTGGAATATAGTTCATCACATTCTTTTTGTCTGTTTTTTGTTGTTTCAGGTGAACAATCTGACTGTAACTCGACTGTGCAAGGAGCAATCGATAACTGTAGTAAATGGGAGCTATCCCGGCCCAACAATCAGAGTACGCGAAGGCGACACACTTGTCGTCCATGTTTTAAACCAGTCACCCTATAACATTACTATTCACTGGTAGATATTCATATATATCCTTTCACAAATTAATTACATTGACTTTGATATAATATATATGTGTGTGTATAATTAGTCAATCATTTTTTTCTTCCAACGAATCAATATCAAGCTTAACAACTTATATTAAATAGTAAATTGTTTTTGTGATATCGTCATACCCACCTGCTTAAGCTAATATAAAGTATACATAATAAAATTTCAGAAGATGGGAATATACTGCCATATTGACCATGGTTTACATGTTTTATTTATAATTTATAATTTCTTTCTTTCTTGATGCAGGCATGGAATCTTTCAGCTTCTGAGTGCATGGGCTGATGGACCAGCATATGTAACCCAATGCCCTATACTTCCTGGACACAAGTATACTTACAGATTCAAGATCACAGGACAAGAAGGAACCCTCTGGTGGCATGCTCATGTTTCTTGGCTCCGGGCAACCGTCCATGGTGCCCTCATCATCCACCCGAAAGCTGGTCGATCCTTCCCCTTCCCCAAGCCCTATAAGGAAATTCCCATCATCTTGGGTACGTAACAAACCATATGAATATCATGACATACGCAATTTAGATCTTCTTAATAAACTGTTTTGATATATGGAATTGCAGGAGAGTGGTGGAATGGCAATGTTGTTGACATTGAGAACGAAGGCCTAGCTACTGGAATTGCTCCTAACAATTCTAATGCTTACTCCATCAATGGCCTGCCCGGCGATCTTTACGACTGCTCTCAAAATCGTACGTAACTCTAATATACACATCCTACTTAAGAATAATCACTCATGCATGCGCAACTGTTACTATACGCATAAATTTATTTGTTTATCTGTTGAATCATGAATATTCACACTCGTATCAATTTATCAGAGACATACCAGGTGAAGGTGGTGAAAGGAAAGACCTACCTGCTACGCATCATCAACGCTGCGCTCAATAACCAGCTCTTCTACAAGATAGCCAATCACAACATGACAGTTGTCGCAATCGACGCCACCTACACAACTCCTTACATCACTGATGTCGTGGTCGTCGCGCCCGGTCAAACCACCGACGTTCTCATCACCGCGAATCAACAGATAGGATCTTACTACATGGCCGCCACTCCATACATGAGCGCGAACATAAACTTTGATAACACCACCACAAGAGGCATCATCGTCTACGAGAACTCCACGTCATCATCCCCGATCATGCCTGCCCTACCCAATCCCGGCGACACGCCAACAGCCCACAAGTTCAACACCAATATCACCGGACTCGCTGGCGGGCCCCAGTGGGTCCCGGTCCCCACCAACGTGGACGAGCACATGTTCGTGACCGTTGGAGTGAATCTGGAGCTATGTCCCGTAAATGCCACGTGTCAAGGTCCATTCAATAACAAATTGTCTGCAAGCATGAACAACGAGTCGTTCCAGCTCCCGACCAATCTGTCTATGATGCAAGCACAGTTTTACAATGTGAGTGGGATCTACACCACTAATTTCCCCGACCAGCCCGCGGTCAAGTTTGACTACACGGACTCAAACATCAGCTTAGACCTATCGCTGATCTACGCACCAAAATCGACCAAAGTCAAAACTTTGAAGTTCAATTCGACAGTGGAGATCGTGCTTCAGAACACGGCGTTTTTGGCGATCGAGAACCATCCGATACATCTCCACGGTTTCAATTTCCACGTGTTGGCTCAAGGGTTTGGAAATTACGACCCAATCAACGATCCCAAAAAGTTTAATCTCGTTAACCCACAAATACGTAACACAATTGGTGTGCCGGTTGGAGGATGGGCCGTGATTAGATTTACAGCAAATAATCCAGGTTAATTTTCTAAAACATTTCCTTAATTAATTTCTTATATCTTCCTTCTTCTTTTTTTGAGAAAACGAGATCAATCTTGAGTGCAAATGGTGGACACACTGTCTTAACCAACAAGCATAACTCACACTTACTTTATATATTTTTATGATCAAAACAATTTCTGATTTTTTTTTTCTTTTGAATTATTGTACAGGTATGTGGTTTATGCACTGTCATTTGGACGTGCATTTGCCATGGGGTCTGGGGATGGTTTTTGAGGTTGAAAATGGACCCACCCCATGGGTTTTGTCTCCACCACCGGCGGATCTACCCCAATGTTAGAAGTCGTTTCCAAATATTCGTCAAGACGGTGTGGTTTTGGTTTTCTCAAAGTTATTTTTATTTTTATTTTGATGTGCATGGTTAGGTTAGCAATTGTATTTCTTTGATTGCAAATAACTTGTAATAAAAGGTGTATTGGATCGCAATAATCTTGTTAACTATATTGTAAAAGTTGGTCAACATTCTCTCGATCAGTGAAATAAAAATAATAAATATTTTTCAATATTCAGGATTCCTCGTATAGTTACAAATCTATTCCAAAATATTATGAAATGTACAATTTATTACAGAATTGTATGTACAATTGAAATGCTGCAACCACAACATTCCCCGACCGCAAAAAGAAAACAAACCCATATTTCCTACTGTTCCATATATGTTTAGACACTTCCAGCAATGGGGTTTGGGGGAGGGCGGTTTGAGCTAAAAACTCGTTTCCAACAGCAAAAGGAGGCCCGGGCGCGAGGTGGGACCTAGCAACACGGGCTGGCCCGAGCACCAGCTTGAGTTTTGATGCTTACGTCAGTGTACTGACGTCACTACGACATCAGCCCTGGCGTTCAAATTTTTTTAACGTTCAGTGCCCGCCAACGGTTATGTGCCACATGTCGCATCCTGGGCTCTCCAATCAGAATTTTTGCTCCAATCCAATGACATCCAATTTTTGTGCAATAAAAAAATGAAAAAAAAATCGGAAATTTTTTTCAAAATACTGAATTCTTTTTCTATAAATACCAACCAATACTCTTCACTTTTAACACCAAATCCTCATACATTTTCTTCTCCTTATACTATTACTCACTTTCTACTCAATATTTTTTTCACTTTCAAGTTGTATTTTTCTCTATCATATTATGGCTTCTTCTAGTGAAACCGGAGGGGCATGGAGCATGATGGAAGATGTTTTGTTGTGTGAGTGTTGTGTCCAAATTAGTCATTGTCCCGTAACGGGCAATGAGATGAAATTTTGCCATATGTGGAAAAAAATTCATCAAGAAATTTGTGAAAGGGCAATTGGTTCGACTCGTACGAAAATGACATTATCTAGTAGGTGGAAAATTTTCAATAAAGAGTTTGTGAAATGGAGAGATGCCTTGGCAAAAATGATGGACAACAATTGAAGCGGGGAAAACCTTAGCAATGAGGTAAATTATTTGTAATTTTCCTTTTATTAATTTCTATGTCATATTAAATTTTATTTAAATGTTTCTTGCAATTTATATATTTTGTTAAATTTTATTTATAAGAAAATATTATCCAAATTAATTTTTTAAGTAAAAAAAACAAAAAAAAAATAGTATTTGCCATGGCAAAGGGCAACTGCTGGAAACACACATTGCTTAATATGGCAAGGGCAGCCACTATTTATGTGAATAGTAATTACCCTGGCCCCCCTGCCATGGCAAGGGGCAAACTGCTGGAAGTGCTCTTATATGGCTAATAATTTATCACTAAAAATTACTTTTTCCCCCACAAATAATTTTCCTCGCTACCTAAACTCGAAAGGAAATTATTTGAAAAAACCACACAATATAGCACATATATGCAAATAACAACTCACAGTCTCAAATGTGCCTTTTCTTCATGTAGTAAGAAAAAGACTAACAATAACAACATGTGAACTACACCTTGCCATAGCAAAACTCAGTCAGTACCAGTTTTACTTCCCACTTTATTCTCTCTGCCTCTTGTTAAATTATCCAATTCCAGTAATGATTGCATCATATTCACTACCAAATAAAAGATTACATCAATTCTCAAAACATATGTATCAAGGACACTGGACACTGTCCAAATTTCGGACACTAAAAACATGGTTGCCACAATAAAACATAACCTAAATTGCCAAATCATGGTCAAATGCATAACATTGAAGTAGCTTGTTAAAATGTGCTACAACATAGATTACTACATTGTAAAAAGCAAGAATTGGGTTAAATTATGCATCAGAAATCCCAATTAAATGGGAAGATAGATTGCTTGAAAGTTTGAAACTTTGAACTACCAAATTGTTCAGAAACCCCAAAAGAGAACATTTCAAACAAAACCATATATTTTTTTCAAAATTGGAAGGAAAGAAAATCCTCAATTTTAAAATTTTAAAAACAGACAAACATTGACTAAAGAATTGAAGGGTTTGGTTCAGATCAAAGTATATATACCAGTAAAGGGCTTGCGCTTAACAGAAGGGTCGAGCTGATTACACCATCGGAGGCGGCAAGACTTGCCAGATTGTCCGTCGATTCCTCGGGCTATCAAGCTCCAATTCCTCATGCCGAATTTACTCACTAGCCGACTAAGTATCGCGTCTTCTTCCGGAGACCAAGGCCCCTTAACTTTATCTCGGCCCGATTTTCTATGACTTTCGCCTCCGCTTCCAGCCACCGCTTGCGTCGCCTTTTCACCACTATCTCTGCCGTCTTCAGCGTCGACTTCGGCAGCGGCGGCGTCGTAGGCTGCCTCCATTTCCCTCTCCATCCTCTCTCTTGGTTTGTTGGTGTTTGGAATTGCATGTTGGGGGAATGATCACAAAACTGAAGTATATGATGGAAATATAAAGTGAGGCAGAGAGTGTTTGTAAAACAAAAAATTATTCAAACTGATTTTTGTTAACTTCTTTGATATGTGTTATAGCAGCCTACAACATGGCTATTTATAATAACAGTCAGACCTATTGATAAACAGACATAACTCTTGAATTAGTTCCAAGAGTTGTGTCAAGAAATACAATTCTTCATAAACATAACTTTTCATCAAGAGACACAACTGTCTACTTTAACAACTGATACAAATGCATTACGTTTAACATTCCCTCTTAATGCATTTGTCCTGCGACATTTAGTCTTTCTCTGAAATAGTAGAACTTCTCTATTGGAAGTGCTTTTGTAAGAACATCTGCAATCTGCTCATCAGTACCACAGAATTTCAGTTCAATCTCTTCGTCTTCAACCAATTTTCTGATAAAATGATGACGAAGTTCTATGTGCTTTGACATGCTATGAAATATTGGGTTCTTTGTCATGGCAATTGTGGACATGTTATCACAGTACAATTTTGTTGGAGTGTTTTGTTCTTGACGAAGATCTACTAATATTCTTCTAATCCAAACTGCTTCACATGCTGCACTTGTGGCTGAAATATACTCTGCTTCGGCTGTTGATAATGCCACTGTACTTTGCGTCTTTGACAACCATGATATAACTTTACTTCCCAAGAAAAACACATGTCCAGAGGTGCTCTTTCTATCATCAATTGCACCTTCCCAGTCACTATCTGTGTAGCCAAAAAACTGTGCTTCCTTCTCTTGTGTATATCTAATACCATATCCCTGGGTTCTTTGTATGTATCTCAGTATTCTTTTTACTGCAGCAAAATGGTGATTACTTGGATCACTCATGAATCTAGATACCACACTTACATCATGAACAATATCTGGCCTTGTATTTGTAAGATAAATTAATGAACCAACCACACTTCTATATATGGATGCATCAAACTTAGGTGCTCCATCGTTACTTGTAAGCTTCAAATTAATTGACATTGGAGTATCCGTTGGTTTGCTCTTCAACATATTGAATTTTTTCAACCGATTTTCAGCATACTTCTCTTGAGAAATAAATATTCCCTCATCTGATTGTTGAACCTGTATACCAAGAAAATATCTCATAGTGCCTAAATTTGTCATCTCATATTCCTTCATCATGTTCTTCTTGAAAACTTCTGCCATCCTTGGATTTGTGCTTGTATAAATCAAATCATCAACAAAAAGGCACAAAATCAGAAAATCATGTGTATCTTCTTTCTTGAGATAAAGTGATGGCTCACTGAAGCTTCTTGTAAATCCATTTTGCTGAAAATAGTGATCAATTTTGTTGTTCCAGGCTCTTGGCGCTTGCTTTAAGCCATATAAGGCTTTACGGAGGCGATAAAATTTATCTTCCCTCCCTTTCTCAACATAACCTTGAGGTTGCTCCACATAAACCTCTTCTTCAAGTTCTCCATTTAAAAATGCATATTTGACTTCCAATTGATAAACCTTTGTCTTCAGTTGTGCAACCAAAGCCAAAACAGTTCTTATAGTCTCCATTCGAACTACAGGAGCAAACATCTCATTAAAATCAATTCATGGTTGTTGAGAATATCCTTTTGCAACCAAACGAGCCTTATGCTTTTGGATTGAGCCATCTTCATTAAACTTTGTCTTGAAGACCCATTTAAGTCCAATGATATCTTTTGATTTGGATCGATCAACAAGTTCCCATGTTCTATTTTTCTTGATAACTCTTATTTCCTCATCCATTGCATCTTGCCAAATATTTTCTTTCACTGCTTCCTCAAATTTTTGAGGCTCCAAAGCACTCAAGGCAAGATCACACGACTCATATATATCTGCCAATGAACGTGTTCTTGCGTTTAGTCTAAGAGTTGAATCTGGTGAACTAGGATCAGATGTTCTTGCACTTGGAATTGGACTTTGAATGAACTGAGTTTCTTCTGAATGTGATGAATCTGGTTCCTCAAAAAATCTTGGCACTTCAATATCATAATTCTCCCATTTCCAAGCTTTGAGTTCATCAAAAATAACATCTCTAGAAATTACCAAACTATTGGTTCTTGGAGAAATTAATCTGTATGCTTTGGACTGATCACTATATCCCACAAAAATGTATTTCTCACCTTTCTCATCAAATTTTTCTCTCTTTTGAGAAGGAATATGTGCATATGCAGTGCACCCAAAAATCTTGAAGAAATCCACCTTTGGTTTAAAACGATGCCATGCTTCAAAAGGAGTCTTATCTTTGACTGCCTTGGTTGGAGACCGATTAAGAATAAATACTGCTATATGAATTGCTTCATCCCAAAATGTATTTGGCAAACTCTTTGCCTTCAACATGCTTCTTGCCATCTCGACAATGGTACGATTTCTTCATTCGGCAACTCCGTTTTGCTGTGGGGTGTACCTTGCTGTCAACACTCTTTTAATACCATTGCTTTTGCAATATTCAGAAAATTCATTTGATGTAAACTCTCCACCACGATCTGTTCTTAACACCTTCAAATTGTGACCACTTTGATTTTCTCCAAAAGCTTTGAATTGCTTGAAAACAGAAAATGCTTCTAACTTTTGTTCTAAGAAATATACCCACATCATCCTTGAGAAATCATCTACGAATAGAATGAAGTACCTTTTGTTATTGAAGGATGGTGTATGAGTTGGTCCGCAAATATCTGCATGTACCAATTCAAGAGGGGCTTTTGCTCTCCAAGATGATTGTGAGAATGGTAACCGATGGAATTTTCCAAAGATACAGCCTTCACATATTTCCTTTTCAGAGTGAATAGAAGGAAGCCCAACCACCATATTTTTATGGTGTAAAAGCTGCAGGCTTCTTTGATTCAAATGCCCATATCTTAAATGCCATAACAATGATCCATCAACTTTTTCTGCTTCTAAAGCAAAGTTTTCCTTTGATGTCATCAACAATGGAAAAACTTTGTTTGCTGTCATTTTTATCTTTGCCACCAAAGTGTTATTCTTTTTATCAGAAATAACACAATAATCATCTTCAAATTTCACCAAGACTCCTCTTTACAAAAGTTGTCCCACACTTAGTAAATTTTGAGCCAAATTAGGAACATACAGCACATCATAGACAAGTTTTGGAGTACCTCCTTTTGTTTGCACATAAATGATACCCTTGCCTTCCACATTGTGTAGTTTTCCATCACCGAGCTTGACTTGTGAGTTCACTTTTTCTTCTAACTTGACAAAGCATTGTTTATTTCTTGTCATATGATTACTGCATCCGCTATCCATGTACCAAACATCTTGTGAATCTTGATGAGAACTGAAACATGCATAAAATAATTGCTCTTGAGAGTCATTGTTCTCCGTAAAATTTGCTTCATTGTTTTTCTGATATCTGCAGTCTCTTTGTGAATGATTAGGTATCCTGCATCGGTTACATTTGTATAAGCAATCTGCACTTTTATGCCCATATTTGTTGCAAACATAGCATTGAAGGGATGATCTTCCATTTTGATTATTTGAATTGCTGCTTCCTTTTTTATTATTGGAACTTCTGCTTCCTTGTTGATGATTGGGATTGTTGCCTTGTTGTTGATTATTGAAACTGTTGCCTCCTTTGTTGGAGTTTCTATGCCCAAAATTTTTGTTTCTCCCATTTTGAGATTTCTGGAATTGTCCTCCTTTTTTTGTTTGTCTTCTTTCTCTTTCAAATTCACCTTGGATTGGAAAGCTTGCTCCACAGATTATTCTGTGGATCTGTTGATTCTTTTTTCATGTGCTTCCAATGAACCAATTAATTCATGTAAAGAAAGTGTAGATAAATCTTTTGATTCTTCTATTGCAGCAGCGACATGATCATATTTTGGCGGTAGACTTCGTACAGTTTTCTCTACGATTTTCTTGTCTGGAATAGTGCCCCATAACATCTGATTTGGTTCACAATCCCAGAAACCTTTGTGAAGAATACTTGAATGGATTCACTGTCCTTCATAAGTAAGTTATCAAATTCCCGCCATAAGGATTGCAGTTTGATGGAGATCACTTTTTCTGAACCTTTGAACTCAATTTTGAGAATTTCCCAAGCCTGCTTTGATGTTGTTACTGGAAGTAATCTTGGAAAAAGATTTTTGCTTACTCCTTGTTGAATTAGAAACAACGCCTTGGCATCTTTTTTCTTATTTTCCTATTAAGTCTACTGCTTTTCTTGTGTTTCCTTTCCTGCTTTTGAAGTTTCATGTTCCTCATACCCATCTTCAACAATATCCGAAAGATCCTGGGAGATGAACAGAGTCTTCATTTGAACACTCCAATACTTATAATTCTCACCATCAAAAATAGGCATTAGATTCTGGATATTCCCAATGGTAGAGGAATTTTAACTTGATGCCATTGCTAATCACAGCGGTAGCGATAAGATCAAATACTACTTTGGTACCAAATTTGTTGGGGGAATGATCACAAAACTGAAGTATATGATGGAAATATAAAGTGAGGCAGAGAGTGTTTGTAAAACAGAAAATTATTCAAATGGATTTTTGTTAACTTCTTTGATATGTGTTATAGCAGCCTATAACATGACTATTTATAATAACAGTCAGACCTTTTGATAAATAGACATAACTCTTGGATTAGTTCCAAGAGTTGCAGACATAACTCTTGACTTCTAAAGAGATACAACTCTTCCTAAACATAACTTTTCATCAAGAGACACAACTCTCTACTTTAACAACTTATACAAATGTATTACGTTTAACATTGCACACTGCGAGTGCTTGACTACCTACCAAACTTAACTGAAAGAGCAAGAGCAAGAGCAAGAGCAAGAGTGCTGTTCTTGACGCGACAGAAGACAGCTCCCAACATTTTCTGTTTTTTTTTCTTCCGATTTTGTCAATGTGTCATGTGCTAAATTTATTTTGCACCCTCCGCAGAATTTCATTTTAATTTTTGGGAAATCAAATGATAAAATATATTTTGGATTGTGAATAAATATTATGCTAGTGGACTTAGTTTTCTTTATATATTTGGTACAACTCTCCAAGATGTGTAACGTCTAAATCTTCGACATTCCTATTTTGCGTCTATCATGTTGTCTCATCACGGGATGGAGAAAACTTGATGAGTTGAATGAGTAGTTTATAATAATAGGGTAACATATTTATGTCCTTGCCAATGGCCATGGTTAGTGCTCAAAGGATATTTTCTACTTGGAGAAAAATGAAAGATTTGAAAAAAGTAATTTCACAAACAATAAAATCAAAATAAAAAAATCAAAATTTGAGAGTTTGTTTGATAACCTTTTCAATTTCAATTTTTAGTTTTTATCTTTTATGATAGAGTATAGAAGAAAATGAGAGTAATTTCTCCTCTCATCCTCTCTCTCAATTTCATCATCACTCTCATTTTCCTCTATACTCTAGCAAAAAAAAAGATTATCAAATAGGCTCTAACATTAAAATGGTTATCAAACAGGCAGGAGGAATTAAATGATAAATAAGTTAATGGTTATATTTATCTTTGGAGGGAAAGATACGTACTTTTTGGGCAGAATGACAAAACTATCATCTCACCATTTCAAAAAGACACGGCCCGTAGTGATAACTAGGGGTGGTTGCGGTTCGGTAACAGCGAATTTTTCCCCGAACCGCAAACCGACCGCGTTTTACGGTTTACCGCATTGCGGTATACTACAAAAATCAGTCGGTTACCGTGAATTAACGGTTTAAACCGATTTGAATATTTTGGGCCTAAATTAGACAATTTTAGATCTTTAAGTGTGGTCTTTTTGTATCTTAAAAATTCAATCTTCCACACTTTTAAGCCTAGGTTTGATGCTTCTTTTGAAGCTTTTTGAGTTCAAGCATTTAACAAAAAAATATAAATTCACAACCTAAAGAAATAAATTCACAACCTCAACTTCTCAAGCATATATAAATTACAACCTAAAAGAATAAATTCACAACCTCAACCTCAACTTCTCAAGCATTCACAACCTAAAGAAAAATCCAATTCAAAGTTAATTAAAGTTACAAACCAAAAGGATAACTCAAGTGTAGGTGGTGGTGAGTGGATTTTATTATAAGAAGAAGCCCTTCTTTATAAGTTGGAGTGGAGGTTGTGTTTCGGGTGTATCGGTTTCTGTTTGGGGGATTAGAGACATTAGGTGTGTTAGAGTGACTAGACTCCATCTATAACACAACACAACACAACACAAAAGTAACAACATAAAAGCATATTAATAATAGATTAAACTCAACCAAATTAAAACACAACATCTAACTATTAAAATGGAATTTAAAAATATATATATTTGCGGTTTGCGGTAACCTCGAGTTGCCAAAATCACATACCGCAACCGCGACTGCAATTGTGATTCGGTTTCTAAAACCGCAATTTTAGATTGGTTTTTAGTTATTGCGGTTCCAACGCGGTATAATGTCGGTTGGTTTTTACAATTTTTCAGTTTAAAATACCACCCCTAATGATAACTGCACAACACGTGCGAACCGTGCATTTTGGAGCGGTGGGAATTTTTCTTGCTGTCACTTGCACGTGGTTGGCTTTCATTTTGGGGGAGTGTTTTAATGTGATCATGTCTTCCCAAGCTGCGTGGGCCTAATCCAATCGATGCTCATATGGATTGTAGGCATCAGAGCATTGCTGGGCCATCCCAAGCACTAGGTTTAAATAATGGGATGATGTTGTAATACTCATGCCTATATACTATATTAGCCCAGTTGAGGGCAAATCTTGCACACATTTGTGTCGACATAATGTGTGTGTGCAGTATATAATCAAACCATTTTGCATAGACCATTATAAAAAATTAAAATAAAAAAACCATTTTGTGTAGACCCATTTTTTCTAGTGTTTTTTTTAGGACAAGTGATAGTATAAACTATAGGGAGGGAGATTTCTTATATACACATACGACTATGATGCCATATGGATTCGAACCTGAGACCTTTGGTCTGCAAATCAAAGTCATTTTTCACTCAGCTGGACCACATTGGCAATCTTTATAGTGTTTTTGTTCAACAAGTAACACCTTAAAAAACACATTGTTAATTAAGAAGTATGAATCCAAGAAAGACCATATTTTCATACTTCATTATGTATATAATATGCACCGCCTACATCTAACGACATAATATTATATACATGGAAAATATTTACGTGTGATCGTCACCCCTACTATGCTGCCTCATTAACTTTAGTGTTATATATGGATGGACAACGTGTTTGATCATCGATGGACCTAACCAGGGTGAAGTGATAACAAATAAATATGCATTTATTACATCCAAAGAATTTCCAAATGTTGTAATTAATGAATCATTTCTTGTAGTATACGCTTTTACTTTTCTTAAATTCTTTAAATTAAATATTAACAAATTAGCGATCTAATTGACTGTTTGGTCAGCTATTTAACACAGTGGTGAAGCCAAGATTTCATGTGTGTGAGAGCCTCTTACAAATTATAAAGAATCAAAAATTTGAAACTCACAATACATACGAAAAATAGTGTATATATATATATATCACATGTCAAGAATTATATTGCTTATTGGTTGCAATTATAATTGTCCTCGACGAATGGATAAATAAATACATTCTAAGCAAGAAAAATTGCAAGAGATAGACAAAGAGTAGGGATTTAGCAAATATCTTTAAAGCTTTTTCCCCCATTAAACCCAATAGAAAGAAAATAAAATAAAATTTCACAAATTAAAAAAGAAAAACCTTAGATCCCTTCATGCATTCATATCATACATGAAAAAAATATTGACTAAGTATGAAAAATGGTTTTTCGGAATAATCATTTTCTCAAGATAATTTTTGGCGGCTTTTATTCCTTACACATCAAATATGAAAACTTGATTTTATGGGATTTTAGTATGAAGTATATATTTGACTTAATGAGCCATCAGTTTTAGCCTAAATCGTATTTTACACTAAAACTGATTTTTCATATTTTGATTTGGTGGGAATTTGATTTTCTAGTATTTTTATTTGAATCCAAATAGGGAGTACTTCTATATTTACATTGTAAACTTAAGTAAATGGAGTAATATAAAAATAAATTAAAGTACAAGGACAAAGATATTTACTTAAATGTTGAAAATGGAAATAAGGTAATCTGTACACCTGGAGTGCACTGTCACCAACTGAGCAAGGGGGCAATTTGAAGTATCTACTTGTGCCTTAATAGGTCCGCCACAACACATGTGGGTACATATCAAAAAGTAAAATATTTGAAATAATATACATATAGAAATACATAATAGTATATTATTTTTAAAATATAAAAAAACTTGAGTGGAGGCCCGGGACCACACTGATCCCAATATAGCTCCGCCCCTAATTTAACATGATCGTAGTTGATACGCGCAAAACCTTCACAGAACCAAACCATGGCGGCTAGTATTCCTCGAATATCAACTTATATCTTACAATCATTGCGAAGAAAAAAGTGCCAAAATTTGGAAGAAGGATAATCATGTTGACCATCCTTGAGAATTTATTTATCTCAAAACTGAATAGTAGAATAGGAGACGGCTTCTCCACCTATTAGACTAATTCAAGGTCTCTTGCGTGTGTGGAATTTTCACCAACTTTGATCACCCACGTAAAGCTGATTGCATATGTATCAATGACTAGGCAACAAACTCCAATTATAAGATTGATTTTGCTTCTAAAGATAAGTCAAAAATGATTGTTTTTGCCATAAATTATTAATACTTAACGTATTATTATAATACATATCATGAAAATAATATACGTCTTAATTAGTTCGGTTTTGTAGTTTCGATGCCTAAATTTCAAACCATAATACTCACATGTTACTATATACTGCAAGATATAGGTTACAAGTCACAACGGATGAGATCAAGTTTCTTGAAGAGGAAAATTTTGATTTTTGTAATATATATCAATATCAGTTATGTTGTTGAATGTCAAGACAAGTTGTGGGGACCAAATCTCATTTATCGTGGTTTAACCCATATGCCACAACCAAAAGACGTTAGATGATCGAGCTTCCCTCCCACTAGAGATAGCCAATCACAACATGACAGTTGTCGCAATCGATGCCACCTACACAACTCCTTACATCACTGATGTCATGGTCGTCGCGCCCAATCAAACCACCGACGTTCTCATCACCGCGAATCAACAGACAGGATCTTACTACATGGCCGCCACTCCGTACATGAGCGCGAACATAAACTTTGATAACACCACCACAAGAGGCATCATCGTCTACGAGAACTCCACGTCATCATCCCCGATCATGCCTGCCCTACCCAATCCCGGCGACACGCCAACGGCCCACAAGTTCAACACCAATATCACCGGACTCGCTGGCGGGCCCCAGTGGGTCCCGGTCCCCACCAACGTGGACGAGCACATGTTCGTGACCGTAGGAGTGAATCTAGAGCTGTGTCCCGTAAATGCCACGTGTCAAGGTCCATTCAATAACAAATTGTCTGCGAGCATGAACAACGAGTCATTCCAGCTCCCGACCACTCTGTCTATGATGCAAGCACAATTTTACAATGTGAGCGGGATCTACACCACTGATTTCCCCGACCAGCCCGTGGTCAAGTTTGACTACACGGACTCAAACATCAGCTTAGACCTATCGCTGATCTACGCGCCAAAATCGACCACAGTCAAAACGTTGAAGTTCAATTCAATGGTGGAGATCGTGCTTCAGAACACGGCGTTTTTGGCAATCGAGAACCATCCGATACATCTCCACGGTTTCAATTTCCACGTGTTGGCTCAAGGGTTTGGAAATTACGATCCAATCAACGATCCCAAAAAGTTTAATCTCGTTAACCCACAAATACGTAACACAATTGGTGTGCCGGTTGGAGGATGGGCCGTGATTAGATTTACAGCAAATAATCCAGGTTAATTTTCTAAAACATTTCCTTAATTAATTTCTTATATCTTCTCTTCTTCTTTTTTGACAAAACGAGATCAATCTTGAGTGCAAAGGGTGAACACACTGTCTTAACCAACAAGCATAGCTCACACTTACTTTATATATTTTATGATCAAAACAATTTCTGATTTTTTTTTCTTTGAATTATTGTACAGGTATGTGGCTTATGCACTGTCATTTGGACGTGCATTTGCCATGGGGTCTGGCGATGGTTTTTGAGGTTGAAAATGGACCCACCCCATGGGTTTTGTCTCCACCACCGGCGGATCTACCCCAATGTTAGAAGTCGTTTCCAAATATTCGTCACGACGGTGTGGTTTTGGTTTTCTTAAAGTTATTTTTTATTTTATTTTGATGTGCATGGTTAGGTTAGCAATTGTATTTCTTTGATTGCAAATAACTTGTAATAAAAGGTGTATTGGATCGCAATAATCTTGTTAACTATATTGTAAAAGTTGGTCAACATTGTCTCGATCAGTGAAATAAAAATAAATAAATGTTTTTCAATATTCAGGATTGCTCATATAGTTACAAATCTATTCCAAAATATTATGAAATGTACAATTTATTACAGAATTGTATGTACAATTGAAATGTTGTAACCACAACATTCCCCAACCCCAAAAGGAAAACGAAACCATATTTCCTACTGTTCCATATATATGTTTATATGGCTAATAATTTCTCACTTAAAATTACCTTTTCCCCCACAAATAATTTTCTTCGCTACCTAAACTTGAAAGGAAATTATTTGAAGAAACCACACAACACGGCACATATACATGGCTATGAGAGGGAGCAAGGGAAAGAGAAGGATGAAATTTTCTTGATGGTCCTTTCAGAAACAAGACCATGAGTGGAAGTAGGGAAAAAAAATTAAGGATGAAGTTTTCTTGATTTCATATTAGGGGGAAAAGCGTCATGAAATTTACTTGACATTTTCTTTGTAACCGGACCAGGGGCAAAAGTGTCATGAAACTTCCTTGATATTTCATTTGAAACTGGACCAGGAGCAAAAGTGTCATGAAACTTTCCTAATATTTCTTTTGAAACCGGACCAGGAGCAAAACTGTCATGAACTTTTCTTGATATTTCTTTTGAAATTGGACCAGGGGCAAATGTGTCATGAAATTTTCCTGATATTTCTTTTGAAACTGGACCAGGGGCGAAAGTGTCATGAAATTTTCCTGATATTTCTTTTGAAATTGGACCATGGGCAAAAGTGTTATGAAACTTTCTTGATATTTCATTTGAAACTGGAACAGGGGCAAAAATGTCATGAAACTTTCTTGACATTTCTTTAGAAATTGGACCAGGGGAGAAAGTAGGGGCAACAGTGTCGTGAACTTTTCTTGATGTTTCTTTTAAAAACGAATCAGGGGTGAAAGCAGGGGCAAAAGTGTCATGAAATTTTCTTCTTATTTCTTTTGAAGCCCGACCAGGGGCGAAAGCAGGGGCCAAAGTATCATGAAATCCTCTTGTTATTTCTTTTGAAATTGGACCATGGGCAGAATTAGGGGCAAAAGTCTCATGAAATTTTCTTGATGCGTCTTTTGAAAACGGAATAGGGGCGGAAGCATGGGTAAAAGTGTCTTGAACTTTTTTTGGTATTTCTTTTGAATCTGGACCATAAGAAAAAGCATAACTAGGTCCAGAACTCGAAAGTTCGCTCATGGCTCTGTGAGGATTGGAACGTTCTTGCTCACAGAGATAAGGCAAGAATACTCCTGCATTTGTAACAAACTATATTAGTTCCATATTTATTAATTTGAAGGTACGTAGTAGTAGATGCACCTGTGAAATAAAAAATGGATATGTGAAATCTTACCCTCTCCTTCGGCCATATTGAAGTAAAGTTCAACAATGTTGGGGCATTTCTCGTAGCAAGCAGGGGAGCAAAGCCTATTGAGGAAGTAAGGGTCAAGGAGGGTATCAGAGGAAATCCCAAGAGACTTCCTATCAACCCCACATGCCTTGACACACTGATCCGTTTCTATGTATTCAGCCATCTTCTCCACCTCTCCTGATGTCCTGCATTGGTATTGTAGGGTTCCATCTTGCTTCGACATTGTCTCCAGCAAACACCTCTTCCCTGAAGACGATACCGAAAAGGCGCAAACGTCATTTGGCAAATGCTCGCATACAATCTCACCTGGTGAAAATCAATCAAAACCAAGAATTCAATTAACCACACAACTAACAATCAATAGCTGCAGTTATAAAGATAAAAAACATATATATATATATATATATCTCTGTGTGTGTGCGCGCGCGCGCGTGTGTGTTACCTAAAGCTGCATGGATGGACAGGGGAGAGAGGAAGAGAAGAAAAGGGAGGAAAATTAGGTTGGTTGAGAAAGCCATGTGGTTTGAGCATTAAATTGTCTGTAGCCTGTGCTTTACTAATTAAGAAAACAAAAAGAGTTTGGTTTGGTTTGGTTTGTGATGAGAGGAATATATATATATATACATATAAGAAGGCTAGCTAGAACCACACATGGTTTTGCATATATATCATGGGGTTCTTAATTGTTTGTAGTTTAGCTCCATCAGATTTTAAGGCCTCTCTATATTTGGGGACTCTAGCTAAGATTAATCTTTGCATGTTGTGTTATTGTAATTTTCCATTTGTGTGGTTTATTGTTGCTTTGCAGAACAGATTGCACTGATTAACAACAGAGTTAAGGCCCAAAATTACACAAGGCGAAAATTTGACCATCTAGCTTTCTTTTTCTTTATTTTTATTGGATGCTACATTAAAAGGCCGAAGCTAATTGTTGAAACTTTGAAATTTTTGAAACAGAATTGATGTGATAGTATTTTATTTATTGAGTTTTGAATTTACAAGAAAAAAGACGTTCACGTTGCATAAACAGGGCAATTACATGCATTGATGAAACATTCTTACAATCGGTCATGTGGCAATGGCCTCTAGACTCTAAAGCCAAGCAAACCATATTATTAGCAATAAAAATAAATGTAATCAAATGAAAACTTAATTCCAGAATTGAGTGGTTTGCAATTTCGGAGAAATGTGATATCATTGATTGTATGTATTGATCTGACATGTGTAAAAATAAAAATAAAAAGTAATACAATTACTTTCCATATAAACGTCGTAAATCTCAACAAACCCCCCATCCACAAAGAAAATCCCCGGTTCCCCTTGTTTTTTGGGTCTATATTTGATAATTATTCCTCACTCGTCACTAAATTTACACTAAAATTCAAAATAAATTTTATGCAGAAACTACACAACATGTTTACAGAGGAGCAGGGGCAAATGCCTCAGAAGGGGGAAGTGCTTCTCCCTCAGTAGGAGCAAATGCCTCAGAAGGGGGATATGCTTCTTCCTGAGAAGGGGCAAATGCCAAGTTTCCTGATGGTGATTTGCTGCTGACGGGGCCAGGGGCGGCCTCACCAGAGCTCAAGAGCTGGAGCATGGCACGGTGAGGGTTGGTACGCTGTTTGTCACAGAGATCAGGCAAGAACGCTCCTGCATTTGTCAAAACATTAACCAACACACATTAGTTCCATTTTACTTTTATATTACGTCGTAATTAATCAAGAGCAAGAAGTGTGTGCGAAAAATTCTTACACAGAATGGGTGTGTAGTATAATATATGATACAACAAAAATGTGAAAGAAACGTTATATACACATGTCAGTATGTAAAAGTTATGAACAAAAAAAAAAAAAAATGAGAAAGGAGAGGGATATCATGTTGATGGCAGAAAAAGAAAGCGAAAGCAGACCAAAATCTAGACGGATTCTTTGTCAGGCTCCTTTTTGGTAGCCAAACACCCAAACTTGTACTATTTTGTTTTAAAAAATGTCCTAAGAATAAGAAAAGGAATGTTTTAGGTGTGACAAAACAATCATTCTTAATCATTACCAACTTGGAATTACTAAAACAATAAAAATTGAAAACAAGAAATTAAATCAAAGATCTGTGAAATATTATTCTTACCCTCTCCGGCGGCCAAGTTGAAGTAAAGCTCAACAATGTTGGGGCACTTTTGGTAGCAAGTTGGGGAGCAGAGCTTGGTCATGAACTGGGGCTCAAGGAGGGCATCAGATGAAATCCCAACAGACTTCCTGTCAATGCCACAAGCCTTCACACACTGATCTGTTTCAATGTACTCTGCCACCCCCTGAACCAAAACTTCTGATGTCCTGCATTGGTACTCTATGCTTCCATCCTTCTTTGCCATGGTCTCTAGCAGACACCGTTTCCCGGCAGACGATACCGAAAATGCGCAAACATCATTTGGTAAATCCTCACATATAAACCCACCTGAGAGAAAATCAAAGTTCAATATAAAACCATGTTTATTTAAGAGTTTAAAGTAATTAGAAATTTATGAACATTATGTACCTAGAACTGCATGGATGCAGAGGGAAGAGAGGAAGAGAGCCAAAGACAACTTGGTGGAGATCAAAGCCATTTGAGTATTTTGACGGATTTGATCGATCGACAAACAAAAAGAGAGATTGATTTTTGCTTGTGAGATGAGTGAGAAGAGAAGGGTTTATGTGTGTATATATATATATATATATATATATAGAGAGAGAGAGAGAGAGAGAGGAGAGAGAGAGAGAGAGAGAGAGAGAGAGAGAGGTGTGAAGGTGTGAAGCTATGAAACTATGAAACAACAAAAGGCAACGACCAACTATATATAGAGAAGACAGCGGTGAACTATATTGCGTCTTCACAATATTGAGAGATGCGTTACAAAACTTATAGGTCGGTGAAAACTACGTCTCCGATTTTTTTTTGTATACTTCTGTTGGAAGCCGTTTGTCTGTACTTTTCTTTACTTTTTTACCATTTTTAATTGTTTATTGTTTTCTTTTTCAGTTGTTTTCGTTGTATATTGACTAGTTTTATTGTTGACGCTAAAGAGCAAAGACGTGTGGAAAGCCTGCAAATATGTTGAAGTTTCTCCTTTCTCCATTCGTCATGTAGGGTTTGTTGACATTTATTTATGCATAACCCACGATGTATGTACCTATCAAATTCTTTAACCACCATATATTCTTTTTCCATTCAATAAATTGGAAATTTATATATGTTAAGTGGAAGACCCTAATTAATCAATTTGGTTAAGGCAAATGAGAAATGAGAGAAGTCATTTTTTTCCTTTAATTTGTCTTGTTTTTCTTTCCGTCAAGATCACACATTATGACTGCATACGTAAGTGAAGTCAATTGGCCGGAATAATGAGCCGTTACTCTTAAGTTGGAATCTCATTTTTATATATTATATTAATTTAGAATAGTTTAGACTATCGTTTGTTTAAAAAAGAATACATTGTAGGTAGACAACCATTATGCAAATACTGCCCAGTCAAGACGGGTGATTTGGACCTGACTAACATGACAAATGCAATTAACTTGACTTTTGGACTCTCATAGACCCAACATTTATTTTCTTATACTCAATTAAGAAATGAAATAAATATAAAGTTTTGACCCTTAATTTTAGTCTCTGCCCAAGCTGCACGTTTCCAGTATTTTTTGCTTCACAACTTGAAAAAATATTCGATTTGGTTTGGACTAGGTCAGGTCATATTAATTAGCGTGACAAGCATGCCATCTCGAACCATGGAATTCAAACCATATATCTATGAATGTTGATAGCTATACAAAAACTCAAACTCGTCTTAGCTGTGACGTACGTTAACATACTTTGTTTACATCCAACGACAGCTAGGCTTCCATCTGTCAAGTTGTGTATGGTTCACTCGGCTTCAAGGGGAAGTCTAGGTCTTCATGAATTAATGTCATGTCTTTTTTTTTCCCGGTAATTTTCTTGAACGCCATGTCGTGGCGACAAGCCTTGAAGGTTCCAGAACTATATGAACCAAAGTACACCAGAACATTGCCGTGAAGTTACTCAGACGCCAACAAACAGTTATATAGTCATTTGTCAAAAGACACTTTCTGAGAATTACGTTAAAATTTGATCAAGGAAGAGAGACTACTTATGTTCAAACCTAATTAGGAGTATAATTTTATTAATCAGTATTAATCAAGGCATTGACCCCAGAAAAAAGTATTAATCAAAGTATTTTTCATCATAACTTCACTCTGCATTGGTTAATATTTTATGATAAATATATGTTAATCATGATTAGCCATGATGTTATGTGTGAAAAAATTGAATGGGGCATAACTAGTGTATGCAATGCCTTCGCTTAAGATGCATTCTGTCCGTCAATGGAATTTAAAATACCATCGCCTTCACTAATCCCCGAAGTGATAACCCGAATTTTGTACTAGTTAATCTTTTTCTTCAATAAAATACTATCGCATTCTCTGAAAAAAAATTGTATTTTGTCTGTCAATGAAATTTAATAGTGACAAAAAGGGTCAAGAAAGGAATATCCACACCCTTCTGTAAGGTTCCAAAGAGGGGAATGAAGGGAAGAATCCATGTATGGAAAATCAAAGGAGAAGTAGGTAGAAAAGCACACTCGATGTCGATAGAGGTCTTCCCACAGCAAAGTCACCTTTTTTTTTCTTTTTTTTTATAAATGATATAGAAAAACAAGTTGTCAAAGTCAATAACCTATTTTTAATTTCCAATAGCCAAGTAGTGATTTTTTTTTTCTCGACGTGTTATGGCGGCCACATTTTCAGAAATTAAAGATTACTCCAGGCTTCCAACCAAAGGGTGTCAAATATTGATAGAAAATAGTCTATTGCCTCCATTTCCGAGAACCAAGCGAGTTCACCCACTTTTACATAAGACTTGGTAATTGCCAATAATGATATCCATGATGAGGCATGTCTTGACCTTTGGGGTTGGGTATGGGTTAGGTCTTCAACCAGTTTTGGGGGCAAGAAATTGTTGTGTGCATTATTATATACTATATGGCATGCGTTATTATATCTTCGGAGAGACACTTACATACAACGAGGTATTTTACTTCTATTTCTCTTTTTACTTTAATCATCATCTGTTTAAAAAAAATAAAAATAAAGATAAAATGGTATCCGACTTTGAAAAAATTTGAACATAAATTCTCAGTTATGTAAGAGTAAATCTTTTTAACTACTTGGACCATAAATCATTTCTCCGTCACATAACTTCTTTGCATACAATTGAGCAAAGAATTCAATAGAATGACTCTATAATTGAGACCAAAGATTTAAACGTGGGACTTCTATGTAAACTTTGGGCTTTTACTTTGCTATGTCTAGGTTTTGAATCCCAAAATCCTTGGGACATGTTTTATGAAGTTGATTAAGGAGCTGACCCAAATGAAGTTACTCCAAAGCAAATCCAATCCAACCCAACCCAACAACAATCCAAATTGCACCGCCACTTGTTTTTTGTAATCTCCATCCATCTTCCTATTGGACTCCCCAAGGAAGAAACCATGATCACAAAAACGAACATAAAAAAGAGGAAGATAAGTGGGCCCCCCAGAAGAAACAAGAAAAATGACATAAATTGTTGCCAACCTCACAATCCCACACTCACAATCCAAGTGAAAAGGAAAAAACAGAACTTCAAAAACCAGAAAATCGAACAAGAAAAAAAAACAGAGTAGCAAATCACAAACACAAAACCATGGTTGCAGCAACACTAACTTCACCATCATCCCAACTCTTATGCTCAAGCTCTCGCTCTATCTCTCAGCTCTCTCCTCTGCAACAATGTCTCTTTGGGTCCAAAGCAATCGTCTCCTGCCCCAGTAACGTGAACTACAGCAAGAAGAGGCATGTGGGCGATGGGGTGAAATGCATGGCGGTGGCGGCGGAGACAGAGCCCAAGAAGAAAGGCGGGTACCAGATACAGACGCTGACGAATTGGTTGTTGAAGCAGGAGCAGGAGGGCGTGATTGATGCAGAGCTCACCATTGTTCTCTCGAGCATTTCCTTGGCCTGCAAGCAGATTGCTTCGTTGGTGCAGAGAGCTAGCGTTTCTAACTTAACTGGTATTCAGGGTGCCGTCAATGTTCAAGGAGAGGACCAGAAGAAACTCGATGTTGTCTCCAATGAGGTCTGTGGTTCACCTACTAGTTTCTTATTTTGATGGAAGCTAGGATGCACAGAGAATTGAATATAGTTTCTTATTAAATCAATTTAAATGCTAAATTAGGCAAAGTTCAAAAAATAATAATAACAAAAAAGAAATTCCGTTGCCGGGACTTGAACCCGGGTCTTTCGGGTGAGAGCCGAATATCCTGACCAACTAGACTACAACGGATTGGTGATTTTCATGTGATAATTAAATTTTAAGAACCATATGTTAGAATAGGGGATTGAATTTTTTGGGTATACAGGTTTTCTCCAATTGCCTAAGATCAAGTGGACGAACAGGGATTATAGCATCAGAGGAAGAGGATGTGCCGGTGGCTGTGGAAGAGAGTTACTCAGGCAACTACATTGTGGTGTTTGACCCACTTGATGGATCATCCAACATTGATGCTGCAGTGTCAACTGGATCCATCTTTGGAATATACAGCCCAAATGACGAGTGCTTTGCAAGCATTGAAGAAGACTCAACTGTAAGTCGACCGAACGTCTTTTAAGTCTCAACTAATGTGATAGTATTTCATTTGTTTATATCGCCCACTGAATCTCGTTTGTATATAACTACGAAGAATAATATTGGAACACTTATATATATATATATATGTTTGCATTGTAGCTTGACAGTGCTGAGCAGAAATGTGTGGTGAGTGTGTGCCAGCCAGGAAGCAACCTGCTTGCTGCTGGCTACTGCATGTACTCCAGCTCTGTAATCTTTGTGCTTACAATTGGGAAAGGTGTATTTGCATTTGCCTTGGACCCTATGTATGGAGAATTCGTTTTGACCCAAGAGAACATTCAAATACCAAAAGCAGGAAAGATTTACTCATTCAATGAAGGCAACTATCAGCTCTGGGATGACAAGCTAAAGAAGTACATTGATGACCTGAAGGACCCGGGTCCTAGTGGCAAGCCCTACTCTGCTAGGTACATTGGCAGCTTGGTTGGGGACTTCCACCGGACGCTGCTCTATGGTGGCATTTATGGGTACCCTAGGGACAAGAAGAGCAAGAATGGGAAGCTGAGGCTGTTGTATGAGTGTGCACCAATGAGCTTTATAGTTGAACAAGCAGGTGGGAAGGGATCGGATGGCAGTGCTAGAGTACTTGACATCCAACCAACTGAGGTGAGTGTAAATCGTATAATTGCTGTGAGTTTCTGCAGCTCCCTTTGTAATTTTAATGACTTTAACTTTTCCTTCTTGTTATTCTTTTCTGACAGATCCATCAGCGTGTTCCGCTTTACATTGGAAGCGTGGAGGAGGTGGAGAAATTGGAGAAGTATTTAGCTTGATCAGAATGTGACAACAAAGGGATTTAATTTTGTTTGTGAAGATAAAGTTGTATGGGATTTTTTCTCAAGAAAAACAATGAACAAGAGAGAATTGAATTTATATTTTGCTGAAATAAGTATTACAGAAGATTAACGAATGATAATCGGATTAAAGGATATTAATACTTCCATAATAAATTGTTTACAGCAGCCTTTGTCAATATAGACAATTCTATACAAAGATTACAAGATCCAGCGAAGGGAGAAAGAAACTGTGTAGCCATTAGCCTAAGTAAGCCCAGGACTGCAACAAGGGGATACCAAAGATAGAATACTAAGTTACTAACCACAAAATTATATATATTTCTAAGAAATGTGAGAGTTGTCTTAATGCTAGCTTCTAAAAGAGTTATAGATTTCTTAAAATAGTAAGAAATCTTTTGCAGCAAGTCCAGTACAATTCTGCTAAACCTGAGAGCTTCCGCGGTTTTTCACTGCAATTCCAAAAGCACACAAATTAGAAACTCTAAACTGTTAAATTAAAATGAGAAGAGAGTTAAGAAAGACAGTAGAATTACCAGGGCTTATAATTCTAATACATTTTGTTACAGACTTCACTGCGGTCAGAGAATCAGAACCTGCAAGAACGCAAGTTTACTCATTAAATATAAAATGCATGAACATGGCAGAAACTTTATAACTGCTGAGGATGTGTTTCATTACCTTGCTCATTCATCCCCTTCTCTGATAGTACTTCTGTCACAGTTGATGAGAATTCTGACATAACTTGATTAGCCCCCACATTACCATCCGCAGTTTCATTATCATATGATGACCTATGTGAGTTTTGAAGAATATAAGATAAGATAAGAAAACTGAATTGAAATGACAGTAATGACGAGAGTAATGGAAAGATATATGTCATGGAAATATGGAAGGTAGAGAATACCCTGAAACAGTCCCCATGGAAGCACCAACATTTGGTTGACTAGCATAACCAAGTTCTTCACAATGAAGATCAAATTCACCTAACATTTCAGTGAAGGAGAAATCCACCCCAATGGCATCGAAGTTAGGCAAATCAATGTCAAAAAGGTCAACTTCCTTTTCAGACTCAGATGTTGAAATATCATCAGAAATTGGTTGGTCCAAGCTCATTGGCACATCAGAACAGTCAAAATTGAGCCTTCCTTTTACATGGTCTCTCTTACTTGTCTTGGCAGGTGATGAAGAAATGCAATGGTTCGTTTCCACAGTATAGCAAGCTTTGTTTGGGCTCAGAGTCACTCTTTTGATGAAAATATGGTGCAGCAGTTAGGGGTGATCTCTGGAGGAGAATTGTTATTACTGCAGGTAGCAGTGGAAGAAATCTCAAAAGGAGACACAGACTTATCGATTTGAGATGAAATTGCTCGTGGAGGAGTCCGAGGACCAGAAGAAGTGTTCGGAACGGAGGGAGACGGTTGGTTGAACAAGCATTTAGCCACAGTGGAACCATGAGCTAAGGACCCATTCGGAACCAAATTTGGCAGCAATGATTGAACAGTTGAAGATGACTGGGCAGATTCTTGATTATTGAGTGCATTAGCTGATACTGAAACTGTTTCTGCATCTGCCCATTTTAAAATTCAATCAGAATAAACACCGTAATGACATAAATCAGATGCAGAGAATGACAACTTTGAAGAACATACATACTTTAGTTATATATACCTTTGTTTGGAACCTTGCCAGTAGGTAATCTGCTGCAAGATCTCTTAGAAGCACTTGGGGCATCCACTGAAACTCTATAACACTTTCTCTTAGTTGCAGGTGGGTCAATTGTAATTGGTGAGCAGAAATTTCCAGGCCCCACGTTGGTGTTGGAAGGTGTGGACACATGATGAGCAACTGGTGTTTGGTACATTGGAAAACCTAATTGAAAGGCATCAAACATTTAATTCATATTGAATAGCTCATGGAGTGATTATTCTTGTCTTTTTGTTAATTTCTCAACTGTATGGTTCAAGCAACAATGGGTTTAAATAAGGCAAACAAAATGAAACACCTAGAAGTTGAAATTGGTGCATCTAAGCTCACAAAAACCACATGCAAAGTCTCGATGTTCTCAATTCATTCAAGAAATTTCTCAAACACAAGCAGATGGGATGTGTTATTGTACCTGCTGGAGACCCATTGGATGGGTTCACGTGAGGAGCCATAAGCATCGGTTTGGGAGCTGCGGCTGGACCTGTGGAGATAGTGGCTGGGTTTCCGCTGGCATTGTAAGTGTTCATGACGCCTTGCATACCCTTCAACAGAGTTTGGACCCGGGTCTTCTCTTGCTCCACCCGGACCTTCTCCTGATCCAAAATCACCTTCTGCTCCTTCAAGCATATGTACTCGTTCAGAATCTCAGCCAAGCTCAGCAAGCTCTTCGGCGCCTACAGAGATAAACGAAAATATGAAAAAACCCAAATCCCAAACCAGAAAAAAAAAAATTAAAACTTTCAGGCTGATTTTGAACAAAGTGTGGCAAAAAACCAAGTGGGTACCTCTCGAATGGGTGATTTGGCGATGAGAGATGAAGCTTCGTTTCTGAAAACAGAGCGAGTCTCCGAATAGTTGTTATCGCAGAGATACCGATCCACGATGAACGCGATTTGGACTGGGGTGACCTTTCCCTTCCCCAAAGTCTCTGATTTCTTGGCTTTAGTTTGCTTCCCCATTGCTTGAAAATGGGGGAGATAAAGAAGAGTCTCTGGAAAATTAAGTCTCGATAAAAAGGTTGCAACTGATGAAGAAGAAGAAGAAGAAGAAGAAGAGGGTTCAGATCTGAGGACAGATAAAATGGGTGAGCTTAAAAGGGAGGGAGTTTAGAAAAAAGAGAGAGGGAGATGAAGAAGAGAAAAAAAAACGCGGGAGTTTTCGAAACTTTTGGGAGGAAATTGGAAAATGAGCGAGGCTAAATGAAATAGCATGTGGATGTATTTTCAACCCTATTTATGATATAATAACAAGGCTTTTTATCACAAATGGTCCTTCACGTTTACGAAATTATCACGAATGGTCCTTGAGGTTTTTTTGTGACACTAATAGTCCTTAACGTTTGAGCTTTTTATTACAAATGGTCCCTGCCGTTATAACTTCTGTTAAGTATGATGTAGAAAATAAATGGAGCCCACCTGTCCAATTACATTGTGACATGTGGATAAAAAATAATTAAATATTTTTTAATGAAAATTACTTTTTTTTTCTGTAACTTTTCATCCCCTTCCTTATTACTCCGTCTCTCTCCCCCTCTGCCCTCACTCTCCATCTCTGCTCGCAACCCACAACCCATGCCCAACGAATCTCTTCTTGCAACCCACCTATTCATGTTTACTAGTTTCATGAGGGTGCAGTGGTGCTCAGGAATGAGGTTCAAGATGGCGTTTGAGACTGAGGACTCTTCTAGGATCAGCTGGTTCATGGGTACCATTGCTTATGTTCAGGTTTCTGACCCAATTCGCTGGCCCAATTCCCCTTGGAGACTTCTATAGGTATTGTATTGTTCTGTGATTTGGTGCTCAAATTGTACTTCGTTTTTAGAATTTTGTTGTCTTTTTTTTTCCCTGAGGTTGTGTTCTTAGGGCTGCTCTTGCATGTTGTCTTGTTTGGTTTGTTGGTAGGGACTAGGGAGAGAACAATCAGATTTCTCCTCCCACGTATCATGTCATGTCTTACATCTTTTGCCTTGTATCAGTTTGTGAAAATTCTTGAATCCGGGGTCTCGAGATTTTGGCTCTTCTCATTTGGTTAGATGTGCTGAAATGTTTTTGAGTGAATCAGAGTGTTTTTAGCTTTTTGACCCATTTGCAGGGCTAAGAAAAAAATGATTTACAACATGCCAAATTCACAGTTTTTCATCTCCCCATCTTATTTTGGCGAATTGCTGCAGTTCTTGCTTCCTTTATGTTCGTTGGCCACCATCCTTGTGTGATAGGGCTGTGAGAAGAGATTCGTTGGGCATGGGTTGCGGGTTGCGAGAAGAGATGGAGAGCAAAGGGTGGAGAGCACCTGTATCTTATATTTTTTCTTGCAGGTGGCAGTGGGAAATAAAAAACAGGGGGAGGAGAGGACAGGGAGAAGAGATGGAGAGCGAAGGGTGGAGAGTGAAGGCAGAGGGGGAGAGAGAGACGGAGTAATAAGAAAGGGGAATGAAAAGTTGCAGAAAACAAAAATGGAATTTTCATTAAAAAATTATTTAATTATTTTTTATCCACATGTCACAATGTAATTGGACAGATGGGCTTCACTTATTTTCCACGTCACACTTAACAGAATTTATAACGGCAGGGACTATTTGTGATAAAAAGCCCAAACGTTAAGGACTATTAGTGTCACAAAAAAACCTCAAGGACCATTCGTGATAATTTCATAAACGTGAAGGATTATTTGTGATAAAAAGCCTAATAACAATTTTATTTTGGCAATCAACTAGCCGTTTGGAACAATTATGGTATGGTTGTATTGTAGGTATCCACCAATAACTAGGTTGTATTGGAAGATAGAATACCTTACCAAATAATGAAGAGTGTATTTGGTTTAAACTTAATGTATGAATCAAGAGCCTCTTTTTTCTTTTTCCTTTTCTTTTTGGGGTTAAAAGAAATTAAACTTTCATAAAAACACTTAAAAGAGTCGAACGTTTATGAGTAGTATAACCAATTATCATTGCACTTAAATTGATCACACACCTGAATATATGCTATATTGTTTTCCTAGTTATCAACCAGCTATTCCATAATTGCTTGGATTTGTTCACTAATTGAGATTAATACTTTAATATTAATGAAATTCTTTCATGGTTCTCATTTTGTGGTGGGATCTATCTATATAAGAGTCAGTTTTCTAAATGTTATATTTCCTTAACTGAAAATTCTTAAACCCATAGGAAACCAAAGGTGGATCAATTGGAGTCATTTGAGTTGTCTATTACAGATCATTCAGAAACACGTGTTGATATATATATATATATATATATTCTCGAAACACGGTTACCTTTAAAATCATGTAATAATACACCATTTAATTTATCACACAATCAAATGGAGCTCAAACTTGCTTGCTTATTTATACTTCGTTCTAGTTGGTTGACATAAGGGCCTTCGAACTTGAACTTGAATTGCCTAGTGGGCTCATTGGGCTTATTGGATCGAGCTCTAGATTCAGCGCCAAAAACAAAATCCATAACGACCCAAAACCAACATCTGGGCTCACCAGGGAATTCATAATGCAAAGGAAGCCGGAGAGCACATAACACCTCCTTATCTCTCCAGTTACAGCGCCTGATTGAAGCTTGAAGATGACACTGGGACTTCTCCAATGGAGTCCTTGCCACCAATATCTCTCCCTTTCCTTCACTATCCCCACAACCAAACACACCCAACTCCCACTCTCAATCTCTGCCACACTAGAACCCGCTACCAGTACCCAACAACACCTCACTGCCAGAGAGAGAAGGCAGCTGAGGAACGAGAGGAGAGAGAGCAAAACAGGTACCAATTGGAAAGAACAGGTGGAGGAAAAGCTTCTGGAGAAGCCCACGAAGAAGTTCGCTAATTGGAAGGAAGAGCTCAACATTAATAACCTCGCTCGTGAGGGCCCTCAATGGTGGATCGTTAAGGTCTCTCGACTCAAGGGCCAGGAGACTGCTCAGCTCATCGCTCGCTTGCTTGCTAGGAACTACCCTCACATTGATTTTAAGGTATTAAACTAATTCAGTGTTTTGGTTTCTGGGTTTGTTGCCAAATTGACTTATTAATGTCTGTTTCATTCCATTGATTTTAAGGTGTTTAATACTTTAGTTCAATGTTTTGGTTTCTGGTTATGTTGCCAAATTGACATAATCTGGATAATCATTTCAGTTTGTTCCAAAAATCGGCCTAGGCGGCTAGGCGCCCTGGGCGGTATGTTGCCAAATTGACATATAATCTGGATAATCATTTCTGTTTTTTCCCCACGTTTTATATCAATTATGGTACTTTATAATTTATATATCTTTTTATTTTGCATGATTTTGGTATAAATTTATAATTTATAATACAAAAAAAAATTATTTATTTTTTTAAAGAAATGCCTAGGCGGGCGCCTAGGCCCCCGATTACTTCTCTAGGCGCTAGGCCTCTGCCTGCTGCCCGCCTACCGCCTAGCGATTTTTCGAATATTCTGAACATATTGCATTGACGCCCTGCTATCTGAGACTCTGAGTATAGATTATACAATTCAATGTTTAGACCAAAACTAAACAAGGTAAAAATCTTAAGTGTTTGCTTTTCAGGTGTATGCTCCAGCTATTCATGAGAGGAAAAAATTGAAAAATGGTACTTACTCAGTTAAACCAAAACCCCTGTTCCCAGGGTGTGTGTTTATAAGGTGTGTTTTGGACAAAGAGATACATGACTTCATAAGAGAGTGCGATGGAGTTGGAGGCTTTGTTGGTGCTTTGGTTGGAAATACGTGAGTATTTATTCTTAAATGGTAGGTTTGTTGTGTATTGCCTATTGTTATTGTTATCATAGTAGGAAATTCTTATGTGAAATTGAGAAAAAAAGGAAAAAAAGAAAAGGGAAACAGCAATAGGTTTAATTTTAGTATATATACCAGATTAATGTAATGTGAAGAAACCCGATACAGTCTAGCACTGATTGAAATCGTCTGGTTTCATTATATGGTGGTGTCGTAGTATGACAAACACTATCATTTGTATGTATTAACACGGGGGGGTTGAACAAAAACGAGTGGGTGGTTAGAAACACCAAGATATGTAAAGGATTAGTAATGGAGATTATGTAAATTCTCCAAAAGGACATTTTTACATAATATACAAACAAAGAATACTCATTGGGGCTTTAAGTTGGTAGAAATGAAGCTTTAGAGTCATGTTATCACTGCACACTTACCTAATATGAAGAGATAGCCCAACAAATGGTAAAAAATGAAAAGCCTTTTGTAAGGGATTTTGTGTGACAATATGAAGCTACATTTGCACATATGTTTTAGCTAAAATAGACAAGGTAGATTTTGGGTTAAGTTTACTGGTTTACTGGCATTTTTGGGCTTCCCTTAGAGCCATTATTTTCTCCGTTGATTTCTAATCTCGAGGCCATCTTAAGTAGATGTCCTTCTAGACTACTGGCTACGTTGTGTACTTTCCAGTGAGTATCTAAATGTTATATTCATATGCACAGGAAAAGACAGATCACCAGACCCAGGCCAGTTTCTGAGTTTGACATGGAAGCTATCTTCAGACAGGCAAAGGAAGAACAACAAAAAGCCGAACAAGCTTTTGAACAAGATCAGCAAGAAGCAGCCCTCAACGATGGGCTCAATTCTGATGATGCTGTAAAGTCTACTGGAGATTCTAAACCAAAAAGGCGATCTAGAAAAACACTTGATCCTCTCATAAATGGTTCATCTAAAGGAAAGAATGAGAAGCTCGTCCCAGGTTCTAGTGTACGAGTTGTATCTGGGACTTTTGCAGAATATGTAGGCAGCCTCAAGAAGCTGAATCGCAGAACCAAAAAGGTATACTGTTTCTGGTATGAATTATTTGGCTTGAAAAATATGAGGAAATAAGCATGCTTTTTATTTTTTGGATATGCATGGCAGAATTACTAGTGTCTTCTTATGCAATATTTTACTCAAAAATCTCAATACATTGCTCGAAAAAAGTTATCTTCTGGAAACTTGACAGAGAAGTTAAAACAATTGTCATCTTGCAGGCAACTGTGGGATTTACGTTATTTGGGAAAGAAAGCTTAGTAGATTTAGATGTCAGTGAAATTGTTTCAGAGACCACGTAAATATGTTCATCCCTGATAATCATTATTAAATGGTAAGTTTTTCAATATATTTTCCTGTCTTTTCTAGATATATCTTACTTTCGTCTATATGAAAAATGCAGTGCCTTCAAAGTAATAACATAATTTTGTCTTGTTTGTCATCAAACGAACCTATAATGCATCTTGCTTGTAATCTGAAGTTTCCATGCCAACATCTTTGATTTGGTTAGGTTCTCATTATAAGTTGCTGATGGTGCGAAGCACCAGTACATGGGAAAAGAGGTGATTACTTTCGACATCCATTACTTATATTAAGTCGTAAATCCATGTTAATTGGGATTGGCTACCTGATTTGAGGCCATAGAAATTGCATTCCTACTGATAATGTATGTCCTTCCTAGTGAGGTCACATTCTGACCTCCGCCCAGATGCTTTTCCCCTTTACTGCCAACTTCCTTTATTTAAAATCATGGTGCAATGTGATTGTTTCATATGACGTATCAGATTAGTGTGCTTTTGGCGTGTTTTGTACTTGCTGCTTAGGCATCTTCTTCTATCTGTTCAATTTGAATTATTTTTCAAATTTGTCCATACTAGTGAAAGCTCAATCGTGGCCAATGAAAAATATGCATTCAGGATGAAAATACATCTGCTTGTACACACAGATGAATTGGAAAAAAAAATTAGAAAGGGTTGTTCACCATTTCTACAAAAGGAATAAAAGGAGTATGATATAAGTTGTGACTTGAACAGATGGTAATTGGTAGTGATGGTAGCTGGACCAGTTTTAGCATTAGAGGGGTGCCAATCCCAGAGGCAGCCATTTCTATGCTACTAACCGTGGCTTCGCCGGGAAGGCTAGCTGGACAGTTTAATTAGGGCTCCATGTAAGGGATGAGGGACCAAAGGGTGTCAATTATTAGGGTTTCGCATGATGAAAGAGAGTGAGGGAAGTCTCTTTAGCACAAAAATCTTCCTCCAGTTCATGAAAACAAACCTGTCTAGATTTACAGACTAAAAAATTCTTCCTCAAAGATGGTAAATTATACTCCAAGTCCAAAGTCACTCCACTAACTTTACTTTCCTGCTTCACTATTGTATATTATCGTCTTGGGGTCCTTCTTCATCATTATCTTAATGGGCTGCTCTATTATTTAATGGGGATAAAATTGCCAGCCTCAGATGGTGGTCCTTGCTCATTCGATTTGTGAAAACTTAAATCACAAAGCAATTGAATCTGCCAGCACATACAATAAAAGTGGTATCTATTGGACAGAAAAGTCATGTTGGCTTTTGCACTCGAGCGGTGTATGATTATATACGTCCTATATGCATATATTTACTATGATTATAAACTTTATTAAATAATTTTCTCAACTTCTTAATCCAGTTCTTAATTTGAGTAATGTTTACTCAAATTTTCAATGGCTTTTCTTTTTCCGAATCAATGAGACATGACTTCCTCGGACCTTTCCCAATATTAGAAAGAGATGTATCACTAGATTTAAGAGCTAGTTCCTAGTTGGTATTATTAGTCAACCTAAGTCCCATATGTTGTGCAAATAGCATTATTCATAACTGACTGAATTGGACCAAGCAAACGGATCATGGATTCATGGTGGCTGCTGAGTCTTTTGGGGTTGAGGCTGGACAATGGAAAGGGGACCAAAGAAGTTGAAATTCAATGAACTGTCCTTTTCTTCTGTTTCTTTCAAATCGCCCCGTTGTCTCGCTACTTGCTACATGTGGTTCTAAATACGACACGTATACGTATTCGATACGGATAGGAAGAGATTCCCCTCTTCATTTCCTGGTAATGAGAAAGGTGAATTCTTGATTCTGAATCACGCAAGGCATTGTTTGCCTGCTTGTACCTTAAACTCGTGAGAATATAAATAAATAAATAAAAGAAAGGACCATTGAAATTCACCACCACAAATAACCCCGCTGTCCAAATAATATACTGTCCCAAGTACCAATGTCACGAACCATGCCATTCAATATTCAATGCAAGAACAGGTTGGTTGGTTCTCTAGTCTACAAGTTAAACTTTAAAATGCTGATTGCATTAACTAGCTCCACCCTTGGAATCTATATACAACAGAGTGATTTTCATTTTTTATATCTAATCATTTAAGAACGAGAGATTCGAACTTGAGATATCTTTCAGTATTGAAAGATACGCGTATGTGAGATGCAATGGACAAATTGAAGAAGATTCATTAACCCAACAGTTTGTTTTACAGTAACCAGTGAGCTAAAAGATAATGCTGCATTATTAATTTATTTACAGTGAAGGAAAGCCATACTTTTGTTTTATCCAAGAAGAAAGAAGAGTAAGACGACACAAAGCACGCGCACATTAGTTTATACTGAAAAGAGTTTACTAAAGTGGTCACGATGCACATTGCACAACACAACACCACAGCACACCTTCTCCTCTCTTCTCTTCTGTTTGGTGTTTTTATCACACAATTGCTGCAGTTAGATATGGTCCCCTGTTCCTCACCCACCTCCCACAACCAAAGCCTTTTCCATGACAAAAAACAAAAGCAAAAACTTGAAAAAGACAACTAGTGCGAAGATATTAAAAACCCTAATACTCCCGCTTTGTAATCTGTCCATACAGCTGTCACTTTAAAGCTCATTTCTTTCTTTTATAAAGTAAATTGGCAACTCCAACCCTAAAATTTAGAGATATTCTACAACCCCCACCTGTGTTTTGCTTATTTGTATTTGTTGATTCCTTTATTGGTATTGATATTGAAGGTCTTTCACCTACAAGGCCACACCTACCTTGTTCTTGTTTAAGCATTGGAAGTAAGGGTGGGTGATGATTAATGGATTAGGGTCGATGCATAACCGAATGCGTTCTCTCGTCAAATTTATGTTATCAAACAAATACTTATATTACTAGACATTTCGTGCTTCATTTTCGGTTAAAACCAATCTAAATTATTAGTTTAAACTCACAATTTGACAATATAATATCTTATTTTATCATATAATATTGACTCTTGAAAATGAGCAATTATATATTCCATCATATTGAATGTTTAAGATTCTTTTAGGGATATGACAAAAAATTATTCAAGGGAAACAAGGGGGCAAAAGAGAAAAAGTCATTTTATAAGTTCATCATTACAAATAAAAGTTATGGCAAATTGTGAATACACAAAGCAAAGTGGGCACCTGGAAATTTAAGAAAAGCATAAGTGCACAAATGCAAAAAGTTCTTTATTATATTCCCCCAGTCAGCAACCACTCAGTGAAAGTGTCTGAGAGAGCTTGCAGAAACGAGTAAGCGTATTTAATTTTCACAACCTCCAAGCCAACCCCCTCCTTATTCTTTACTCTCTTCCTCTGCTTTCCACTTTCAAACCCTAGAAACAATTCACCTTTAGATGCAAATGGGTCTCTTCCCCAAACACTAGAAACCCACTAGTTAATCCATTCCCAGATTCAGCTCAATCCCATTTCAGCCATGGCCTCATTACCCTTTTCCAAACACTTAGCTGCCTTTGTTTTGCTAATTTTCTTCCTGCAACCCTCAGCTGCAGACTCAAACTCCTCGTTTTCATTCACTGAATTTGGTAAAGGTCCAAAATTTGAGTCCAATATTGCTCTTTATGGTGATGCAGAGGTTGTTAATGGTGGGTATGCAGTTCAACTCACTAGTTCAGTGAGATCAAGTGCTGGGAGAGCCATGTACAAGAAATCCATCAAGCTCAGTGAAGGTAAACCTCAGAAATCAGTATCTTTCTCCACAAACTTCTCATTTTCTGTGTCCACTGGCAATGGGGATGGTTTGGCCTTTGTTATGGTTCCAAGTGGTTTCAATCTTAGCATGTTTGCTAATAGCTCTTTTGGTCTTTCCCTAGGATATGGGAAAGGTAAATTTAAAGTTGTTGCAGTTAAATTTAATGCATTAAGGGATGCCAAGGTTCATGTTGGAATTGATGTGGGTAGTTCTGTATCAGCTAAAGTAAGCACTTCTTCAAGTAAGAATTTGAATCTAACTAGTGGGAATAAAACGCATGCTTGGATCGATTATGAAGCTGGTTCGAATAGATTAGAAGTTAGGCTGAGTCAATTTGGTCATCCAAGGCCAGCTGATCCTCTGCTATGGTACCCAATTGACTTGTCAAAACTGTGGGAGCATGAGAAAGTGTTTGTGGGCTTAAGTGCAATGAACAGGAATTCGTCTCAGACATGTTTGATAACTTCTTGGAGCTTTGAGCAAAGGCATGTGCCGCACTGGATGCATTCACAGCCACTAGATCCCAAGGTCTTTGCTAAGAATTTGAAACCGGTGAGAGTTGAAACCAAAAAGGATTGTGTAAAAAGGGTTTTTGGTGCAATGTTTTTTGGTGTTGCTTGTGGAGCATTGGCATCACTCCTTGCATTGTATTTGTGGACCGTCTTCGGTAATCGGCGTCCAGTGGTGCCAGAGGGTTATGCTGAGCAGCCTAAAGAATTTGAGTACGATAAAGTGAAAGTAGGTGTAGATGATAAAGCCATCGAAGATGGAAAGCAGTAGATGTTTGAGTGTCGAAGGCTGTTGCTTGTTGTATTGTAAATCAATCTTGTTTTTCTTTTATGTATTTTCAGGTTGTGTCTTTACTTGTAGTTGTAGTAACCTGGCAGTCAATTGTCAAAATGTAGTAACCTGGGAGTCCACTTTCAACTGGGAAATTGAAACATAGCATGGTTTTCCCCACTCTTGTTTAAAATTATTCACCATTAATGCTGGTAGCTGCTTAAATTCCTTCCAAGCTCGTCAGAAATCCAGTTTTCTACCTTCTCTTATGTCGAAGATAGCAAGGCCCTTTCAATTTCCAGCATGACTTTGCAGTCATTTTTGGTAAAGCATGGGAGCCTCTAACTGCAAGTAAATTAGTCTCAACTTCCAGCCCATTCAAACTCAGGCTAGCACTTGAGAGCCAAAGATTTAAAGATGTAATTTGCTTAGAATGGCATACATAATCTCCGCTTTATAGGCTTAGAACCATAACTTCATACTCATCACAGCCAACCCATTGAAACTTGGGCTGAGAGATGTTGCCTTTCTGAAAAATACTTGTGATGGCATATACCTTTGTCAAGGATGCAAAGACCCGACAATTGATGCTTCAATCCTTACATAATCCTTACATATTTTACACATCATTACAAAGAATAAACACAAACTTGCAAAATTTTGGATTCAACGGAAAAACATGATAGCAATTCACAGAAAGATGAATCTACCGGATAACGAAGATTACCCGTTGAAACTTGGGCTGAGAGCCAAAGATAAAAGCGCTTAATCTGTTTAGAAATGGCAGTGAAGACGATACAAATGCCATTTGTTCAGAAATGGCAACGCATGCTAGTGCTTAAAAAGGATTAATATCACCATATAGAAGATCTCAGTTTACCCAAAGTACATAACAACAGAGAAACGAAATTGGGATAACAAGTTTGTTTTTAACAATATTAAGACCTACAGCTACCACGAACAACTGATCACTTTGCCATACTCCGGCAACCGGAAGTTGCAGCAATTCACATTAGTCAACATCACATTACACCTCCTGACCTTCCTCCTCCTCTTCGTCCTCATAATATTCATCCTCCTCAGCTGTGGCATCCTGGTACTGTTGATACTCTGAAACCAAATCATTCATGTTGCTCTCAGCTTCTGTGAATTCCATCTCATCCATGCCTTCACCAGTGTACCAATGCAAGAAAGCCTTCCTCCTGAACATAGCAGTGAACTGCTCGCTCACACGGCGGAACATCTCCTGAATTGAGGTCGAGTTTCCAATGAAAGTGGACGCCATTTTCAAGCCAGTTGGGGGGATGTCACAGACAGTGGACTTGACATTGTGCGGAATCCATTCCACAAAGTAAGAGGAGTTCTTGTTCTGAACATTGATCATCTGCTCATCAACCTCCTTGGTGCTCATCTTGCCCCTGAACATGGCTGAGGCAGTTAGATATCTGCCATGGCGAGGGTCAGCTGCGCACATCATGTTCTTGGCATCCCACATCTGCTGGGTGAGCTCAGGCACAGTGAGGGCTCTGTACTGCTGTGAGCCACGTGATGTCAAAGGAGCAAAACCCACCATGAAAAAGTGGAGACGAGGGAAGGGGATGAGATTGACGGCAAGCTTTCGGAGGTCAGAGTTGAGCTGACCAGGGAATCTCAAACAGCACGTGACACCAGACATAGTTGCAGAAATCAAATGGTTCAGATCTCCAACTGTACAAACACAAAAATCAGCATCCCAAATTCCACAATTAAGCAAACCTAAATATCAGATAACAATTAACTGAGAAACTTACAGCTTGGGGTGCTGAGCTTGAGCGTACGGAAGCAAATGTCATAAAGAGCTTCATTATCCAGAACCATACACTCGTCTGCATTTTCAACAAGCTGATGCACTGACAAGGTTGCATTGTAGGGCTCAACAACAGTGTCTGAGACCTTGGGGGAGGGAAACACAGAGAAAGTGAGCATCATCCTATCCGGGTATTCTTCTCTGATCTTTGAAATCAACAGAGTACCCATTCCAGACCCAGTTCCTCCTCCTAGGGAATGGCACACCTGAAACCCTACAATTCAAAACAAACCTAACCTAAATACCATGTACCAATAAAACAAAAGAAAATAAATGAGAGCAAGCCATTCAGGAATTTCATCAAATACCTTGTAGGCAATCACAATTCTCGGCTTCCTTGCGAACCACATCGAGCACAGAATCGATCAATTCAGCCCCCTCCGTGTAGTGGCCCTTAGCCCAGTTGTTCCCGGCACCAGACTGGCCAAAAACGAAGTTGTCAGGCCTGAAGATCTGACCGTAAGGTCCAGATCTGACGCTGTCCATGGTCCCTGGCTCAAGGTCCATAAGAACAGCCCTGGGCACATACCTCCCACAACTGGCTTCATTATAATAGACATTTATCCTCTCGAGCTGAAGCTCTGAGTCTCCCTCATACCTTCCGGTGCCGTCGATGCCGTGCTCGGCGCAGACTACCTCCCAGAACTTGGCACCGATCTGGTTGCCGCACTGGCCTCCCTGGATGTGAAGGATTTCACGCATTTTGAATCGAAAGGGCGACGAAAATCGAAAAGCGGATTTAGGGTTTTGGTCTCTCTGTGAGAAAATCGCAGAGAGAGAGAGAGAGAGAGAGAGAGAGAGAGAGAGAGAGAGATACGAGAAAGAAATGAATGGGGTAGGGGGGGTGGGGACGGAGGCGATCTTTTATAGAAAAGTAGGTTTTCGAGAGGCAACGGTTGGATTTGAATGGAGAAGCGGGAAGTTTTGTTTGAATGGGTGGAAATGAGTTGGGGTATTTGTTTAAGGGGATTGAGAATGGACGGTTCAGATTTGAGGGTGGGGTTGGTGGAGGATTTTGTCTTCCTTTATTTGAAATTCAAATTTTAAAAACAGCTGGGTGCCCGGAATTTTGGCTCCTTTTTTAAATTTAGGAACAAAGACAGATACAGTTTTTAATGTTTCAATCTGGCATTGAAAACCAACCTAGCGTCCCTAGCACAAGAATCGGCACTCTATCAGTTGAATGTCGCATTTTACTATGCTTTCAAAAAATAAAATAAATAATTGTTAAATTAGTGGCATCGAGCATTTAACATAGAAACGAAACTTTATAAGAGCATCTCAAACCAATGTGTCTAACGTGCAACATAGACATATAACGGCTAGAAATAACATCTTACATCATTCCAACCGATATGTCAAAGCTGATGTGGAATGAAGGCTGGAGGTTGAAATGTTATTTTTGACATCCCAAAAGCAAGATGTCAAATGAATATTTTATTATTATTTCTTTTCTTTTCTTTTTAATTAAAAATGAATTAACACTAAAATGTAATAAAATAATAATTTAATTTGACATATCGGATGGAGTGTAAAGCTGTGTAAGATGTCAAATTGCCACATCAGCCATCAAATTTAGATTTGATGTTTAGTATTTGACATCTCCCTTGGAGATGCTCTAAGTTGTGCGTGGAGTGTGTGATTAAAAAAAAACCTCACACACACACGGAAGAGCGTGTAAAAAGGCTAGTTGGTGTAGGGGTGGGCATTAATCCGGCCGAACCAAACCATAATTACTTGTTTGGTTTGGTTTTGATCAAGAAAAAGTCAAATTGTTTAAAAACCGAATCGGACCATATATGATTTGATTTTGAGCTTTTATAAATCGGTCTAAACCAAACCAAACCGTTTATGTGTATATTTATTTATATTTTATTTTACATGTGTAATACTCTAATTAGTTGATAACTATATGAACATTTGAATTGAGCTATATTAGTTAGTGAAATATAAAGTTTTTATGACATTTTGAGCTTTAGGATGGTTTCGTACTCTATAAAATGAATTTTGTATGAAGCAAGTTGTGAATTTGTTGGTTATAGTTGGGCTAACAATGTTGAAAAAATGCAAAAAGAAAGATAATTGGGCTTAGGCCCAAACCAGCCGAACCAAACCGTCTTAAATTAATTTGGTTTGATTTAGTTTTCTTTATAACTTTTATCCAAACGAACTAAACCAAATTGTCATATTGTAATTGGTTCGGCCATAATTTTAAAGTAAAACCGATCCAATTTGGACCGTGCCCACCCCTAGTTGGTGCTAAATCAAATTCTCGTAGAAGACTGTATAAAGTGACTCTACCATTAGCCTTTAGGGTTTAGGATTTTGGATATAGTGAGTTACAATCATTATACATCCCAAACACAAACCTACACGTAATGGTGATCGACCTAACCTAGATTATAAGTGTACGCCTCATCAATAAGGTGTCACGCTTTGAGCATCAGACTCGAGCTCTGTGAAACTTGATTTTGACATAAGGAGTATCTCCCATTTTTCATTTACAATGGTAAAAGGATATTATTATTTGAATTTCCTTGGCAAGTGATATAGAGAAAATTGCAAATATTAGAATTAGATGATAAAAAAATGTACACATTCAAGAGAACCGCCCCATGTGGCTATTGGGTCAATTGACCCAACTTTCAATTGTATTTTTTTGTTGGGTGTTTAAGGCAGACCCAATTTCGTTCGTTACGGTTCCAGCTATGCTCATATTTTTATCTGTCGGTTCAGTTTCGTTTTGCTATTAGTGTTCGTGGTTCGAACCAACAATAGATTAGCCAATTTGACAACCGATTCAATATAAATTGGATTGGATTGATAAATTCGAAATCAAATTCAATCTTATTGTTATGCTAATGCAAAGACTTTTGGGTCACAAATCCACCATCTGGAAATGTAAGATGTAACTGACTGAATGATGCCAAAAAAAAAAAAAAAAAAAAAAAAAAAAAAAAAAAAAAAAAAAATAAAATTAAAAAAAAAAAAAAAACAGATCTCAGTAAACTTCAGATTATCTTCAATTCCTTGTGGGAAATTGCAGATAGATAACGCAGTATTGATAAACATCATTGATCCACTAAAAAAAATTCGGAAAAACTAGAAAACAAATCGAAAAGAAAAAGCATCTCAGAATATAACTTCCCCATGGTTTTCTTCACAGGCAATCATAGTGCAAGGATAACGATTAAAGAAAATCATCATCGATGCTCGTTTTAAAAAAACCTCGACAATACTAAATAAAAACCAGAAGAATAATCAATATGAAAATCTCGAAAACAGATCTGGGAAATTATTAAAAAGATGAACAAAATTTACTCCAGCTTAGCTTTACGAGCTTACCCCATCGCATAAGATAGATATAAGAAGATGAACAAGAGTGCGATAAGGTTAGTGAGATGGCAAAGGGCGGCGGCGCAGGTATTGCGGGTTTTACAAAGCAGCGATAGTGAGAAAGGGTTTCGGAAAATATTTATAAGGAGGGTGTGATTGGAGTTAACCCTAACCACCTGTTTGGTAAGTGGGATAACTCAATCCTGGATCATGTATCCTAAAATATTCGTATAGTAGGGTCTAGCCGTATTTAAATACTAGAATATATTGGAAGCGTATAGCCGCACGGCTATACTTTCTGATATATTCAACTAGTATAGCCGGTCGGCCATACAATTTAAATACTAGAATATATTCGAAGCGTATAACCGGACGGCTATACTATTTAAACACTAGAATATATTCGAAGGTGATAGCCGTGCGGCTATACTAAATAAATATTCTGATATATTCAACGCGTATAGCCGTACGGCGATATTATTTAAATAAAAGAATGTATTCGAACAGTCTAGCCGGACGGCTATACTATTTAAATATTAGAATATATTCGAAACGTATGGTCGCGCGGCTATACTATATAAATATTAGATTATATTCAACGAGGATAGCGGCGTGGCTATACTATTTAAATATTATATATTCAATGAGTATTAGCCGTCCGGCTATACAATTTAAATATTAGCATATATTCAACGAGTATAGCCGTGCGGCTATACGATTTCAAAGTTAGAATATATTCGCAGGTTATAGGCGATCGGCTGTACGATTTAAATATTCCGATATATTCAAAGCGTATAGCCGCACGGCTAAACGATTTAAATATTAGCATATATTCGAAGAGTATAGCCGTGCGGCTATACTATTTAAATATTATTCTGAACTAAGCTTCCCAAGAAACCTGTTGATTAGAAGATAGCAGACAATGTTACATACTTGGAGTCAATAACAGAACATGAAATACTCGTAGCACATACCGCCACAGAATCTGAATCACTGAGCAAGACAACGAAGGTCGATATCTTGTTTCACTAAAACACCCAAAATGGGAGCTGAAATTATAAAAAAACTCAACACCCAAAACACTTTATAAACACATTCAAAACCCATCATTACACACACTCAAAATCCATTGATAAACACACCCAAAAAATATACAATTGTTGATTTTGGAGTTGATTTTGGGTGTGTTTCTATGTTTAAATAGTGTTTGGGTTTTTTTATAAATACATGTCTATGATTGAGTTTATTTATAAATTTGTATATAATTTACTGTTTTTGAAGTCATTCAATACACAGTAATTTTGAGAATGAAATACATACGTAAGTGGAAGGTGGAGCAGCTTGGGTAAGATGTGGGGCAAAACAGCAGTAATCCTGACACTGAAACAGAAAATGCAGCAACTTAGCCCAACGAAAAAAAGAAAAGCATACACAAAACAAGGTGTAAGAGAGTGGGAGTGAGAGACATTCATCTTAAGATTTGTTTGAGGCCATCAAAGTTTGATCATCCTCCAATGCACGCAAAAGAGTGGAGACAATTTCATCGACTGCTTGCAGTCCAGCACTCTACATTGTGACTTCATAATTAGAACATACATGACAAGCCAGCAGACTCACGAACCTCGGGCATGCAAAAAGGATAAAAAAAAATCCAGACAAACACTTGTAAAATCAGAAACATCATAAGAACCTGGTTTTGGGGGGCACAAATAATTAGAAAATAGTTAAATTAGGTTCCGTAACTAACGAACACATATTGCCAACTATTTGTGCTACTTTCTCTTTAGTCTCTCTCTCCTTTCTCCTCTCTTCTATTCTCTCTCTCCTTACTCAAACAAGCTTCAGATTTCCCGAATCTTAGTTTTTTATTCTATTGTTAATTATTTTGATATTTTGATGATTGTTGATGTTGTCTTGATTTTTTTGGGTTAGATGTCAAATGATGTGTGTTTTTTTGTTTTTTTTGTTTAGATTTTTTGTTTTTTTTCTTTACCTGAGATTGGAAACTAATCATTGGTTAGATCTTGATGTGAGTTTGAGTTTCTGGTTTAATTCTTGCAAAAAGTTGGGGTTTTTCTTCAATTTGAGGCAGAAAGTTAGGAATTTGCATGTGATTATTGTTAAATAAATAAATAATATATTGAACTCAATTAGAGTCTGTTTTATTTTTGGTGCAAAATTGAATGGGTACTTAAAATCCAAGCCAACCCAGTCTAATGCTTCAAAATCCATTATAGTCAGTCTAGGCTAGCCCACCAAAGAAGGCCAGAATATTTTTCTTGTTATACATGTGATATTGCATTGGTGTAGGGAGAATGAAATTCAAGAGAATACATGATTAAATGCCATGCTCTCAACCAATTAAACTACAAATTTATTGCAATCAATAACTTTTTTCAGTTCAATACGTTTTATAAATATTGGGTTAATCATTTTATTAGTCCCCCAACTTGGACCGAATTTGCATTTGAGTACCTCAATTTTCAAAATGGTACTTGTGGTCCTTTAACTTTAGTTTCGTTTGGACAACTAGTCCCACCATTACTTCTGTCAATTTTTTTGTTAAATTTAAGGGTAGATGGATCTTTTTAGTTGGTTTTATTATCCTCCTTGAGTTAATCGTTTTATTAGTCCCCCCAACTTGGACCGAATTTGCATTTAAGTACCTCAATTTCCAAAATGGTACCTGTGATCCTTTAACTTTAGTTTCGTTTGGACAACTAGTCCCACTGTTAATTCTGTCAATTTTTTCGTTAAATTTAAGAGTAGATGGGTCTTTTCAGTTGGTTTTATTATCCTCCTTCTGCAACTTGCCTTCCCTCTAAAATAGACCTTGGAGGTATACTAATCCACCCTGCCTTAAATATCTGAAGCAACTTCTTCCCTTGGCTTGGTCCCACAATTCCCTTACCACCCTCAAGCTCATCTGCAGCGTTGACTCTATCTGTTTTTGTGCCACAAATTTCGACACGAACGTACTTTGGCTGCACCAGAACCACCCCAAGACTTCGTTCAACACCTTTCTTGGATCCACGATGACGGTGGATGATCGGGTTATATCTGTGGTTATGTTTCTTGGTGTGGTTCATGAGTCCCCTCACGTACTCACCGGCGTTGACGCCTTTCCTGGCCCAGCTACCGATGTCGTCCGCCACTCCGATGGTCTGGGCATCATGGCAGATGAAGTGGGCGTCTTCGCCCAATGGTTTTCCTGGTTTTCTCAGAAAATTTAAAAGAGTAAAAGTCTTTTTTGTCTCTTAAAACCAACCTGAAAAGACTCATCTACTCTTAAATTTAACGAAAAAAATTGACAGAAGTAACGGTGGGACTAGTTGTCTAAATAAAACTAATTTAAAGGACCACAGGTACCATTTTGGAAATTGAGGTACTCAAATGCAAATCCGGTCCAAGTTGGGGGACTAATAAAACGATTAACCCAAATCTAAAAGAGTAAAAGTCTTTTTTGTCCCTTAAAACCAACCTGAAAAGACTCATCTACCTTTAAATTTAACGAAAAAATTGACAGAAGTAACGGTGGGACTAGTTGTCCAAACGAAACTAAAGTTAAAGGACCACAGGTACCATTTTGGAAATTGAGGTACTCAAATGCAAATCCGGTCCAAGTTGGGGGACTAATAAAACGATTAACGCTATAAATATTTTAGAGCAATAACCTAATAGATATTGTTTTCCTTCTATTATCTTTTCATGTATTGAGTCGTGTCGAAAATTGCCACATGAGAAACTATATTAGAAAGACCCTGTTAAATGGTGGACAAGTTGTGGGGTGTGGGGAAGAAGAAATGGTGGACAAATTGTATCCGCATGTTCATCACCAAAATGGGCCACTCGTTCAAGAGAGCAGTTGCACATTTCCAACCTTCTCCCCAAGCAAACACATCAAAATAATGGAAAAGTAAAAAAGAAGAACCCCCTTCCCAAGCAAAGATAGAGATATATACAAAACCAGAACAATCCACACTTTTATAGGCACCTTTGAAGAACCATATATATCAAAAGCCCTGAGACTGAGAGAAGCAAACTTTAGTTCTTCCAACATGGGCATGGTTTTTGGAAAGATAAGAGTGGAAACCCCAATATACAAAGTGCTTCAATCAACAATCGACTATGAAATCCGGCAATATCCACCTTCAGTGATAGCCCAATTAACCTACCATCCATCGCAGATGAAGGGCGACAAAGACGGCGGCTTTACTGTTCTGGCCAATTACATAGGCGCCTTTGGAAACCCACAGAACACCAAGCCTGAAAAAATCGCCATGACAGCTCCAGTCATAACCAAAAGCTCAGCTGAAAAAATTGCCATGACGGCTCCAGTTGTGACAAAGACTGGTGGTGCTGAAGATGAGAAGAAGATGGTGACAATGGAGTTTCTGTTGCCTTCTAAGTATGGGAAGGCAGAGGAGGCTCCTAGGCCTGTGGATGAGAGGGTGGTGATTAGGGAAGAGGGTGAGAGGAAATATGGGGTGGTGACTTTTCGGGGTGTGGCTACAGATGAGGTGGTGGAAGAGAAGGTGGAGAAGCTGAAGCAGAGCTTAGAGAGAGATGGGTATAAGATTATAGGGGAGTTTTTGCTGGCTAGATATAACCCTCCTTGGACTTTGCCTCCATTCAGGACCAATGAGGTTATGATCCCAATTGAGTAGTTTCTAAGATTCTTGTATGCTGCTCTGTTTTTTTTCATATTCAGTATTAAATAAATGAAAACATGTAATTTTCTGCTATTTAGAGTTTTTCCATTTTACATTACTTTTGCTGAGACCATGAACACCGCACAAGATAATCTTACAAAAGCTTTATGTACCTCTCAACCAACCGATCTCCCATCATTTCTTCATTACATTGGAGGGAATCGAACTTTATCCGCCCTTCACTACTTGGCTAACCTAAGACCTTTTCTATGTAGAATTTACAAAGAATGATGAAGAAAGTTTCTCTCACATTTGATCTACCGCACGTATAAAGCTTGAAGGCAGTCTCTTAAGTAAAGCCATTAAATCCTTGCTGGGGCAAAACACGAAAAAGATGGATAAACCCTAAAGCTGGACTCACCAATAGCTTAATTTTAGCATGACAAACTTCAACCGACACTAGCATCGACTCAATAAGCTATTGTGTGTTTCTTGCAAACAAACAAAAGAGAGGAGAGGAGAAAAGGGGAAAACTTTGAAACTGAAATTCAACCAAGTAGTTGTAGAGCCATGGATCAAAACTACGTTAACTTGCCCAAAATTCATAACAAATATAAATTACAAAGAGGCATAATTCACACAGAGCTTCACCCAAAGATTAGCTTAAATACAATAACTATGATGTTTAAAATTATGAGAGGTAATCTCAAGAATTGGCATAAATGTATAAGCCTTATGATCTTTCCCTTAAGCGTGGTTCTCCCTCCTTGAATTTGTAGCAAGGTCCACCCCCTCGGATCAAGAAAGCGATCCTCATTCAGTACTGCAAATGCATTTGCAAGTAGCAAAGAGCCTTGGATCAAAGTCGCAAACCCCGTGAAAAAAGAGAGAAGAGGGAACATCTTAGTTCCTAAACAAGAAAGACACTATTCTTATGAGAATTATCAGTCAAAAAATTTCATAAATTTCATGCATATATAAAATTAAGCCAACACAAACCGAAACTGTGCAGATCCTGAACAGGGTATGAAGGATATACATTCAAAGTAAGAAATGATCAAAACTGAAAGACATGAACTTTACATGATTGAATCGATTCTAGAAGAAGAAAATAAACCAAAAAAAAAGTAGATAGGAGGTCTTACCAGCGATTACAAGTTACAGAAGAAAACCAGTCGTTTCTCGGTTGAAAGCCTCCGCCTTGTTTACTTTAGAGACAAAGGAAAGGTATCGCTAAACAAGGGTTTAAGCACTAAACCGAGCCGGGTCAGAATCCTTTGGTAACTTTTGATCTGACGGTCGAGACTCGAGAATACTCCACGTGTATGTTTGAGTCCAATATATGACGACCCGATAAAATTTTACAGAGGGAGGTTGCTGATGAGCATGGAAGGAAGAGGAGGCTCCTAACTTCTCTAATATGGAGGTATTTATAAAGATGTGTTAACCATAAAATATATAAAATAGGAAATAAATGTCAATTACAATAGGACAATATAAACTGATAAGTAAGACTGTATAAACGGTAAGTAACCAAAATACCGGCTAAATAAGGAATAGCCAACGGTAAGTAACCAAAATCCAAATCCTAGCTAAATAAAGAATAGCCAACGATAAGTAACCAAAATCCTAACTAAATAAGGACTTGCCAACAGTTATTAGGGAAGACGGTGAGAGGAAATATGGGGTGGTGAGGGGTGTGGCTATAGAGAAGGTGGACAAGCTGAAGCAGAGGGAGTTTTTGATGGCAAGATATAACCCTCCTTGGACTTTGCCTCTATTCAGGACCAATGAGGTTATGATCCCAATTGAGTAGTAGTTTCTCAGATTCTTGTATGCTGCTCTGTTTTGTTCACATTCAGTATGAAATAAATAAAGCCATGTAATTTTCTGCCAAATATATAAGTCACTATTTAGAGTTTTTCCATTTTACATACGTCTGCTTTAGCAAATTGAGCTGCATATAAGGCACTAAGTAATTTGGCATACTCATAATGCTGAGGCCATGAACACCGCACCAGATCATCTTACAAAAGCTTCATGGACCTCTCTACAAACCGATCCACATTCAGTACTCACACCCCCTCTTAAAATGTAGACTAATTTTACATGCCCATCCTTTTTTCGTTACAAAGGAGGAAATCAAACTTCATCCTCCCTTCACTACTTGGGCAAACCTAAGACCTTTTATTTGTAGAAACAAAGATGAAGAAAGTAACCAACAGATTAATTTTAGCATGACAAACTTCAACCAACACACTACCATCAACTCAATAAGCTATCTGCATCCCGATTCTCTTGTGTTTCTTGTGAACAACAAGCAAAACAGAGGAGAAGTGAAAAGGGGAAAACTTTGAAACTCAATTCAAATAAGTAAACTATATGTAGTCTACAACAACAACGAAGGCCATGGATCAAAACCATGTTAACTAGCCCAAAATTCATAAATTACAAAGAGGCATAAATCACACAGAGCTTCACCCAGAGATTAGCTTCACTGCAATGGTTATGATGTTCAAAACTATAAGAGGTAATCTGAAGTATTGGCATGCATGTATAAACCCTATGATCTGTCCCTTAAGCGTGGTTTTTCCTCCTTGTATTTGTAGCAAGGTCCACCCCCTCGGACCAAGAAACCGATCCTCATTCAGTACTGCAAATGCATTTGCAAGTAGCAAAAAGCCTTGGAGCAAAGTCCACAACCCCATTATCTGCATAACAGAGAGAGGCTTCAACATCTCAGTTCCTAACTATCAGTCAAAAAGTTTTATGAAATTTCATGCATGCATAAAATTCAGCCAACGAGTCCAAAAGGGTCAATTTTAAAATTTCAAGGCCCGGCAGAAACTGTGCAAATCCTGAACAGGGTATGAAGGATTTTGCCAGAAACGATAGATGGTATTTTATGATTTATGTCAACAGTCAATATTGAAACAGACAGATAAAATCGAACCATGGATATAAATTCAAAGTGGGAAACTGATCAAAATTGAAAGGCATGAACTTTACATAATTGAATTGAACTCTTACCAGCGTTTACAAGTTACAGAAGAAAACAAGTCGTTTCTCGGTTGAAAGCCTCCGCCTTGATTTCAACGAGACAAAGGAAAGGTATCGCGATTTAAGCACCAACCAGAGCCAGGTCAGAATTTGTAACTTTTGATCGGACGGTTCAGGATGGTCCACGTGTACCGCTGTGAACATTTCCTCACTTTGTGTTGATCCGACCCGACTTTTGAGTCCAATATATGACGACCCGATAAAATGTTTACAGGGGGACTGAGAGGGAGGTTGGTGACGAGCATGGATAAACCCTAACACTCCACTCAACCATGGCTTCGTTTCAGCTACTTCCACCATATCTTCCTCTTCACCAACTTCACTTCTCTCGCCCAAGCTCCAGAAACTTAATTGCTAAACCTTCAGAACCTCTAAAGCACCAAACTTTGAAGCCCCGCTATCTGCTTAAACCACCCAAATCACACAAGCTAAACCCACCCAGAGCTTCCATTAATGGCGAGGACAACGGAAGCATCGAGTCCAGCGAACCCACTCGGCGAGGCAGGAAAAAGGGTCCCACTTCCTCTTCATCTTCTTCAGCAACATCTCCACTGAAAAAGACCAAGCGTTTGAAAAAAGCCCAGGTCGAAAATGGCACAGTAGAAACTGCCAAACCCACAATCCAAACCGAAAACCCAGACTCTGAGCTCGAAGATTACGAGGACGGCATCGATTTTCCGTACGACGACCCTCCTCTGGTCTGCTGCTTCGGCGCCGTGCAGAAAGAGTTTGTTCCCACGGTTCGGGTCTCCGACAACCCAATGCACCCGGACATCTACTCGCAGTGGAAGATGCTCCAGTGGGACCCGCCGGAGTTTGTGAGGGCCCCAGGCGGGTCGCCGTCCAACGTGGCAATTTCGCACGTGCGGCTCGGCGGCAGGGCCGCGTTCATGGGCAAAGTTGGGGACGATGATTTTGGGGATGAGCTGGTGTTGATGATGAACAAGGAGAAGGTTCAGACGCGTGCGGTGAAGTTCGATAGGAATGCGAAGACTGCTTGTACTTATATGAAGATTAAGTTTGATGATGAGAAAATGTGGGCTGAGACTGTGAAAGAGTCAGCTGAAGACTCTTTGCTCAGCTCAGAACTTAACCTAGCTGTGCTCAAAGAGGTATGAAATATTAGTGAATACATTGTGTTTTGTTTATATGTTTTCACAAAACAAGTAACTTGGCTTAGTTGTCTTAGTCTTTGAAATGGTTCATTGGTTTTCGGTTTTTCAGTTGATTGAGAATGCAGCAATCGTTTGTTTGAGCACATTGTTTTTTCAGATTGTTGCTTATGGAGTTTGATGTTGTTCCGGAAACAGGGATAAGATCATTTTTGTAATAGGTTTTGATGTCTTAATGCAGGCCAGAATGTTCCACTTCAGCTCAGAAGTTTTGACATCTCCCTCAATGCAATCGACCCTTTTGAGAGCAATGTCTTATTCAAAAAAGTTTGGGGGGCTTGTGTTTTTCGATGTGAATTTGCCATTGCCTCTATGGAAATCGCGTGACGAAACCAGGAAATATATGGAGAGAGCCTGGAATGAAGCAGACATAATCGAGGTTTCGAGGCAGGAATTGGAATTTCTTCTAGATGAAGACTATTATGTGAGGAAGAGGAATTACAGGCCCCAATACTATGCTGAGGAGTTTGAACAGACCAAGAAGAGGAGAGATTATTACCATTACACGCCTGAAGAAATATCTCCTTTATGGCATGACGGACTTAAATTTTTGTTCGTGACTGATGGAACGCTTCGGATTCATTACTATTCCCCTTCATTTCATGGTGTTGTGATTGGAACAGAAGATGTGCTCATAACCCCATTCACTTGTGATAGGACTGGCTCTGGGGATGCAGTTGTAGCTGCTATTATGAGAAAGCTGACCACATACCCTGAGATGTATGAAAATCAGGATGTTTTGGAAAGGCAGCTTCGTTTTGCAGTTGCAGCAGGAATTATATCGCAGTGGACGATCGGTGCTGTTAGAGGGTTTCCTACAGAAAGTGCAACTCAAAATCTGAAGGAGCAGGTTTATGTACCTTCAATGTGGTAGTTTAGGGCCTAGCCTTCAAATATAGCAATGTTGTTCAGAAATAGTTTTCGTTGTATGACCTGTTGAGGGTTGAGAATTTTGTCTGTTAGGAATGTGAGAAGAAAGATTGTATCCAATGTACACTAGCATTTGAATTCACATCACTGTTACTTGCAATGCTAACAGAAACCATAGATAATTGATACTCAACTAATTGCAAAATGGTTCCTGATAAAAAAAGGTTCTTTTCTATTATAAGCTGTATAAAGAATTACATTCAAGTTCATCGTGAAGCTCTTTTTTCTTTTCACAATGTTGAGACCAAATCAACGAAAGAATAATTGAATCAATGAATTACTATAACACCATTTCGACAACGGCAAGGTCTCTGTGCTGATGAAACAATCTGATTTTATCCTAAAACTATACGCGAGCTCGGCCTTCTCTGCTTTCTTCAATGCCTTCTTGAATCTCCTGCGAAGTCCCTCCTCACTTGTAGTAGGTACAACATAACCGAAACTTGCATTGCAAATCACAAGGGAAACCTTAAAAACTTCTCGACCCTGTCAGCAAGTAGAGTTTCTGAAACCGAGTGAAAAAGCACTTCATTCCAAAGCCCCGTTATCAGCTGCCATTTGAGCAGTGATATTGTGTATTTCACAACAGCAGGAGCCACATATTCTCTCCCCAATACTATCTTTGAGATGAAACACTTATGCTCCGTCTCTCATTTAACTTCTGTCTAGCAATTTGCCCCTCTGACTTGTTACAGATGCAACCAGGAAACGGATTTGCGTAAAAATTCTCCTCCAACCTTGGTGACTCTCCCACTTGTCTAACATATGGTGCTCCAAGCCTGTCAGAATGCAGACTTTTAACCTCCGAAGAAAACTTTTCCCACAGTATAGCACCGTTATCCAACTGATCGACCAGTTTAACAAAATTTTGTCTGAAATGAAAATCATAACATGTCAGAAAACTAGCAATTCATTTTAAAATCTGGGAGTTTGGAGAGGAAAATACTAAATGCCTGGTATGAGAGCGAACCTGTCAGGGTTGATACTCTTACTAAATCCTTCAAATCTCCTATGTCCTTGCACTGCCTTAGCCATATTTCCATCATATGTGTAAACAAAGACATCACTCTCTAGTGCTACAATATAATCCAAGGCTGCAAGGCGATTTTGATATGGCTTAAAAGGCTCTAACTCTTGTTCTGTTGCAAGAGTGGAATGAGAAAAGACATTAGGATACTCGGAGCGAAAAGCAGCCATGCTATTTCCTCCATATATCTCGCCAGCAACAATGTAGATTGTAGTTGTTGAAGGGTATCCCATGGCTTTGAGGAACAGGGCTGCCTCTCTTGGTGAAAATGGGCATCCACCTTGTTTCCTTCGTTCTTCACTATCTATCTCTTTCTCCTTCCAGTGTTTAACATTGTACCTCATAACCCGAAGTTCTTCAGATTCCTCTGCAGTGAGGTTGTGGCTGCAGCCAGTGAAAGCAAGCATGTCCTTCTCATATCTGCAATCAAGAAAGGTTTCTTTACTTAGTTAAACCACTTCAGAACAAGATAATGCCCAAAGAATCAATCCATAGAACAAATATATACCTTAAATGAAGAGCAATAAATGGATTGCTATTCTTCCTTAGTCTATCAACCAAAACTCTGCCAAGATCCTCAATCTCTTTTGCATACTGGAGAGCCTCGTAATTGGCACGGCACCTCAGCCTTTGGATCGAGGATGCAAGTCCGTTGTTAGCAAGCCGGGAATCGGTGTGGGTAAACTTCAGAACTTTATGCTTTTTCAACAATGGGATCATCTCGCTTCTGTAATAACTAGCCTGCATATGAAGCATCTTTAGATACAATTCCAATAATATAAAAACTAATTCAAAAGTCCCTCGAGAATATATAACAATATTGCACCTTCGACCAGGATACGGGAGCTTTCTGAAGAGGCTTCAGAGCAGCATAGCGGGTTGGCAAATACTCCACTATATCAATATCATCTTTTAGTACTTTCATGAAGTGTCTCCAGTCAAAGATATCTTTAAAATCACTGCAAATATAAGACAGAATTTGATCAGTAAAATAAAATTAATTAGCCACTCATATCCAACAACCTCATTGGCTAAGAAATCTACCTTGGATCTGTCCAAAAAGACTGGTGGTCCAGCAAAGGCAGAACCAGGGTAGCATTCATTATCTTTGCAACGGCTACCATATCACATATCTGCAACATCAATTGGGTTACCATGTCAGCTTCAAAAACGTGTGCAAAAATGGGAAATGAGGTAAAATCCAAAATGCGTGGCAAAGATTTGTAGGAAGATTATTACCCCTGTTCTCATTTGATTCAACCCTCCATTGGCATGAACCAGCAGATAACCATTTGTTTTCGATCCCGTTCCTGTGGGAAATGAAATTCATTTTTGAAAAACCAGTCAAAAATTGATCAATGCTGTCATGCATGATAAAGAGCTTGACAAATTTAGGTATGGAACAAAGAGACATACTTATCCGATTCTTGGGTCGAGCTATGCATTTATCAAAATTGTCGCTGTTGGGTTTCCTCCAAATTTCCGGGGTCTGAAAAAAGCAAATAAATTTATGATCAATACCAATTAATCACAGCATTAAATCCTTAGGAAGCAAACTCAACCCATCAAATAAAATTACTGTATAAACTAAAAAAGCCATTAAATTTTCAATTTAACCACCATACATATTTAATCCATAGAAGGCAAGTATGAAACGAGAAAAGGACAAATGTGAAACGAGAAAGGGACAAATGTGGAACGAGAAAGGTATGAAGCATAAACAGCCAATTAGCACAATATGGAAACTAATTGAGTCAAAATTGAAACAAATACATTCAACTATTCCCATTAGACCCAAAAGTCAATTCTTTAACGTGAACGTTAATAACAAAAAGATTAAGACATTTTCTCTTTCCTTTCCTGAACTTTATCGGCAACCAAACAAGTAGCGGAAAAAATGAAAAATACCCAAGATTTTAATAAAATTAAAAACTTCTAAAATGTGAGAATTGATTGATTGACTTACCGGCAACCGCTCGAGGAGGCGTTTGAACATGGGGGAGGGTTCACTTTCAGACAACCTCTCCCTCTCCAAAACACGTTGGGGCATGGAATTAGAGGCCCGGTTCTCAGTTACGGCTTGCTGAGCGGCGGCCCAGTCGTCCTTGTACGACTTCAAAATCAAAAGCCGACCCTCTGTTCTCTTCGCTTCGCCGACCACCTCCACATGGTGGCTCAAAAGAGAGAACTTGATGAACACGGAGATAACCGCCATCAACAACAGAGCCCCTAATATCTTACGGCCCATGTTCCGCCCCGATCTCAGCATCTGCAGCATCGCGACCGTCCATAAAAACCCATCCTCAATCAGAGGAAGCCACGTGTCGGGGACGCAGAAGAAGGCCCGCCTCCGAAGCAGGAGATACTTCATCAGGGGGTGGGGCGAATAATGATTGTGGTCGTTGAGGTGGTGGAAGGGGCCAAAAATGATACCGTTGGGGGTAATGTCGTTTTCCTCATCGTCGCCGCCAGCGCCGCCGTCGTAGACAACGTTGTTTTTGTTGTCTGGGTTGACGACACTACTCGTAGGGAGTCGCTCGGCGTCCATGAGGCCGTCGGCGACCCGTCTTCTGGTCTTCGTAGGCAGCGCGAGCGGTTGTCGTGGGCTACTGGTTGAGCTGTTCGGGCCACCGGACGACATGGCCGGGCGGCACAAACGTTGTTTAAAACTAAAAATGTACGCTGTATATAATCAGATTTGATTCAGTTTTCCTCGAAACCAAACCAAATCAAATGTTGGGTAGGATTTAACTTTCCGGGAAAATAAAAATCACAAAAGAAAATGAGAGACAAAGAGAAACAGAGACCGTCGGTTGGGATTGTAGGTCGAATGCGTTCCCCAATGGGTTCCCAGAGAAAAAGGGTGGTCCGAAATCCTAGGCGAATAACAAAGGGATGCTTTATTATTTTCTGATTTTGTAAAGTGGACGTTTTTTTTTTGTTCTCTGCCTCAATGCTCTCTAATGGCGGATCTACGCATGTTCTAATTTTCTGAGAGACCGGTTTTTATCATGGCCAAAGCTTAAAGAGGAATATTCAAATGACGATATTGCCCTTGATAATTCACGAAAAAAACCAACGAAAAGTTACGAGTCTGTTACGGTGTGCCGTATGCACTATTCGGTGCCATTCTGTTTTCTTGTTTAGTGAAATATCAAAATGGTATTTTGCTCAATCAGTTGGATTAAGAGACCGTCTGTGGTGCTTAACCAAAATCCACCTGTTTTTTTCATGTCCACAAAAATTAAAAATTAGAAGAAAATTTTACTCTTTTTTTTTTGGCAAAGAAAAATTACGTTACTTAATTACTTGATTACTTAACTCACCTTCTAATGTTTTTCTTGTAACCCTTATTTTTTTTATTTTTTTTAGGCGTCAAGTAAAGATGAGGGTAGTTGTGCTAGATGGACACCCAATAGTAGTTTCGAAATACCTATAATGCTAAATTTTCTCTCTTTTTTGTTGGGTAATGGCGACATCTAAATGTGTAGGATCATTTTTCTGATATAAGCTATATCGGAGAAAGAGGGAATCGAATCTTAAACTTTGAGTGCATGAGTAAATGCTCTTAACAACTTGAGGTACAAGTCCCTTGTTGTAGTAGGACAATTTTTAACATGGCTATAATACAATATCACGCAATTAGTTTTGGTTTGGTCATTAGATCATTTATATAATTCACTAATACTTTATACTAATCTTCCACGTATCTTAATCCAATTGGCGGCTTTGTAATTATCATTATTATTTAAAAGTTCATCATAAACGCCAAATTTATAAAACAACAGTGCCGTACGGGTAATTAACTTTTGTTGAGGAGAAGGATAATGGGATTGACTATTTTGGCGTGTAGTGACAGAGTTTTTTTTCTTTTGTTATTGTAGTGCACTCAAAAATGAAGCATTTTTGTGCTAGCTAATAATATGAGTTGATAACTTGCCTTCCATTAGTATGTTGATTGCTAAGGATGAGGGCTAATTCATGAAACTTGGATTTGATTTCGGATGAACATACCAACTTCTTAAATCCCAAATAATGTAATAATGACAGTGTTTCATTTGTTTATATTTAGATCATGACTCACGTGTATAACCAACTCCACAATAACGCACACACATTGCTCATCACTCACTCGTATATATGGTTATAAGTTATAATCCAACATGTCAATGCCTTCAAGTTTCATAAAATGGGCATGAAAACCAGCCCTATGGAATCAATCATTAAGAAGCCTCCTACTTTGAGGGAGTCTACTCAATCATTCACATTTCTCATCATGCAACTTATATATATGACCTCTCCCCTACGTTTTCGTTTTTCTCCCATGTGCATAAGTGTGATCAAAATGGTTTAGTGACTTTTGGCCTAAGAAACCTACTTCTTTCTAGTTTACTTATGCTGTCTAGCCATCCATGATAGACTAGTATTCGTTACGACACCGTTTTATAGTTTGAGTGAAGATCCACTGCAAAAATATCAGAGACTCATCAGCTAGATGCATGCTATGTACCTTAAAAAGTTTATGGTTTTGTGGAGATGCGTGCGTTTCAACTTTCAATACGATTTATCTATCATGTCCTTCTTCAATTAGCATCGATTGCTTTTCATCTATTAAATCACCACAATAATTAACACTCTGTCAAATCATGTAAACTTGTCTACATTCAATCAGCAAGTTACTTGCTTATTGGGCTTCTTATTTTTCATTTTGACCTGATTTTCTTGTTTCTTCCTTGCTATTTGCAATTGAAATTTCTTGATGAATTTGGATATTTTAGTTGATTATGTATTTTTAGGTTGATATTGTGCTTATCGTTAAACGATGTATTAAGTATTAAATATTTTGTCCTCCTTAATTAAAATTTAAATGACTAAACAATTTTCTCGTATGTGTGTGGGGTTAGGCTTGTTGGTCAGGGTCATGTGCCAGCCCTGATTCACCTAAGTTCGAGTCCCCCTTGATCACTGATTTGCACGAAATACTCTTACCACTAAGCTATAGACATATTGACAATTAATTGAGAGTACTTTAAATTTAAACTAACGCTTGTATTAAAATAAAATAAAAACAAAAACAACTAGTTAGTTGGGTGTGTATCCATTTATTATAAAGGGTATTATGGACATTACACATAAACTCTCTGCCGTGCAAATTCTAGTACGTCAAGACTATTGTTGCAACCTTTTGGAACGTTCCTCGATTCTCGTTTTCAGCCTCGCTGTAGCTTTATCATAGAACACGGAACGTAGCCGTCTGACTGACATTCCCGCCTATGTACAGAGAAATTCAACGTGCCACGTGGCACTAGTCACGAGTCCCAGCTTCGCATACAGACACAATCATGTTTCGTCTCTTATTAAGTTATTACCGTACCGTCTCACGTCGGCACATGATAAATCTAACCGTTGGAACAGGATTGCGACCCTCTCTGACTTTATAGCCGTTGGATTTGATTGGCGAGAATTATTGTTTGGGATTAAATCGGAGCGGTTGGTTTATTTATTGTGATGATGAAGTTGGGGATCGGACGGTGATGCGTGGCGCGGGACCATGAGGTATCATGAGTCGGTGGCTGCCGGTGCGGATTTTGAGGGTGTAGTGCGGCGCCAATCAGATGTGAGACTGCGAGGGCCCTAGTTAAAATTCAACGCGGAAACGAGTGTAAAGCTAAGCACGTCCTGTCGTTTAGGATGAGTATCATCGAATCATTTTGGTCTCATCTAAAATATCCAAAATAATAAATAATAAATGGAAAAATATTTAGAATAAAACCAGATAAATTATGATTATTTATTTTAATTTTGTATATTCTAAGTGGAAAAGGTCCTAGATGAATTTTGAGTGTCTTGGAAAATGTGGTTGGGAGTGTCCGTGGGGAGAGAAATATTGGAATTTCAGTGGATTTTTTTTATGGTGTGGAAATTTAGTGGAAGTTAACAATGCATTGTAAGATGATTGTGGCGGAGATAATGCCTAAACAGTTATATAATAAGAGACTAATCATTTTATTTTTACATGGGTACCCAACTAACCATGTTTTATGCCCTAGCTATAATTGCCTAAAGACTTGCTCCATGACTTAAGAAAAATAAAAGTAGGGCGGCCAACAAAATGCAAGTCAAATTGGATATATTATTATTCAACCATTATCGTGAAATTCAAGTAACCATACCTGTTTTGCTTCAATTTTCCAAGTCAAGAAACCTGAAGTGTTTTCAAAGTGCTTGAATTTGAGTACTATTTTTTTCAGTCCCGCTCATCTAAGAACTTAAAAATAAGAAAAAATATGAACCACAATGGTTGTGTATCCAATCATATCATATGAGAATCAAATAATTAGAAGGGTCCACACGGCTAGCAAATATATTTTTGGTGGATCTAGGCGGTACCGCAAGTCCACTGAATTCTTCAAGTTTGGCCAATCGATCGACTTGTACTAATTGACATGCGTGGATCTGTGAAGTTGGGGGAATGGGCCTCCACTAACCTACGAATTAGTGTTTTTCTTTCAAAGCTTTGACAGCGAGAGTTGTAGTTGAATTGGGACACTTGTACTTGGAAGTGGTGGAAGATTATTCTCTTCTCATGGTCTATGGTCCAAATTCCAAACCAAACTCAATTTTTATATACCAAAAAGAAAACAGAACATTTATATTGGCAAAAAGCCATGCATGATGCATGCCCCATGTCAGCAAAGTTTATGACACGTAAAAAATATAACGGGAATAACATTGTTTTGCTATTTTCAATTAATCATATCCTGCGATTCAATGGCAGAGCCAGGAGTTCTATCAAGAAGGGCCAACTTTAAATAGCTTTATAATTACATTAAACTTAAGTTTTTATAAGAAAATATATTCATTATAATGATTAAATTTTAATATCACAAATTTAATATCTTAGACCCAAATTGTAGCAACCTAAAAATAATGAAAGAGTATCAAAAGTTGATTTTAGATAGAATGAGAAAATCAAATAAAATCCACGGCACACACGTATAAATAACATATGAAGACATGCAAACAAATATGGATCATATTCATGTTTATTGTAGACAATTTACATTTGCGAGAAGAGTCCACAGTAAATATAGCTATAAAACAACTTAGATAACATAGATAAATACAAGGTTTTCAAAATGTTGAGAAGGGTTAAGTGACCCGCCTTGATTGGCTCCACCGATGCTGCCACCTTGTGGTAACTTTTAAACATGGACGTGCGTGATCGGTTGAGGATAACAAAATAGTGTTATCACCATGACATGCAAATTCTTCTCCTATGACAGCATACAGATTTTGGTGCCAGTCATATGGGAGACACAGGACCCTTGTGAGGTTCTGCCATGTTTGGTATTTGTTTGCTTGGTAATTTAAGGAACAATGTTTTTTCTCAAATCTGTCATGGGCTTTATCTGGGTAATTTTACTTCCTTCATGTTGAAGCCACTGATTGAACAAAGTAACAACAAACTCCACATAAAGAGTTCTGTTAAAGTTCCCATTAATTCGATATTGGCACAAATAACTAATTTCACAGAAAGAGATCGGCAACTTCCATTTGGAAATCATTGAAGAACTTGACAACGCCTCATGGATTATTATCAACCACAAATATTATTTATTCACATATGTATTTTATTCCACTCTCTCACGCAGCAGCATCAGTATTTTATTCTCACCAAAACGAGCAAAACACTCACAAATATGGTAGGAGGAAAAACAAATTACAACTGTGCACTCTTGAAGATGACAATCTGCCGCACTTACAACTTCAACCACTCTAGGCAAGGGCAAAAGCCCCAGCAAAACCTGGCGGGATAGTAGTCCTTTAAGTACACCTCCCTGCTAAACCCAATGATGTAGAAGCTGAACAACCGGCTACGATGAGCCATGGTGACACGCGTCACCGGCACAACGGAGATGGTGTGCCTCTCACTTATCACCCTTGCAGTGAGAGGTACAGGAGCTCTGTCTGCAATGACTTCGGAAGAGAACTGATTAAGAAAGAAAGAGTCGGCAAAAAAGGCTGGAGTGCATTGATATGCCTGGGTGTTGCACAGCTGGACTCCTTTGGCTCTGTGGAAAACCTCATCTGGAACAGATGCTGCTCCGCTTGTTGCACTCACCTTTCTAGTTGAAAGTGTCTTCCTGCGATGGAATTTATAGTTTTACTTCATAATGAATTTTCGTGCAGGATGATGTTACATAAGCAGAAAAAAGAGAACATTTCCATGTGACAACCAGAAACCATTTCCAAATACATGGCAAAGAAATTTCTGAAATGATACGGAATATTTCCATATATAGACAATAATATGGAAATTTATTATCACAAACGACTGTGCATACCATCTAACAAGGCCAACATTGCGTGTCAAAAGAGAACCACTCCCTTGGCATGTCAAACATTTAATTAGACCGCGAGATCCACAAGTTGCGCAGGGGATCTTTCCCTTACCATTGCAACTCCCACATCTGCATAGACAATATCCACACCAGTTAATACAGTATTTTAGTAATTGGCATCCTGTTTCAACAATTACAAGTTATTCTGCTTCCATTATTTACATACACTAAAAGTCTAAAATATCTAATGCTGAATAAAGGACGAAATTTAAAAGGTTATATTGGATGGCCCTCATATTACAGGCAGAAGCCAGATTAGAACACAATTTTATTTATAATTAGATGAGGCAGACAAAAGCATCTCACATGGAGTCAGATCCATCTTTATGAGCAATTAAACCCCTTCCATGACAAGCAGAACACTGAGTCATCAGATTTTCTTTGTAAAATCCAGGTTCTTGATTTGCATTGCATGTAGGACACACAGAATCTCCTCGTCCTGCACAACCTGCAAATCTTTTCCAACATTTTGTTAGATCACAACAAAAAAAATTTCTTTAAATAAAGCTATGGGAACGATTTTGTCCCTAGATGATACCCAAAAATTATCAAAGAAGAAATAGAACATAAAGAGGTACTTACAAGAGAATATATAAGAGAATTATACAAATACAAATTGGAAACATTTATTAAGTCAAAAGTTCAACCTCATTGACCATGCAAACTCCACAGTTCCGGAATCTTTACCTGAGCATTTTTCAATGGACTCAGAATGAGGAATTATCTCCCGAGATTCTTTATAAGGTATAAACAAAACAGGAAACTGAGACTTTAAATCCAATTCCCAGATTCCAAGTTCTGGTCCCTTATCCTTTCCATCAATTTTGCCACCAAGGTTCGGCTCTGTTTCTCTGATGGTTTCCCTTTCTTCAATGAAAGTATCTAGCGTTCCCACATAAACGTTGCAATCTTCCACTTTTTGAATTTTCCAGGTCCGTGCAGGACGACTTCCCCAACAGCATCTATGGCCAACATGATCAATGAGCAACTCTCGTATCTCTACTTCATCCAGTATTTGCCTATACATAAATATTTTGTTTAGAAAGAAAATTAAGAAGGGAACGCAGTTTCTATCACACTACAATGTTAAACTTGAGAAAATTGCCACAAGAAGTTTCCACAGACTAGTAAAATGGTTAATATAAACATTTACACAAGTATATAAGAAGAAAAAAATATTAGAGTTACAAATTGAAGAAAACAAAAAAGAAAAATCTTTTGAGCACGAGGGAAGAGGTTAGGGTTTAGAAAAATGACAAGGGGAAACCTGCCTGAAAAAGAGGAAGGGCTCGGAGATCCCCTCTGAACTCAAGACCTACCACTTTCCCACCCTACCCCATGTCACTTGAGCTATAACTCATGCCCCTGAACCTCAGCATCATTATCAGGCATTTCCAAGTTTTTCATTTTTAAAGAAACAAAAAGCACGATAGACAATAATGAATTAAAAGTCCTTATAATCTGTGGCGCATTCCACCAGCCAATTCAAGACGTGATCCCTTAGTAATAGGCGCACAAAACATATTGAAATGAATGAAGTTATCTAGTTAAGTAGAACTTCTCACTTAGGAGCTTGACTTTCCCTAGCACTTTATGAGCCTAAAACGTACCTATGGAGTTCATTTGTGGTGCCACCAAAACCTCCTCCATATCCACCTTGATATGCGACAGCTTGCTCTGCAAAAAGGGATCACAATTTGTATCCATCACAATACATCTGATGACAATAATGGCAGACAGCAGAGATCATTGGTTTAAAAGTCCAATGCTTTAAGTTGTAACCCTCTTTTGCCCGATGAGAGAACCAAATAAGAACGGGAAAAATCGATTAATCCAACATTTTATGTAATCAACTTAGCCATATTGTCCTAGAGGAATCAGCTGAGTGGAAGCTTTCCCGGTCTCAATCTCAAAACAATTCCAAAGCTATAAAGCATAGACCTTGAAGTTCGTTCTTTCACTCATTCTTAGCGGCCAAACAGCAGATAAAAAAAAAGTGTTTACTTTTGGAAGAAATCTCACTAAAAAAAAATGATGGCTACCAATTAATCAAAACGCAAAACCCAGGTTGCAAAAAGCATAATTGGGATATAAACACACAAAAAGAAGATGCTTACCAGTAGGATCAGGCTCCGGCGAACTAACCAAAGCGGCATGGATAGAAGGTGGGTAGTGATCAGAATCAGCAGCCGCTGACCTTATCTCTTCAACGCTGACTTCAGTTCCGGCCAACGAAGCCGTCGGAATCACAGAGCCAGCTCTTCCCACGTACTGGTACGAGCTCCACTTCTCACTCCCCTTCTCTCCCAATTCACTTCTTTGCTCTTCACTCAATGGCAACCGACACAAAAACAAAAGAACAAAACAACAAAAGAACACATCAATAAAAATGAAATATAAACTCAAGTTTCAAATCTATGCAATTGAAGAGCATTGCAATTGGGAAGTAGAATTTACCAGAAAGCAGAGGCTCCTCCATTGTTCTTCAATGCGGGTGAGTAAGAAAAGAGCTGGAGATCGATCGACTAAATAATAGTGTGGTGTGGGCGATTTTTGCTTCGCCAGTAAGGAAATGAAGTTCGAGTCAAACAAAACTATCGCATTGAATTGATGGGTTGGTTAGCGGTGCGGTAGACGAATTGGGTCTACGCGGGAAAGGACGAAAGGTTTTATAATTGGGCCTGGGCCTAAGCCCAATAGGCCCAAAAATAACATTGGCCGAGTACACTAATTGAACATTGTAATCGCTCACACCATATACCTCCTCTCTCCATATATAAACCTCTCCGTCTTCGGCTAGGGTTTCCGTCTCCTTTAAACACCAGCAGTCAGCACCAGAGGCACATAGCTCATTCGAAAATGGTGAAGGGCCGCCAAGGAGAGCGCATCAGGTCCTCAAAATCTTCAACTTCCATATTGTTAATTTCTTCAACTAGTTTAAGAAAACTTAAATTTTCTTAATTTTTTCTGACTTTTTATTATTTCGCAGACTCTATGTGCGAGGAACTGTTCTTGGATACAAGAGGTACTGAAACGAAGTTCATAAATTTCTTATCTGGACTTGAAGCTAAGGGTGTTTGAATTTTTGACATGGGGTTTTGGTTTTTTACAGGTCCAAGTCGAATCAGTATCCTAGTGCGTCGCTGATTCAGATCGAGAATGTGAACACTAAGGAAGAGGTGGCCTGGTACGCTGGTAAGCGCTTGGCGTACATATACAAGGCCAAGGTGAAGAAGAACGGCAGCCACTACCGTTGCATTTGGGGCAAGGTCTCTAGGCCTCATGGTAACAGTGGCGTCGTTCGCGCCAAATTCAAGTCCAATCTTCCCCCAAAGTCCATGGTAAAGTTTTTACTTTATGAAAGCTTGAATCTTCTGTTTTTGCTTAGATTGGTGTGATTATTTGGAATTCAATTTGTTGATTGAGGTGTTTTTGCTAATTGAACAGGGAGCTAGGGTCAGGGTTTTCATGTATCCCAGCAACATTTGAGGTACCACTATTTTTTTCCTTTTATGGTTTTGAGTGTTTTGTTTGAGAATTTAGTTGGGGTTTGAACAAATGAAATGATCAGTTTTGGTGCATTGCGATTTCAATTATTATGGTCCATATTCTATTGCGTTGTTGCTTCCAACAAATTTCCTGAGTAGATTTTTGTGTGTAGAAGAGCTTAATATAACAATCATCCACTGCTCAACTAGAAAAACAAATACCCATTGAACAGAGATTATGAATGAAAGCAGCGTTGCATTTTCTTCCTTTACTTGTTTTCACAATTATGCGATTTATTTGGTTATTTTATGCAAATGGGTGGATTAATCACCAGGATGTCTCCTTAAGGACTGATAGTTTTGTGGGATTGGGTTTCATTATTGTGAGAGTAAACTAATTGCCTTTGATACTTGCACTTTGCCGTTTCTTGTAGTCACCGCAATTTCGTTTGTTTTGCAGGTATGTGGCAAATGTAGATGATGGAATGGATTGGAGGTGAAGCATTTGAAGTTTTGGTTTTACTCTATTTAGAATGGTGTTTAGACTTTCAAAATGTTATTGTACCGAGGAACGTGAGACATTTATTAAGATGCTTGTTGCTAGCCTTGAATATGCACCTTGTTAAACTCGTTTTATGTTTATCTGCACTTGTTTTTTGGGTGAGACAATTATCTCATGTTATTTAAGCGTGTATTACCTTTAGAAAAGAACACCAAAATGTACAGGGCATATGTTGTCAAAAGTACAATGTTATGTTCTAGGAGCCTCGACTCATAAAGCAAGACACATCTGTTTTGTCGCAATGCTGTAAACCGCAACCTCCGGTAGTGGCAACGGTCAGTTTCTGAGCCAAGCGGACCACTGTTGAACAGTAACCGGTTGGTAGACATAGGCGCAGTTATTGGACCGAAAACAGCGCTAATGAGAAGTCCTGAGTTTAGAGTAAGGTTGATATGATACCTAGGACTCGGTTGATAACACTGCCCACCAAACCCGTCGGTGGGTAGTTCGGTATTTATTCCGCAGCCGTGGCACAGATGATGAATGATTGAGAGCCTTTCTAGGCCTTTAGATGTTGTGTTGTGGAACTATGAAAATGTAAAATGCAGTTTCGGCAGTTCCGAGTAGAGAACTATAGTTGTAGTTCTTGAATGAATGAGGCTCATTCTCGTAGATCAATTACTCCTTAATCGATCCTGCTTAAACTTTCACTTTTTTGTTAATAAATGCATAGAAATTTGGGAATTTGAATGATTCTAATATTCTTGAGTTAAAACCTGGAAAATCAAGGATGGGAATATTTTCAAATACCCGTTTTATATAAAAGTAAATATGAAAAGTCAAGGATGAGAATAATTTCAAATACCCCTCAAATTTCAATGCGTCACGTAGATCGACTATGCTCTCCATTGAAGCACGGAGGACAATGAAGAGAAAAGGTGGGGTAGTTGGTTTCTCAGTGCTCATATCCACCACAGTCACAATGCTCATCACTGCCTTTACCAACTCAAGTCCTATACGCGTCCACATTGATCTGCGAATTCTCTTGCGCCACATGCTTTTTCGTTTTAGCTCTTTGCAACCATTACTTCACGAGCTCTCTTGGCCCACCAAAGCAATAAAAACAATTTCAGCTGAAAATTGCTCAACATTTTCACTCTCGAGTCTCCACTCGCTTTCAGAAACTTGCCGACGGTTTGCATATATATAAAGCGGTGCGTTTCAGTAATAGCGCCAATAGAAGTAGTAGTTCCTAATCTTGCAGCTCTCAAAGTCTCTCAAGTCTCAACCACTTCTGCAAAGGAACCACTATTTTAGTAGTTTAGAGTAATTGCTTCCCAGGCAAAGTCCTGAATTTGAATTTTAACACTCGTATTGTATTTTTGAGTTTAGTATATTTTCACCCATTTCAATAGAAAAATTCCTTTAAAATAAAAAATAAAAAAAAATCTCAACGACTTCTGTTTATGGCTTCTTACAAAAATCGCACATTGCCTTCCTTTCCATACCCCGCATGACACGAAGAGGCTTCATCTTCGTAAAAGCACCCGACAGTCTCTCTTTAAATAAATCTGTTTTTGGATTTTGGTTTTGCTTTCTCTGTCAAAATTGAAGTTGTCTCATTCATCAAGGTAAGTTTAAACATCTACTTTCTTCTTCTTCTTCTTCTTCTTTTTCTAGAGTTTAAATTTTGAGTGAAGGAAAGAATGAATTGAAAGAAGCATTTCCCACTTCTCAGTTCACAGGACAAGGCTAAGGAGGAGATGTTTTCCCTTCAGCATACCATATGGTTGTTGAGAGTTTTCCTGTTGGTGTTGGTAGTACTAGAAAATGTTAAGGGGTCTTCGTCATCAGCTTCCAATTATTTGATTGGCCTTGGAAGTTATGACATAACAGGTCCTGCTGCTGATGTTAATATGATGGGTTATGCAAATGCTGAGCAGACTGCATCTGGGATTCACTTCAGGCTCAGAGCTCGTACATTTATTGTAGCAGAACAGCAGGGCAACCGTGTAGTTTTCGTGAACCTTGATGCCTGCATGGCCTCCCAAATTGTCACAATTAAACTTCTTGAGAGATTGAAAGTGAGGTACAGAACCCTCCTGGTACTAGACGTTTCTTATTTCTTTAAAAAGTTCGATTCTTTAGTCATTGAGATTTAAAAGTTCGGTTTTTTCTTATTGAGATTTTGCTCCTTTTTTTTTGGGTGTGTGTGAAAGGTATGGGGAGCTTTATACAGAGAAGAATGTGGCAATTAGTGGGATTCACACTCATGCTGGGCCTGGGGGCTACCTTCATATGTTGTATATATTGTTACATCTCTTGGATTTGTAAGACAGTCATTTGATGTTCTTGTTGATGGAATTGAGAAAAGCATAATCCAAGCTCATGAAAACCTTCGTCCTGGGTCAATTTTTGTGAACAAAGGTAAGAAAACTGACTCATAATTACTCTATTCTTGTAACTTGTTTACCTATTATATCCTTGAATGACCATTTGTAACTTTGCTTGATCTTCTCCAAAGCCGAATTTTGGAATATAAATTGAACCCTTCTTATATAAATATATGAATATTGAGTAGCTTCCCTAATTGAAGCTATTTTAATCTGTCCTCATGGTTTCATAGGAGAGCTCTTAGATGCTGGTGTGAACCGTAGTCCAAGTGCTTATCTCAGCAATCCTGCAGAAGAGCGGAGCAAATATAAGTTTGATGTTGATAAAGAAATGACTCTCATAAAATTTGAAGATGAGGAGTGGGGCGCGGTTGGTAGCTTTAACTGGTTCGCAACTCATGGAACTTCCATGAGTCGTACAAACTCGTTGATAAGTGGGGATAACAAAGGAGCTGCCGCTAGATTCATGGAGGACTGGTTTGAACGGCATGGTGTTGTGAGAGGCTTTGATGGTCTATCTTCCAATAGATCAGGTACTGGCAAAGTCCCCAGAAGAGTCTCAAGCCTAGTTCCTAAAGATAATGGAAATGGTAATTGAAATCTTTTTGTCTATGATTTAATGTAGACTGTCTCAAGCCTCTTCCCTTCTAATAACATATAATACATTTGGAACAGGAAATGAGTTGATGAAACTTGCCGCCTCCTTTCAGTCTTCTCAAGGACAAATCGTGACAAGTCTTTCAAGTTTTGCAAGACGGGTTAGGAATGCCTTAAGGAAAACTGAAAGGTCTCAATTTGTATCTGCATTCTGTCAATCAAATTGTGGTGATGTAAGCCCAAATGTTCTTGGTGCATTTTGCATAGACACTGGACTTCCATGTGATTTCAATCACAGTACCTGCAATGGTAAAAATGAATTGTGCTATGGCCGAGGACCGGGGTACATGTTTCTACAATCTCTTTAGGATTTCATACAATGGTCAAATATATGATACCTATGTGGTTTTAAACATTTGTTCTTTTTTCGTTTTTCAGTTGAAAATAAACCCTTTTTTCTTCATTTGGCAGTTACCCTGATGAATTTGAGAGTACTCGCATAATAGGAGAAAGGCAATTCAGAAAAGCTGTTGAACTGTTTGACAAAGCAACTGTGAAGCTGAAAGGGAAGGTTGGATCCCAACATGCATACATAGATTTTTCAAGCCTTGAGGTCTCACTTCCTAAAGTTGGAGGGGCTAATGAGGTGGTGAAAACTTGCCCGGCTGCCATGGGGTTTGCCTTTGCCGCAGGAACCACTGATGGGCCAGGAGCTTTTGATTTCAAGCAGGGAGATGACAAGGTAAGAAATTTCTGGAGCATGTTTGACCCTTCTTCGTATAAGAACCTTAATTGGTTAAATAACTCAAGTGATGATTCTCTTCTTGTGTGCTTCTCTAGGGAAATGCCTTCTGGAGATTGGTAAGGGACTTTCTGAAAGCACCGGACCAAGAGCAGGTCAATTGCCAGCATCCAAAGCCTATTCTACTTGATACTGGGGAAATGAAGGAACCATATGACTGGGCAGTAAGTTTGTATGTTGGCTTTCAATTTTTATATCAAAATAGCCCATGAGTAACAGTGGTTTGTGGAAGAACTGGACATGTTGAATGCTCCATGGGACATCCCATTGAGGTCTGCAAGTAAATTATTCCTTGTGAAGAATTATAAAACAGTGCAACACAGCATATTTATCACTCGGCTTACTTACAACATCAAAGATGATGGCACTGTCGGAAAATTCCATACATCAAATATACTGTGTAATTCAAAAATTTTGTTGGTGAATGTACTTTATTCATTCTTAACGAATACCTACTTACAATCCTTGGAATTGATTTTCTGACATACAAATAAGTATTTGATGGTTCTGGCCGCAGGCCAATACGTGATGCTGTTAGTGAGAATAATTTCTGGTGCAAGCCATTGTAACTTTTATCTAGGCTTTTAGATTGATGCTTCAAGAAATTTGATATTCATTTGTGGGGTGTAATATCTGCAGATAATTTTTCCGCATCTTTAGTTTTCTTTTAATTTTGATGTGGAACTGATGGACATATGTTGAATTATTTCTGCACTGCAGCCATCAATACTACCAGTTCAAATTTTGCGAATTGGCCAACTTGTCATTCTCTCTGTACCTGGAGGTGAAAGCAAACCTATCATATTCCACTTACGCCCTTAACTTTGTTATTCCCCACTGTACTGAATGCTCGAGAGGATTTTCCTATATTCTGAGCAGGAATTGGCCTAAAGAAGTTTCATATCATCTTTTTCTGTTGGTGGACTCTATCTTTATTCACAGCAAGTCAGGATGTATTTCTAATAATATTGGTTATTTTCTTTCAGAATTTACAACTATGGCTGGAAGGCGTCTCCGTGATGCTGTTAAGAGGGTCCTTACCTCTGGAGGTAGGAAAGAATTTGACAACAATGTCCATGTAGTCATTGCCGGGCTAACAAATACATATTCACAGTATGTTACCACCTTTGAAGAGTACAAAGTGCAGAGATACGAGGTTCGAGCCACTCATCCTTCATCTTCCATTGTCTTTCTTACTAGTCTTTCATATCACCTGGTAAATTGTCCGTTAAGCTGCATTATGTAAGTCCTCCAGACTTGGGAATTTTTGTAATTCTAATTCTCTTTCACATTTCAGGGAGCGTCCACTCTTTATGGACCGCACACACTTGAAGCTTACATTCAAGAGTTCAAGAAACTAGCAACAGCTCTCATCAATGGCCAAACTGTCGAACCAGGCCCACCACCCCCCCGACCTCCTTGACAAGCAAATCAGCCTACTAACACCCGTTGTTCTGGACACAACCTCTTTTGGTGTTAAATTTGGGGATGTTAAAACTGATGTCCCTCCAAATTCCAGCTTCAAGAGGGGTGACATAGTTACAGCCACCTTCTGGTCTGCTTGCCCAAGGAATGACCTCCTGACTGAAGGCACATTTGCACTGGTTGAGATTCTGCAGGACCAGAAGACATGGGTTCCGGCCTATGATGATGATGATTTTTGCTTGAAGTTTAAGTGGTCAAGGCCTGAGAAACTCAGTCCTCAGAGTCATGCAACTATAGAATGGAGGATCCCAAAAACTGCCGTTTCAGGTGTGTACAGGATAAGCCATTTTGGTGCATCAAAGGCGCTTTTTGGGTCGATTCGCCATTTCACAGGTTCCTCTAGTGCTTTTGTAGTGGCATAGGCACGACATGCTGCATGTAGACCTGATAGCCATGTTTTATGGGGAGTTCTAAACGACACTCCTCACGAGGCTTAATTGTACTGCTGCAAAAAGAGTGCAGCACAATACAGCGTGAGGTAGTGCTAAAAGCACTCCCCTACATCTAATTTTTGTTTTCATTCAACAGATTAAGTTACCACTTTACAGCTCCTAGAACCAAAGTTGAGAAATTTATCCTCAAGAGTAACTATTACCATTAGACAGTAGTTAATGGACAAATGTAGTCATTATCTTGATACTTTGTTGCATTTCTAGTTTCTTCAGTTTGAAACCTCCTGTCTTGTTTTTAGGAGATTGATAGATATATTCTCATCTTTTATTCTCCTTTTTGACTTTGGCTGGAAAAACCAATTCAAATAGTTGGCTAGTAATTGGTTTGGCTGTTAACCCAATTTGGCAAGTCCTAATGCAAGTCTAAGGTATCCATTTGTAGCCAATATAAAACCAAATGAAAAAAGTCACAAATCTAAAACCAAACCAAGGTTTGCCGGCTTAACGTTGTCTTTGAGGAATCCGAGGCCAGCAATCGACATCTTAATCTCAATTAGAAGTTAATTACAATGCAATTAATACTATTCTCTGCTTCTTTCACTGTCTTCTTTGTTGAAAGGTCCTCCAAGCAAGGTCGTTTAAATGCTGCGCATTTTAGTCCAATTCCACCATTTTCAACAAATTCAAGCTGACAACAACCTGAAAAAAAAACCATCCTACTGCATAAAGAACACGCCGACATCAACCGTCCGATGAAATATACAACAAAATCCTGTCCCACATTATGTGGGGCCCGCTAAACCATGAAACTGGCATGACCCGTTTACCGTTACGACATTAACTATCTTTCCTCTGTTTCCCAAAGCTCGCACCTTTGATTGAACCCTTCTTCTTCAACCCTTCACCTTCTGCAAATTCAATTCATTTTCAATTCTCTCTATCTCTCTGTAATTCCGACAACCTATGACTCAAGAACCCACGACTGCGCCGATCCCATGGACGACGATCGGCATGGTCGTCGCATGGTACGGCTCCAACATCGGCGTTCTTCTCCTCAACAAGTACTTGCTCACAAACTACGGCTTCAAGTACCCGATTTTCCTCACCCTCTGCCACATGACAGCCTGTACGCTGTTCAGCTACATCGCCATAGCTCTGATGAAGGTGGTTCCTCTGCAGACCGTGAAGTCCAAGGTACAGTTTGCGAAGATCTCGGGGCTCAGTGTCGTTTTCTGCTTCTCCGTCGTTTGTGGAAACGTGTCGTTGAGGTACCTTCCTGTGTCGTTTAATCAGGCCATTGGCGCCACCACTCCCCTCTTTACCGCCGTTTTTGCGTTTTTTATCATCAAGAAGAGGGAAGCCTGGCTTACTTACACCACCCTCATTCCTGTTGTTACAGGTGTCATCATTGCTAGTGGGGTAATCCAATTTCTTCTCCTATTTTATTCATCTGTGCTGCCTTTTTTGTAAATTTTTAAAGAACTAGGTAATGAAAAATCTCGTCTTGTTAATTGTATATGTTGTCACACTGTTAATCTAACAATTGAGTATGCGAAAATTCGTTAACATTTACAATGTAACAATATAACATGTTAAACTATCTGTAAAATTAACCGTGTCATTTACACAATGTAGAATGTGAATGTGCCTTTTAATTTTTCATTGTGTGTTAACCTTGTACTAATTAACATGTAATCAGATAAAGTTGCAGACTTGCAATTGGATTTTGTTTGGAGATTGAAATCGTGAATGCCCTATTGAGATCCTCTGTTTCACATAAACTTTTATTTGGTTGCAGGGTGAACCAAGCTTCCATCTTTTTGGGTTTATTATGTGTGTTACAGCTACAGCTGCAAGGGCATTCAAGTCAGTACTTCAGGAAATTTTGCTTTCCTCTGAAGGGTAACAATTTTCTCCTTGTTCCTTTTTGCCTCACAATTTTATTATAATTTGTCTTTGCACAATTCCAAACTTTTTATTTTCCAGGGAAAGGCTGAACTCGATGAACTTGCTGCTGTACATGGCGCCAATCGCTGTAACGTGCTTGCTTCCTGCAACCCTGATGATGGAGGAAAATGTGGTTGGGATCACAATAGACCTTGCTAGAAAAGATGTCAAACTTATTTGGTACCTCTTCTTCAATTCTTCTCTGGCATATTTCGTCAACTTGACCAATTTCCTCGTCACCAAACACACCAGCGCTTTGACCCTCCAGGTGCTGGGGAATGCCAAAGGGGCAGTTGCTGTGGTTGTCTCGATTCTGATATTTAAAAATCCGGTGTCGTTAATGGGAATGGTGGGCTATGCTCTCACTGTTCTTGGAGTTATTTTGTACAGTGAAGCCAAGAAGAGGCATAGTTGAGAACTTGAGATGCTCTTACAGCTTCGGAAAAACTATATGCATGTCTTGAGCACATTTTGGGGCAAATGCCCTTCGTTGTGTTTTTACTATTATTTGGGAACTGAAAAACGAAAAGTTCCTGAGAAAAAAGTGACCCCATAGAAGCTCACCAGCAGATAGCAGCCTAGCAGTAGGGAAATTGTATACACAACCCATTGGTTTTCCACTCATTTTGGAACAGAGTTTGGTTTTCTCTTGTGAGCAAAGTGCAATCAATCATTGTTATGTTACTTCAGATGAATCGGTTATATATATGATATAAGAATTAGTGTTACAATGAATAATTGGTACGATTAATGGAAACAAAAGATGCATCTGTAAATATTTTTTGTCCTAAATACAATTGAAGGAATAGAAACTCTTTGACAGTCAAGTTAGGCATGAACTCCTTAATGTACGAAAGACTTATCGTGGATCGGGAATGAAAGGTAGGAGATTCGAGAGAGAACAAATCATATATACTTGCGCCAAGTGAGATCCACTCCTTATTTGTGAGAAAGATTTCTTTTATCAATGTTTATATATACTTATGGAGTGTCTCCTTCATCATATCACGTGATGAGAGAGATAGACACATAGTTGTATATAACTGATTACACTTAAGATTTCTCATTATATAGATGTTTGGATAGTAATACGTCGATCCCTAAGAGTACTTAGGACTGTTAGGAAGTTGAGATGCCACCATGTGGATTCTCGAGATTCTTGAAGGTCGTCATTAGGGCCGGTTGAGACTTGAGCCGATACACTGGTCGGTAGACTCTCAAGTGGATGTGGATGTTACATGGCTCCCCTCTCCTTCCCCAGCCCTAGCTGCTTCCTACACTGGGCTGAAGTATTAGCTGTTTGCGACGGGCCTATGAGCTCTGGCCAAATTGGGCTATTGATCTGATAATTCATGCAAACAAGTTCCGAGTGAAGTCCATTTTCCCCTGTTGACCTGATTCATGCAAAGATCGTCAACAATAACAACGTGATAGATTTGTTGGGTTTTTTTTAATCTATTGAACATTGATTTGGCTCATTCTCAAATCAAATCACAGACTGAGAGATAGGTAAAACTAACTTATCAAAAATCACGAAAAGAAAAAAAGAAAAAAACTCGGCATACATGAAAAATAACTGTGATTTGTTTGCAATGAGAAGTTCGTGTAAGAAGCCAAACATTTTTATTTCGAATGTGATTTCTTATAATTGTATGCAAAAGAGGGCTATTTATTTGTTTACTTTTTGAACAAATGGATGACTGAGACCGACCCTGCCTGACCTATATATGCCTGATGATTGCAAATTGGTAGCAGCATGCCAGCATATGGTAAGTAAAACGAGTGTCTCGTCGAATATGCCAAACGCAACCTGTACCATAAGACACAACGAAACGTCCATTCATTTCATTTGGCACTGCCTCCAAAGAAAGATGAAAAGATTTCCTGCAAACAGTTTCTGATGCATCATTGCATGCCAATGCAACTACCCACCAACCTATTTCGATTCTTCAATCTTTCTTACATCACCCCACCTGACATCAACCACCCAATTGGCCACCCAAGTGGTCCATTTGGACTCCATTAATATTCGTTTCTTATGCCTTTTGCTTCTCTTTTTTAAGGGATTCATAACCCTAGTGATTAATAGCAGTTATTTTTACGGTTGATTTTCTATATTTGAATGTTCATTTCTCCAATGTCGCTCGCATTAACAGTTACCAATTTCAACCATTTGCCAATTTTCATATGGTCATTCTCATCTCATTCATTTTTTTTTATTTAAACACCATATTTTGTAATCATATGGTGGATTACAGATGCCATATTTGTCAGTCTCATTAAGATAATGTTACTTTAATTGAACCAATTTTTATTAGTCCACTATAATTGGCCTTTTTTGCTTAATTTTTATCCTGATTTAGATAGCCAATTATTTGTTATAATATGTACACTCTTATTTAATCAATTAATCACCGCAGGCTAAATAAATATATTTTATTCAGAGCCCAAGTTCTTTTCCAGCTTTTCACCTCCCAATAATTCATAGGGGTTCTCTTAACTGAGAGAGACTTTAATGTAATTTATGTTCCAATGACTTGTATAGAAACGTGTCATTGCATTATTAGTTTGGATAACAAAACAATGTTATACCTGTTACAAGAAATTTTTTCCCCCTAACTTCCCAAAAGGGGCTTATTTAATTACCATATTCTCCTCTGCAAATTCATTGCACCAATTGAAACAGGCCACATCACCAACTTCTAAACTTGCGGCTGCGCAATTACCTTTATGCCCATAATCCTCAGACGTGGCGGAGTTTTATTGGTTGAAGGACGGTGGATGCTGTAAATTTCCGAATAAGCATCCACAGAGATACCAAAAGTGAAAAGGTGGGAAAAGCAGAAGGAAAATTAATAACGAGGCATGACATGGAGAAACAGAAGAGAGAGAGAGCTTAGCTCTTAGAAGGCAAAGCCCAGTTGCAAAACCTCCGGTTGTGATTTGCTTTTCCCGGGAATCTCGTTCAACGAAAACCCATTAGGCAATTTGGGTTCTTTTCCCTTTCTTCCAATTCATGTATTAAAACCCTAATCATCTCTGCTCTCGTTCGGCCTCGTGTTGGTTTTGTTAGCTCAGTCAGTCATGGTGGCCGATAGCAAGTCCAAATCTGACATTTCGTTCGCTGGAACTTTTGTCAGCAGCGCTTTCTCCGCTTGTTTTGCAGAGGTGATCAATCAATATAACCCTGATCAGTGATCACGCTCTTGTTTATGCGAAATTGAATCGTTTTAGATTTTGTATTTGGATCTAGTGCACTATTTTTGATCTCATAGTCAACCAAGAGCCAAAACCCAAGTGTTAGCTAGTGATCAATTTTGTCTCTGATATATCAGCAATGTCAAGCTTATGAATTTTCTATGTGGGTTCCTGGTTGTGCCCAAAATTTTTGCATGAAGAAAGAAGAAGCTATTTTGCTTTTGCTTTGTACTGCGTTGAGAAATAACATTGTTGCTATGCGGTTTAATTTTCTGTGTAATGAAACCCAATGCCGCCCTTGAATATTAGTTTAGCTTGTTGTGATCAGAAAATCCTGTATACACACAACACACGCACAATTCAGTATAAGCAGACAATTGATTGTGCTAGGTTCCAACTGTTTGCTTAGAAGGGCCTGGAAATTTTAAAGCGCTTTTGATTAACTTGATGCAGATTTGTACTATTCCATTGGACACTGCTAAAGTTAGGCTTCAGCTCCAAAAGAAAGCTGTTGCAGGTGATGGAGTGGCCTTACCTAAATACAGGGGTATGCTGGGTACGGTTGCTACCATAGCCAGGGAAGAAGGTCTATCGGCACTCTGGAAGGGAATTGTACCTGGATTACATCGTCAATGCCTATATGGAGGTTTGAGAATTGGGTTGTATGATCCTGTACGTCTCGAGTTTGTTTTTTCATTTTTTTCTTATAAAGCAAACTACTTGTGTAATATTTTTTTAGTGTATGTGATATCTGTGCTCTCTAATGTCTAAAACTAGTATATAAATTGTGTGCTTTACAGATTAAGACCTTATATTGCGGCAGCGACTTCGTCGGAGATGTTCCTTTAACAAAGAAGATACTTGCTGCCTTAACAACTGGTAAGCATGGTTGCGGATGCTTTTAAATTTACATATGATTTCTGATGGTTTTGCGATAGAATTAAATAAGGCTTTTGCGCTATATTTGTATTATTCTCTCTAGTACAAGTGGTGTCTCATCTTTTGCTTGTCTGGAAGTTGGATTTTATTTCTTTCCTTTCTTAGATGGAAAGATAGGCAGTATCATTTACACTTCTGGTGTTTCTTTTGCTGTTTGATTTATTGTAGGTGCTCTAGCAATCACAGTGGCAAATCCAACTGATCTTGTGAAAGTTAGACTTCAAGCTGAAGGAAAATTACCCCCCGGTGCACCAAGGCGCTATTCTGGAGCGCTGAATGCCTATTCCACCATTGTGAGACAGGTTGAGCATCTATCCTGGAAACTTTTTTAAAAAAAATTTAAAAAAGGCGCTATTTTGGGGTAGGAATTGAATTATATTTTTCTGACTTTCTTAACCTGTTAATCTAAAATACATTAGGAAGGAGTTGGGGCTCTCTGGACTGGGATTGGACCCAACATTGCACGTAATTCCATCATTAATGCTGCCGAACTAGCCAGTTATGATCAAGTGAAGGAGGTAAGCTTGTCACTAACAATCTTGTTTCTTCTTTTAATGCGGAACTCTTGTCACTATTTTTTAATCTGTATGTATTTCTATGCAGACACTTCTGAAACTTCCAGGGTTCTCCGATAATGTTGTCACTCATCTTCTTTCTGGTCTGGGGGCAGGTTTCTTTGCTGTCTGTATTGGCTCACCAGTTGATGTGGTAATCTATCTACATTCACATCTGAAATCTTTCTGATTGGTCTCTAGTTAAGTATTCCTGATATCTAGTGCATACTATGTCTGCTTGCATGTTCTAGCCGATAGAGAATTAATGATCTTACTAGCATGTGTATTAGCAGAAAGGCAACCGTCATAATACTGATGTAGCATGCACTCAGTTAATACTTTTACCATTTATTTTGATGTTCTCATCCTGTACTTTTATATCATTTGAAATTCTTCTCGAAACTCTGATCATTAAAAGATCTACACTAGTCTTGTGTCTAAAGAATACGCATATATTATTGATTGGTCGATTTAGGTCCACTTCAGCGAAGCATGGAATCATTTATATGGTTGCCTATTTGCATGTATTGGTTAAGCTGCATTTATTCTATTTAGATCGTACAACATCAGATTTAATTTATTGTTCTTCATCTTTTCTCAGGTTAAGTCAAGAATGATGGGAGATTCTGCTTACAAAAGCACAATTGATTGTTTCCTCAAAACTTTGAAGAATGATGTATGAATAATTTCTTTCAGCACCTTTTAGCATATTCGTAACTTCCTACGATAGTATTGCTTTAATAAGTTAAGAAGTTATGGAATCAAGTATTTACGTATCCTTATGAGTGAGATGTAGGAATTAAAGCTGTTGAGCATTCCATTTTTTTTTCAAACAAGTTATGCAGTTGATTATCTATAGGATTTAAGCACTAAGTTATTTGCACTGTGTGTCTATGTTCAGACATAGTAGGGTACCAACCCTAACTTTCATTCTGTGTATCTTTGTTAATTGAAGAACCTTATTAAAAGATAATGATTATTAACATTCAATGTTTTACAGGGACCTTTGGCCTTTTACAAGGGCTTCATCCCAAATTTTGGACGGCTAGGATCGTGGAATGTCATCATGTTTCTAACCCTTGAGCAGGTACATTTTGCAACACATTCCCTTTTCTATTCTCCACCATTCCATCTCTTTGGTCCTTTCAACTTATCTGTGGAGCTGTCCTTTTCTTTTAAAACCTTGTCTTAACTAACCTGAATTGCTTTCTCATCTGTTCAATTTCATGGCAGGCTAAGAAGTTTGTGAAAAGTATAGAGTCATCATGAGTTCAAGGTGATGAAGTCAAGCCAACAATGTGGATTTTGCAGGGTAGTAGCATCTACAGCAAATGATAATTGTTTTAGAGAATAATAAGGCCCTAGACAAAACATTTTAATCGCATTTTTTGCCAACTGAGGAGAAGATTCCTCTCACGGAAACCTTTTAACTTGAAACTCGGAGGTTTTACAAATAATTATCATGGTTTTCCGGATTACATTTCTTTCCTCTATTATCGTATTGATAATTTTTCTATTATTAAGATTTGCATTGTAATAAAGCTCTGATTGCTTTCTTTTCCACACGGGCCAAATATAACATGAGCGGATTGATAATACCTCGTGGCTATATATTGATCACATCGTAGAGTTATTCATTTTGATAGATATGGATTGGAATTTGGATGTATGCAGACAAATACTTATCGATTTTTCTCTTCTCTGATTAAGGTGTCAATTAAACTAAACAACAGTAAAGCATTTAGGATGATGTACTCTCATTATAAACTCAGCCAAAATTATTGTTTATCCCCTTTAAAACTCAAGTAAGTGTTTTTATTTTTATTTTTTAAAGGGACAAGAAGCTTGAAGTCAACGGCCAATTTACATCCCTAGTGAAGGACAACCCCACTATTTTACACACTAGTGTTAGATTGTGGCTGAGCCGCATCAGTAGGCAAGCTCCTTATGGGTGAGGATGGAAGCGTTACCCAAAGATTTTTAGGAGTGGCCAAATTAAAAGGTGACTTTTTTATTTGAAGAAAAAGAGATGTTTACGTTACAAAAATTTGGGTTCGATATTTACCCAAAAATAAAAAATAAAATTTGGGTTCGATAGATAGTAAGTGGGCCACACCATCCCTCAGGCCCAGCCTTGTATACTGCCGTATTCTACTGCCCATTAATTGTAACCCGACCCGACCGGACCCAGTAACCAGATCCCACTCCCTTCTTCTTCAGTTGTTCTTCTCCTCTGACTTGGAGCACTTAGGCACCCGCCAACACTCAGGAGAATTGCAGAGAGGCGGTGAAAAAGGATTTCCAAACCCACCCAAACAAACTGTCCTCAACCCTCAACTCTTCTTTTTCCTTCTTCAAATTTTCTTCAGTCTCCCTCCCGCGTTCCCTTTGTTCCTCTTCTCCTGCCGCTTCATTTTCTTCAGTCTCCGCTGATTTGCTCTCAATCGGGCTCAGGTATATCTTAATTTCCTCTTATTTTCTTTGTTTTCTTATTGTATTTGGTTCAGTATCTAATTAATTTCAATTTCTATTGGATTTTATTAGGGCTTGCGGTGATATCTGATAACCACGCCTTTGAGACTTGAGCTGCTCGAGGCCTGCGATCGCCGACGAGCTTGTGAGAAGGCTTACGGGTAAGTAGATTTTCTTCTCACCATTTTCCAAAAGAAATTTCGTTTTTTTTGAGATACATGCAGTATTCATTGGGCACATGTGGCATTGGAATTTGAACCCAATGCCAACGTCTAACCCTATAATTGTCCCCAAAGGTGGATTTCATGGAACCAAACAGAGTTTCATGCTACAACTTTCAATGTGCTTAGCTATTGTTCTGCATGATACAGAATTTCAAAGCAATATACGAAATTTGCACATGTTGGTATATTTTGTTGCTGTTTGATATCAATGTATCACAAGTTCCGTAGCTAATGTCACAAATGTGAGAAATAATAACATAAATATAAAACCAAATTCTAGTTAATCTAGTTTCAAGTTTCAAGTCAAGCCAAATGCATCCTTGTTTGTGCAATCAGTTGCCATCTGTGTGTTCATGTGTATGTTTAAATAATCAATCATGAGTAAGTAAGTATCGTTTTCAATTCATGTACAGGAGAAGATATTCAGTCTCATAATTGCATTATTCAGTCAGACAATATAAGCCTGCCATATTGGGTTGCAAACATTATACGTTCAAGAAAGAGGGTAACAGTTGGGTGAAAGATGCTTCAGATCCGGCTTAAGAGTGTTGCACCCCCAGAGGGTGCTGCAGGGGTAAAACCCTTGCCAGCGGAGACTGTGACAGTTGCATGCCCTGACCACCTTGTCCTTGCTGATCTTCCTGTCGCAAAGGGCATTGGTGCATCAACCATTGCTTCAATTGTCAAGACTGTAGGTCGCAGGTCCCGTCGCCAGCTTGGAGAACGGGTTCACTTTTGTGTTCGCTGTGATTACCCAATTGCTATCTATGGACGCCTGGTATGGACCAACTAAATTTGTCTTTCCACAGTTGCTAGCTGCTTTCAAATTTCTTTTTCTTTCAAAGTTTTCCTTCCGCATGATTAGGTTTCCATGTGGTCTTTGTGTTATTTTTGTCTCTTTAGCTTCATATATTTTTTCTTTAGATGCTCTGGAAATGAATGCTAGAAGTTAAGTCTTGAATTGCATGATATGGATCTCTTGTATATTAACTAGATTGTGTTCTTGCAGAGCCCTTGTGAGCATGCCTTTTGTCTGGATTGTGCTAGGAGTGACTCGATCTGCTATCTGTAAGATTTCTGATCTTTACATAGTCATACTAGAGCATGAATTTGTTCCCTGCAAACTTGTTCCTTTTCTGTCTGCAAACTTGTTGGGCTTGTATTATTGTAGACTTTTGGATAATCTCCAACAGCCCTTTTGACTCTTGCATGTTTAGTTCTATTATTTAGACTGCTCACCCAAGGGACTTCAGTTGTGGGGAAATGCATTAAAGGGTTGGATTCGCTTCAATAAACTTTACATTTCAACAGTTGTGTCAAACTCAACCATTAAATGCATTGTCCCAATTTAAGTACCTTAAGAGCACTTCAACTATTGTTTATGTGTAATTTGAGGTTTGCTACTTGCAGCTGAGTTCACTTCATTTTGAACTTGATGAAATATTCACTTGAGAGTTAACAATACACAAATGAGGAGTTGAAAGAGATCCATGGTTACTGGATCAAGTCTTAGTATAAGTAAAATATTTGGCTAGGAACAAAAGACCAGTTTATACACTGCTGCAAGATAATTGCTCCAAATGTTGAGACGTGTCAATGCGAATGGATTTCAAATATAGAGTTTCTTTCCATTTCTTATTGGTTACTGGATGACTTGACATCCAATTATTATAGCACACGGCCAGTAATTGTGCTTAAAATGATTGTTAATTATTATTTGTGGAAATGTTATTTTATTGACAAAGAACTATTAGAATTAACTGATGAATGATAACATCTAATTTTCATGATTTATTGTACAGTTGTGATGAACGCATCCAGAAGATCCAGACGATCAAATTGATGGAGGGAATCTTTATTTGCGCAGCCCCGCACTGTCTGAAATCTTTCCTAAAGAGGAGTGAATTTGAATCTCATATCCACGAGAACCATGCTTACCTTCTTCAGCCAAATGCGGACAAAATGGATGGAAATGAATCAGAAGCTCGGAGTACCAAACAAGGTACAGTATCAGAATCCACTGGCCGTGCTCCACCAAGGCCAGTCTTTTCTCCGGGTTCAAATTCCCAGCTCCATGACCGTGAGGACAAAGCTCGTCTTCAACAGCCTAGAGAACAGTCACTTCCAAGGCCAGTCATGCAGCCCAACCCAGCCCCAGCTTTTGGGCAACTTCAGAATAACCCAGCAGATCTCAGTCGTCCCCCAGGCTTTGACAGGCCTAGTCCCCACAATCTCTTCCATCAACAAAGCTATGATTCAGTGGGTAATACAATGCAGGAATCTGGCCAGTTTTCAGATAAGCAGCAGACTCCCTTTTCTGAATACCCACCCATGCATTCTATTCAGCCCCCCAATTATGCAGTTCCCATTAATTCGAATCAAGTGCGGATGCCCTCCCTTCCATTTGCCTATCCTTTTCCTGTTGATGGATCTCAACCATTTTATAATGCTCCCTATGAGATTGCACGGCAGGATTCAGCACCAGATGTTGGACAAGAACAGGGGTCGTTATTGGGTTTTCCCCCAGGTTCAGCAGGGAACATGAATTTCGCTGCTAGTTATCCACAGTCTTGGAATGCAGGACAGGCCGGTGTTCCTTTTGAAGCTGCACAAGGGGGTCAAGGAACTGCAGATGGTTTCTCTAACTCCTCAGAGTCTCAAGGACAAGTTGCATTTTATCAAGGAGAATACGGACGGAATCCAGGGGGTTTGCCTTTCAATCCTCAGCATATGACCAACAAAGCAATGGAAGCAGTGCAGGGTGGAAATTCTATGGATCCAAGAGATGGCAAAGGTATATTAGCATCACAGCCCATGCCGCTTCCTCCGCCGCCTCCACCCCCTCCTCACATGTCGCAGCTCAATCGTCAGTTTTATCAAGGTGATACCGGTCGAGATGGACAGGGGTAGGACTGGCAACATGAGAACCCCGTGATGACTATGGTGGTGGCCAAGTCTAGAAAACATTTCTTCTTTGTAATTTCCCCCTTTTTTTTTCCCCTCTGTGGAACTCGTTACGGTTATTATTTGGTCCAAAGCTCTCTGAGTATTTGTTTCGCTCCCTGGTTGAGGTTTTACTTTATAGATAATTGTCAATATCACTACGAGTAATCAGAATGATCCGGCTGATTTTAGCAAGTTAGAGTTATGAGAAGCCACCAACTACAGATTAAAAATTGGGCATTTTTTTATTTTACCCATGTTTGGGCCCTAATTTGTCATGAGTCAGATTTAATTAGGATTGGTAACACCAATCATAGATATAACCCTTCGTAATGAGGATTCTTTAGTAGACCAATCATGGATATGAACCTTATCCAATGAGGAGTTTTAGTGGATTAAAACATGTAATTAGTTTGAATGGTGCTTCAAGCTAGGTCAAGACCAATATATAAAGAAGGCTTATGCGCATAGAAAAATTGCCGCTGGCTATGATAACAGTAATGAGGAACAAGGATAAGTTACTGGCGGCATCTGCAAGTTGTGAAGATCAAGCAACTTGTTCTGAAAATGTGACAGACGACAGATTTAGTAATCTTCCGGATGACGTTGCTCATATTATTCTTTCCTTCCTCACTTTCAACGACGCCGCTCGAGTGGGTGCCTCCTCGAAAAGATGCAGACAATTTTATCTATCGGTTCCGCTGGTGGATTTTGATGCAATTTGGCGGGGAATAAAAAGAACCCAGCAGAATAAGGTGAGGATGATGAATTCTTTGGATAGATACTTGTTCTACCGTGGCAATAATAGGATCCAGCGCTTCTGCGTTTCTTGGAGTTTTGGTTCGAGCGAAACAGCAAACAAGTATTCTGATGATCATTTTCGAGTGATCACGTGGATTCACAAGGCAGTAAGGTGTAATGTTGAAGAGCTTGATGTTCGCATATGTGGTCTGGCCAATACGTTTTCGTTGCCATCTTGTGTCTTTCTTTCTCAATCTTTGCGCTCTCTATCGGTGGATTTGAACACGCAGATTTTGGAATCGCCGTCTCTATCCTTTTCCAGTAATATCCTATACTTGGAACTGATAAATCTTAAAATAGCAGACGAGAGGTTGTTCAAATGGATCTCATGTTGCTGCAAATGCATTAAGAAGTTGCAGATTCTTAATATCGCAGGGGTGAGAAATATCAGCATTGAAAGTTCGTCTTTGGAACACTTTCGTGCTTGGATTAGTCGTGACCTGTTGCATCTTAATATATCTGGTGAGAAGCTCGAAACTATAGATATGTTTTTATGGTTTGAAGAAAGCTATCCAGTAACAAGAAGCCCTTCATTGAAGATTTTAGCTCCAAATCTTAAAAACTTGAAGTGGAAAGGCACTGTGGGGAATAGCCCAAATCTGGGAGAACTCACGAGTTTGGAAAAAGTTAAGCTTTTTTTAGCTCCTCAGATTCTTGACTTTGACAATGTATATGAGGTTCTTTGTAGTATATGCTGCGCAAAAGTTCTTATTATAAGCGAGGAGACCATTCTGGTAAAACATACTCTCCTCTACGCTTCAGAACTTGCGTTTAAAAACAAGATGTTTTGGTTCATGTCCTCTTCCAAACTAAGATTTTTTGTTGAAAATCATGCAGGCTTTGTTCAAAGAAGGTCCCATGGTAGCACCAATATTACATAATATTTGTAACTTGAGTGTGCACTGTAGGAACTTCAATGATGACCTTGTTCCAGCAGCGGTCTCTCTTCTTAGAGGAATGCCTAATTTGAATATTTTGTACATAAAGACTACTAGCCAATGGATATTGGATGGAGAAACAGTAAGTGAAGTCTATGTTGCCTGTTGATCTCCTCCCTCTCATCAACACACACACACACACACACACACACACACACACACACACATATATATATATATATACTTTTCATGTGCTAAATTGGCAAGTTATTTATTTATTGGTAAATTCAAATTAATTTGCTTGTATGGTTATCGCCTTTTGTATATTTTCAGTCAAGTGGCATTGGTATGGAATACTGGAAACTGCAAAACCTTGCTTTCCTTCATCAGCTTAACGAAGTAACCATAGAGTATTCCCACGGGTCTAATGAAATCCAGTTTGCAAGGTTTATCCTGGAGAATGCTCAAAATTTGAAGAAAATGGTCATTCTTCATCATTATGAAAAAAAGCAATCAAAAGTTGTAGCAGAGATGGTGAGTAGGAGCAAGATGATTTCCACTGCCACAATTATCATTCGGCGTAGATAGAAGAATCTTTGATATTTTCAGAAAACTTTATGTGTATCCTTAATAGTTTGCACCAGTCAAAAATTAAAATGAAGATACATGTAAGGATCGACTCGTGGTATAAAACTCAGGCTTCGATCATTAAACTTCATGGTACTTTGACAGGGCATTTCTACTATATTTTTCAGATAATATCTCCTTGCAATTTGCTTTACTCAAACCTAAATTGTCTTGCAAGGCATACAAATTTAATAATTTGGGGAAGGAAAAAAACAGAGGAAGATATCATTTTACAAAGAAAAAAAGAAAAAAATCAGCCGCACTCCGACACTCCTTAACCCAAAATAGAAATTAAAAAAGAAAGTTTTAAATTTAATCATGAGAGAAGGAGAAATCAACTTTAGTTTTTTTCTCAAGAACCCAGTTTTAAAATCTCTTGTTTGGCAACTTAAGCACGAAATTTATTAAATGACGCTCGGAAAAAATCGTGGAAATTGGGGCATCAAATTCCCTAGTTTAATTTCAACAAAAATAGGCTTCATTTCACAATTTCCATAGTGTCATTTACAAAATTCGATATATATAAATTCAAACACTGAAATCTTCAATTGTGAGAAATTGAAATGATGGAAATCTAAATTCCATCATTTTAGATTTCTATATAATTTTCAATTCATTCATCCAAACGAAGGGTAATAGTCTATGGAATACCACAAGACTTGTTTAGATGATTTAAAAGTCTTAATTGAATACCACAAGACTTATTTATCCCAAAATAGTCTATTAAAATCTCAATTGAATATACCCCCTATTATTTTAGTTTTTCTTATGAATTTTTTACTTTTGTTTTTTATTTAATTATGTTTGGCCCCAAATTTCAGTTGGGTTATATATCGAGTTTATTGGTCTTATGAATAATTTCTTGATTTCTTTTTTTAAAAAAAATGTTGAATGAGGAGAGATGAAAGATCCTAAACGTCGGATTGGTAACATCAATCATGATTGTAACCTTATTTGATGAGGATTTCTAGTGGACCAATCATGGATATAACCTTATTTAACGAAGACACCTTATTTAATGAGGACTAAAACAGGTAGATAGTTTGAATTGTGCTTCAATAGAAATACGTACAAATATGCTTTAATGAGGACTCACAGAAGGTGAAATTGCCGCTGATTAGGTTATCATAAGTTGTTGCAGAAGAAGGAAATATCTTGTAGCTCCAACACCGTCCTCAACAACAGTCTATGGGGCGCAAGCGTAAGTTGTTGGGGGCATCTGCAAGCTGTGAAGCTCAAGGAAATTGTTCAGGAAGTGTGACGTCAGACAGATTCAGTGATCTTCCAGATGAAGTTGCTCATCATATCCTTTCCTTGCTCACTTTCAAAGACCTCACTCGAGTGGGTGCCGTCTCGAAAAGATGCGGACAATTACATCTATCAGTTCCGGTAGTAGATTTTCGTTCACATTGGCATTGGCTGGGCCAGCTGGAAAACTACCTGCATAATCTGAGGCTGATGAGTTCAATGGAAAGATACTTGTTATGTCGTGGTGATAACAGGATGCAGCGCTTCTGCATGGATTGGAATTTCTCTTTAACCCGAAGACCAACGCAGGATTATTTTCGAGTAATTACGTGGATTCATAATGCACTAAGGTGTAATGTTGAAGAGCTTGATCTTTGTATTTCTGGTGTGCCCTCGTTTTCGTTGCCACCCTTTCTTCCTCAATCTTTGCGCTCTTTATCAGTGCGTTTGAGTATGGAAATTTTCAAAACGCCGTCTCTATCAATTCCCAGTAATCTCCGTTACTTGAAACTGGTATTAGTTAAAATAGAAGACGAGAGGTTTTTCAAATGGATCACATGTTGCTGCAAATGCATTAAGCAGTTAGAGCTCGTTCATATTCAAGGGATACGAAATATCACCATTGAAAGTTCGTCTTTGGAATACTTTTATGGTTTCATTCAAAGTGACTTCTTGCATGTGAATATCTCTGGTGAGAAGCTTGAAGGGATAGATATGTGTCTATGGTTTCATGGCTATCCAGAAATAAGCAGCAATTCGCTGAAGATTTTTGCTCCAAATCTTAAAAACTTGAACTGGAACAGCAGCAATGGGAGGTATAGCCCAAATCTGGGAAAACTAATGAGTTTGGAAAAAGTTCAGCTTTTTTTAGACCCTCGGGTAAATGAACTTGACAAGGTTCTTTGCAGTATATGCTCGGCAAAAGATCTTATTATAAACGAGAGGACCATTAAGGTAATAAAAATCTATCCTTCAGACCTTTTGCAATTTGAATCATTTGAAAGAACAAAAAAAAAAGTGAAAACATAGGTTATTTTCCTCTTTCTAACTATGATTTTTTCTTGAAAAACATGCAGGCTATTTTCAAGGATGGTTCCACGGCAGTACCAATATTAGATAATATTTGTAACTTGACTGTGCATTTTACGAGCTTGAATGATGACCTTGTTCCAGCTGTGGCCTCTCTTCTCAAAGGAATGCCTAATTTGAATTTTTTGTCCATGAAGACTACTAGCTCACGGAGCTGGGATGCCCAAACTGTAAGTAAAGTCTATGTTGCCTATTGTTCTCCCTCTCATGCACACACATACTTTTTCTTGTGGTAAATTTTAAATTAATGCGTCTATGATTGTTGCCTTTTGTATATTCTCAGTCAGCTGGCTTTGGTATAGAATACTGGAAACTACAGAACCTTGCTTTTCTTCATCAGCTTAAGGAGGTAACCATAGAGTATCCCGACAACGTGTCTAATGAACTCGAGTTTGCAAGGTATATCCTCGAGCATGCTCAAAATTTGAAGAAAATGGTCAATCTTCTTAATTTTGAAGATACGCAATTTGAAGTTTTAGCAAGGATGGTGAGTAGGAGCAAGATGATTTCCACTGCCACAGTTGTCATTCATGCCCCGTTTGGTTCATGGGAAATGAGGCTTGGGGATGAGAAATAAATTGCTTTCCCATGTTTGGTAAGTCCAAGCATGAGAAATGGTTGCCTGGCACATGGAAAAGTATGGGGGAAAGTAAAACCCTCTCTCAACTTGGGTTTTGTTTTCCCTCCTCATGGGAAAGTTTGGGAAAATGTGCCAACTTTCAATGCACATTTTTCATTACTATTTTGTCTACATGAACAATTTAGAATTACAGTGTATTATTAAATGCATTCTTTTTTTATTTGATTTAATATGGGTGGTTACTTTCCCGACATTACCAAAGGTTGGAAAGAAATCTTTCATTTCTCATCCCTTGAGAAATGACATAAGAAGTGATTTCCCCTTAAATCCATTCAGTAAACCAAACAGGACCTCATAGTTTGGGGAAGGGCTTTCTAGGATGTAAGAAAAGGAAGAATCTTTGATATTTTTGGAAAACTTTATGTATGTCCTTGATAGTTTGCACAAGTCGAAGGTAAAATGAGGATGCATGTAATGTAAGGATCAACTCTTGGTATAAAACTCATTTAGATTACAAAATTTCATCCTACCTTTACTTGACATTTCTGCAATATTTCTCAGTTAATTAATTAATATCTCCTTTGCAGTTTGCTTCACTCAACTTAATTGTCTTGCAAGGTACAAAAATTAATAATATGGGGAAGTAAAAAAAGAGAGAGAGGAAGATATAATTTTGAAAAGATAAAAATAGTCAACCGCACTCCACATTAACTCTCACATGACCTTAACCTAGAATGATATAGGGCTGATTTCAGCAAGTTAGATTTATGAGAAGCCCATTGGTTTTCTTTTCTCCAACACAGACAGAAAAGAAAGTTAATCAGGGCTGATTTTAGCAAGTAGGCATTTTTTTAATTTTATATCGAATTGATTGAATACAAGGCCTTGATTTCTCCTCAAAGAAAGTTAATCAGGAAAGATTCTAAACGTTGGTGGGGATTGGTAACGCCAATTATGGATCCTTATTTTATTTTATGAGGATTTTGAGTGGATTAACACAAGTAATTACTCTGAATTGTCCTCCAAGCTAGGTCAAGACCAATATGTAAAGAAACTTATGGTAATTTTAAATTAAATTGTTTGCAGACTTATTTCAAGTTAGATTGCTGTCTAATTGTACAATTCTCTTTTTGACAAATTTGTCGTCGTCGTTGATTTTGCTTAGGGTTTTCTAAAATGAGTTGATTGCGGTAGTACTTGGAATATATATATGCCTTTGTATTTGGCATCTTGCTTAGCTGCAGAGTTTAACTGGTTTTTTGTGTGTGTGTATATAGCCAGCTGGTTATGATAAGTTTAACTGGTATTTCTTGTTGGAGCCGTGCGTGTCAAAACAGTAAATCCCTCAAATTCGAAAACCCAATTCATAATTGGACAAGAGAAAACCAAAATTAAAAAGAAGGATTGAAACCTTGTGGTGAGTGAGGATGTGAGAAGCAATCAGGTTCTTTTTGGACCTGCAGATGCTACAGTACTCACAATAATATCGCCTTAATCCCTGGAAATAGGCCCTTCCTCCTCTGCTTCCCCTTTACCCATTGATTTCTCGCGCTCTCTCTCAAATCTCACCGGCCAAAATCAGCAACAACCGAAGCTTCGCGGCTAGGGCTTTCATTTTCTTGAAGAAAAACAATTTACCACTCCTCATTTTGCCACATCCACTCTAAACTCAGAGTGGACTCACCGTAGCCTATTGATCTCCCTGTCATGCACACACATATTTTTCTTGTGGTAATTTTAAATTAAATTGTTTGTATATCCTTGTTGCTTTTGTATATTTTCATGCATCTAGCTTTGGTATGGAATACTGGAAAATGCAAAGCCTTCCTTTCGTTCATCAGCTCGAGGAGGTAACACCATAGACCATTGCGACGGGTCCAACTGAACCCCTTTTGCACGGTACATCCTTGAGCATGCTGTACTATTTATAAAAAAAATATTCATACAAAAACAACCCCGGTACAACCGCGCGGCTATACTCTTTCTTAAAAAAAAAAAATCCCGCGTATAGCCGGACGGCCATACAATTTTTATTTCCAAAAAAAAAACCCCCGGGTATAGCCGGGCGGCTATACTATTTGTAATTAAAAAGCGGGACCCGCCTGGCGCTTAGCGCCGCTTTGCAACAGTAAAAGTAGTATAGCCGATCGGCCATGCTATTTTTATTTTAAAAAACTAGAAGTATAGCCGGTCGGCTGTACCCCTTTTTTAAAAAAAAATCCCGAGTATTGCCGCACGGCTATACAATTTTTATTTCAAAAAACCCCCCAGTATCGCCGCCCGGCTATACTATTTATAATTAAAAAAGCGGGACCCGCCTAGCACTTAGCGCTCGCTTTGGAACAGTAAAAATAGTATAGCCGTGCGGCGATAATATTTTATTTTAAAAAACCCCAAGTACAGCCGCATGGCTATACAATTTTTATTTCAAAAAAGGTATAGCCGCGCGCGGTTATACTATTTATAATTTAAAAAGCGGAACCCAACTGGCGCTCAGCGCCCGTTTTGCAACAGTAAAAATAATATAGCCGCTCGGCGATACGATTTTTATTTTTAAAAACTCCAAGTAGAGCCGCGCGGCAAAAGGGAACCGACTCGCGTGAGGTCTTTGAAAGGGTCTGTGAACCCTAAACCCTTTATGCAGAGAGAGTTTCAATAGTTAAATTGGTCTCTAGAAAGAGTGTTGTATTTCGTTGATGCCAATAAGTTTGTTTATATATTGGTCTTAACCTAGCTTGGAGCACAATTCAGAGTAATTACATGTTTTAATCCACTTAAAATCCTCATCAAATAAGGTTATATCCATAATTGGGGTTAGCAATCAAACCTGATATCATCAAGCCCACATATATATATTCAATAAATTCCATATAAAATAAATAAGGCCTACTTGAGCCCATTTGCTCATCTGTTGTAAAGATTGAGAAAGAAAGACGCAAGATGGCAATGAAAAGCCCTCACCCTAGATACAAAGATCAGTCTCTTCAACATTACATCGTACTGCATTGTGAATCCACGAAATCTGTCTCTTGTAGCTCAAATACTGCATTGATCAGCAGTCCTTAAACCCTAAACCATATAATTTCATGGGTAAGTTACCGGTGGCTTCCGCAAGTTATCAAGCTCAAGCAACTTCTTCTTCTGAAAGTTTAACGGACAGATTTAGTGATCTTCCAGATGACGTTGCTCATCTTATCCTTTCCCCGCTCCCTTTCAAAGACCTCACGCGAGTCGGTTCTGTCTCGAAAAGATGCAGACAATTACATCTATCAGTTCCGGTGGTGGATTTTGCTACTTATTGGTCAGAAGAAATGACGGTGGAGGATATGATCGTACTCGGTCAGAAATAATAAAAACCCACCAAGAGAATAAAGTGAGGGTGACAAATTCTTGGGATAGATACTTGTTCTATCGTGGTGATAATAGGTTGCGGCGCTTCTGCATGGATTGGCATTTCTATCCGAGCGAAACAAATGAGCAGCTTTCTGATGATAATTTACGAGGAACCAGGTGGGTTCGCAATGCATTAAAGTGTAAAGTTGATGAGCTTCATCTTCGTATCTTTCTCCCGGACAATACGTTTTCGTTGCCATCTTGCGTCTTTCTTTCTCAATCTTTGCGCTCTTTATCAGTGGAAATGCGTTTTGGAAACGCCTTCTCTATCCTTTTCCAGTAATCTCCATTGCTTGATACTGAAAGATATTAAAATAGTAGACGAGAGGTTTTTCAAATGGATCTCGTGTTCCTGCAAATGCATTAAGAAGTTAATGCTTTGTGGAATTAAAGGGGCACGAAATATCACCATTGAAAGTTCGTCTTCGGAAAACTTTTTTTGTTCGATTGTTAGTGGTGGTGACCTCGAGCATCTTAATATCTCCGGTGAGAAGCTTGAATATATATATATATATATATATGTATTTCAAGAAACAAGCAGCAAATCATTGGAGATTTTTGCTCCAAATCTCAAAATATTGATATTGCAGTGCTATATGTGGTGTAGCCAAAATCTAGGAAAATTTACTAGTTTGGAAGAAGCTGGGCTTTGTTTAAAGCCTCGGGTAAATGAATTTTACTACGTATTTGGGCTTCTTTGCAGCATATGCTCTGCCAAAGTTCTTACTATAAGCGCGGAGACCATTGAGGTAAAGTTGACTCATTTGAACAAGATATTTTGCAATTTGAATCATTTGAAAGAAAAATTTGTAGAAGCATATGTTCTTGTCCTCTTCCAAACTAAGAATTTTTCTTGTTTAAACATGCAGGCCTTCAAGGAAGGTTCCATGGCAGCACCAAGATTAGATAATATTTGTAAATTGAAAGCGCGGACTAGGAACTTGAATGATGACCTTGTTCCAGCACTGGTCTCTCTTCTTCGAGGAATGCCTAATTTGAAAATTTTGTACATAAGTACAAATCCCTTTTGTCGCAAAAATGTATGTTAAGTCTATGTTGCCTATTGATCTCCCTGTCATGCACACACATATTTTTCTTGTGGTAATTTTAGATTAAATTGTTTGTATATTCTTGTTTGCTTTTTGTATATTTTCAGGCATCTGGATTTGGTACGGAATTCTGGAAAATGCAAAACCTTGCTTTCGTTCATCAGCTTGAGGAGGTAACCATAGAGCCTTGCGACGGGTCTAATCGAACTGATTTTGCACGGTATATCCTTGAGCATGCTCAAAATTTGAATCCTATTAGTGTGGATTCTTATCAATCAAAAGCTGAAGCAGAGATAGTGAGAATGAGTAGAAGCAAGATGATTTCCACTTCCACAGTAATCATTCGGAAGTGAAAGGAAGAATCTTTGATATTTTCGGAAGACTTTATTTGTGCTCTTAATATTTGCACGAGCCAAAATTAAAATGAAATGCATGTAAGAATCAACTCCGGGTATAAAACTCAGGCTTATATTACAAAATTCCATGCTACCTTGACAGGACATTTCTGCAATATTTCTCAAATAATATCTCCTTGCAATTTGCTTCATTCAAACCTCAAAATGTCTTGCAAGGCACAAAAATTAATAATTTGGGAAAGGAAAAGAAAAGAAAAAAAGAGAGAAGAAGATATCAGTTTGAAAAGAGAAAAACAAAATCAACCGCACCCCGGCACTCCAGATGAACACTCACATGACCTTAACCCAAAAAGAAAAGAAATTTTAAAAGTTTTAAATTTGATTATGAGAGAAGGAGAAATTAACTTAGTTTTTTCTTTTCCAGAACCCAGTTTTGAAATCTGTTCAAATACTCTTCATCAAATTTAACATACAGTTGCAGCAATTTCCTGTACCCCATCATGATATATTTGTCCACATAATCTTCACACCTCTCATAGAGCGCTGGAATTGTTAGAACCATGACAAGGCCTGCCCATATAGGAAGACAAAATTAAAAAAACAAACTGATTATTGAATCTGGTGATGTCTTCAATTCATTTTAAGAAATTAAACATAACCCAAATGGAAATGAAACTTACTGGTGTAGCTCAAAGTAAGGAAATCAGTCAAGCCACCAGCAAAATAAATCAGCAAGAGGTATGCAGCTACTTTGAAGAACAATCTTGAGTCTTTGCCGAGAGATATATCTTGAGAAACCGAGAGCAAAGCATTTACCCGACTGCGAATGGAAGCTGCCATTTCATTTACCATTTCTTCTGACAACTGCAGTTGAGGCAGGGGAGGAGCTGGTCTGTTCACAATTAAGAACAGGTTCTGATAAAATCAGAAGAAGAGGAAATATGTTGAGTAAAAAATTATGTTCCAATTTGAAAAGTTTTTGGCAGGGTCAAAAAGCCCAATTCTGGATTGTGCAGATCATTCAAATTTTGAAACTATTTAGAATGACAAACAAATTCAAACAGCTTGAGCAGAATGAAAGCTACACATTTGTGGTTTTGATAGTCAATTAGGATGAAGATGCTCAAATCATGCTTGTCTCATACAATGGCACCAAATTTACATCAAGAGAAGAAGCACAATTTTCGTTTACCGGTTGAGAATGGCTGCAGATTTAGCCCAGAGAAAGAGGATGCTCATCAGGAGGAGAAGAACACTTGAGACAAGTGACAGCAGAGTATAACCAGACTTCTCAAACACCACCCAAGCAGATAGAGTTACTAACAATATTCCCGAAGTCAGATTTTTCTGCCTCCACAGAATCACATCTGCAACTGTACTACCAGCAAAAGCATGGATTATCAGACCCATAAATCCTAAATCCAAATAAAATAGATCAAAATCTGTCATTGTATGAAAGACCAGTTTTTCATAATCTTGAGTTCTTATCTGTATGCATAATTCATCTTGCATTTAAATCAAATCAAAACTTATACTAAAAGAACTCCAATACTGGATAACAATTTCAATCACAATTATGATGTTTTAAGAATTGAAAGAACAGAGCCCATGATCAAAAAGTGGGAGAAGTTCATACAAAATGATGAAGATGATGACTTACCAAGGCCTCCTCCAAGGATCTCGTGAAGGGTTCTTTGCCTGTTGAACAATCTTTCATAATCTGCTGATGAACCCATTTGATACAGAGCCAGGAATCACAGCCTGGGATCCAGTTCAGATCTCTTAGACCCAAAAATTACGTGGCTTTGAGTCTGAGATGATCCTCAGCAAAAGAGAAACAATGGGTTCTCTTTAGCTAAACTTTTTCTTTCACTGAGCCCCACGTATATGAAATATATTAGGTTTATATACAGATGACTGTTAAAAGTGCGTTTGGTGTGGTGGCCACAGACAGAGTCATGTAGCTGATAGCTTCCAGCTTAAAAGCGTCATAGGCCGCTCATGGCTTTTCTTGCTTTTTATTTTCTTCTGAAATGTGCAACTAAACCTTACTTTCGTGGAATTACATACAAACGATTATTTATAATCTGCGTAGAAAACAGAGAGACAAACTGTTCTGCGCGCAGGTTGGCTGCTTTTCTTTTCTTATTACCGGCCCTGTTTTTCTCCTTCACTCTTGACTCGAGTGACTCCAACTTTTAAAAGGGTATTTGGCATTGCTGTTATTTACAGAAGGATGCCATTGTTTTTAAGCGTATCCAGTTGGGTCTCTCGAGGGTATTCTCGTCCACATTGCTTCGTTGGTCGGTTTTTGTGGGCCCAGCTTTTTGCCATGGCCAATCACAAGATTCTTTTTCCAGAACATCAAAGTTAAGAACGCACATAACTCCCTCCGGAAAAAAAAAGAAAAAGAAAAAGAAAAAAGAAGAGATTTATTCTTAATTTCATTATTATGACAGGTAATATATTATAAAATTTATTTTAAATATATGTAAAAAATCTCAATGCTTTTAAAATGAAGTCAAAGTTTTGACCTTAAAACCAGTATAAATGCAGTAATTTTCTCAAACTCTCATTTACAAAATCATACTCGGCGTATTTATTATACAACCCGTTTGCAATGGAGATCATATCTGGGAATTGGATGAGCCCCCAGAAAATGAAGCAAGAAAATGAGAAGCATTACCAAAATGCAAAAACTGTAATCATCCAATTGAAAAGCTGGGAGGTTATTTCTTCAAGTTTATACAATGTGAGTCTAAATTTGGAGCTAAATGGAGATGTATATGCTGCAAAGTACAATAACCTTGCGGCAGGGATGTAAGTCAACCGTCTACACCTGACACAGGTCATTGTTCCAGTAAACATAAAATCTACGAAAGAATGTACTTTTCTTTTCAAACATTTTTCTTTTCGCTGTTTGAGCTTTCATTCTGCAGGTTGCCAGCTTCAGCGTGGGCTATGGCTGGGGAAGCTACGGCCGGGGCCGGGGCTGGCGCCGGGGCCGGGCCCGGGGATGGCACTGGGGCCGGGGCCGGGCCCGGGGATGGCACTGGGGCTGGGGCCGAGGATGGGACCGGAGATGGGGAAGGGGATGGGGATAGGGATGGGGCTTGGGCCGGGGATGGGGATGGGACTTGGGCCGGGGCCGGGGATGGGGATGGGACTGGGGCTGGGGCTGGGGAAGAATCCATAAGACTGGCAGCAATAGCAGCCTTCAAGTCCTCGTCTTCCATTTCTGAAAGCAATTCTGCTTCTTCTGTTGATAGAAATGGAGCCGAAGATTGTTGATTCCAATTTGTTCCCTGAGGTTGAGCATTTGTGGAGTTGCAGGATTTAGTTATCCTCTCAGCATCTTCAGGTGAAAGCCACTGCCCATAGCCATTAGAAGCTTCAGAGGATGACATGGGACACTCTTTCGGGAAGTTTCCTCTCACCAGGAAAATGCTCCAACCAGAGCCTTTTAGTGTGTCCAAATAGGCTGAAAGGTAAAACTTTGAGAGGTGCAGTGGGGCTGCATACAGACTGTCAAAATTATACCACTCTCCGCTCACTTTTCTGATACAGAACCAATGATCCTGCAAATGACAGATGAATGCATTTTCAAGCTCAGGATCAATCTGGGCAGGCTCTGCAACTGGAGAATCAAGGGGGATGACCTGCAGATCCCAAACCTCTAAAGCCTTTTGTAGAACCTGCAAACAAAAACTTCAATGGTTTGCTCTGGAATCTCTTATGGAGCAATACTAATCACTGGAAAGAATGAAAGTTATTGTTGCAATTAAAACTTATGAAAAAGAACCGACTATATAATTTTTGGGTTGTAAAACCACTTCTGGACTTATTTCGTGTTTTTCCCCTTTAAATCCATCTAAAGCTATGTCCAAACACAAGAACTAGGCTAGTCCTCATCCCCTCAGTTTTGAAATATCCCATTCTATAATAAGAATGGCTTCATAAACAATTCAAGTTACATGCTGAATTAAGCAAGATTAAATTTCTAAGACTGAAATATCCTTAGTTTGCAGAAAAACAAGAAAAGGAACTTCATAAATAATTAAATTAATATAAATCCAACAGCGTATAGAAATCACACCCAGAAAAATACAGCACTATTGGACTAAAGAAATTTCCAAAACTTGTTGTTATTAATTTGAAAATGAGGAGATAGGAGATCTTGTTGATGGTAAGAAGTCAAAATATTTGCACATATATGGGGGAAATCAGAAGGGGAAACCCACTTCAAGATAAATAACATACAAAACAAGTCCAGATAAAAGAACTCAATTTAATAGTTCATTTTACTTTTCCCACTTCATAACACCCAAAACATTTTTGCTTCATCAATTTTCTGGAAAAACTTCAAATCAGTCACATAAGTCAAGTGAGGCAACCTCAATCTGCTCAGGCCAGGGAAAGTTGTACTCTCCATGGGTGAAATCAAAACTTGTTACAGTATAATCATTATTCAAATCTAAAGGACCAAGTGGTTTACAAGCTTGCATTGATGATAACCTGACGGGCAATGCAATTGCATGAAAACTAACAAGATACCCTTGAGGAAGCACATTTTCCACCAGAAATTCATGACTCTAGATACAGGGTACAACAAAGTTTTGTTTAATATCAAGCCCCATTGCAACGGAAAGGCCAAGGCAAAGCATTTTGTCCTCTATAATACCAAAAATAAAAAGTATTTTGTCTATATAGAGGCAAAGTAAAGTGTAGGTTAGATTAGCACTCTTCAACTTTTTTATGCAAGAACGACCAATAATTTAGCACCAAGGTTTGCATAGGTTCAATCAACATTAGGGTTTTGACTCACCAAAGCACCGCAATGACATCAACAGCACCATTTACAGACAACTACTTCCTAAACTATTTTACCGCTCATTAAAAACATCCCATATATACACACATACATATGTGAATGATCAAGTATGAATCCCTGCCTCCAAGTTGGTCTTATTAAAATACCGGTACGGCATACTAGCATAATAGTGAGTCTTCATTGCCTCTCAAACTTAGCAAATTAAAAACCACAGCGTACGCACACAGAGACACGTGGAAACTAGACAACTACATCATAATTAATCAAGGATCAAGTCATTTGGTAGTGCTAGTTAACCATTACTATAAACATTCGTTCAAGGCCACTTGCCATCCGTAAACGACCTCAACAACAAGCCCAATTCAACATGGCTTCAGTTAATATGAAATTCCAGAAACCCTTTTCAGAAGGCACTAAAGGAATAAAATGACCACAGTCCTCCTCTTTATAGTAAGTAATCCACCAAACAAATCTTGTTTTAGAGCCAAATCACAGTGCTCTTCTCCTAGTAGAATAGTGGAAATAACTAATATAAATCTCAAGACAATAAATAACAAGTAAAACCAAATGCAGAGCATCATCTTTCTGTGAAAGAGAACAGAGTCTCATTCGTAAACATACAGAGAATCAAAATGCTAGACAAACAAAAGTTGCAGTTTCTCTTCCTCCAGCGAGCTCAAACGTTGAATTCAAAAACCCATTAACCCGATGTAATAAAGATTTCTATATCACTAAATCATACGATAAATTACAAACTAACTTTGTAAAATGGTGAGTTGCTAGTCATACGAGAAACCATCAAACGAAAAATAAAGAAACCACATTTAGTTGGTTTTGCGCAGAAAAAAAAAGAAAAAAAGAAAGAGTCTATGCACTAGTTACAGGGCAGTCAAAAGTGAAAGCAAAAAACAACCATGAAGACAATGCGAGAGTTCCACGCAGAAAAATCCAAGCCTTTTTTCTAAAAGACTGAGAAATGAAATGAAATTTTGGGATTGGAATTGGAACCTGAATGCTGAAATCGCCGTCCAAGGAGACGTTGTGAGACTCCTCGGAGAGGAAATCGCCGGCGTGGGACCCGCCCTCGACGAGCATCATCTGCCGCTCCTTGCGATCGAGATCGGAGGCGAGTGCCGCCAAATCGAATTCGGAGAAGAAAGGCCCCTGCAACACCGTGTTCACGCAATGCACCGCGCACAGCTTCGACTCTTGTACCTCGTGGTACAACATCCCTCCATTGCTCGCTCCTTCCATTTCAGAGAAAACAAGAAGACGAAGGAGAAGAGAAGAGGAAGAAGAAGCAAACCCTAGATTCTGAGAATCTTGTTGGATTGAAGATGAGGGGGCTATAAGGATTGAGGATTGAGTAGGGGAAAAAAGTGTCTCGAAAGATACTAGTTTTTCATTATTTTTATTTATTTATTTTGTGAAATGGAATGGGGTTTTAACGTTTTTATTCTGCTGGGGATGTTTATGAGTCACCACGTGCAAGCAACTGCTGGACACGTGTAAAGACGCGAAGACAAGGTTTCGTTTCTCTGTGTCTCTGCTTTTTCTCTTTCTTTTTCTTTTTAACTCAAAGTGGGAAGATTTCGCAAGTCCAAGTTAAAAAGAAAACATACAAAATATATCAATGTTCACATCTTACATGTACTTGGTTGGATAATGGATCCAGTTAAAGCAAAGGACGAAAAAAATTACAAAAATTAGCAAGTCGGTTTTTAAAATAAAAGAAAAGGAAAATGCTTCAAAATTACAACAAAAGTACACTACCATTCTATTGAATTCTAAAATCTATCTTGAATACAAGAACAAAATGCATCTCCAGGTTCTTCTCTCTCTCTCTCTCTCTCTCTCTCTCTCTCTCTCTCTCTCTCCTCAGACAAGCAGATCATAGTGGTTGCTGCCACTGTACAAGAGCCTTACAACCTTCCTGGGTTTTCTGTTTCTAGAACCTTTACCAAACTCGGTTCCGTATTCTGCAATGGGAATGAAACCAGAACTCCTCCCACCATTTGTATGCTGCAACCAATTCAACCAACAGATCACAACTGAAAGTATAAAACATAACTAGGAAAATGTGCAACTCTAACAATCTCCACCTTTAAACTATGCTAGTTTATTAGGTGGAACAAAAATTAATGAGGGGAGATTCACTAATAGCTAGACAAGTCCATAATCTGGAGCTCTTCTTAGGTCAGGTTTGAGTACTAAAGAAGATGCATTGGCACAAAAAAAAGACACTTTTCAGTGAAAAATATACCTCATGCTCTGGTATGTAAACAGTGATTGGCTGCCCACACAACTTTGACAGCACCTGCAGTATTGAAGGTCATAGGTCACACAACCACACACACACACACACACTCAAGAAAGAGCAGTTACAACTGTGAGAAAACTGATTACAACAACAAATATGTGAAACTGTACTTCTTTTCTATTCTAACAGACTAAAAATAGCGTTTCATGTTCGCAGTCTAATTATCATAGTAATTATAAGATCTTCTTCGGCAGTGTGCTTGGTTTAAAATACCAACTCCCTCCGCCATATGGATAATCTCATACTGGAGAAACGATAGCCCTCCGCTTAAAGGTTAAATTTCTCATACAATAATTACTTAACTTAAGATACCACTTAACCAAAAATCATGTCTAATTGATTGGTAATATCTACAGTTGACAATCCGATGATACGTACTAATGATATGAAACAAAATATCGCAAAATGTTAGCTAGAGGCTCAAGAGTACTGACCAGCAGCTCCGACTCTCCTCCCCAGAAATCAGGTCTTGTGATGCGCTGGCAGTAACTATGGAACGACATTTACAGATGTATTATTAGATTGATTTCCATCATAAGGACATGCTAAAGCACTTGAACACCAAAATCTGAAAGAACTTCTACAGTCACTGATAAAAAGGTAGAGGTCTACCGTTTTAAGGATTCGTCAACAGTAATTGCCACCAGAGCCGCTTCATACTTGGGGCGTTCTTCCTCATCTTCACATATAATCTCTTTCACAGCCATCCGTAGTTCGTCTATGTTTTCACAGTAATTTATTTAGTCATTCTAAATTGCCTCCAAAAGTAATAAGGAAATGCCAAATCCAAACAGATGTTATGAAAACCGAACATTAAACCAACCTATAACACCAGTGCAATAGAGCTAATGGGACTCCTGGTCACATTACTACTCAAATTATACATAATGACATCATGCTTAACAGAAAGTGACCTAAGCCACAAATTTATAGATACATTCAGAATTAGATATCATAGAATGAAAGAAATACAACCATGCCTTCCATGATTTCAAGAAATTAAACATTACTGAAATCCACATTGACAATTAAGAACATTTATGCAAACCCAGCATACCTGCATCATTTTTCTCCTCCCTTGGGCTAAGAGAAAATCCTTTATTGAAGGCCATTCCTTTGACCTGATTAAGATTTGAAACTGTGAGACAGAGAGAGACAGAGACAGAGAGAGAGAGTTTTTAAGTCTGAACAAAAATTAGATGTACAATTCTCAAATACCAGTGCACGAAATAGACAACGTCCATCGCCAGTAACTTTCTGAACCGAATAGCGTTCAACTTTCTTCGTGGCCGACGATCCTCTGCCTCTGCCACAACAAAAAGGTCCGTGATTTAGGGTTTCAGGGTTATGAAATCAAACAAAAATTAACGAAAATTAAAAATATGTGAAATCTTAAAGAATATAGTACGAAATTTACAGTGACGGTCCAATTCTAGCAAAGAACCGGTGGCTGTAGTCTCCGAACAACACCGTTGGGTTCGCCTGAAAATTTGAAGTTGAAATTGAGAGAACGGGGGAGGAGACGAGCTCGAACTGAGCAATTCCATTCTTCAGCTGCTCAAGGACAGTCTCTGCTGTACCAAACAATGCATATGAGAATGAATATATTCAGAGAACGGGAGTGAGAGCGGCGAAGTTGCAGAGAAGTGTGAGATTATTACCATTTGAACGTTTGTCCGCCATGGAAGAGCTGCTGTGGGACGACGACCGTGGATTATGTGGAGGCCAACACCGTATAACTATAAAGCAAATGCGCGCAACTAAAAACGCAGTCGTATTGGGTGGCGATGGGAACGACGCCGTTTGAGATGAGACCGTTTGTCAGTTAGTTTGGGTGCCTTGGGCTGGGCCAAGAGAATTTGTATACTGGGCTGGACAAAACTAATTGGAATTATTTTTTTCTGGTCTAGAATTTGATTTTTGCTTGAAGAGGGGAAACTTCTATAACAAGGGGTGAGGAATTCAATCCAGCCGTCCAATGTTGGGAAATTCATTAAACGGATGGCTACTAAGGATATAACTCCTCATTACAGTATCACTGTAAAAATGGGAGATTTTTAACTAAAATCTATCATAATACGATTTTGTTCTTGAAATCAATTAAAAAATAATGGGCTTTGAAAATGATGTGTAGACCCGGATGTTGATTGGTGAAAATTCAAAAACTTTGACTATTTGTAATTTGTTGTGAATTCGATCAATTTTTCACTCAATTGTAAATGAGCGAGGAGTGGCACACCATGTGGCACCTCCTACCAACCAACCACCTAACCTAACAAGCATAACAATTTCCACTCAACGTCACCCCCAAATTTTACTACTAATTTGGAGGTGTTGGCACAATATACACCAACATTATTGCCCATTTTGTTACACTATCAAACTCATTATCCGTTAAAAATTTACAATTGCAAAATAACTATATTAATCTATTATGCAGGTAACTATCAACGATTGATGTATGTACAATTGAAAACTATTCGCGTGTGAGTGATTCAATTTAGCATTGATTCATTCATGGACCGCATTGTACCGTCCACTCACATAAATTGTTATTGGATTAAGGAGATAATTAGTTTAATAAGAGGAGTGGAGCCCTAGGAGAGGGAACATCGAAGGCATCGAGCCCAAGTCACGTGCGCAAGAGCCACACACTCACGTGCCTCGACGAAGAACCAAAAGGTCTATGTATGGCTATGCCTTTGTCTTGCGAGTCTTGAATTTCCACACATTCAACGGCCAAACCGAAAAATGCTGGCTATTTATTTATATAAATTATTGATATATAATAAAGGCTCAGCCAGGTCCCTCATCTGAGTCAACTCAGTACTAACTCGTAAAGTCATAAGAAGTATCGCCCAACACTCACTCGCTCTTAAGAAAACCCCAAAACTGCGTCCCTCTCCTTGACGATCTCCACGAAGCTCCAGCTCCAGCCATTTCTCTCTGTCTCTCTCGCATTGTCCGATAATAACACTCACATCATCTCTCTCTGCCTCCATTCTCTATCAAAGCGCCTCTCAGATCCTTCTCTCTGCGTGATCTCAGCTCCTCCTCTCTCCACTGCTTTCCGGTAAATTTTCCCGAGAAAATTTCATCTCTTCCATTTTTCATTTCATTTCACTTGCTCTAGGAGAACGAATCTGTTCATTTCTGTACTGGAACACTGAAATTAGGTTTTTGTTTCATGCATGTTCAATCTCTGCTTTGCTTTGGATTCTTCTTTTTCTGCTTTGTTACTAGGAAATGGAGGAAAGATTGGGATTTGGGAGGAGAAGTTTGGTTTTTTGCTTTTAGAATCATAGAAAATCAGCTCAAGTAGTTCGATTGCTTTAGCTTTTATTTGGATTTTTTTTGGCGGGGGGTGGGAGCTAATTAGAAGGTTAGTTTAGAAAATTGCTCTGATAATCTAATTGGTAATTTTTTCCAGATTCACAAGTTCTGGAGCTGTACTTGAGAATTAGAGATCTCTTTGGCGAGGCTATTGTATAATTTGGAGAGGTTTGGAGAATGGCTTCGATATCTCATTCTTCATTGGCGTTCACTGGAACAAGCTCTGCTTCCGATATTTTTCGGAGTTCCAGTAATGGCGTAATTGGAATTCCTCTAAGAGCCCTAGGGAAGGTACGATTGGGCATGAGGAGGAACCTTGCCGTCGTCGCCAAGCTTAGGAAGGTGAAGAAGCACGAGTACCCTTGGCCTGAGGATCCCGATCCCAATGTTAAAGGAGGAGTGCTCACTCATCTCTCCCATTTCAAGCCGCTGAAAGAAAAGCCCAAGCCGGTTACTTTGCCATTTGAGAAGCCACTTGTTGATATCGAAAAGAAGATCATTGATGTAAACCTTCTGTGCTGATTTTAAGATGTATTGGATTATTTGAGAATTTGTCATGATTTTGGCTTTAGCTTAACGAGATACTTATTGATCACAGGTGCGGAAGATGGCAAATGAAACTGGGCTGGACTTCAGTGATCAAATTATTTTGTTGGAGAATAAATACAACCAGGTTTGATGAATAAATGCCTGGTTTTTGTTGAGTTAGAAAATCAGTTACTAATGTACAGATTTTGGTACATAAATAAACTAGTTTCTGGTTCTGAAGTTCTCTGTTGATGTATATCTTTTGATTTCAGGCTTTAAAGGATTTATATACGAATCTGACTCCTATACAACGTGTGAATATTGCACGACATCCTAACAGGCCAACTTTCCTTGATCATGTCTTTAACATTACTGATAAGGTTTGATACTCATTACTTCGCTTATGGATTTTTTGCATATTGTCTATCCTTAAATTTTTATTTTTATTTTTTTTGGGAAAAAATGAGTCAGTTAGTGGGTTTGCAAGTGCTGGAAATAATTGCATTGTAACTTTTTTCATTGTTTTTAACTTGTACAGTTTGTAGAGCTTCATGGAGACCGGGCAGGGTATGACGATCCTGCTATTGTCACTGGTATAGGAACTATAGATGGTAGAAGATATATGTTCATGGGTCACCAGAAAGGTAGAAATACGAAGGAGAACATTCAGCGTAATTTCGGGATGCCTACTCCCCATGGGTATGCCAAATGAACTTCTGCATTATAGTAATAAGATATAAGATTATCTTTTGTGTCCAACTTAATATGACTTCCAAAACTTAATATTGGACACTTATATTCATGCAGTTATCGGAAGGCTATGCGCATGATGTACTATGCAGATCACCATGGGTTCCCCATTGTTACTTTCATTGATACCCCGGGTGCATATGCAGACCTTAAATCAGAGGAACTGGGCCAAGTATGTGATAGCTCTACTTTAAATTTCACACGAATCTCTTTTAGATTTTTTGCTGGGTCATCTAATTTGTTTGCGTTTCAAACATCCAGGGTGAAGCCATAGCTCACAACTTGCGGACTATGTTCGGCCTGAAGGTACCAATTGTCTCTATTGTCATTGGGGAAGGTGGCTCTGGTGGTGCCCTTGCCATTGGCTGTGCTAATAAGTTATTAATGCTTGAAAATGCAGTTTTCTATGTTGCCAGGTAATTTGGGTTTTGCTTTTCATTGATTGCATCTCTTAGGGAAGTTGTAAAATGGAAATGTGCTTCTTCCTTTCTTCATTTTTGAGTGACAAGATGATTCTCAAGCGGTGGTGTACTAGATATAATTGGCTTTGCAAAATTCAACTCTGAAGGGGTCAATTGCCTTGAAGGACTTTAGGCCTTATATCTGGATTAATCCCATTTTTTCTGGTCATTAGTTCCGAAATATTGAGTCTTATATTTAAGTAGATTAATGCCAGGCTTGTTTCTCTTTTTATGTTACATGTAAGCATCAAATTAACTTATTGTTTCTCTCTGGGATTTGTCTCTGTTCTTCTTGTATTCAGTCCAGAAGCATGTGCAGCAATCTTGTGGAAGAGTGCTAAAGCTTCTCCAAAGGTTTATACGAAATTCTATTGCTCGTCTTTAATTGGTTTGTTGATTATAGCCTATTGAAAGCTTCATGATCTCTGCAGGCAGCTGAAAAGCTGAAGATTACTGCAACTGAGTTGTGCAAGCTGCAAATTGCAGATGGCATCATCCCTGTATGTATCGCAATCCTTTTGTTTCGGCTTTCTTTCTTTCTATCTTTTTATTTGTTTTTTATAAGCATTCAGTTATTAGGAAGAACATGGGAGCTTGATAACACTGTTATTTCAAAAACTTCTGCAGCACCCTATGGGGTGAGTTTTGTAATATTCCTTATTCAAACTCATCACTGTCATTGGAAACATTGATATGTCAGAAGTGGTCATTGTTTTCTATGAAAAAGTTCTTGTTTTAATGTGTAATATTCCTTTGTTTCTTCATCCAAACTCATCACTGTCATTGGAAACATTGATATGTCAGAAGGGGTCATTGTTTTCTATGAAATTTTTTTTGTTTTAATGTGGTATAAAAATCAAAATAATTATTTATTCTTACCTTTAACAGGAACCACATGCAGATCCATTTACTCAAAATTAATGATTTTTCCTTTACTTTCTAGCTCACCCATGATATACCGAGAAAGATGGTTGTCTGATTTATGAAAATTGTTCTTGTAGTCATTACTCAGTTTTGCTGATGTGGCATCTAAAATTTCAAAAAAAAATTTCTGACCTTTAACAGGAGCCGCTTGGTGGCGCACATGCAGATCCCTCATGGACCTCTCAACAGATAAAAAATGCAATTAACAAAGAAATGGATGTAAGTGCCTTTTCTTCTACAAAAACTAAATTTACAGTATCATTTCCTAATTTATGTCTCTTGTTTTGTTCAGGAGCTTCACAAGTTGGACACAGAAGCACTGTTAAAGCATCGCATGATGAAGTTCCGGAACATTGGTGGGTTTCAAGAAGGAATTCCTATAGATCCAAAGAAGAAAAAGAACATGAAGAAGAAAGATGAGCCCATTAATGTAAAGACTCCAGTTTTGGATTTGGAGGGTGAGGTTGAAAAGGTGAAACAACAAATTTTGAGAGCCAAAGAATCCTCTAATGAACCTCCAATGTTGCCTCTGACTGAGACGATAGAAAAACTGAGAAAGGAAGTGGATACTGAATTTTCAGAGGCGGTTAAAGCCCTGGGCTTGAAAGACAGGTTTGCGACATTGCGTGAGGAATTTTCAAAAGTAAATGCACAGAACCAACTCTTGCATCCAGCTCTAAAAGAAAAGCTTGAAAAACTCAGGGAGGAATTTAACCAGGGGTTGTTGTCAGCTCCTAATTATGAAGACCTAAAATATAAACTTGACATGTTGAAGGAATTATCAAAAGCATATGACCTTGCAGAGAAGAACAAGAAGGCTGCAAAACTGAAGCAGGAAGTTAACAAGAAATTCAGTGAGATCATGGATCGCGAAGATGTTAAGGAGAAAGTTGAGGCACTTAAGGCTGAGGTTGAAAATTCTGGGGTGTCTAACTTTAATGATTTGGATGATAACCTGAAGGGGAAAATTGTGGAATTAAGGAAAGAATTAGAGTTTGAATTTATTGATGTTCTCAAGTCCTTGGGTTTGGATGTTGAGTTAAAATCAAAGCCGGTTGAGCAGACTTTGCCGTCAGAAGTTAAAACCAAGATAGAAGAATTGAACGAAGAAATTAATGACAGGATTGAAAATGTTATCAATTCATCCGACCTGAAGGACAAGATTGAGCTGCTGAAGTTGGAGGTTGCTAAGGCAGGGAAGACACCTGATATAGCAGCCAAAAACAAAATTGTGGCCTTGGAGCAACAAATCAGACAAAGCATAGCAGCAGCTGTGGAATCTTCAAATCTAAAAGAGAAGCATGAGAAGCTGAAGGCCGAGGTTTCCAAGACCATTGAATCTTCTGGAGGATTGGATGGAAGTTTGAAGACGGAAAATCCAAATGAAGATTCTTTCTCTTTTGATGAGTCTAGAGTAGTGGGTGCAAATCGCACCTTCGGTTAATGTGAGTTAATCCTATCCTATATTATAATGATTGTCCTCTCCCTTCCTATCTCCTCCTTTCTTTAATGAGAGTGGCACACTACATTTTCCCTTTTGCTTGTCGTTTGGTAGTTTGCCTGTCTGAATTATGAAAGAACAAAATTTAATGGTAAAATGCATGACCACAACTGAGTGGATTATATTGTAAAATCAGTTTTTCAGTTGTAGTTCTGCATGTTCTTTATTGGGTCTGCATTTCGATTTAAACTCATTAGCTTATGCTTTTCTGCAGTACCTCTTTTATTCTGCGTTTTGCGGATATGGTGCTGGAGAGATGATTGTTCAAAACAGATAGAAGTGATTTCAAAAAATGGACAAATAGGGAAACCCAAAGCTGTTGCTACTGCCTGTTAGCATCCTTTGACATCTTGCGGTAGCGTACAAGTTTTGCATCTACGAAGAACAAGGAGGAGATACATTTTAGCTCCATCATTTACTGCTTGAACTTTTTAATATATCTAGGTATCTATAATTTATTTGATTTTACTTTTTTTTTGGTTGAGTGCATTTCTCTTTTTATATATAGACTCCCAACAATTTCAGTTGCTCTTTTTATAGATTCGGATCACTTTGTATAGCTTGTGTGGGGATGCAAATAAATTGTTTTCAATACTTACTTCCTCTTAACCCCCATTGTTTTATCATTAAGGCAATACGATGAGTTGCAAAGGCCTCGGTCAGTACTGATCAGATTATTTGGCCCCTTTTTTACATGCCGAGTAGAATTTGCACCCGATTAAAAAGAAGAGTAGACTTCTACTTTTTGTTGTTCGGTTCTGCACAAGAATTTCGCTATGCGATTTGTGCTTATGCTGCCGGCCAAAGCGAAATTGATGACTATTCTTGAGACTTTGATCTGGTTTCGAGGCATGCTTGCAGTGTTTTTAGATTCTTGACGAACATTGCTTATAAGAACCAGCTTTGTGTTTTACTGAGGAACCAGTTGGCCTGTCCGCAGCTTTTGCATTAATGGGTAAAATTGCTTGATCGTGAATAATCTGAACTTAAAAGTTGGAACCCATCATACCCCATTTTTACTGTTGACTTTTTAACATCATTCTTTAGAAACAAAAAGGCCGCTGAAGATACGAAATCACACCCCTCCTGTCAGAGACATCTTGCAAATGGAACAACATTTGTAAACACCCTCTTCAAGCAAAAACCTAGTAACCCAAAAGGAGCGTAACTTTGCCCTTTAACCAACCGACAAACTTTACCATGTTCATAGTTTGGTCCCCCTAAATCTGCTTCATGGGAAAATCAATGAAGTGATGTTAGTATTAAGCATCCGTGCCAAAAAGCATAATTCAACACTCACAAGGTCCACAACATCAAAAGTTTAATTATGTCTGAAATGTTTTAATTTTTTATTATACAAGCGATATTTGTGAAGGGAATTCAAACACAAGAGTAACCACTCGTAATCACTTTAACTAAACCCCTTGCAAAATGCTTTAATTAAACATGGGTACCAAAAATAACAACAATAATAACCAGAAACAAAATGTATGCTCCTACTTCAATCCTTTCAATACAAGAAGGGGATGACAGCTTTTCTGCCCTTAGGATAATCCTCCCCAAATTTCTCCAAATACCACTTATGGTTCGCACGTGCCCTGGGCACCAAGTTGGCACACGTGTAGAGGAAAAACCCTAGCCCAGCCCAAGACCACGTCATCACTGCCCATCCCAACCACTCCACTATCTCCCCATAGTAGTTTGGGCAGCTCACCAACTCAAACCACCCCCCTTTTGGCACCTTGTACCCCTTCCCCTCTTTCTTCAATCCCACCAAGACCCTATCAGACCAGATATTCACAGCCATGCCATAACCAAACACCACCAACCCAACACAGAATCTCCACCAAAACCACCCATCAGCCTCATAATCTTTGTACTGAGAAACCCATCTGGCCTGCAAGTAGGCATTCAACAGATTGAACCCAAATGCCATGAGCGCCACGCTCACCGGAAAACCGCCTGATGTTTTGGGATTGGTGGTATTCCGGCAGAGGCGGAGCGGGTAGAGGAAGGTGCGGTGGAAGTAGTGGAAGAGAAAGGGTACGATGAGAAAAAGGGCTTTTGGGTTGGAAGAGTGGAGGCCGGAGGGGAAGAGGAGGAGGGTGAGCCAAAGAGTTGGGCTTTCCATGAGGAACCAGGCCAAGGGAGGGGACATGGTGGGCCCCCAACCTGGGCGGTGGTGCTTGCCATAGGGGGCCTGGAGGAACCTGAGGGAGATGTAGGTTGGGGGTGCTATGAGGTAGAGGCTGAGGAGGCAGTTGTGGAAGAAGTTCTGATCTGAGGCCATATCAGAGGAGATAGTGTGAAAGTGTTTGATGAAACGACAAAATTATGAATGATAATGGGAAAAGGCAAATTGGGTTGGTTAAGATCGGATTCTGTGCTAATTTTGAGGTTAATTTTTGTCGTTCATTTGGGTGTACACATTGTGATTATCAAACAATAATGATTTTCCCAAGTACATCAAATCAAACTAATTGGTTGTGGCCCTTCTTGTGGGTCTGCATACCTTTTTTGGGTTTTGGGCTCAAACCCAATAGGGGCGGGTCAGCTGGTGGATTTGTGTAAACATGGGTCCAGACAGCCAAAGAGGTCCATCACTTTGTGAAAATAATTTATAACCAACGAATTCTCGGTTTAGCGGCACTTTTCTCCTCTCTTATGAAAGAGGTCCGAAATTCGAATATGTCCTCTCGATAATTTAAAAACAATATTTTTTTTAGTTTATAAGTTTTGTTGTCATTTGAGTCCAAGTTCCAACCCCCACCGGCCTTCCTTAACAAGATAGAGTATAATATATTGACATTAAAGTGATGCAGATGTTACACACTTCATATTTGTTTTCTTCCTTTGATAGTGCCCTTTAGATATATCTTTTCATTTTTCACTTTTCATTTTTCATTTTTCATTTTTCATTTTTAATAGATATCATATGCCTTTAGATATATCTTTATGAAGTATCCTTATTTCATGATTATTATTATAGTTTCTGAACCCCAAAGCAAACATGATTGCTATCCGTTATAAATAAAATTTGATTCTTCCATAACTACTATAAACTATTTCTTCCACTGTTCTGTAACCGCTTTTTCTTTTCTTTTCCAGACCTCTGTCACAGTGTCTTATCAGGCCATATGAGAATCCAAATGTGCATTTTGGTTCAACAGTTGCCCAGTTTAGCAATACAGCGGTACCGGAAAATTATTAGGGTTTTTGATCCATCTATCTATGGCCATTTTCATCCATGGATATAAATACTGGTGTGAAACTTCTGAAATGACAACACAATGTGACAAGCGATGCAAGACTTTCCCATCTTTGGATACTGATGGACAATTTTCAGCCGAATCTTGTATGGTGAAGGGCATCTTTTTCAGTACGTTTCAACATCAAATTATCAGGACACTCTCTGGTGAAATCTCATATCCAAAAACCATCAGATGTGCACGCATGTGCACACTACTTTGTAATCTCTTTCCACAATGACCTTGGTGTGAATCGACAATCAAAACTACATCGCTATGTATTGGAGAACGATGTATTGTACTTTAAATTACTTGAGTTACAAGCTCCTTATAATTATACTTAACTTTCTCCACGTATAACAGTTAACTTGAAGTCGATGTTCTTTTCATTTGTATCTTCGACAAACTTCCTTATCCAACATGAAAACATTGTGATTGTTGCAAATTGGACTGGCAATTGAGGTTTGGAATATGTTAGCGTTAGTCGCTCGCTATAGTCATCGATAGTTGAGATAGCATGATTTACTCACCCCCCCAAATAATCCTAGCATAACTCATTTAAGATTGTGATTGGATTAAATTGTATGTTAACATGGTGATGAAGATTAGGCAAATGACAAGGGCACCTTCCTCTTTATATCATTTGGCAGAGGATAATAAAGCATAAAGGGGTATATGAGTCAGTCTGGGAATTGAAAATGACAGAGGAAGGATCAAACTGGCCAGGTGTCTTATGGGACATGAACAAAAACTTGATTCCACGTGGCAGATTGTAGTTGGAGAGAATTGTCCATGACTAACTGGATGGAGGAGGAGGATCTTTGCTCTTCAAGGCTTCTCCAATTCAACTAGTAGTAGACCACTACACCACTTTACGGGATCTTCTTTTGGAGCTTTAGGTACGTTTTCTTTTGTCGTTTTCCAACTTTGCCAATTCTAGGCACACAACCCCCTCACCCCCTTTTGTTTGTTTTAATTCAATTTCCATATTGCTTTTTACTGTGAGCCTTGTGACCCTTTTCTCCAGCTCCTCCTCTTTCCCAACACCTCACCTTCTCTTGCAAGTTTACAACTTTTATTTCTATTTATTTTTCCAAATTAGATGGAATCTATGATGGTTGGTGGGTTCAAATGTTCAAGGATCCACTATTAATTATAAGCATTGCAAATGATTAATCAAGGGTCCAATACCTTCACCCATAACTATTTTGATCTGGACAAAAAAAAAGTGGCATAAAATCTATCCACGGTTAGAAATATTTTAATTTTTTCTATCAAATGTAGGAAGAAGGAGGGAGATTTACTCACACGTTGGTTTTTAGGGGTTTCGAATTTGAGACCGCTGGTCTTATGCCAAACATACTTTTCCAATATGGTATGACCCATTGGCCACAATTATAAATTTATTACGGAAAAAGTCTGATATACTTATCCATTTTTCCCATTTCGCCAATTAAATTTAGACTTTCGTTATATTTAAACCTCATCAGATAACGATAAAAGTAGGTAAAATTGGTATTAGAAAATAAGCCCAAAAAAAAAAGGTGAGGTACTAGCTAAACAAATTTCAAGTTTAAATCTTTTGACACAATAAATGGAGGGTAGTACTCAATGTTCTCACGTGGCTACACCAAAAAAGCTAAATCAGACCTCCTCCTCTCTCAACAAGTAATTTTCATTTTCGCAAATACTTAAAAAAATTCTTAAATTTTTACACCAATTATATAGAGACTCAAACGCTTATATAAATGTTCTTTTTTTTTTGGAGGGTTTTATCTGTTTCGTTTTTTGGATTTCTCAACTGAATCGTGCATTCTTCTCTCTCCTCCGTGTGCGTGTTCCTTCTCTTTTGTTGACATGGATTGATTAATAAACAAGCTTTTACTTCTCTCTCTAAACCAACACACACCTTCTCTCTTAGGGTTTCGCAGAGAGCTTCCCATTTGCCAGGAACAGGATAAACAATCCCAGGGTTTTTTCTTTGAACTCCTAGAAGGAAGCCGCTGTGTTCGTGCTGATCGTGCAAGTTTTGATTCCTCACGGCTACTTCAGGGCACGGTGAATTGGCTTTCGATTGCCGTTTTTTGAGGTTTGAGCTCTTCTCGATTACGCTTTGGTTTTTGCAGCTGTGAAGCTCTAGGGGACACAGAATTCGAAATTTGTATAGGAAATTCATGTTTAGGGTTTGTGGTTTTGGGTTGCTTGCACCATTTGGGTGCTTAGAGGAAGGTATTTCATTTGGCTTGGGCTTGGGTAAAGCTAATTTTCTAGTCAGATTAAGTTGAGTTGGAGTACATTACATGAATTTTGTCCTTTTCCTCTGCTATCGCATATAAGGCTAATGGCATCTTTCGCCTGAGCAATATAGTCAGCATTTTTGTTTTGTATCAGTTAGTGATAGGGAATGGGTTTCATAATAGCTTTTAGTTGCTTAAATGGATTATTTATTGGCAATGTGTATATTTGTGCAGCTGATCATGTGGTTTGATGCAATCTTGGAATGAAAGGTTGTTTCGTTGTTAAAAGTTGTTGAGAGAGTGAGCATTCAAGATTCTACGTTGGCAAATGTAGTGTGGTGGATTATGAATGATTGCTGCCATGGACTTGAATGCCTCACCATTACCTGAAGAAGATGAAGATACTTTTGAAAGTCACATTGAACATTATGCACCAGAAGAACGCATAGAGAGTGGAGCTGATATAGCACGCCGGGTACTTTTTTTTATTTTTTATTTTTTCTCATTTAACTTACTTATCCTCTGACCATGGGTATTGGCAACTGGATGAACTTGTTTCTTTTGTTATTGTAGTTATTGAGGGTTGCTGCAAAAGTTCACAGAGTTTTTTTCTTTATTTCTTTCTTTTGAACAAGGAATCTCTTAATCCCAATAGCCTTTTTTAATTTTTCCTTTATTCAATGCTTGAAATTCTTCTTATTGCTATTTCTCGTTATTTTTAGGCATAAGATAGGGGGATTTAGAAATTTAGAGTGACATGAGAGACAAATTATTGCATGCTACTCTTTTTAATTGCATCTACAATTTTTGAAATTAGTATATTTCTTAAACCTTTATATTGGTCAAACAAGTTTTTTTCACTTCTTATTTGTTGGTTTAATATATCATGTATGGGGAAACTTATGGCTTAAAAAGTATTACAGCTCCTCTCTCTCTCTCTCTCTCTCTCTCACACACACACACACACACACACACACACACACACACACACACACACACACACAACAGACACACATTTTGCCAGGCACAAGCTTGTGTGCACACACACATTGGTTCACATGCACAAAGATTAGCCATGGAACAATCTTTTTTTCGTTCCCTTTTCTTATCATACATGCATATATATATATATATATATACAGAAATTCTCCTATGCGGATGTCTAGACGCGATGTATTTTCTACTATCCCTCCCTGTTTTGCCCCCTATTTACAATGGCATCTACACGGTAATAACTTGTGGACATCCGGATGAGAGAATAACTCTATATAAATATATGTATATAATATACATTGAACTCAACATCTTTATGTGCCTGGTTGCTGATTTTGTTGTGTTCCTTGTATTAGGAGCGCGAAGAAAGACGTAAGCGATTGAAACGCGACCGCCCAGATGACAGACCAATGCATGTATCTCAACCCCCTGCATATGATTCGTATCAAACGAAAAACCCCAAAGTTTATGACAAGTCTAGGCTCCCCTCTGGTAGGTTATATGTTCACGTGCTGTCTGTATATTGGTTAGTAGTCTTGCTAATATATTTTCATTTCCATAGGTTGCATTGCATAGTGGAGTTATGCATGTCACTGCATTTTCACCAGTTCCATGCTGTGCAAGAATTAAATTATTACCATTTATATGTTCTGTTATGTTAAAAAAGTGGTTCTGCCTTTTGTAGAAACATTTTTGTTTCTCTATTGTTTTCTTGTTAGGAGAAAAGCTTAAATGTTTGAAAGCTTTGATATTCCCTGCACAACTTTTGTGCGATAAATTTTTAAACTTCAATATTTTTTGTGCTTGTAATCCTGGAATAAAATTTCCTTGTTTGATATTGAGGGAGCTTGGCTTTTTAGGTTTTCCTGATATTATAGCCAAACCATAGACTCATTGAGATTTAAAGTGTGCATATTGATATGTAGAAACTCTATGTTCAATGAATGTGTCATGATTTTTTGTTGATGACTTTTGGAGTGTAGGTCGCAACTGTAATAAAATATTCTGACTGACTTAGAAGAACTACTTCTCTGTAGGTTCTCTTTGTTCTATAAGAACTCAAGTGCATAGAAATGGAACGGGCGTAGGATATGACTTGTGGGTTCTTTTAGTTTCATTTTTGATAAGGATGAAATTAATGAAGGAGTTGGTTGACTGCCTTTGGATGAGTTTGGTAGTTCCCTTACCTAGTTCTCCCTATCATTTGATTTTTCAATGGATTTGGGATGATATGTAAGTCTACTATGTACTTAATATATAAAATTTGATACAGCTTGAACGGAGTCACTCCAAAAAACTAGTATGGATAGAGGATTTTAGACCTTTCTCTGCTGAACTGGGGTTTGTTCTGTAGCATTGATATGACTCATGAGTGTGCAGATTATGTACAATTTTGGTTTAATTATTTTTGAAGTTGACTAGTTTGAGGTGGTTTGTTTGTATCCTGTATTTGCATCCAAAGTGCTCCGTGATTTTGTTGGCCAGTTTGAAATGTCATTTTCATTTAGCTTAACTTCTGTCATCTTTAACCATATTGTTCCCCACAATGCAGGTTGGTTGGATTGTCCTGCATCTGGTCAAGAAATATTCTGCATGATACCTTCTAAGGTGCCACTGGGTGAATCTTATAATGACTGTGTTCCTCCGGGTAAAAGATACTCATTTAAACAAGTGATTCATCAACAAAGAGTTTTGGGAAGAAAAGTAAGTCCACTGAAATTATATGCTTTTTTCTTCTAGTCTTATTTTTTGTTTTCAATTCTCCGGATTGGAATCTTTAATATATCTTATATGAATATTGGAGAAATTTTCTGTTGATGTAAGTAGTGAAAGGTAGTTTTTTCACATGCAAGAGCTGTCAAAGCTTGGATATTGCATGTGGATTTAATTTTTGGGCAACAAGAGTTGAACTAAATAGTAACACCATGAGAGTTCTTCTGTATTGTTCAATGCTTGAAATGATTTTAAGGTCATAATCACTCATTTTTCAGCTTGGTTTGGTGATTGATTTGACGAATACGTCTCGCTATTATCTAACATCAGATTTGAAGAAAGAGGGTATTAAGCATGTTAAGGTGAGTAGTAAATTTTGGCATAATTTTGTATTCTTTGGTACTTTTGTCTGTAACTATTGGACACTTAACTTTATTTTATGGGAATCCTGTTTGAAAATGTAGATTGCGTGCAAGGGTCGGGATTCAGTACCGGACAACTTATCTGTAAATCAGTTTGTATATGAGGTTTGTTTCTTATTTGACATATGCCGTCCTTCCTGTATGAATCTTTAAACAAATTTTTTCGGCTGCAGGGGTGATTCTGTTTAGTACTTGATTTAGTTCATGCAATGGTTTTTCAGAAATTTTTATATTTCCTCGGGATAAGTACATCCTGTAACCAGCCAACAATGCTATTCTGTATTTGTCTTTTTTAAGTTGTTATTCACTACCATTTGATATTCTCCACTGTCAGTTCTCTGTTAAGTTATTGCTTATTTTCCCAACTAGCTTGCCTATTTGTTTATGAGGAAAAATGCTTTTTATATGCTTTACATGGTTAAATGGCTTGCCTATTTTCTACTCATATGCTTTATGAAAGTAAACTTTTTGGTTATGATACTCTATTGCAGGTTATACAATTCCTCTCTCGTCAAAAGCAGTCCAAGAAGTTTATTCTTGTCCATTGTACACATGGGCACAATCGCACAGGGTATATGATTATCCACTACCTAATGCGCTCGTTCTCAATTTCAGTCACTCAGGTAATTATGAACTAATTTGAACTGTCTAAATTTGGAGTAAACCAACTTTTATTTCTTTGTCTTATTGTTGCTATTTTTCTAATACTGCATTTTATTAAACAGGCAATAAAAATGTTTGCTGACGTACGCCCTCCAGGAATCTACAAACCCGACTATATTGATGCCTTATACTCATTCTACCATGAACGAAAGCCTGAAATGGTTGTCTGCCCCCCAACTCCTGAATGGAAGAGATCTTCAGAATTTGATCTTAATGGTGAAGCAGTTGCAGACGATGATGATGATGATGGAGGTCCTGCTGCCCCTTTGAATGTATGCATAGTCTTGAAAGTGGATTTATTGGTTTTTGATCTTATTCTCCCCCAAATGATTGACAAGTAGATAAAAAAATTCAGTAAATGATGAGTGGTCTCCTGTTTGTTGCATGGCATAGATAGATGACTAATTTTTATGCCCAATGAATAATGTTTTTAATGGATTCTTTATTGTTACTAATCTACCCTGTATTTCCTGTTTGATCATGTAATGGAAACAAATGACCTTTTGTTTTTTCTTTATTTACATGTTTGTTATTTGATTGTTGTCCTCAGTTAGCTGTAACATTCCTCTGTGATTTCAGGAGAGTCAGGATACAAATGGAGTGATGACAAATGATGATATCTTGGGCGATGAGATACCTTGGGACCAGCAAGAGTCAATGCGGCAGTTCTGCTATCAAACTCTTAAGCTGGTTGTTGGGGTAGGCATGTTGAGACTAAGTGTATTCTTGATGGTTTCTGACTTTCTCATCTAAATCCACAGATATATAATATCTTTAGTTGGGCTGTTTTCATAATTAATCATGTATTTTCTTTAATATCATTTGATTCCTATTTGCATCACATTTTACTTCAATATCATTTTCTTTAATTTCAGGGAAGAGGAAACTCACAATTCCCGGGGTCGCACCCAGTTTCTCTTAACAGGTTCAATTTCACAGCTCCTTGTTCCTCTCTCTTTTTTTTGGCTGTGGTTTCATTTAAAGAAAAATTGAGCATATAATACAATGTTTCATTTGGAACAATAACTGAAAATTGTAGTTTCAACAAAGTCGTTGCTTGCATCCACAATGAATCTATTGAAATCGGTGCATGCTTCTGAATTGATATTTTGAACTTTTGTATGTAGGGACAGTTTGTAGTTCGTTTTATGCTTAAAATATATTTGTAGCACTGTTGAAGTTTAGCGTTATCTGGATGGTTTTCTACTATCATGCCCTGTACTGATATGTGGGGATTGAAAAGAGATCCAATGTGACTTGAAATTTGGTTTCTTAATGTTGTTGGCTGATAGATGACTCCAGTGTGCATCTGTAAAGATTTCTCCTTGAGTATGCTTTATTAACTGTATTGTTATATACTGTTTTACACATGTTAAGGAAGGATTGCAATTGATTATTGAAGTTCAATTTTACTTAGTGTTGCTCCTTCATTTTGTTATTGTCATCTGAATGGACTTCCTTCTCATACTGCAGGGACAACTTACAGCTGTTGAGGCAGCGCTATTATTATGCTACATGGAAGGCTGATGGAACACGATATATGATGTTAATAACTATGGATGGATGTTACTTGGTTGATAGAAATTTTAATTTTAGAAGGGTTCAAATGAGGTTTCCCTGTAAACACACAAATGAGGTATGTGTACACTTACTTTTAGGAAGGTTGATGATACAAGGAAGATTACATGTCGAGCATCCTTCACAAGTTAGTGACCTGTGTGTTTTTTTTTTTTTTTTTTTTTTTTTTTTTTTTTTTTGGCTAAGGGTTTAGCGGAGAAGACCCACCACTACACATTACTGGATGGTGAGATGATAATTGATACCGTGCCTGATCCACAGAGGCAGGAGAGAAGATACCTCATTTATGATATGATGGCAATCAACCATGTTCCTATCATAGAGGTTAGTTTGCCCTTTTCCTGTGCCTTTTCACCTGGGCTATCTACATCATTAACTTTTGTTGGACAAACTTCAGAATTTAAGATCTTGCTCTTATATTAATAACCACATGGTATATGCTATATGGTTGTGCAGTTCACTGCTCAACTATATATATGTGTGTGCGTGTGTATATTTTTATTTCTTTATTTTGGAAAAAGTGCCACTTAATGGTATTTTGAGATCATTTGTCAGACGTTGGCCTGATTGTTGTGCCACTTACGTTTTCTTTTTTTGGAACTATTATCAAATTTGGTTACAATTTGTTTTCCTGATCTTTTCTGCAATATTAAGCTACTTATTTTATGGATCTAATATTCTAGAGTTGTTGCAGCGGCCTTTTTATGAACGGTGGAAGATGCTTGAGAAAGAAGTCATTGAACCTCGGAATCATGAGCGCCACAATATTTACCAAAGTAGGAATCCCTACTATAGATATGACTTAGAACCATTCAGGGTATGTATAAATGACTCTGGGTTCTGATCTTGAACTTCATTCCACTGTTTGCTTTTCTGCCGGGATTAATTCTCTCAGTATGTTTATCAGGTGAGGAGGAAGGATTTTTGGTTGCTCTCCACAGTAACCAAACTTCTGAAGGAATTTATTCCAAGGCTTTCACATGATGCAGATGGTCTTATCTTTCAGGTGGTTGAGGATCATAAACTGTGAGATCAAAATAAGTGAACAATGAATCCTAAATAAAAATATATGGAGTAGTATCCACAGCTCCTTAATAGGATTCAGAAGGAAAATTTATTATGATACTACTTAATATATTTTGATTTAGGATTCTTTGTTTACTTATTACACACACACACACACACACACACACACACTCTCTCTCTCTCTCTCTCTCTCTCTCTCTCTCTCTCTCTCTCTCTTCTCTCCCACCCTCCCTCTGTCACTCCTACTCTAACCCGCTCCCTCTGTTTTTCTTGACTATATCATTGACTTATTTGTATGTCATACCCTGCGAATATGGACTATGTAGCAATCACTGTACTTGATGATTAAGCTGACATTTAACCCTTTTAAATGGTTGCAAACAATTAATTATTTATAATTGTGATATGCTAGGGTTGGGATGATCCATATGTTCCCCGTACACATGAAGGACTTCTAAAGTGGAAATATCCTGAAATGAACTCGGTTGATTTTCTATTTGAGGTTGTGCTATATTCTTTATTGAGTTATTTTCTGATACATAAAAAACTTTATTGTGTTATTTAAGCTATTGCTTCGTGTATCTCTCTCTTTTCCTTAGATTTGTTCTGTGCTTGTTTTCTTATATGAAGCTACTTGTGTGGACAGGTAGGCGATGATGATCGGCAACATCTTTTTCTATATGAACGCGGAAAGAAGAAACAAATGGAAGGAAATAAAGTTGCATTTAAAGGTCGACATGAATTTCTATATGATGTTTGGGGTTAATCATGATTGTACAGCTGAAATTTTGCATTGAGGCTGTCTACCAACTTTTAAATAAGCACACGTATTTTCTTTCTTTTTGTTTAGATCTATCATGGGGATACATGCATACACATGTGGATTGATCCCAAAACACTGGCAGATTTACAGTCTTATTTGATTTATGTATAAAAAAAATGATGGATGAGAACTTTTGTTGTTTTTATAGTTTTCCCTTTATTGCTTAAAGTGTTTTGGGAAACCTATATAAAACAATTTAAAATCTTTGATGCTGTGACTTGGGGCAGACAGTATTCTTATTGGAAATGTTTAATTTTTATTACCCTTGTGACAGAATTCTGCTGTCATTTAGCATGTTTTGATGTTCTCTGCTAGTTTTATTTTATTTATTTCTGATATGATATGCTTTTATGGGCTGGGACCGCCTAGCAATTGCTAAAATTTGCAGTTGGCTCTCTTAAATTTGCGTCTTTATCAGTTCTTATTATTTTACTATTGGTAACGTTGCCTTATTAAATTGGGCCCTCTTGGTTACTGCATCATATCTTCAGCAATCTACTTAGCACTAGAATCTAGTATTAGGTTATGTTGGGTGTGATTTGGACATGATCCTGTTGTGATTACTTTTCTAAGTACTTTTTTGTATTCTTGTGTAGCAGATGGTTCAGACCCCTCTTCTTATTCAGGAAAAATAATTGAGTGTTCTTGGTCTTCTGAAGCAAATGAATGGGTCTGTATGCGCATCAGGACCGACAAATCAACTCCGAACGATTTCAATACCTACAAGAAGGTCCTTATCCACATATTTTAATTTTACTTTTCCTGTTTGACCCCGGACATTGGGCTTATTGATTGCTGATTTTGGAAGCAGGTTATGCGAAGCATAAGGGATAATATCACGCAGGACATCTTGTTGAATGAGATCTATGAGATCATTCGTCTGCCTATGTATGCTGATAGGATAAGGAATGATAGCAAAGCAGCCCAGCAGCATGCAAATGCAGCACGACGGAGGTGACAGCGGGGCTGAGCAACACCGGCAATTTCTTGTAAGGTTTGCTGATAATAGGCGAGCGTAGTAGTACTAAAGGCTGCCCTCAGACACCTTGTTGGCAAGTCGTTCAGAGTTGTAATTACTTGAGTGCGGCATAATTTGGGCATATCAGCTGATGATGAATCACAGAGATTGTGTAACTAGCTAAAGCGTAGCTATAATTTGTACTGAGTGCTGTGCTGGTGAGTTGTATGATCCAGTTTGGCACACCAGATAACCCCCCGGTATTATTGTCAAATTTATTTGGTTCTGATAGTCGTAGTCAGATGAAGAGAAGTAGGGTTAGTGTCAGCCATGTATATTCAGATGATATTATTAAGTTGTTTAAAAAGGTAGGCATTTTTTACAATCCAAGTTTTGCCTTTCCCCTTTAATGTGAATATAACTTCGGGACCGTAAATGACTCCAAGCTCCTCCAAATCCTTGTTTTAGTTTTTCGTCTTTCTTTCCATATTTTGTTTGTTTAAGATAGAAATGGGATTTTGGATTTTTACCACGCACCTTGATGTTATTCTTATGATTGAGATGATCCATTTCCTGTTTGATGCTGTCTTTGTGGTGTTATAGTAAATGAATATTGAGGTTGGTTACATAAACGACAATCAAAGAGGCTGTCTCATGAGCTAATTACCAACTGTTCTGCAAAGTATTTGCTTTTTATAAGGATTGATCATAGTGGATGAGTTTTGCTAATGTTGTTTGACAATCAAGGCTTCCCCGCTCTAATGATGTGTGTAAAGCTATATGAATTTTGCTAGAGCTAGCGTTAGTGACCCAAGTGTTTTTGGATTTGATTGGATCACCTACTCTCGTTTTTAGGTTTGATCTGATCGTTGATGTATTGTGACATTAGTGGTTAGTATAATAACGATCTACATGTGTTTTTGGATTTAATTGAAATGCATCAATGCTTGAATCTCAAGCTTAATTTCACCAATATATTTCATTTCTGGCTGTTCTACAAGTTTAAGGTGTAAGTTTAGTTTCATAATCATAAAGAAAAAATAAAATAAATAAGAAAGATAAAGTATTTTTATTATTTTGGAAGTAATAAAAGAACAAATGGTTTTGTAACCGAAGAAAAAGAACGAATTATTTTGCCCCCACCTCCTCCTAGTCCTTTATGAGGCAGAGCAGACAGCACAAAGTCTCCAAAGATCACGATTAACTGTCTTACTTCTTTAGACGTCATTTCGCGCCCGAGATAACAACCCATTGGCCGCACTCACCGGTCACCGGACCTCTGCTTATAAACACATCGCTTTTCTTCCCTCTCGCGCGTAAATGTAATTTACTCAAACCCAAGGGGCATTTACAATTAAAGTCCTCCATTGTTGACTCTCTGCGCTCCCATGTCCTAAATTCTCTCTGCCTCACTCGCTTCTTCACATCTCTGAGACATTGCTCAGAACCCTAGTTAGTAGCTAGGGTTTATCTTCTCCTCCCAATTTCATTTCCGATCAGATTGATTCAAGCGAGCACGTTCATATGAAATCTACCGCGGTTAGGGCTTTCCTGATCTGTCTAATTCTCTGTGCCGGCTCGGGCTTCGTTCATGGCGAGGAGCCGGCGAAAAATAAGTTCAGGGAACGTGAGGCCAGTGACGATTCCCTTGGCTATCCAAACATGTATGTTCATTTCTTCTTCAACTGTCGTAATTGCCTTTAATTCGCATATAATCACTAGGATTTCTATTGATTGTTAGGTTAATTGTATGGAATTTTTTGCATTTGACTGATGCGTTTCTATCATTGGTTCTGTATTTTGTTAGAGATGAGGATGCATTGTTGAATACGCAGTGCCCTGCGAAATTGGAGCTAAGATGGCAAACTGAAGTTAGTTCTAGCATATATGCCACGCCCTTGATCGCCGATATTAATAGGTACGAGAAGGAAAGTGTTTTGGCTTGAAACTTTGGGCATTTACTTATGCATTTTGAGATCACCAAGGGGCTAATTATGGTTGGCGTTTGAGTTATATGTGTCTAGAATTGATTTGTGTGTTCCTTTTGTTTTTGGCTCTTCCTCCCAGTGATGGAAAGCTTGAGATTGTGGTTCCTTCTTTTGTTCACTATCTTGAAGTTCTAGAAGGTTCTGACGGAGACAAACATCCTGGTATGGCAATTTCGTTTATCTTTTTTGGGTAAAGCTGTCTTAAAGGTTGGTGAAGTGATTTTTCTGAGTACCTGCTTAATTCTTTATCAGGTTGGCCTGCTTTCCATCAGTCAACTGTACATGCCAGTCCTCTCCTCTATGATATTGACAAGGATGGTGTGAGAGAAATAACTTTGGCAACCTACAATGGTGAAGTTCTATTTTTCAGGTAATTTAATTATATTTGTATTTTGCGTGAGTGATGTTATTAGTTATATTTCTTTTTCTTTTTTCTTGTCCACGCAATAATATATCAGCCTGCACAAGCTCGTAAAAGTTTTTGTGTATTTTTTCTCTTAGGGTCTCAGGCTACATGATGGTAGATAAACTTGTAGTACCTCGTAGGAAAGTTAAAAAGAACTGGTATGGGGGTTTGCATCCAGATCCCGTGGATCGTACTCATCCAGATGTTAATGATGATTCTCTTGTCATGGAGGCTATGAAATCAACTCATCGTAAGTTATTTACATATTGCAGTAGTTCTTTTATTAATATAAATTCTTTAACGACTGCTATGGTTTTTTGAGGGTGCCCATATTCATAACATCCATGGACCTTTAGGAAGAGAATGCTGAGCCACCTGAAACAGTTTCTGACTTTATATGACTGTGAAAGTATGCCTTTTAAGAGGAACTAATCTTGTCTGCAATTGATGGTTATCCTTGTAGAAACAGATGGAAGTACACCTAAATTAAACAACTCTGCTACTATTTCAACAGAAAGCCATCCTGATTTAAACAGTTCAAGTACTGTTTCAAAAGAAAGCCATCCTGATTTAAACAGTTCAAGTACTATTTCAAAAGAAAGCAACCTTAGCATGGTGAATGCATCAAATCCAGAGAATAAATTGGAAACAAATTCAAGTCGTGTAGAAACAGTTATCAAGTTGCCTACAAGCACAGACAATTCTTCTGTGAAAACTGTGTCAGAGGAGACTGTTAATGCAGTGAATGCAACTAGTTCTGGGAGACGACTTTTGGAAGACAAAAACTCGAGCGAATCGCTGGAGGTTGGTTCTGAATCCAAAAATAATAGTAAGGAGGATGTTCCTATTGCAACTGTAGAAAATGATGGACGTCTGGAAGGAGATGCCGATTCATCTTTTGATTTATTCCGTAACAGTGATGAACTGGCTGATGAGTATAGTTATGACTATGATGATTATGTTGATGAATCAATGTGGGGAGATGAGGAGTGGACTGAAGAGCAACATGAGAAGCTGGAGGATTATGTCAATGTTGATGCCCACATTCTCTGCACTCCTGTGAGTTTTCACTTTAACGTTTCTTCATTTCACATGCATGCACACACTGCACAGGCATCAAGTATGCACGTAAGCATGAATGTTAGTTATGAATGGATTTTATTGCCAGATGCAAGTTAAATTGGTTGATGGGGATATGTTTCTTATTTTCATCAGGTCATAGCGGACATTGATAATGATGGAGTATCAGAAATGGTTGTTGCTGTATCTTACTTCTTTGATCATGAGTGAGTTCTCTTCCTTAGTGTCAAAACTCTTCTTTCTTTACAGTTGGAATCATATATTAATGATGAATGGTTACTTCTCTAACATTAAACTGAAAAAAATGGTTGTTTATTTGAGTGGAAGTCAATCCCATTACCTGTAACACTTCTATTCCCATTTAAAGAGTCTACCTCCTGATTTTAGAGGATTTTTGCAGTGTAGGCGCTGGAAAAGCAAGTCTTTTCTGTACATGATGTACATTAGAGAATTTATACAAATAAGCATATATTTTAATTAATGGTCTGAAAGTAATCTGCCACCTTGTAAATTGGCAGGTATTATGACAACCCGGAGCGTATGAAGGAATTAGGTGACATTGATATTGGAAAGTATGTAGCTGGTTCAATTGTTGTATTCAATCTTGACACAAAGCAAGTAAAGTGGACTGCTGAACTAGATCTGAGTACAGAGACTGGGCAGTTCCATGCTCATATATATTCTTCTCCAACTGTTGTGGATTTGGATGGTGATGGGAATTTGGACATTCTTGTCGGGACTTCCTTTGGCTTGTTTTATGTCTTGGATCATCATGGTGACCTAACTTTTCTTATCCTCATTCCTGGCTTTGCTGACATATTTAGCTCAAAATGCATGAGTTTCTATAACTTCTGCACCAGTTATATAAGATGCTGGATTATCTTTTTGTTACATACAGATCTTTTTTTCTCAGTGATGTGGTAACTAAATTGTTTCTTTTGTTCAGGCAAGGTAAGGGAAAAATTTCCTCTTGAAATGGCTGAAATTCAAGGAGCTGTTGTTGCTGCTGATATCAATGATGATGGAAAAATTGAACTAGTGACTACTGATGCTCATGGAAATGTTGCTGCATGGACTCCACAAGGAGTAGAAATTTGGGAAACGCATCTTAAGAGTTTAGTTCCCCAGGTACATTGCAGTTTTCATTTTATATTAAGTTGTGTGGGAATGGGAACAGCATGCCATATTTGGGGGACCAGATCTTTTGCACTATAATTGATCAATTGTTTTGTGATTGTTTTTCCTGCTCTGGACCTGATGATATTACTTTACCATGTTGTTAGATAGCTTATCCGTTGTAAACTTGCATGCACAAATTCGTGATTCTCATTTAATCAAGAACCGTGAGCATCTTGGTTCTACGTATTAATGCTATGAATATTTCAATCTCTGTGATTTCAGTCACATTAACAGTTGGATTATTCATGTCTGGGCACCGTCAAAGTAAATCTTATTATATTTCACAGTGGTGCAATCTGATGCATAGTTGTTATGTTCCTCAGGGTCCCACTATTGGTGATGTTGATGGGGATGGCCGTACTGATGTTGTGGTTCCAACCCTATCAGGGAACATATATGTTCTCAGTGGCAAAGATGGGTCAATTGTTCATCCATATCCATATAGAACTCATGGGAGAGTTATGAATCAAGTTCTTCTAGTTGATTTAAGTAAAAAAGGAGAGAAGAAGAAGGGACTCACCCTTGTTACAACTTCATTTGATGGATACTTATACATAATTGATGGACCAACATCATGCACAGATGTTGTTGATATTGGTGAAACTTCGTAAGTTTTTTTGTAAATCCTTCAATGTTCGATTAGTTCTCCCCATTCCAATGGTTTACCTGAAACATTAATCTCTGCATGACAGATATAGCATGGTCTTGGCAGACAATGTTGATGGTGGAGATGATCTCGATCTTATTGTTTCAACCATGAATGGCAATGTGTTTTGCTTCTCGACTCCCGCTTCACATCATCCCCTCAAGGCAGGATAGAACTGAAGCTGAATCTGTGGATAATTTCTTCTGTTGTATTCAGTTTTATTTTTTATATTTTAATTTGTTTTAATAATCTTTACCATGTTGTCCTTTCTCAGGCATGGAGATTACCTAATCAAGGACGAAATCATGTTGCCAATAGGTACAACCGTGAAGGTGTCTTTGTCTCACATTCATCAAGAGCCTTCCGTGATGAAGAGGGCAAGAACTTCTGGGTGGAGATTGAGATTATAGATAGCTATAGATACCCATCTGGGTTGCAAGCACCATATAATGTCACGGTAAGTGGGTCCTTGCCACCATATATTGTTCAACTCTCTCTCTCTCCTCTCTCTCTCTCTCAAAATAAGTTTTTTTTTCTTTTAAACTATGTAGACAACCTTGTTAGTGCCCGGTAACTACCAAGGAGAGAGAAGGATTGTGGTAAACGAGATCTTCAATCGTCCTGGAAAATACCGTATAAAGCTTCCAACAGTTGGTGTAAGGACAACGGGGACTGTTATGGTGGAGATGGTTGACAAGAACGGACTCTACTTTACAGATGATTTCTCCCTCACATTCCATATGTATTATTACAGACTGTTGAAGTGGCTGCTCGTCCTACCGATGATGGGAATGTTCGGCGTGCTTGTAATCCTTCGTCCTCAGGAAGCTGTGCCTTTGCCATCATTTTCGCGGAACACTGACTAAATGTTGGACCTCTATCAATACAAGACACAAGCCAAGCTTCACGGAACATGATATACATTATCACCTGAGCAATCGCAGAAACCATGGCCACACTCAAGTGAATACTTTTTTAATGGCCAAGCTCAGATTGATCTTGGTTGGCCCAAAATGTATGTGGCCCACAACGACTGAGTTTTGACTTGGGCAATACATGTTGGAACTTGTAACATAGTCGAATATGAGTTATGGACAAGAAGTTTTTGACTACCAAATTGAAGTTTTACGTTCATAATTGCCAGAGGATAATATAATGCAAAGCTATTGGATATTTATTTACAAAAGCATCTCTCACTCAATTCTCATATGGTCGATTGATTCTAATGGCATCCAAAAAGTAAGAAAGTAATTTGATTTCAACCATTTGTTTGCTCAGTTAGGCTATCAGTCTGTTTCTATTTGCTCAATGAAATTCCAAGTTTCATATTCAATCTGTAACCGATCTCCTAGGACAAATATGAACCTACAAAAGAACTAAAACAGATTGAAAACAAAACAAAAAATAGCAATTCTGAATATCCCTCGTCTATATTTTGCACTCAATATAAGAAACATGTTCAAAACTACATAGTAAATCAGAAAATACAGCCACTAAACTTAGACCAGTAGGTAACAGTTCGGTGCAGAACTGAGAAGATACCGGTTTAGATTTAGAATCCCTGCAAGACAGGCCTCTTCCCCAGCCGCTTGATCTCTCTGTCCATATTACCAGTAAGCATCAAAGCGAACATCTTGAAATCGCAAAAGAGAGACCAAAATGGATGCCCAAACGTAGCAGGAACATTCCCTTCCACAAAAAAATGGCTGTACCATGCACATCCATACCCAGCCAAAGGCACAAGAAACAAAAGCCACCAATTAAACAGCAGCGAGCAGAGGAAGAAGAAGATAGAAACAAGGGTCCCCACAAAATGCCAACGCCTTGTCGATGGCTTCGAGTGCTGGTTCATGTAGAAGGGCCAGAACTCCTCCAAGCTCCTGAAATTCATATCTTCAAGTGAATTAAAGACCAACCCAATTCAGCAAAACCTTGTCCAATGAAAACCCAAGTAGCAGAAAATCAAAATTTTGGATTTAGCAAAACCCAAGTAGAAAAGCTGCTATCTTTATTTGGACAATCTTCAAGAATATGATTTCGAGTCTTATCAGGTTCAGACAGGTCGACGATGATACCGAGATACAGAGAAAGAAAATCTTCAGGATGACACGAATAAATAAAAAATCTGGAATTTTGATTGATATTTTGTGGTCGACCGCGAAGGTGTTTGTATAAGAATTGTACAGAGCAGCGAGAAAAATCTCATAAAAGGGTGAATACTTTCTCTCATCGGTCATCAGTTTGTATGTAAATTAATAAAAAAATAGTAGGTTTAGGGTCTCGTCCACGTCACCCACTTTGGACTTATCATCGTATTTTTGTTTTGCCTTTTTCTTGGATTTAACAACATATTATTATATAATAAGTTCTTGATTTAGCAGGTAGCCAAGATAAAAGATAATTGAAGAGTTTTTAATATTTTATTATCTTTGGATTAATCTACTTAATCCAAACTACATGAACATGACTGCGTCATCCAAGTGCAAATCACACTCTTGTTTTATTGCCCAATATTTTTATTTTTGGATGAATTTGGCCATTGGACGAAAATACAGAAAAGAAAAAAGAATAAAAACGAAACCTTATGAGTGGATGAAAATCTGGCAAAATTATTGGCTAGCCGTTATGAGCCACGTCACGCCACATATTAGTTTATGATTTTTTTCAGGGAAACAAATTTAATCATTTGCACCGACACATATTGATTGTAATGATGTCATTGCAACATATTTATTATCTACGGATCATTTCTCTAATATATGTTGATGTAAAACTCATTTGTATTAAAAATGTGATCAACAATAAAATCGGTAAATATGATATAAAATAACCACACCTATACACTGCGTGTGATATTCTATAATTAAGAGTTACCAATATGAAATTGTACTTTTCTACATCAGCTAATCATGGGCTAAGCTACACATTTGATGGAAAGAAATTATTTAGTTAAAAACGACCATTACTCGATATAGCCAATACTATCTTTTAAAATGAATAATTTATTTGCTTCTTACAACAGAGGAGCAAGTAATGCCTTGCAGAATCTTGAAACATGAGTGTTCAACTCTACTTGCTCAAATCTCTCTCTGCTCTAACATTGCCTAAAAAATGAACCAAAATTTCGAACATCCAAATTGATGTTACGTTCATCGTTTCCTTGCCTATGCCATCTAAGATCTCCACATTGATGTTTATGTTCATCTTTTCCATGCCTATACCATCTAAGATTTCCTTAAAAAAATTAAGCGTATATATTACTGATGCAAATTGTTGGACATTTCAGTCTAGAAGACACGCTCTCCAGTAGCAAATAGGTTCCAAAAGATTGCTGTCGCGAAATAGAGCACCGCAGTGACGGTTAGGAATGCCTGAAATGATCCTAACCATTGTACAAAATAACCAGTTCCTATTGTGCTGACTATGGCTGCAAATGTCCCTGCTGAATTTGAAATCCCTGTTGATATATAATGCCATTGAATCATCGAAGTTAGCTAACTATACTAAGAAAAAAGTAAATAGAATCTAATCTTGCCCTCTGTGGCAAGGAACTGGGGAAGAATGTACCATGGAGAAATCCAGCGTATTGAGGGGCGATATCCTGATCAAATAAACCACAGAAGCTAGATCAGATTGAAAATCAGTGTCCACCGTTTAATGGCTATGGTTGAATTGAATTAATTAGGGAATTAACTATTAGCTGCATTAGTTTGACTCTTTCTGTCATATGCTTAGATGAATGGAACTTACTTGTATATTAAGGAGAAAGCCTGCTTGGCTGAAAGAGCTGAAGCACAAGGCTGCTGTGAGGAGTACCGCTGCATCCGTGGGTGTGTTCGCATAGTTTAGGCAGAGCAATGACACTCCAGGTCCAATGAAACCAATAGACTGTCATGCACAAATATTTCTCAGCATTTGATACATAAGACTACCATATTTAAGGATCTGTTAAGTACAACTGGATTTAACTTGGATTTTATTTTGTTCAAGTTAGACTTTCACAAGAAAATTCAGTTAAATAGGAGAAAAAGAAATAGGCCCTCCTGTCATGTGGTGTATAATGTTTTGCTTTCTTCAACCACTGATATCCCCTGTTTGAGGCCAACTTTGTAGTTTTATTTTGTGCTGTAACCAATAATGTATATGAACTTATCATACTATTCTGAATTGCAGGCTTCGAATTATCTACGAGCTCTAAAAACAGATGGAAATTCAAGAGCTACCTGCATGATCTTTCGAACTAAAGTCAAAGAGTAGCCTGCCTTGATTAATGAATCTGATGCTGCACCAGCAATGTAGCTGGAAACTGCCATTGTTCCCCATGGAACAGCACTAAACCATGCTGCTTGCTTCAAGTTTACACCAAATACCTATAAAAAAGATGGTAAAATTCACAATTAGGATAGTGATCTAGCATTTCATTTATAGATTATTAATAACATTATACACCAGTAACATGATAAATTTGCTAATGATCAAAGATCAAGGAAAAATGAACTTACAGTCTTAAAATAAACAGGCATCCACGAGAGTAGAACAAAGTATCCCTGTAAGGTAGGCCATGCTTAAGAATCAATTACTCGGCAGAAAACAAAACTAATATTCCTACCCCATTAGTAGTAAGAAAAACTCACCCAATTGTTAGTTACATTGGCCAAAATAATGGTCCATGTTGGTAATTTTGATAAGAGGAGCCTCAGAGGTGGGAGCTTGCCACTGTTTACTGGAGAATCAGATTTTCCAGCTTGGATCAATCGGAGCTCCGATTTGCTGATGGAATAACTCTCTCTTGGATCATTTGTGACTGTATATGCCCAGATCGTCAGCCAGAAAAGTCCAATGGAAGAGAAGAGAATAAAGGGGCCAGAAATTCCAATTGATGATAACATAACTGGAGTTAGCAGTAAGCCTATGACATTGCCAATGTGAAAACCAGCCATAGAGATTCCAACTGCACTTGCTCTTTCTTGGGTTGGAAACCACCTGCTCAAATTACATATAAACAGATTTATTTCTCTAGTGTTAATTAATTCTCATATCGATTTGATTCAAAATATTTTCCAATTCATGCATTGGTTTTAGTACTTCAGTTCATTAGCAAACACTATTACATATAGCCTAGAGTCCTTCAATATAAATTTGCTCTCCCAGTTACCTAAAACCATGTACATTGATTATTGATACATCATTTGGTGACTCGAGCATTATCGTAATTAAAAATTAAAGGTCTAATTAATGATTAGCAGCAAGGATTAAGGAGTCATTAATTACCTGGACAAGAGGGTGCTCATGGATGGCAAGGCCACACCTTCTGCCAGTCCAAAGAAGGCACGAACGGCCAAGAGGCTGGTTGTGGAATGGTTGGCAGCCCATGGGGTGAGGAGAGTAGCCAAAGACCACATGGCCACACCCCATGCCATCACTCTTTTTCCTCCATACTTGTCCACCAAGGCTCCTCCAATCACTGATGAGAATATATATCCCCATAGAAAAGATGACTGCAACGAAAAATTAAAATGTTAAGAAACGATTGATGGGTCCCACAAGAAGTGCAGACCAAGCTCCACTACAATCCGTACAGTTCAATCATCTTTGCTAGCAAACAACAGACATTAACCTTTAATGTCACGCGATGTACTTATAAAATAACGTTTAGTTCGAAGTTTTGAGATTCTGTGTTTGAATCTGTCCTTCCTTATATCATATTTTGGGAAAAAAAGAAAATATATATGAGGTCATTCTGTGGGCTCCAACAGAATTGTTCACCGTGGGCATTTTTATTGTAAACGGATTGGATGGGTTGTCCATTTTTCTCAACCACAACTACACAATATTTCTCTCATTATTATTGTTTCTTGACAATCTTGTTCCCCTGTTTACCTATACAAGCACAACACGCAAAGAAAACAAACCTCTATTGACCCAAAAAAAAATTATTATTAAAAATTCCATACATAAGTATGGATTTTGTCGTTAATTTCAATGTTAACACACAAACAAACGAGCAAAAATGACAACAACAACAACAAAAAAAGAAGAAAAAAAAAGAAGAAGAAGAAGACAGAGACAGAGTGGTTTAAGCGAAGTTTAAGAATACCTGAACAACGCCCAAGAAAGAACTGGTCCAGCCATTTTTAGCTGCGAGTGGAACAATAGCCACAGACATGACGACTCTATCGGCATTACACAAGCACATCACACACGCCAACAAAGCCACCACCTTGAACCTCTCCGGCACACTGATTGCTTTCTTAGCAGCAGCAGCCTCTCCTGATCCTCCTCCTCTGTTTCCCATCAACATTCCTCTCTCTATGCCCTCCGCCGTACACGTCACCACCCATGGCTTTCCCCTCTGAAAGCCCTCCGTTTTCCTTCTTCTTCCTCTGTTTCCCAATCCGAAACCTGCAGAAGAAGCAATCCCCGTCTCCCATTTTGCTTGGACTCTGCCTCTGGGCTTAAACCCCAACTGGGTTTTCTCTGTATTGATCAGACTTGATTGGGTTTTGAATAAACGAGCAGGGTATGAAATATGCAGCTGCGATGTAGTGGTAGATACAGCCGCCATGAGAGGCAGAGAGAGATCAATAAAGAGATATAAACTAGAAACCACCCATCAACAAAATGGGCATGTTAATGTACAGAATTTCAAATGCAGACTGACTCTGTTTAAAGGCATATGGTCAGATATATATAATATACAATATAGTTATTTGTGTATTATATTATTTTAATGGTGTCTGGTGTGGGAATGGAAGGAAAGAATGAAAAATAGAAAAAAAGTAGGTGCAGGAAAAGGTTGTTTTGTGTTGTGGGGGTTGGTGAGGAGAATGGGAAATAGCCCGGGAATTGCTCGTCGAAGGGCAATTTCGTCAATATAAAAATACGGCTGACTTGTCCTTCGTCAGAGCGTTCTAGGCATCTAAAGACTCCTACGTGGCAACACGTATTGCTCTGCTGCAGCCTTGGTTCGGTGGACAACCAAGAGCTTTGTGGCTTTGCCACCTTTAGGTTTCATACATGGAAAATTTTACATTCCTTACATAACAAACCCTACTTATGAACATTGAAAAGAAATCACTTCGTTACGATTCACTTCATAATCTAGTTTAATGTCCTCAAAGTTATATCCGAGTAGGACCAATGCGCCAATTAATAAAGAGTTTGTGGACTATTTAAACGAATAATTTAGCTGAATGACAAAACATGCAACTCAAGTATAAGTTTTAGAACCATTTAAGTAAATAAGCCTTTAAAATTTTATTAAATAATCATTATTGCAAAAGATCAACACAATTGAAAATTGTTTGACCGTTTAATTATCATCATCAACATTTGTATTTAGGTATTGTTTAGTTGAAGAAAAAACCTCTCTGCCTAAGGAAAGAAACCCTGGCCGCCGCCTCTTTGGGGTTGGCAGCTTTCCTCCCTTCCCCTCTCATCTCCTCTCTTTCCCTCTCTTTTCCCCCCTTATTCTTCTTTGTTATTTTGTTTTGTGGTGTGGAAGAAGTCGCCGTGAAATGATGTCGTCGTCGTGATAGTCGTTGTCTTTTAGCCCACATACGCAAGGATTTGGCTTCAGTTGTTGTTGAGGCCTAAAAAATCCAAGGCTGGGCCCAAATATATTTATAGCCCAGTACGACACCTAACTTGGGAAGAAACTCAACTTGGGTACGCAAGAGTTTGTCATATGCGCTTGCACACGTGCCACGCCAAGCAAATAAACAACACACCACGCTACAAACTTAAGTGGGCCCAAGCCACACGAATGCCTGGGGCTTGCTGAGCGAGTTGTGGTATGGATGGTTACGAGCATTCATGAGACCCATTGATGGGCCAAGAATTGAAAGTTTTGGGCTGCTTGGGAGCCCCTAAACTCGAGCCCATTTCTTGAGCATAAATATATGGGTAAGCATGAAAGAGAGAAAAATGTAGCCTATTACCTTAGAAAATTGGCCCATCACCTTAGTGAAAAATAGTTCATCACTCTAGAAGGTTAGCCTATCCCCTTAGTAAACTAGCTCATTACCTTAGGGAATGGCCCAAGTGACTTAGAAAAATTTGAAAGTCTCCAGCACATGGCTAGAGACAAAACCACGACAGAAAACCAAGGGATAGAGACTTGCGCAGGTTGCTGGGAATCTTCAGCACATGGCCAAAGACAAATCCCAACACAGGGCATCCAAAAAACCAAAGGATACTTGAGCAAAACACCCTTCATACCAGTGCTATTACCCACTCATTTCTCCCACTAGCTCTTGCAATAAAATAAAGGAGAAAATAAGGAGAAATGGTAGCCCGAAATAGGAGTGGTCGCAGGGATAGCTGCAGGAAGGCTCTAGAGCCTCCAAAAATCTTGTCTCTGTGGTTTGGACTGAGAATGATTTCACAAAATAGGGATGAATCAAAGGAAGAAAAGAGAAATGGAAGGGGAAAGTTGGTTAATTTGGGAAGAACCAGTTAGGGTTTCTGAGGAAGAATGAGCTTCTAGTGTCTATAAAAGGAGGCACTTTCTACTCAAAAAATGAAACTTATTGAAGGCAAGCAACCTCGTCCAGAGAGAGCAAGCATCACCTCTCATCCCTGGAACCCTTCAATTTTGAGCCATATTCCTCAATCTCTTCCTATATTCTCTTCTGGCAAGCCATTTTAAAGCCTGATGAAGCTTTCGTCAAGCTTCTGGAAAATTGCTCAAACCACCCACTTTTTTTCCCTCATCTCTTCCTCTCTCCCCTCAACAAATTCTCCCAAAAACTCTCTCTTCCCCTTACTTCGAGCCTCTATTTCTTATAGAAAACCCAAGCCTTCTCTCTCTCATGCTAAACTCAGGAATGCTCAGCTCCCATGCCACAAGTTTCTCATGCCAAGCCATAATATTTATCTGTAAGCAATTGTTGGTTTTGTTGGTGAAGGAAGCCAAGGTGTTTCCTAAGGCTCCACGAACCTTTTGAAGCACTCTTGGGGCCTGATTCTTGAACTCAGAAATAGAGGCAATTCTAGCCATTTGCTTTTTACAGCAGCTGAATCCCATATGTAGCTGCCGGAACGAAAAAGCCTCTATAGTTGTCAACCTTAGACATGAGTTTAGAGCGACAATGAGAGGAAGTTGTCATGTTACATTTACAGCATTATGGGTTTAACGGTATGGCGCTATGGCTATCTTTGGGTTACCCGGAAGATGTGGAGTGGTGGTACTACTTCTTAGTTTTTTTATCTAATAATTTTCAGGAATGGTTTAACCTTTCGATACAAATATGTTGTTTCTGTTGTTGAGCAGCAGATTGGTTTTGTAAGTTTAAGTAGGCGTGCTTTCGGTTGCTGAATCAGGGATTTTAATCACTTTGTGGGTTGTATGCGATTCTCTCCATATCAATTCAATGTGTTGTTGCATTTGGTCACTAGACAAGATGTATTAATTTTTTTGCACCATAGTGACTTTGTACTTGTATATGTTCCTCTTATCAATAAAATAATATTGCCCTTTATTTTAATTTTTAAAAATATCATCATCAACATTTTGTTAATTTATCTGTAATATCGTGTTCCTCTCTTTATTGTGTTATAATTAGATGATTTAATTTATTTATTATTTATTTATAAAGGTGATCAATGAATGATGTTCTAAAAATGAATTGTTCATTTCATTGAATCGCATTGATGGTGGTTCGACCTGCATACGAATCATTTTTAATGAATAGTCAAATGTGTTTTATTTAGCACCACCACCACCAACACCGCCTATCTAACATTCAAGGCCATGTGCATCTCATCTGTACTTTTGTTGTTGTTGGAATCTCATGTGTATTTTTAATAGTTCTTCTACATGTCAAGGCCTCACATTTTGGTGTTGGATTGGATGAACCCACAAACCATTTGGATATGCAGAGCATTGATGCATTGGCGGATGCACTTGAAATGTTCAAAGGAAATTTGGGTTGTGGAAGATGGTGATGTTTGTGACTTTGATGTTAGTTTTGAAATAGCACAAGGAGGACCCTAAACCTAGGAAGAAAAATCAAAGCTGTGTTTGTTTTGTTGAATGCATAGAAACGAAAGTAGGAGATTTTGACCAGATTTGAGTGCTCAGTCATTACCCTGTTTCCTCTGTTTCTGATTCCATTCCACTTCCTACTACTACCAATTGCCAATTCAATATCAATTAGATGAGATTAAAAGGAAGCGACAAATTATTTGAAATTACCAATTGCCAATTCAATATCAAATGTAACAACAACAACAAAACAGTATCAGCAATTTTCTTAATTATATGCTCATGGAAAGAAAGAGTTTAAAAGAAAATTTATGAAAAAGTAAAGTTTTTTTTTATATTATATAAATATGTGAAAAAATAACTTTCTGTATTTTTTTTATGAGGAATAATCAAAATCTCTTAACATACCCATACTTTAAAAAAAAATGTTACAAACAAACCGATATAATAAAACAAGGGTAAAAATAATATATTAAAATAGGTACAAACCGATATATATAATCAGCCCCTTATATTAAGGGATCCTTCAAATAAATATTTGAAGGACATCTTTTAGGGTTTCTTACGATTTTTTTTTCAATGATCCAAACCATCTATTTTTTAAATCTACATTCATAGACCATCCTTGCAAAAAAATTAGACAAAGCAAAAACTGTTTTCGACATCCAATTGTATCTTACAAAATCAATGAACACAATGCTTCAATAAAGTATTAAAATTTCAATAACACAGTTGAGTGGTCAATTAATATTGGATTCAAGTGATTTTTTTTGTAGAGATGATCTTTGAATGATTATCTAAAACATAGATAGTTTGGATTAGTGAAATACAATGCGGATTGGACCCTACAAGAGTGTCCCTCAGATAAGCTAATTTGAGGGATCCCTCAATCGAAGCTCTGTGTATATATGTATGTATGTATATATGTGTGTATATATATATATACATATCAATTTAGTTAGCCATCCTCAACTTGTAAAAAAATTATGTTTCCAAGTAAATTAAAGAAGAAACATAGATAACTACAAGGTGTGGTGCGGTTGGCAAACTACCACCTCTAGCTGACGAGCTACCTAGTGCCTCAATGGCAGGAGTTCGAAACCCGTTGGAAGCACTTTATAAGCCAGAGGCAAGCAGAAACCTGAGCAGGGATTAATCTCACCCTTCGGGTGTGGGAACACCTCGTGGTATTTACCAAAAAGAGAAACATAGATAGAATAATAGGAAGTAAATCTTTATTTAGTTATTTATTTATTGGGTATTGAATGAATGAATCAATTAATAAAAACAAACAAGGAAAACCCTATGAAAAAGGATTGTACAAGAGTACCAAATAAAGTAAAATTTTCACTAGGACCAATTAGTGGTCTTTTTTAATTAATTAATTAATTTATTTATTTTTGGGACCTTAAGCCATGTGACCATGTGATTTTGGGGAAAACTTACTTGATATTTATTTTTTTCTGCACTAAAAACTTACTTATTTTAAGCTATCCTATAATAATATAAAGAAATAAAAATAAAGTCCATTGAATTATGGTGCACCTAATTACATACTAATACTTTCTCATTCCTAAGTGTAGTAGGATTTTGTGAAGGGTGGTTCTATTTAAACTCTCTAATTTGCTCCTCTTCCTCTTTGCTCTAGGGTTTTCTTTTTGCTCCTCTTACTCTTTGCTCATATGAAAGGTCTAGCTAGAAAAGAAAAAAGAGAAACCCTTTCTAAGGATATATTAGGTTGGAAGAAAGAGAAAAAGATCCATGATGGTTACAAGACAAGAGGTATGTATCCCAACTTTCTTCTTGAATACTTTGAAACTTGAATAAGAAATTTAGAATGCAAATCTCAGTCCTCCTATCTATTTCTTTTCTAGTTAACCAAGTTTATAAAGCCTCAACATCAAGAAATTTTGGGGTTGAATATCTCAATCATTCATCACAATTAGGGATTAACCATATTATGCAACCCATTCTTCAAAACTAACAATAATTATATAAAATTTTAGGGGAAAAGAAAGATCTCCATCTAATTAGTTAGAGGATTCTTTTAATCCATCCAAAAAAACATAATTTTAACTTATGATTCTTTCATCTTATTTTAGAGAATTTTTTTTTCTTCCCAAAGTTAGGAACGGGGAATAGGGTTTTCTCACACACACACACTGCCAAGGTACTATGAGGGTTCGAAACTGAGACTACTGATCTGCTAGTCAAAACCCTGTTTCCACAGGGCTAGACCCATTGGCTTTTTAGGGATTTCATTCTTGTGCTATTTTCTATATCTCATAGAAAATTCAATGAAACAAATCCTTTGTCAACCTTTTTTATGTTGATCTTGTATTTATGTTCAAAATGACATTGCTTCAACTTTTAAAGGTTAAAGCGTTTTGGATTTTGGGTGATTTTTTACAAGGATGATTACTTAATGAAGACTTTAGACTAGATGTAAGTTCTGAAATTTTTCAAAAATTCTAAGTAAGGGCTACTCTTTCTCTCTCCTTGATAAGGTCAGTTGTGCTACCTATATCTTCCTCCTTAAGAAAGCCAAATCTGAGCTCCCTACCCTACACTCCACCACAACCGGATTGGGAATCCCTGACCACTTCCCTACTCATCAAACCACACTTCACCAATCCCACCCCACGCGAGCTAATGATCTCTCATTTACTTTCGTTCTCTCTATCTTTCTTTCATGGCCAATCGACTTAGGGTTGCCCGTCGTCTCTCCTTTACCACTCTCTTTCTCCTCTATTATTTCATTGTTTCTCTCATCTCTCATATCCTTCTCTCATCTCTCCTATTTCCCTTCCCTCTTATCCGCGTACTGGCACGATCCCCAATCTCAAAACTACAATTGTAGAGATGGAGATAGGGGAAATAGAAAAGGAGGGGAAGAAAAAGAAAATTGAGCGAGGAATAGGATGAGAATGGCAAACTAGACCTCGTCTTGCCCCACTCCGCCCCATTATCATCCTTTTTTGGTGATTTAATTATCATCACAAATTTAGTGTTTACTATAAAAATTTAAAAAATCATTTAATCATTTGATTATCACCACAAAATTTTAGTGCTTATTGAAAGTTGGTTTTTATTTATTTCTCCCAACTTCTATGTCATAAAAGTTACTTATCTGCCAACGAGGTCTAAGTCTTGACTTGTAGACTAGAGGTCTCAAGTTCGAACCCCCATGACATCATAGTTGTGTGTGTGTGAGAGAAATCATCTTTTCCTTCTAATTTAGACTATTGCTTGTACTAACAAACAAGTTACTTCTCTCTGCATATGTGGATTATGTCAGTTGGTATAGGCAGCGAGCTTGCCCCTTTACACCTAAATTTAAATCCTTAAATTAGATTAATCTAGAGTTATTTAAATTATCGCTTATAAAAAATAAAATAAAAAATTTATTTCTAGGGATGGCAATGAGGCGAAAATGATGGGTACGTAATTCACATCCCCATCCCCGCCCCACCCTAATGCAAAAACACCATTAACAATAATAATCTTGAATGGGAAAAAAGATAAGTTAGAAACTATTATACTAGGTAACAGACAATACAAAATTTTGTTTTAGACTTACACTATGTTTTATTTAATTCAATATATAATATGTGGAATATATATTTTGGTGGGAGTTGTGAGACAAACCTAGAAGCCACTTAACAATATAAATTAATATAACACACACACACATATATATATATATCTTGAGTGTAGGGATCCCTCAAATAAGCTTATTTAATGGACACCCTTGTAGGGCCAACCATGCATTGTATTTCAATTATCCGAACCATCTAGTTTTTAGATATTTTCTTAAAGATCATCTTTGCAAAAAAATCACTTGAATTTGAAACCATTTAACCACTCAATTATTGTTGTTATTATAGTCTTTTTTTGAAGAAGCGTGTTTGTCTATTTTGTTGATCCCAATTAGATTTTTGCAATGTTGATATATAATTGAATACTTGAAAAATAATCGGTTTGGATCATTTTTAAAAATAAAAAATTCATAGGGGTCTCTAAAGTAGGGTGTCCCTCAATAAAAGGGGACTATATATATTCTATACAGATTGGATTTGGGTTGAGATAGAATACCATCCCGGTCCGAACACTATATCCGAAAATTTTTCCAAATCCATCCCCATACCCGATTTATATCCTTCATACCCGACTCATTGGGCTCGAAGCCCCACAAAGATCCTAACCCATGGGAAAAATTATCATCCCTAATTATTTCTTCTCTCCTCTCGTAGTCTATCAAAGACCAAAACAAAAGATTTCGAACCCCCCTCTCCTTCCTCTTATTTTTTTACTGCTACAGCCCAAAAGAGATTTATAATGCAAATGCAAAATTAGCCTTCAACATCGCTACTTTCTTTCTTTTCCAATTTTATGTTTCTCGAGGGACCAGAGGTGCAAACCAGAATCCACGAGTTCCAGAGTTCGAACTCGTCCTACTCGGCCATCCCAAAGGTACCCTTTTTACACTCACACAGACAAACCCACTAGCTTATTTTCGTGCACAGTTTCTTCAACTCCATTAATGGCGGTCGCGAACTGAAGCGACCAAGGTCAGCCCTCCATTTCTATGAATCCGCCTTTGCTTTATGCTAACCCAATACTACTATAGATGTTAGTAGCGAACCCAACCATTGAATATTAGTGTAATGCGGTAAGTTAGATTAACTTGACGAAGATGCCGATGCCATCACACAAAGTTACCCACTTTAGGGTTTGGGTGTTGCTCTCGTTAGGAGATGGGTCCCTGAGGTTCTGTTTGTTTCGACGGAAAATGGGTTGGCTGAAGTATCCCGGGAAATGTTTTGTTTGTTTGGTTTTTGAAGTTTCCTGGGAAATTGAAAGATTTCAATCAGAGCTCCATTTTTGCACTGACGTATTTTCGATTTCCACTTAAAACTTTATCCTTTGAGATGTGTTTGTTTCTCGGAATATGGCTAAGGGATGGCCCGATGGGTTTAGAATTCCCTAAGAATGCATTTCTGGCAAGTGCAAACTTCTGGGTTTTTAATTTGGCCAGAAAATTACAATGTGTTTGGTTTCATATAAAAACTCAGAAAATAGATGGTTTCCAAACCCATCATTTAGAGGTGGGTTTCATAAACTTCTTGTTTGGTTTTAACTTGGCGGCCTTGGCATTAGATTTATACTTTAAAAACGAAAATTCTTTTGGTGTCATTGATAAAAACATTTCTATTTTTAGCATTCCAAATACTGGAATGAGAACATTCGATGCCATTAATTTCTAAAATCCATATTCCAAAGAATGGTTTTTGAAATTCCTGAAATCTGCTTCCGCGAAACAGACACACCATTGGATTTGAATGTGATGGTTGGGAAAGGCATTTTTTTTTGGCCTATGGAAAAGATTTTGTCATAAAAATTCTTTAGAACAACTGCTTTCAATTTATAATGATAGATGTTAAAATCTACTGGCAAGATTGAACCACCATATAATGTGTACGAATGAAGGAGATTGGCCATTTGAGGGAACTTAGACACGAGCATTGTGCTTGGACCAAGGGTCTCAAACAGTATGAACATGAATGATAAGTGTGAAAGTGAAAGCTGCAAGGCTTAGATTGGCCATGGGAAAGTTTCAGTAGGTTTCCTCTTCTCATCTAGATAAAAGGGATATCTCATCTGAAAGGGGTAGTTTATTTAGGCTATAGTTGCCTAATTGGATGAGATCTCATGAGTTGACAGCTGACTTTGTCAAATTTCTCAGTGTAAGGATGGTTTGTACAATCAAATTACGTTCATGTGGGACTTTAGAGGGTTAAGGAGGTCAGACCAAGGACAGGACACTTGACTTTTTCAAGGGTTCTTTCTGAGTTCTCGACCTCCTCATGGTTTTCATTCTCTACTAACATTGGACAGTATGCTATGTGTTTGAAGTGTTATAGAAGTGATTGAATTTCGGCATAGATTTGTTTACTATCTTTTGCTACATTGAGTATAAGTTAGAAAATGGCACCTGCTAAGGTGAGAAAATTTGATACAGGGTCTGAATCGGATTGGAAGGATAACTTTGCTAAAATGACGTTGTTGAGAAGTCCTAGTGGTCGTGACAATCAGGAGAGTGCTAAGAAACCTTCTTTTCCCTTGGCGGACCAGCTGCAAAAACGGAAGTCACCTTTTGGCTTCTATACTGATTCTGATATGTTGGTGTGGTTGAAAGGGCTAGCATTAGACCCTTGTGACCGGAAAGCATCCCCAGATTCAGCTCAACAATTATGGAAGCAGAGTCTTAAAGTGCGGAAACTATTGCTTCTTGGTAATGTCGTTTGTCCTCGGGTATGTTCAAACTAAAACATTGTTTGTTTTCAATCATCTTGTTGCATTGTTTTCTTGCTGATAAATGTGGTGTTGTTCATTTGACTAAACCATATTAGTATGTTAAGATAATAAAACAATAGTTGGCCCACATCCTAACAGCTTAACTCTTGGTGGTATACCAATAAACTTTTATGTGGTATCACAGAGCGAGAGATCCTGAGTCCAGAACCTCCCAATCTGCATTTAATTGTACATGTTGGGCTTTCTAGTGCTGGAGAGAAGCCCAATGTAGTTGTATACGGGATTGCAATAGTGATAAGACTAGTTATCCTGCTACATACCTGTATTCTACCAATTATAAGCTGACATATCCTATATTTCCAATGATCCTAGCCTAATTTATCCTGCATGTCAAGCATACATTATGAGCATTTCTTTACAGACCCAACTTAGAATCAACTGATGATCTTGTTCCATTGTCAGAAAAGTTATCCAACAGAACTTCATATGCTTGATAAGCTCTTCCACAATCCTTACTGAAAAGAAAATATAAGAAAAAAGAGAGGCTACTGCTTAATTTTGTCATGATACTTAAGTGAAACATTTCAATTTCCGAAGCATTTAGCCCTTAATTTTTCCGTACTACTTTGTGATAATATCTCTAAATGTGAGTTATTTTCTTTGTACTTTTAACGCAATGTCCAGTTCAGAAGTTTTTTTTTTCTAACATGAACTTTCATTCGTCACTCCCAATCATATTGAAACTACTTTCCCCCCCTTTTTTTTCTACAGAGAAAACGAAAACTTCATCAGTTCCTAAACAGTAGTAAGTTCGCAGGTGCTTCTGGATTGGCTACAGAGAAATCTTATGTTCATACTGTTAAGAAAATGGGTAGAGTGCATTCTGTCTCATGCATAACCAATACAAATGCCAACGGTGAAATTTTCGAACCACAGCTTCTCTGTAACTCACGCAGTTCTGGAAGTTTGTTGACTTTTGAAGATGAAGATCAGCGTAAGCCAGGCTATACAGATTTGGCCATTATGGATGTGGAAAATATTGGTCCATATTGCAAGGATAATTCTGCCTCTCCTTTAATTGATACAGATGAATCAAACAATGGTTTGAACACATTGAGTCCGAAAAACTTGAATTTCTGTGATGCAACCAATGTGAATCTTAATGATACAGCTGAAAGCTCAGACTCTTCGAGTTTAGACGAGAATAGTTCAGAACTTGAATGTGCATTGAGGTCGTTGGTTTCCAGTGATGATTATCTTCCAAGATCTATTCCTGTGAGAGAGATCGATGGCTCAGCTCACCATTCAGATCCAATGAGGTCAAAGGAGCAAAATTCGAAAGTTCGAGAAGCAGTGAAAATAATGTTTTCAGATGGTGGTGTTCTGAGGGCTGTTGTTCCTATTGGTCCTGGTTTTCAGGTGGAAGTCCCAGAATGGACGGGTAAGAATCTTTATGGTAGTGATGGTGATTCGAAAGTGTCAAGGTGGTTGGGCACACAAACGTGGCCCATAAAAGGAAAAAGTGCAGGAACCACTGTGAAAGAACTTGGTAAAGGGAGATCCGACTCTTGTTCTTGCGTCTCTCCAGGATCTGTTGGTTGTGTCAAACACCACATTCATGAAGCAAGACTCTGTTTGCAATATGAAATTGGTCCTGCCTTCCGGAGTTGGAAGTTTGATGAAATGGGAGAATTTGTCTCAGCTTCATGGACTTCAAGTGAACAGCGGAGCTTTGAATCTCTTGTCAGAATGAATCCACTATCAAATGAAGCAAGTTTTTGGAGGACTGCCTTTAAGCGTTTCCCTTCCAAGTGCCGGAAGAGCATTTTGAATTACTACTATAATGTGTTCATCCCTAGACGTATGAGCATCCAGACTAGATCCTCTCCTAATGAAATTGACAGTGATGATGACCAGACAAAGGAAGAACAGCTAATTGGATGTAAATCTAGAAGGGTAGCTTAGATGTTCGAAGGACATGAAATTGACAATTGAGCAGCTTGAGGTTGTCAGTGGCCTGTGATATACTTGTCCCTTTAGGTTTAGCTCAATGGCACTTTTTCCAGACTGATCTTTTGCCCTATCACATGCCTAACCAGTGCTATTTTGGTTTGTACAGACATACAAAATCCAAAGCAATTTTGATACTCAGTTGCCTGTGCTTTGCCTTCGTACAAACTTGTTTCTTGTATGTTTCTGTATTCAATTTTTTTCATATCCGGTACAGATCCAGAGAGCCTATAGAAATTTCTTGCCAATGTGTTCAGTTTTTGTCATTCCAAGTTCATGTGCAAACTTCGTTTGTTTAACTGATCGTATTAGATGGTTTTACAGTATGTTAATCTGTTTTTAGTCGTGTCGTGTTCGGGTTGACACATCCTGTAAATCATCAATCAAGACCAAGACCTTTGATAACTGAATCAAGCATCACATTATCCCAGATTAAGAAAGATGAAAACAAACAAGAAAGCATCCTATTACAATACTATTGGCACAAATTATCAAGAAGATAAAATATGACTTAGAAAGAAACAGAAGGCAGATGGACCAAAAAGGAGAAAATGGCAGAGTTCCTATTGACTTCATGAGTGCCATATCTCGTTTACATGTAAACTCCATAACATTCTTGTACAAGAATATGGGCGGACAAATGTTGGCAAACAAAATGCGAGTCTAAGAAAGGCAACAAATTCACAAACAAACCCCGAGGCTGAAGGTGCAGCAGCAGACAATGAGCCTACAACCGTTGACAAACAAGTCGTCCATTACCTTAAACAAATCATTCTCCACCCACTTCCCACTTCCCATCTCTCTCTTTTTCTTTTTTTTCTCTCTTTATCTCCTCCATGAAGGAGCATATGTTGGGATGTTTTCATGCTTACCTTTTGACTCTAGAGGCAAACTGTTGATCATGGAGCTTTTTTTACATGTACAAGAAAGAGAAGGAATAATCTCAAGACTTGGTGAATCAAAAAGAAAATTGTTGATTGGTTTGATTCCCTTAACATGCTGGTGGCCCCCTGAGAGAGAGAAATCAAGAGAAGAATCTCTGTTTTTGAGAGACAATAATTACTAAATTTGTTCTTGTTTTTGACAATGGGATTTGGGTCGATCAATGTTTCTAACATCTTTACAACCTATTTGTTCATTTTCTGGTCAAAGTTCATTTTCTTTGCCTGGCTCAGAATATATAATATGGACAACGATTTTATAGGCTTTTGTGTTTTCTCCACTTCACCTTTTGCTTGGTTTCCCAAGCTCACTTTTCACTTTAAAAATTTGGTCAAATACGACCTGAAATGTTCCAATTTGCTGATATATCCACCTGTTGAAGATGATGACTAATACTATAGATTGGGTTACATTTATATTTCTCCAATAATAATAGTAATAATAATATTGATTCAAATTGTTTTTATTACTACATTTTATTTTTATACAATCGGTAGTATACTTGAATCTAATCTAAATTACGAAAAGGAGGATTCAAACTCGGATGCAGAATAAGAAGTATATCCGTTCTATCCAATTTGAACAAATCCATGTCTGCTTATTATTACACTTTGGAATGAAAGAGCAGAGCATGTGGCTACTGCAAACGAACTAGTCATAATAAACTGAGTAGTTGAAACACAATAAGTCAATAAGTGTCTGCCAATCAATCATTCCATATTCCACTCTGCGTAAAAAATAAATCATGTAAAAATATCATAAACAAGTAACTTTCAAACTTTTTCAGGCAATTTAATGTTCAATTGGGCATTTGCGGAGACTGCCTTCTTTACCACATTCCTTTGATCAAACGCTTGTAACCCACTTAATCTTTGCTAAATCTCATCCTCTAATTGGGCTTAAAAGGGACTTCAGACAAGCTTAAACGCGTTTGAGTGAAATAAGTGCAACCCCAAAGAAACATTGGCAGCAAGGATTCTGGAGATGAAAATGCATGTGGAAGGCAAACTGCTCTGCACTTACAGATACCAAGATATATATATATATATATATATGAAGTTTTGTGTGATTGCATCAATGCAGAGAACCCAAAAGAAAAAAGAAAAAAAACCATTTGAGCAGGCCATGGGGGTCCGAAGCCAGCAGCATAAAAAAGACCACCACCAGAGCATTGTAGCTCTTTCTTTTTCAGAGTGGGGTCAAGGTGAGATATCTGGTCTTCCACATTCCATCTGATAGCAACTGCCATGACATATTTGCAAGCAGTGTGAGTGTTTTGATTAGTTGCCAAAGGAGCCAAAAAATAAATATATCAACTGTATCTTTTGCATGGTTGCTTCAATTTATATGGAAGAAAAAGCAAAACCAGGAGAAGGAGAAGGCCCTGCTCAAATTGTTACTGTTTTTCTCCAGAATGTATAAGATGCTAAAGAAAGAATTCAGGGAACACAGTTACACAGACTCTGCAAATTCCTCACGCTTCAAACTTACCTTCTTCCCCAATGAGCCAATTTTGTTTAAGACAAGAAGCAGCAAAAGAGAACAAAAGATTAATCAAAGAAATGGGAAAAAACACTGAAATTGTTGTTATTTGAGTAATTGAAGAAGCAAGGTACTCACAGGAAGAAAAAAAATTAAAGGAACATTTCAAAGTGCTTTCTTCTTCTTTTTTTAATCCCACCAACCAACAAGAATGCATAGGCATGTGTGGTTTTACACAACAAATGCAGCAGTAGCAGCAAAATGAACAACATGAACTTAAAACCGAAAGAACAAACACCTTATGGTTATGAACACCCTCTCATTCATTCATTCATTTCTCAATACAATCGCAGCACACTTCTGGCAATGGAATGGGCATGGCTGGACCTGGTTTTCCCAGCTCCACTTCTCCAGCTGCTCCTCATCGGCGTCAAGTAAAACCTCAACAGTCCATTGTCAATGTGGTTCGGTGAATACCTCGCACTCCGATTTCTTTCCAGCACGAACTGATCATCCTTCTTCTTCCTTCCAGCATTCCCATTTGCCTCAACAGCAGCAGCAGCAGCAGCAGCAGCAACAGCAGCACCATTGCTATAGTTCTTCCTCATGCTCCCAAAAGATCCACCAACTCCACCAAACCCATGAGAGCTATTTCTCCAACTAGCACTGCTATTGCTCCTCATGATCTTGGGATTGAAACCCTTTGCTTCCCCGTTCCTCTCACCACCTCTGAGCTCCGGCCACGACTCTGAAAACGACCTCTCAACCCCATTTGATCTAACACTACTATACCTATCTTCATCCTCCTCTTTGTTCCCACCTCTCCTGTGTATAAAACTCCATATATTCCAAGCCTTGCTCCACCTCCTTGACTTTTTACACCCTTTATTTCTCTCCCCATTGACACCCACCGACCCCGAATCTCCGCCCCGAAAGGAGGACATTTCGAAGGTCTCCGAGCAGTCGTCCCGGAGAGAATTCGAGTTGTAAAAGTCCCTCAAATCTCTATTATCAGGAACGGTCGTGGGCGACACCTTGGCATTAGAAACCGACTTCATCTCATCGATCTCCGCCACCACGGCCGCCGCAGTCTTCCGAATGGAGTTGGACCGGTCGAGGCTCTTCCTCCGCCGCGACGACGAGTCCGAATAGTAGTCCCGGGTTTGGGCTGACCCGCCCGGAACCGTCTCCTCTTCAATCGAATTCATGGGCGGCTCCTCCACCGGAATCTGAGCGTCGCATCTCGAGACATGGACCACCGGAGCGTCCTCCACCACCGAGACCATCGTGGGCATTCTCGGAAATGTCCTTCCAATGAGGTACCCGTCCCACGAAGCCCGAGGCTCGTCGAAGGAGTATCTCGGGTCGTCGAACGACATCCGACCCGCATCGAGCGAGAACCTCGGATCCGTGTCGCAGGAGCGCCGGCCGAAGCCGTAATCGGCGATCTCCGACTGCGTTTCTCTGAACTGTCGCCCGATTGGCTTCTCCACCAGCAATGTAGCCGATCCGCCGCCGTTTCGACGCTTCTTCAGCTTCTGCTTCTGCCTCCATTTCTGCAATTTTTTGCTGAACACCGAAGCTGCTGACCAGAAGCTACCTGCAATCTCTTTCAGGTCCCTCTTCTTGGTTTGAGAATCGAGATCTATGTGGTCTTTCATGGGCTTCAAGTCTTCTACTTCAAATAGTTCCGGTTCTGGTGGTGGTTGAAATTGCTCCTCTTCTTCTTCCTCCTCCTCCTCTAAGATTTCTGGAACTCTGTCTTCAATCACATTTGCGACATTGGGTTCCTCAGATATTTCAATTCGGTCGCCGTTGTCGTCGCTGCTCTGGTTTTCGTCGTCTTCCTCTTCCTCTTCCTCCTTGGACTCAAACACAGGACCCCGAAAGCTGGAAGAGGACCCGCCTAAGTTCCTGGTCTCGACCTCAACCTCAGTGGGGGGTTGTGGTTCCTTCTTGTTGGGGTTCCGGCCGTCGTCCTGGTGAAAGAGTGTCCAGAGAGTGTTCCGAACCCTAACGTCGCAGGACTTTCTCTGAGGCTCAAACACACCAGAGAAGCCCTCGTTTTTAGAGGCGGAGAAGGATTTGGTTCGCCGGAGCTCAGGAAAAAAGGAGGTGGGTCGGGTTTTGTTGGTGGAGGAGGCCCCACCACCGCCAATGGGGGGCTTGAAAATGGCCTTAAGGGCAGCAGCGGCAGTGGAGGAAGTAGGGGGTTTGCGAGAAGTGGAAGAGGAAGAGGAAGAAGGGTCCAAAACGGCAAGCCGTTCGCAGAGGCATGAGGGGCAGAATCCAGTGAAGTGCTCTTCTGGGTGGCGGTCGCAGGAGGTGGAGGGTCGGTTGGGCTGAGGCGGCTGCGGCGGATGTAGTGGTGGCGGTGGTGCTGCTGCTTCTGCGCTGGGATTCATAACCGGTGGTGGTGCTCTGTGTTGTTGCCCACTCTGCTGCTGCTGCTCATGTTATGAGAGTGAAGAAGAAGAAGAAGAGTGACTGTGTGGACTATGAGAGCTACTGTTTCTGTTTGGCTCCCAACG